CGAGGGAGTCCATGCAGCTTCCAGACGTTCTGCAGGTACAAGTTTGCGGATCCGAGGGCAGACACTGTGGTGTGAGTCGGAATGAAGTGGGCGTGTTTGCTTACGGAGTCGACCACATTCATGACAGCGTCAAATCCATCGGACTCCGGAAGCTCGACGATGAAGTCGACACTCAGGCGATCCCAGCGTTCATCCAGAATGGGAAGCGGATGAAGTTCACCCATGGGCGGATGCCTTTGGGCCTTCGTCCGGAGACAGAGGTCGCAATGGCGGGTGTAGGATCCGACGTACCGGGACATGTTGGGCCACCAGTAGCTGCGCGAAATGAGCTCTAGGGTCTTCCATCTGCCGGCGTGTCCTGTGACCTTGGTGTCGTGGTGCTGAGCTACAATAGTCCGACGCAAATCCGGTGAGTCCGGAACGTAGATCTTACCCCGGAACATCAGGAGTCCGTCCGATTGGGACCATTCCGCACTTTGGACTGTCTTGCGACTGCCCTGGGTCTTCTTCAGCTCCTCCGCCACCTTTGCCACTGCATCTTCAAACTTCGCATCTCGCACTCCAGTCCGGATAGCCGTGAGGATATCCTTCTCCTCCCCTTCAAGAGTGACACCCGTGGCACGGACAGCAAAGTAGGATGGCTTGAGCATCACTACATCCTTGTTGTCATCCTTACCATCCGAGTGATCCGAGCGTCGCGAGAGAGCGTCCGGTTTACCCATAGTCCGACCCGGACGATGCTGGAGAGTGAAGTCGAAGCGGGAGAGGTATAGCGACCAGCGGGCCTGACGGCGGTTGAGTTTCTGGGCCTTGATGAAGTACTCCAGGTTCTTGTGGTCCGTCCAGATCTCGAACGGAGTCTCTGCGCCTTCAAGGTAGTGCCGCCATTCTTCGAGCGCCCGGATGATTGAAAGCATCTCCTTGTCGTGTATTTCGTAGTTCCGCTCCGCAGCCTGTAGACTTTTAGAGTAAAATGCGACAGGATGCCATTTACCATCATCCGGATCCAGTTGCGACAAGACTGCACCCGTAGCATAGTCCGACGAGTCCGCTTCAACCCGGTACGGCCAATCCTCCTTCGGAAAGACAAGAACAGGTTCCGAAGTGATCAGCTCTTTGATCCGAAGAAATGCGGATTGAGCGGAGTCGTTCCACTGCCATTCCTTTGCGCAAGTGAGGTCGAAGAGAGGCCGGGCGATATGCGAGTAGTCCTTGATGAAGCGGCGGTAGAAGTTGACGAACCCAAGGAAGGATTGGAGTTCAGTCCGAGTCCGAGGGGTTGGCCAGTCCGCAACTCCGGAGACCTTCACAGGGTCCATCTCGATCTTACCCTCGGAGATGACGACTCCGAGATACTCCACCTTGGTCTGCTCGAAATCGCACTTGTCCGCTCGGAGGAAGAGCTTGTTCCGCTGGAGGATCTCTAGGACTCGCTTGAGAACCCGGCGATGCTCTTCGCGCGTCTTGGTGTAGATCAGGATGTCGTCCAGATAGATAATAACCACACCTTCCGTAATGAGCTCCCGGAACAAGTCGTTCATCATGGTCTGGAAGGTGGACGGGCTATTCGTTAGTCCGAAGAACATCACCAAAGGTTCGAAGAGTCCGCGCGTAGTCCGAAATGCGGCCTTCCACTCATCACCCTCCTTGATCCGGACATTGTTGAAGCCCCACCGGACGTCAAGCTTGGAGAAGTAGCAAGCATTCCGGAGTTTGTCCACCAAGTCCGAGATGAGCGGAAGTGGGTACCGATTCTTGACCGTCATGTTGTTGAGCTTCCGGTAGTCCTGGACCAAGCGGAGCGATCCGTCCTTCTTCTTAACAAAGAACACCGGGGCAGCCATGGGTGATTTGCTGGGGCGGATCCGACCAGTCCGGAGATTTTCTTCCAGGAATTCGTCCAGCTGTTTCTGCTCCGCCGGGGACAGTGGGTAGCACTTGGTAGAGGTCGGTTCCGCTCCGTCCAGTAGCTCAATGGCATGGTCCCACGGACGCGGCACGGGCAGTTCATCAAAGGATTCCTTTGCGAAGACGTCCTCGAATTCCTGGAGGAAGTCCGGGACTGCGCTGTTCCGAGGATCGTGGGGTTTGTTGCGCTGGAAAGCCAATGCGAGGCGCTGCAAGACTGTCTCCGAAGCCCAGACGTGTTCTTCCCGAAGACTCCGAAGGTACTCCGGAGTCGGAGGAGGAATAGCCACGAAGATATGGTCACCCCTCTCAAGTCCGGAGTCGTCCGGAGTTGTGACATTGTCATCCTCATCATCATCCTCGCAGTCCTGAAGCTCTGGGAGATCATGCGAGTGCAGTTCCTCAACCCTTGGCATCGGACCCGTACGACACTCCCGGAGCCGCACGGACTCCTTGCGTCGGGTCAGCTTGTCATGGCGGAACTCCTTCCGACAGGTGTCGCATCCGGACGGACAGCGGCTCATGGTCACCTCCTTTGTCTGCCAGTCAATCTCGGGGTTGTGCTTCCGAAGCCAGGTGTATCTGAGGATGATGTCCTGCCGTCCGATGTTAGTGACTGCGAAAAGCATCCGTTCTGTGTGATCCTTGAACCGGAGTACAAGGTCCACGACTTCGGAGATAGATCCGTTCTCATTTGGTGATCCGTCAACGTTGAAGACCGGAATCGGAGCGGACAGCTTGCGTCGGGTGAAACCATGGGCATCAGCAAAGCGCGGATGCATGAAGACTCCGGTGGCTCTGCAGTCCACCAGGGCCTGCAGGGTGCATCTGTGTTGTGTATCCGTGCTCTGCACTTCAACGGGTATATCTAGCGAAAGCTTGCCGGGCAGCGCGGAGATCTTATAGCTACTGGGTAGCCGCCGTTCCCACTGCGGGCGAAACCTTCGGAGTGTGCGGATTGTAACCGGAGTTGCTTGCTTAACGTCGGACGAATCATCGGAGTGATTGGAATCGTCTATTTCGTCTACACTAAGACAAGCAAATCGGTTATTTACCAACGAGGTCGCACTGATCACTCGTTGGTCCGGACAAAATCTGCCGTGTCCGATTCCTCAACCGGGGCCGTTCCCTCATCGTCTATTCCTTCCGAGGTCCCCACACTTTCTACAACATCGGCCGCGGTCAGGAGATCTTCGATGGCGGACATCCGCTCCTCGGTGGTCATGAACCGGACGTCGTACCGAAGTGGGCACTCGCGGGACATGTGGCCGGGTTTGCCGCATCGGTAGCAGATCCTCGAAGTCATCCTCGTCCGGACAGTCTGCGGACTCGGCAACACGGCTCTGGATGATGGAGTCCAATCCACAACGGAACTTCATTGTGATGTTGGAGCCCTCAGTGTATCCGGACTGGTCTACAAGGTCCTGGAACTCGTCGAGGTACTCCTGGAAAGTCCAGCGCCCTTGGTGGTACCGGGTGGACTCCAGTTTTAGCATGGCAGCTTCGCGTTCCCGATCCGGAAGGAAGTGAGTCCGGAACTCGGTTGCGAAGGCGGCCCAGGATGCGAAGTACGGATCCTTCGGACTCCGGAGCACCATGTCCGCGTACTCCTTGGCGCGATCCTTCTGGAAGAAGGAGAGACACCAGAGGATTTTGGCCTGCTCGGTCGGAAAGTGGTCCGGACAGAGCTGGAAGTAGATGGAGCACGCATTGTAGAACACGCGACCATCCTTGCGGTTTCCGTTGAAGATCGGGGGAGAGGCGGGCTTCAAGCGGGAGCGCGGGGTGTTTTCGGATCGACTCGGGGCGTGCTGGGAGGCTTCGGTGCCCCTCAGCTCGGAGTCCGGAGTCGTTTTCGGAGTAGTCGGACGGGGTGTCAAGAGGAGTCCTTCAATTCGGGCGAGTGTATCCTGGATGGAACTGATTTGGGTTTGGTGTTTGTACGTCTGAGCCCACAAGGTCTGCAAAGTCTCGGAGTCCGGTCCTGAAGCGACTGGGTCGGATGGCGGGATCTGGCTGGAGGCGCCCGGCATTTCGGAGTCGTCAGGGGAGCGAGGGATGGAGTTCCTTGGGTCCTCAGAGGTGGGTGGGAGTAGCAGGAGAGCGTCCGGAATGTCCGCAAAACCGGAGAGACGTCGAGAACGAGTCCGGAGTGGCGCAGGACGTTTTCCGTAGGGCTCTGGTGCCAGGATGGGAGATCCTGTTCTGCTGTAAGGGCAACCTCAAGATGGCCGCACAGCGCGAGCCTAGCAGAGGGAGAATCCAAAGAAATGAATAAGACTAACTACAATACATGAGAGAGCTGCTCACCTAGCAGAGGGAGAATCCAAAGAGAACAGGATGGGGATTCTCCATGCTAGGAAGCGAAGTATATACTGTAGTAGCGTGGGAGGAATGAAGGGTAACTGTACAGTACACCAGCCACAGGTACAAACAAATATCACAAGGTACGAGGGGGCATGTGATAATGAAGTGGAAGGGGAATGTACAGGAGTCGTGCCAGCGACCTGGGGAAGTGGGGACAAGGAGTAATGAAGTGGGAAAGGAGGATAGAGGTAGCCCGGACGAGCCCCGAAGTGTATCTACGAGTCCGAAGCGTCCGAGCGAGTCCGAGGCAAGTCCGAAGTGTGGGAAGACTTCGGAGTCACCGGACGGGGCTCGGATGCGAAGGGAGTGAACGGAAGGGAAGCGGAAAGGTAAGGGGACAAAAGGAAAGGAAAGGGAATGAATGAAAGGGGAAAGGAACGAGGAGGAAGGGGGCGGGACAGGGGGAATAGAAGAAAATAGGAGTGTCCCCTTACACGCAGAAGCCGCCTTGCCCCAAAGGAGTCGCCTTGGTCAGGCAATTCCGCCAGTGCATTAACCTGATTCCAGCGGCAGTTGCACCAGCCAGCTCGGAACATCCTCTCACAAGATTTGCAGGTCCACCGGCTGTTGGCAACAATGAGGATGCATGGGAGATATATGATGGCCCGCTGAACACACTCCTTCAGCAACCAGAGGATAAGCTACGTGACTTAGTACGCACTGGCGAAAAAGGCCTTCTTGGGCTTTGCAACTTCCTTGAAAGCCTGGTGGTGGACCACAGGGTCATGGGTGCGCTGTTTGAAGGAAAACTGGAACGGTTGATGCAGGCGGTTGATGCAGTGTAAATTAATTTGCACAATAAGAAAGCAAGCTACTAAACTCACGGCATACAGGGCTCCAGTCATGCATGAGACCATGCCAACAGGTCCCCAGGATGTGGCACAGGCCATAGATGTCGATTCCCTTTCCGAGGCCACTGAGCCAATCTGCTCGTGCACCAGTGAACTGCCTTCACAGAAGTATTCTTGCATGGGCTATCTGATCCCCATTCCTGAGGGCAGAAGTGCGCACTCCGCCTGGCCCTTCGGCCTCCATGACAAGCTCGGTGATCCATGGGACTACACAGTGAGAAGCGGGAGCCTCTTCATTCATGCACACACGTGTAAGCAGCAAATCACTCACCCAAACTCGAGTTGTCGTGCTTGCCGGGAGCTCGAGAATGACTCCAGCCTTGGTGGAATTGTTGAAAGAATAGAAAATGGGGTCCACGATAATGCGCCACTTGCATACCAGAGCCATGAAGGCCTGGTGAACAAGGTCCGACGCAAAACACGCCAAAACGAAGCACTGCGGCTACAAGCGCTCAACGACGCACATAAACTAGCGACTAAATCACATACCATGGCCTTATTCAAGCAATTTATCATGGCGGTCGGGAGCGGTAAAGTAGAGCGGGTTGACCGTCTTGTGCAAGTGACCATGGCTCGAGGACACGGAATTCGAGGTCTGCTGGAGTTGTACGACAAAGCAGCACAAAAGGTTTACCGTCCTCGCAATTATACTGAGGAGGACGAGCTGCGGGGCTTGTTATTTTGGAGACTGGGTGGAGACCGTGTAGCTGGCATTGCGCACCGTTCACTCCAGCTTCCTTTCCCAAAAACTCTTCGACGACGAACTATTGTTGCTCCAATTCGTGTCTCCCCATCCACCCCAACGACTATCGAAGTCAAGTCCAATATCAAAGCGTGCTTTGATCCACTGCGAGCGACAATGGAGGAAAAGCAAGTCGTCTTTCAGGTCCTCATGTTTGACGAGTTGAAGCTGGAGGAGAGACCACGGTGGGAGGACGCGACAAACATGATGCTTGGTGTATGCCGGGAACATGGTTGGAAAACGAGCTTGGAGCTGTGCATGGAGAAGGAGGTTGACCTGCTTTTCGAGGCCATCAAGGCAGGGGATGTTCACCTTGCAACGGAGGTGTGTAGTGCGGCGATGATCTTGGCTGTAAAGTTTCTCACGTGGTGACCAGGCAACTGTTGGTGCGATAGGGGTTCTCAGTGGGGAGGGCCGTCTTTATGGTGCTCGTCCAGTCCTTGTATCTGGCTCGTGTAAACGCGAAACCGGGCTGGAACATGCTCAGCTTATCCAGCATGTCATTGATGCTAGTCAAGCAACATCCTTGCGAACGATCTCAATTGCATCGGACGGAGAATCACGACGTGGAGAAGCATTGGTCCGCTTAACGTTCAAGCATGCCTTAAAACCCACATCACCACTCTATCCCTTACTCAGCCGGCTGCCATTTTTCAATCTTGAAGTCGGAGATGATGACATTACGGCGGATAAGGATTACAAGCATGTGTTTAAACGCTTGCGCAACCTACTGCTTCGAGAGAAAGGTCTTACCGTTCATGGAGTCCATATCAGGCCTTCCGTTATCAGAAACCAGTTGCAAAGCAACAAGATCTCGGGCGAGCGTATCAACCACCTGCTGAACCCCGCAGACAAACAGGATGTCAAGCTTGCCTTTGATCTCCTGCGCGAAATTTGGTCACTTCCTCCTCCTCCTCCCGGTTCAAGCCCCTCGTTTTACGACACTCGAAAGGCCCTGTGTACCCTAGGCCAGGTATTTCGTCACGTCATGCTTCCATACATATGTGTCGACTTGTCCCTTTCCGAGCAGCTCACCCACTTGAGCGCGGCAGCACACCTACTTCTCGCCTTGGTATCCGAAAACGAGGGTGTCACCAAGTTGATGCCTACCCAGCTCTACATCGACATGATGATCATGGTCAAAAATGTATACTTTTGTGTTGCCAAAGCCAAAGTAGACGCACCGGATAGCCAATTCTGGATCACCCTTCTCGGAACGGACCGTTTGGAGACCCTTTTTGGGATTCTTCGAACAATGATTGGGAATGATGCAAATGTAGATGCCTACCAGCTTGGATCAAGGCTAACAGGGACAGCTGAAGTCTCAACCATCCTTGCGAAGCACCCTGAATGGGATCGAGCACCCCGCCGCCTCAAGCTACCTGTTTTATCCAAGGACGGCTTTGACATCCATTCGGACGTGGATCATGTCAATCCAGCGTCGTGGAGAGGCAATGTACGGGTTCAGCAAGTCCTTCTGCAAACATGTTGGAAACTTGGCCGCCAGATGATGGAGGACAATAATCCGGATTTGGCGGTTATGCTTCGTGGGCTTTCTGAACGCTCGGCGGACCTGTTCTTGCCACTTGGCAATGACTTGATTTGTGCTAGACGCGACACCGATGATGTCGATGATACCCTTGAGCGCGCCGTGGTAACTACCCAAACAGCTGCTTCCATAGCTCCGGATGTTGAAGATGCTGCTGTGGAGAATGAACCGCAGGGGATGGCACCGGCTTTTTTCGAGATTGGTGGCAAGCGCGTGTCAAAGGCGAAGTATTTGACACAGGCCTTCGATACCTTCCGAAAGCCAGGCTTGCGAGATCGGCTCAAGCGGGTCGCTGATGGCCAAAGATATGCTGTTTCGACATCGACCAATCTGCAGGTTGACGATAGCCAGACCCAGCCTGTATTGTCTGATGATGTCATCACGTTCGGCATTCCTATCGTTACTCTCATGCACTGCGACAACCGTTACTTTGTTGGTATTGGTGAGGTTACCGACATCACATTCGATGGCAAACATGTTCAAGAACTTCCCGTGAACTTTGCATCTGAATCGTCTGCATTCGTGTCATTTCAGTTACTTTTCCTGACTCCTACGATGTCAGATGATGATCCTACCTTGCTTAACGACTGGCGATGGTCATCCCAGCGTGGCGCTGAGTACCGAGCTCCAGGCGCCCTGGCACAACCAATCGATACCGAGTTAACGGAGCCGTCCGACGGAGTACCGCTGTACCTCTTTGATAGCAAGACTTTGATCGGGATGGGGATGCAGCTATTCGCGATTCTCGCCAGCCGCAGAGACCTACGAACGACAGTGCCAACTGTGCCCGTTTCTAGCGAGTTTCCATATAGAGAGCGCACAGGGAAAGCTTGCTTTCTATGTGAAAATATCGGTGAGATGGGGCACGAGGATAGCAACGAGAGGAAATGCACATACTGCAGTCCCTCCGTCAAGTTACCAGACTCAGCGCCAAGGATATTGGAGCATAACGCCGCACACATCCATTTCGACCCAAAGATCAACGCGTCAGCGCAGCCTTGCGGACTCTGCCTAAGGCTGCATGTCTGTGTCTTCTACCTTCGGAAAGGCAAGGGCGCCGGTGCTTCTCCCACAGTCGATCACGACAAATCGAGCTGCACGAACCTAATGCCTTTCCGCTATTCCAAAGCAGTGAAGTCTGATGCCACGGCGCCATGCTCCAATGTACCCCTCCACTGCCCAAAATGCCCCACCAACGCCCCAGCGATCTGGCGTTACAACCTACTGTTCCACCTCCGGGAGAAGCATCCAGCAGTTGTCCTGGAGCCACTCAGATCACTATGGTTTGTCTCTGAGACGGAGAAAGAGCTTTTATACGGAATATGGAAAAATCGGAACAAGCAACGGAAGTCGCGACGCCGCGCGAAACCGCCAATGATACTGACTGTCTCTGATGCGCATACCACAAGACAAGCATTGAGGTGAGCAAAGAAGTAATTGATTGGCATGTTTATAGCTAACTATTATGTGCATAGTCCGGGTTGTGGAACAACGATGGAGGGTCAAAAGTGGGGTGATGACAAAATGGTGGACTCGGAGGCAGATGAGGAAGAGGAAGAACATGGCGAGTGGTTTGACACGGAGATTGTGGACTCGGGAAATGACGATGATGATGACGACTCTGAAAACGCTAGTGAAACAGAAGTAAATTGTGGTCAGCGACCTGATCCTGAAGCATACGGCCAAGCGGACTCACCAAACGCCCTGGATGCACCCCAACAGCCATCGGACCTGGCACAATTGCATAACAGCACCCCAGCGCAGTCCTGCGACGACTCTGAAGACTCCATGATGACTTCGCAGGCCAGTCTGGCACCACCCCTGGACACTTCAAAGCCAACCGAAATTCTGGGTCGGGGTGCACGCAAGAGAAAGCGGAATGATCTTCGAGCTCTCCTGGAATGGTGTACATGTGGTGAGGTGGTCGAAGAGGATGAGCGCCGCTCGAAGAGCGCGATTGAATGCAAGAAAGCAGGCTGTGAAACGAAATGGGTATGTTCATATTGTACATTGGCAAACATGCAACTCACCATCTTCAAAGTACCATCTAGACTGTGTCGGTTTGGACTATGTCATCCCAAGATGGATATGTCCAGCTTGTACCGACAACCCGGGCCAGTGATCCTCACTCAAGCGGTTGTAATGCACGGTAGATAGTGGTATGAAGCGGCAAGTATGAAGGGATTGAAAGGCTGTTGAGGTTGCGACGTGACTCTGATGGATTATGTCATTAAATATACCATATATGGTATATAGGTCCCACGATAGATGGTTAGTCGGCCTCGCCATGGTCTTATGGCCTACACCGACCCTAGTTACGATATCGAAATCCTGACCCCCCCTTGATTGATCAAACAAGTATGAACATGAGACTCGACAAGGTTGTGGATCGCAGTCAAAGGGGATTGTCGAAAGAGCAGCCAACAGTTACGATGCGGCGCCAAAACAATAATATAAATGCGAGGCGCTCTCATTTTTACATAACGAGAGCAATATTTCAAGCCAATGAGGAGACGGGGACTTTTTTTTTGGAAAAATAGAGACAAAGAACGAAGCAACCAATCAAGACCCGAATAAACCGGGGTTAGCCAATGAGTGGCCTCGAAAGTGTGCCTGTACCAGCGCCTAAAACAAGAACGTACAAACGAAAGCCTCCATTTCATTTCGGTCTCGTAACCTGGTCTGACCAATTTGATGGTCGGGTCATGACACCAGGTCGGCCTGACCTCGACAACACTGCCGGCGACAGTCATCGAGAATGCTGATAACGAGAAACGAACGCCTGGACGTAGAACCCCCTCTGCTTCTTGTGCTCAACGACACCAAGCATCTGGAATCGCCGTGGGTGTGTTCGCTGCCTTCGACTCGGATGACGCTTCGTCAGATTCCGAGGGCCGTTAATTCCAACATCCAACAAACTGATATCACGATCGCGATAGATGAGGCCGCCCCTTCGGAATTGTCTAATGATGGTTGGATTATGGGGAGTCGCAATGCAAGAGAAGAACACATGCGTACCAGAGGATAGCAGACGTCTGATGCACAGTGAAAGGCTCCTCCCTGCTATTTGATCGACATAACGCCTAATTTCCCCTACATTGCGACGGATTCCCAGAGGCGAACGTTGGACCGCATTCATTCTTATAAGCTTGTAACAATGCCTGTTGAAACTTCTCTCTTGTACCGAGTATCGGGCTGATCAGAAACGATGAGAGAAGAGCGCGAAGTGCGTCCGCCGAGACCGCGGGCTCCCATTCAAGCATTTAAAGGGGACTTCGACCTGCGGTTGCAGTCATGAGCAGCACCACAAGCATTGCGACGCGCACCAGGAAATGTCTTCTCTACAATGTTCAGTGGAAACCGGGAGTCGAGATACGCGCTGGAGTTGCTCAAAGCGGTAATTGCGGCGAGCGACTCACCTGAAGCCTGTGACCATAACTTATTCTGGGGCTTGCGAATGGAGTCGAACGGATGAGTTTGCAGCTACAGAGATGATACATGGACAGTGGCTTCTCTGCCTCAGAGGGTTAGGTTATACTCGTACTCGCTAGCGCTACTTGTCGCAATCCACAGCACGACTGCGGAGAGCATAAGGGCAACGTTCTGGGAGACATTTGCGTAGCCATAGTAGGTGAACTGCTCCGAGTAGTCCTCCAGAATGTACTTGAGAATCAACACAGTCTGCAGAAGGCTTCGGCGTGAACGTTCAGTTCAGGGAGAAGAGGTTTACGCACAATGCTCCCAGCCAGCCCGCCAGCCATCAACGCAAACCCGATGAACAAGAACAGCCTCGCCCTCCAGACAGCCCTCGAGTCCCCGAACCCTTCTTCACCCCTAACACGATCCTTGTCGATGAGGACTATAACGAAAAATCCGAGTAAAGAACATATTCCGGGAACCCAATCAACGAAAGTGACGTGAACAGGTGGGGGAGGATCCAAAGGTTTCTTTGCATGCGCAGAGAGTATAGCGGCGTCCAAGAAAGTCCAGTTCGCCAACGCAAACTAGAAAACGTCAGGGAATGCCCCATTTTGACGAGCAAGTCTCTCACCAGAGCGCCGGCAATATACACTCCAATCGTTCGCCTATGCTTCCCAAGGGTAAATTCAGGGAATGGATTGAGGCAAACCCGTCTAGGGTCGTAGCTCGACCGGGGCAACGACATGATTGATGAATTGGTAGATATCAGTGGAAGTTGTGGAGGAAGGGATGGTGGTGTTGGCGACTGGCGACCAAATTGAGGTCCGTGGGAAATGTCGGGGCGCTGGTGGTCCGCCGGTTCATCATCCGCGTCTCGTCGTACCTCAATCTCAACATGAATTTCTATGGGGGTCGTTGGCGTACGAGGCGAGCTAGAGGTTTGCATGGCAGTCTTCGCTGACATGCCCCGCCTTCTATGTACCTGATGGGTCCAACTTGGATCAAGCTTCCGGGCGCCGCCAGCGTCATGGATGCTTCTATTAATGCTAGTTATGTTTACAATGAAGGGCTGTAGTGATGTGTTGTTGATCATGGCATCTATCTGCATCTTCGTCTGATCCACAGGCCCACGGACTGGACACACTGCACGGCTACACGTCGTGGCGAATCCTGGGCGATGACTCGGAAGAGACAACGAAGGGTACGATTCTCATCCGCACACAGGACGTCATAAAGTAGACCTCGCTTGGATGTTCAAAGTCAAATAGTAGCCTCAGCAACGGTCTTGCCGTTCCGTTGACATTCTACCAATGTGACTATGTGGACCTACCGAGAATCTATTTTTCATACTGGCAAAAAAACGACGCTCATATGTCTCTCAAATCTTACAGTATAAAACAATCAGCATCGGACGACGTACCTTCCATATGATCTGAAGGTTGAGAATTACCTCTACGTTGCATCGATGGATAGTAGGGAGATTGCGAGACGATGGTCAAGGCCAACTATCTCCTAGAAGAGCTTTTAGTGGATGTGGTGAAATGTGGCGTGGTCGACATGCAATATGGTAGACGTTGTCGTCTTCGGGCCGAGTGATGCCCAAACAATCTAGCCACCAGTTGGAATTTCTTTGGTCACTGATGCGACGTTCCTCTCGAAACTGTGAGAATGCTAGGATGCTATCGGGTAAATGATGATCATGTATTGGTGTTGGATAGTGAGATTATGAGCCTGAATATGCGCCACGGTCGTTCACTCCGGAGAAGATGCATGGGGTCCCGCAGGCTATACTAGATATTCTGTTCCAAGTTGTGATCTATGTGGCCCCCGCGATAGTGGATCAACAATCCGTAAATGAGTGTCCTGCCCTTGTTCAGTCTTAACGACTGCGTTCTTAGACGACGATGCCGAGGTGGAATTCGGTGCTACGGAATGGAGAGACGCGCCGATGGGAATGGTTAGTGTGCTCCTGATATATAGAGTCGCCTTGGTGAATGGAGTATGGACAAGGGAGGGAGTCCGATGTAGGTAACTCGGAAGACGTTTTGGCGGTAGCCTATCTTGCCCCGCAAATCGCGAGGGCGAGAACGCGTACGAGGCATCGTTTCTAGGTAATCACGACTCGGTAAACCCGGGCTGCATAATAATCCGGGCTACGCGATGATCCCAAGTATGAAAGCCTCTGGTGATCAACCTCAGAGGCACGAAGTTGATTTCGGGGTGCATGTTGAAATACAAGGTCGCTGGTAACTTGGTAACTCGGAGAGCCATCTAGGAGGCAAGAGGATGCGTCAATGCGTTCCTTTCAAAAATACAAAGTCAACAAGGGGAGACACGAACGGAGTAATACGCGTTTGCCAACTTTATTGAAAGTCATTGGCGCCCTTTCGAGCTTCGATTTCAGAAGCTTCGCTCGCAGGTTTGAGGGAGTGGGAAGGATCGCTTACTAGCGCAGCGTACGTGTACACCAGAGAGCATCCCCTAGCATCCCGTGCCGCGGTATATGGGTGACAGCTAGAATGCAAGGCACATTTCCGCTCCAAGCCCGTGTGCGGTGAAGCAACGACGAGGCGGTGTGCACTCAGAGAGCAAGACCTGGAAGCACGAGTCACTGCATAGAATTGAATCGCCGTCAACCTTGCTGAAGCGCTGAAGCTTCAGCTTCAGGTTTTCAGGCATGATTCCAAGAGTCGTCCACCCACCGTTCTGTTTCTTCCGCGCCGAGTGACTTCTCCGAAGATTGGCTTCTGGCCCACGTGAAGCCATTTTCACTCCGTTCATCAGACTTTCGAATGTTCTGTTCGAATGACCAGCGCCATTTGAACCGAAGAGGCTGCTAGAACAAAGCTACTTCCAAATCCGAGCATAAGCAACGGGCTGTAAACGGATAAAACTACTTCGACGACCCTAGTAGGACCCCATGCACCATTAGCTGTTTCTCATCACCGCCCCGTTCGCCAGGACTGATGCTGGTTGAAGTTTTGTAACCGTGAGAAGATGATTTTATGATTGATGATCACAGTTTTGAAGGGGAACGGGTATTCGGGGGATTGCCGAGGAAGCAATGCTCTGGCGAAAGGGACCTTGGGAGGATTGAGTTATAAAGATCTGGAGAACAATAGCGTCCTTTTGTCTGACCCCCCAGCGATTCCCTATTGTTGCCCGAGTTTAGGCAACGACACCGACTCTGGGACGAACGACTTGTTTCCGTTATTTGTATTCCACCCTTAGACTCAGCAATGCCGGCCGTTCGATTATCTCGCAGAAGGCGTTCCTCTCTTGGTATTTGTGAGTGGAATTTAAGACATCTGCCTCAGTTGAGACTGATCTCGGGCGATAAACCTATAGCACTAACACCCGTCAAGCCTGGCAATTACGGAATCTACTCACCACCCGCTCGACCTGTCACCTTTGCACCGAACGTAACGCCTGGCACGTACGTTGAGCCCGAAGACGATGAGGACAACGACGGCAACGAAGATAACTCGTCACCAACATCGGCGCTCTTCCCCCCTTCGGAAGTACCTGCCCCTACCCCAGCTCGTAGACGTGTCCCTCCCGGAAAGCGGCGGTCGCTGGGTTATATCCCCCGCCCGCCCAATGCTTTCATGCTGTTCCGTGCAGATTTCGTCCGTCAGAAGCACGTTCCTGGATCGATTGAGACGAACCATGGATCCTTGTCCAAGATCATTGGTGAGTACGTCTCTGGAGTTGCTTGAAGCCGATCGCTGACTTCTCGATCAGGCAATTGTTGGAGAGCTCTTCCCCTTGACGAGAAGCGTGTCTGGGAAGTAAAGGCAAAGCATGCGAAGGCTGAGCACAAAGCCCGCTATCCCAACTACCGCTTCCGCCCCGTTCACAACAAGAACAAGGACAAGAAGAAAGACAAGGCTCAGACGACGCCCGACGATGAGCGCCGTTGCGAGGAGGTTGCTCAGCTCCTACTTGAAGGCAAGAAAGGTGACGACCTCGCCGCTGCGGTCCGTGATCTTGACCGTCTGCGCTCGCGAACGCCGCCGGCACTCCCCCAGTCGCACCACGCACTTGCTCCCCAGGAGTTTGGAATCTACGCCCACCGCCGCTCTTCCTCCGTCCCACTCCCAAGCGAATACTTCCCTAACATGTATTTCTCCCATGGCCACGTTCCGTCAAACCCTATCGCCCTTCCTTCGCTCCCTCCATTTTCTTCCCGTCCTGCTTCGCCGGTGCGAAGTATATCCCGATCACAGCGCATGATGCTTGGACAACGCCGTGCTTCCAGTGCGCGCCCGGCAGCTATGTTCCGCTCATGGACCATGCCCACCCCGGCTACTCTTCCTCGTGACGATTCCCCATTACCGGAGCCCGATACCTCTCTGTTCGATCCCACTTTCCTCGACTCTTCCTTCTCTTACCCCATCCACGACGGCTCCACCATTGATGCTTCCCACGCCCACCCTTTCACCGTTAGCAGTCTGATGAACAACATTCCGAGACAGGCACTTGGTCCACTCGACACTGTTCCTCACTCCGTGGAATACGATCTCTCGCCAAGTGATACATCGCCGAGCTCATTCACCGGTCTTTCCGCATCATCGTCGACCCAAACATTGCCAGAGGTGGACCCACACGGATGGTATCCCCTTGATTCTTCCCATCAAGCTAATATTACATCATCGTATCCATCGACAACATATTCCGGCTCTCCTGATCATTCTGATCACGTCCTCCTCCCCGTTGTCCACGCCCCCCAGCCACAGGCCGTCAATCACGCGATGCCCTTCGCTGATATGTGGTCAGAGCACGCAGGCCAGTCTGGCTACGATGGATCCGCCCCAATGATGGGAGGAGATCATAACCAACAGATGATGGGGCTGTTCGCTAGTCAGGCTATTGATCAACCAACAGGATGCGGGCAAGAAATGTCTCAAGGGTACGATCCCATCTTTGACCATGGTTTCGAACAGAACTGGGGCGCCAATTACGAATATAACGACATCGTACACCACGCTTAACGGATTTGCTCAGCATCGCCTTTGTTTTCTCTCTTTTCCCTAAACGCCTAGTACCCTTCATCTTCGGCAGTGCCTCGTAATTCTTTGATCCTCAGTCATCCTCTTCCTTCTTGATCTCTCGTACGTCTCAGCGCATCATTTAATCGTTATACCGCCCATTCCACCCCGTGTAGCCATATTTACGCCTTCTAAGGCGGCCAGCCTGAACTATATCTATATCTGAACCACTGTAGCCTTTGATCTCTGCTTTGATATAACTTGGGATTCTATTTATCATAGAACTTGTCCTATAGTGCTTTGTTATCCACAAAAATGTATTGCTGTTTCCCTTGTTGATTTCATCTCGTGCAACCGGAGTGATGTTGCGTCTATGCCGATGTTGCGTCTACACCAGACGTTTGATCATCAAGGGTCTTTCCTAAGTTTGCTGAGACACAGAAGGCTGGCTGCATCGCCATACAAATTACCGCATCTTTCGGTGGAATATAACAGCCTTGTGGTCCAGCACGAGGCAATCGTGAACATGAGCGCATTAAATGTACGTACGTAGCTATTCCTAAAGAAATCAGGACAAGATGGTCGGCGCGCGATGGTTCTAGACTTGATCCCGTCTACGCTGGTCACTCAGCAGGGAAATAGACGCAACACAAGTAGTTGGACTTTTTCAATCAAGAACACTGGAATCGAGCCTACGTTGGCGATGTTTAGCAGAGATATCCATATCAAAATAAATTATGATGCGTAAGATACATAACATGGGATTTACTTGATGCAAGTCGAGAGGGAGAGAGTGAAGACGCGTAACAGCCAGAGCAAACTAGGATACATAGCAAAACATAGCACACATGGCATATTGGAATAAGAGTCTCGATCTTTGAATACTAATGGGCGAGACGGAATGTGTCATTCATATCCTTTCAATCAAAAGGAGTCAGCCAAGTAGCTCGTAGGTGGGATGTCTTTCGACGCACCAAAGGCTTATGGCTGGATAACTGTGGATCCTGGAAGTTCTGGGTATCCAGGATCATACCGTCCGAAGCAGACCTGGAGAACACTCGGCCTTTGGCCTCCTGCTTCGCTCGCCAGGTCTTTACGTCCGTCTTCCACTGCTTGCTTGATGAATGAACCTTCATCGATAGATCGTGTAGTTTATGGCTGAGCATGACCGCAATTCAGGAATTGTCGGAGAAGGTGCAAGTTGGAACGACGAACCTCAACAGCACCATCAACTTCTGGTAGGATGGATTGGGATCTTGACCTATGCATTCCAGTTGTAGGCTGATGAGAAGTCAAAGAGGGTACGATACTTACTGAGTATTTCAATCAAGGCCTGGGAATACCAGAAAAAAGTAAGCGGGGCCATTGAAACGAGTACGGAAACGGTGCATACCGCTGTCATCGAGTTGCCATCTTCGGCTTCCCAGGTACTCTGCTCATCTGTACAGGCCCCGATGGAGATCTACGATGAGTGATCAGACCACTGCCTTCCGTAGACCTCATGTACTCTTACGACATTGGCTAACAAGGCCTCGTCTTGCGCATCGCCCTTTTGCTCTCTGCAGTCGCCTGTGCAGTACTGGCCTATGGGAGAATCGCAACGAAGGATCGGGGACATATTCGAAGGCCACCAGTGTGGTTGCTGCGATTGTGGTGGGGCTTCGCTCGAGGCAACGAATTCGGATTTCAGTTCCACAGATTTGACGTTGATAGACAGACGCTTCAGACGTGCCGGGAAGCCCTCAATGGAGCGAACTTTATCAATTGAGGTGCGCCGGGAGATAACTTGCCCGGACGATATTCGTTGGTTCTGCCAGACGCGGCGTGATGCGACTGAAGTCACTCTTTCGTCAGCAGGGGAGGAGTTCCTGATAGAGAATAAGGTACCGACCTACTGCTCTTGTATCGTCCATTGCGAGCCGTTTCACTGGCGGCACATGTCAGTCTTGAGGGAGGTGGAGGATTCACAGCGCGAACTCACCTTGCTTGCTCATGAGAGATTGGGATCTGCGTTTCCCCTTCGATATCCACGGTACCCATACTCGATTACAATGAGAGTGGTAAAGGTCTGATAACACTGTCATCAGCTAGCAGGCGTAATGGGGTTGTAGGACAAACCTAGCAACGATTCGGAGTGGCACGAATCAAACACAGCCTTGAGGGGAATGAGTTGATAATGCGGACAATGTACGAGGTAAAGAACCATACGATGAGGTTACTGCCGACTGGGAGGGGGTCCACAAGGCGATGCTTGAGTTCCTGGAAGGCCGGCGCCGTTGGTTCCTGCCAGAAGACTTGAAACGAGATGACGTACATTATCTATGATCCAGTGTCTATCGTAGGTGTCCCTTGCGTCCGAGGGAATGATGCCTACGTCGAAATGTTAGGGAATGAAGAGATCATTGAAAGAGATTTAGTGGAAACGTACATTCATCCAATCCATCTTCCTCGCTGTTGGTTCGATTCTTGACTTGGCCACCATGCCCGCAATCTACAATCGATAATGAGTTGGTAGAGCGTAGAACGGGGAAGGCATGGTCACGCACAATGAAAGAAAAACGTGTCCCGAGCTTGTGCGTCTTTAATGAGGTTGTCGATCTCGCGAAGCTTGCAAAGAAATGAGACGGGGCATATCTATGGGCTCAAGGGAAACTAACGATATTTTCCCTCGTAGGCTGCTCGTACCCCTCGGCGTCCATCAATATAGTGATATGCTCGCTCTTGTATCCGTACATTTCTGCAAGATGTCCGCGCTTGAGATTCGCGATACCAAGGCCGGGGAACGACTCACCCATAAGCAGCTTCTTCATCGCTTGAACGTCTCCATGCGGACCCATTAACTGCATCCCCCGCTGTCCTTCAGCCTGACCACTATAGTTTATGCCTATCAGGAGGGCCTTCCTCTGCGGTTCTCTCCGCGTTTCAATCTTCCCTTCTACAATCGTGACATCGAGAAGAGTCTCAGCGACCGCTTTCCGACGTCTGGGATAAGTTCGACCGATCTTCATTGGTGAAATTCGAGTAGCAGCGAAGGGGATGAAGGGAACTGATTGAAGACCAAAAATCACCCTGTGTGGCTCGTATTTGTCTGTTGCATGTATTTAGGGTGTGCAGATGCTGTAAAGTGTCAAGGAGAGGGCAGTGTTCGATATGAGATTCGGAATGCGTACAGAGCAGAGCCCTGACGACTCACTCGTCCTTGTCGATAACTCTTTAAGGAACAGGAGCGTTCGGGAAGAAAAGTATACGTAGATCTGCGTTTCAGCTCTTGACAACTGATGCCTGCGGCCGGATTGACTTTTGCTAGTGTACCCGGCGTACTTTGAGTCTCTGGCCGAAATCAATGCACCATGTGCACGAGTGATCCCGGCGCTACACCTTGTCATTAGCCCAGGGTCGTAGCGGCGCGAGGGCAGGTGGTTAGCGGTGGTTAGCTGTGGTTGGACCACAATGCTGTAGAGACTGCAATATGCAGAAGGTGAGTGCCCCGGCACTACGGGTGGGAGTTTACAGGTCAGGCGTACTTCTTTCGTGGAAGTGCCTCTGACAATTAATCTGCGGTCCAAAGAGGCAACATTCAAAAGCTGGCAACGATGCTTGAGCTTAAGCTATGGTTGGTAAGCAGCTTCGAGAAGCTCCCAAGTGAAGGTAGCGCGCCCAAGTCTAGAACCCCCTGACTCCTAGAATACCTCCTATTGCGTTGGGACCACCACCCCCACTTGCGCCAACGGTCAGAACGATACGCCCATGTCAGGTTGTAGATGGGAGCCAGCACTCGGCCTGTCCAGCCTTGCGATACGAGCAAGTTCTGCCTCACTGCCGTTACCCACCCCGCTGAATCCCTGGCGGTGTGATCAAGGATCGCCAAGGACTGATGATGCGCCTACAGGCACCGCCGCACCGCTCGGAATGCCGGTTGTATGTATATGAAAGAAATTACTACGACACGCCAATCTCCTCTTGTCTTTCCCCCGCCGATGTGGATTCCAGGTCTTTCGTCGTTTTCTTGGGAAGTGTCACGAAGAAAGCTTTTCCGACGAAAAGGTGGTGGTGGAAAAGGCAGGGGTGGTGAGTTGGATCCTGCACCGAAACCTTCACGATCTCACAATTGACGTGCGTAACAGGGAGGACAAGTAGCTCGTCGTCGGGCGGGACTAGCTCTGGCGGAAAGACATCCGGCTCGTCTTCGTCTTTCGGGGGTTCTTCAAGCTCCTCAAGTTCTTCGTCAAGCTCTGGGGGCCGATCATCCAGCTCCTCTTCTTCTCGGTCCTCCAGTTCTCGTTCAAATGGAGGGACGAATAGGGTAAACACCATCCCAGCTGGACAGCCGTTTGCCGGACGCACACAGGGCGGGGGGACACGCGCCTCAATTTTTGGTACTAGGTCAGTCAGATCTTTTCCTTTTCTTTCTGGATCCCCTGATTCATGGTGTGTCATAGGCAATATGGTAGTGGATATCCGGGGGTCACTGGACGCGGCGTCGCTGGACGTGGCTTCCCATTTTATTATTGGCCTATTGCTTGGGGTGGTGTTGCTGGTGCTGGGACGGGAGCATACCTAAGGACGAACGAAGTGAGTGTATACTGGCCGTTAAGCAGGGCGTGCAGAAATTAAAACTTATTCCTTATCAGTATGGTAATCCTGACAATAACACCCGCCCCGGCGGTCCTGAATATACAGCAGCATTCATTGCCAACTCGTCCGCTGCATCTACGTTCCGTCTTATTGCCGACAGCAATACCGTGACCAGTCTAATCGGCGACCTGATGGCCAGTTGTTCTTCGTATCTTTCCTCGGTTGTACCACCCCAATCCTCGCCACTGAATTCCTCTGCGCCCGACGCGCCCCAACCTGAACAAGCCGTGCAATACTACCGCGCTTCTAGTGTCGTCCTCACCCTCGACGGCTACAACAACACCGCTGTTTATGGTGACGAGGGCACGGCTGATCTTCCCCTTCCCGATATTGTCGTGGACCTGAACGCCAACGACGGCAAGTTGTTGGGCTGTCTGAATCAGACGATCGGAAACGCTGTGCCGTTGATCGATGGCGCCCCTGCGAAATGGTCTCCTGACGGAGGCGTGCTGGCTTTGATCGCACTTGTATGGTCTATGAAGTTCGCCCTGGGCTGGGTATAACCTACGCACAGCAGATTGCATGGCGTCATCGTGCCATTTGTTTGTACTGGGACATTCTCTGCTCCCTCTTTTTGTACTCCATGATATATTGTATCATCACACTAGTATCCTCTCCACGTTCGTTCGATATACCCTACGCTTGTAAGCTTCCTTCGGGACATTCTGTGGTGCTTCTTCCTGTCCTTGCTACGTCTCCTTGTGTTTCTTTATCTGTCGATGGACGACGTACATATTATTCTGCACGGATTGTCTCCTCCAGTCACTCCCTTTCGATTTGTCACACCAAGCACGCATGCATTAGGACTATGTTCCCAGTGATGTCTAGCAATGATTCTTCTGATAGGCGCAAACATTTAGTCTCCTGCAGCAAATTTCCGTCACTGTAGCCTAAAGTACGGGAGCCGACCACGTTACGAATCAAGCCCCCGCCCGACGGTTATCCAACTAGTAAGGTTAGCCCTACTCGTTGAACTTTGAAGGGTGGCATGCTGCCTGCATCAGACCTCAACGTGCACTTCCTGTCACACGACCCAATATCTCGATAGAAGACTGGAGCTGCAGGCTGCGGCTGCGGATATCTAGCCTCCGCAATAGTTGCATCATGGAGCTGGCTGGAATATCGCCAACCTTCTACTTGATCTTCTCAGTCCGGAAATGGCAGGTCATATACTTCTTCGGGATCAGATACCTTCGTGACGAATCTACTGCCAGCACCTCGACCGCTGGCCAACGTCCGACGAAGGTCTGGCGGTAGCGGCAGCAATAATTCGCCCGCCTCCCCGAAGCTAAGTAACCTAAATCTGAACGCGCTGCGTAAAATTCTGGCTGCCAGCACCCACCACCGCCAAATATGCCCCGTCACTTCTGGGCCAGGAGCACACTAGTCGCGCACTACACTGGATTCTGCTAGTGTACAAAAATTGATTGTACCAGTCCGTGAGCGGAATAGCTGAACGGCTGTGGAATCGAGTTAGCCGTATAAATAATGCAAGCGTCCCCATCGACTGCTCCCCACCCCTCCTTTCCTCAGTAGAGCTTCAGTAAGTTCCAGCATTTTATTCATCTTGATCCCTATTATCCGCCAAGCTTTCGAACGGATTTCTCATTCGCTTGTCTTTGAAATAGATCATCTACCGTCGAGACAAAGCAAACATGCGTGTAATCTCATTCATAGTCATCGCTTTCGCTGCCGTCTTCGCCGCCGCCGCACCTGCTGAGGACGCCGCCGACCACCAGGACACTGCCAACTGGCACCGTCACCACCACCATCACCACGGCGGTCACCACGGCCACCACCACTAAATCCCGCCTCTCTGCTTCCTGCTGGGGCTTCTCCGCCGTCCCAAAATACCCGCGCACGCATGCTCAGGCGACAAAGAGAAACATGGCCCGAGCTCGGAAACGGGGTTTACGGACGCTATAGTATTGATTGGGCTTCATCTTTCCTCCTTATACACATGTCCCCATCTCTTATCCCTGTATCATTTCACGTCTCGGCATAACGGATACTTCTCTTTGCTCCCTGCGAGAAGCAGGATATAGCTTACACATTCCTATGTATTTGGCGCATTTGTAATTATATGATTCCATTCATCCTTGAGCGTCTGTAAATCACATTAATTCACAGTAGCGGAGGGACGCTAGCTGCTTCTGTTTCGACGGCTACTGCAACTCCCGCTGATCACTCGTGTCATTCGGAGTCGGAATCTCCTGGCAGTCCACTCATCCCTATCTCTAGCTGGTCTTTCCAAGCAGCCGCGAACTCGTCTATATCACGTCCACTGCTCAGAGTCAATGTGTCGAATGGTATCATATTGTGTTGGTGCGCAGGTGAATTCGAGTTCGCAGAGGGGTGGGCACGGGAGTCGATGACTTTGAACGTAGGGGTCGATGGACGAGAGAGGTGTATATCTAGCAGTTCTTCGTACGTGAAGAGCAAGGGATCGGTCCGAGGGGCGAACGGGTTGAAATCGATGATGTGCCCGCGCGAGAGATCGCGAGTTAGGAGAAGATCAACCGTGTCTACCGCCAGATAAAACGGGTTAGTCGGCCATCCATTTAATATGGCCAGAAGCAACCCACAATGCCGTATGGAATCCCAAGCATGCCGTATACTGTTCTCCCAGAGTTCTCGGACCGCGGTGAGAATCTTTTGCTGAATCTGCATGTCGTTATAGAATTCGTAGTAATTCGTGTCTCTTTGCGAGATACCTGTCGGGATATTTAATCAAGCTCAGCCATGTGAGCGAGAGGGAGTAGGACGCGCCTATGAGTACGTTGTCACGCACGAAGCATCGCACTTCGCGGCTCCTGTCTACAGGATACCATTTCCGAAGAACGAGTTCCAAAGAATAATCTCCGTCGCCATCAAGACAGCCGTCGAATACTGTAGCCTCGCTGAGATCATGAGTAATGAAGTCCGAAGATTTAAGCAATAGATAGACATCGGAGGGTGTAGTACATTTGAGAGGAGATGATGCGGGAAGGACCCAAGAAGCATCCTACAATGGACAATTTGATGCGTGAGGATCACGCAGCGACGATCATGAAAACGATCTCACCTTGGGAGCCGAGAAATTCAGCTTCGGGAAAACGGCGCCATATTCTTTTATACACATTCTAATCTTATCGTCGAGCTCTGGGAAGGCATATCGTCGCGGTGGTGGTTCATCGCCTGATTCGTGCTCGCTCCCCGCTTCTTCTTCATCCTCCTCACTGCCTCCTTCGTCATCAGAGAGGGTACTCCTCACCGGTCTATCATCACCAATGATGGTCGAATCATCAGCGATCAATGGCACCTAAACTCAGTTCCATCGATGTCGCCACAGCGAGGCCATGCCACTGACATGTCGTCGGATCCTTCGGGTACGAATACACCATCTGCATTGAGATATTCCTCAAAGTCTTTGGATAAGGGTCGAATAACGGTGGATTTGATGGAGAGGCGGGCGAATTCCGGGTACCACGAGGAAAATTGGAAGGACAATATGGCATCTTTGCTAAGGTCGGGGAATAGAGGTACCATGGTGCAAATTTATGGTGAAAATGTCGTCGCCGAAACCATGGGTACATAGGCGCTCGAGCATTGAGATTACCGAATCGATTAGGCGCTCATTGATCACATTCTTCAACTTCCACCGTCAAAGAGGACGCATACTGCCCCAGTAGTAGTACTCAACTGCTCTAGCAACGTGCAAACGAGCACCCCTGCCATGGCATCGTCTTCACATGAAATCTCATGAGGCTTCTTGAGGCTTCTTAACAGCGATCGCTAGTTGAGTTGTGAGACTCGCAACAGCATCATGTTTCTGAAATGATCGTTTAGAAATTGGTGTCAACGTAACCTATCTTAGGGAGCACTCAAGAGCTAGTACGACGCGCGGAACTGTTGGCGTCGTTAGTGGCCATCAAGTACTAGGATCTTGTCCTGATCCTGAATATTGAATTCTCGCTCTGGGTCTGTCCCCGTCTTTTGGCTTCCGATGCGGGCAGTTTCAACTGCCGGAGTGCGATTCAGCCGGTCACAGTTCTTCGGTCTGGGGTACGTTAACCACCCCTTGCACCCAGCGTCAGTTGACTATACGACATTAGCCTCCTATCAGACCATCATCGTCAACAGCATGTCCGTAGCTGAGGCCGAGGTCACGACGGTGATGAACATTGAACGAATACACCAATTCCCCTCAGTCGTGGCGCTTAGAATCAGGAGTTCTGGCGATCGTATCAACTGCGGTCTAAGAACTGTGATATTTCCCTTCAAACTTGTGAGGTTGACACATCTCATAGTATCACTCGCACTCATCTGTTGGCTATTAATGTTAAAGCTAAGGGCCAACCCCTCCAATGTTCAGCGCCTACGTTGACAAGCAAATGGACTAGGGACACTAGGCTTTGAAATATCAAAATATACTACGCGTCTCGTACCAAGTAACGGCTGCGCAATTTGATGGTACATTTGGTTTGGCGCAATTGAGAATGCATTGGTCGCAGGTGGGCGCTGTCCGCACAGGCTCCATATTTAGGGCTACCTAACAACGGGGTTGCAACGGAATCAGATCGTCAGGGTTTCTATGTCGGTGGTTGATAGGTATCAAATATACCTCCTTACGGCATGTGGCTGCGCTGGCGCATCCGCGCTACATATATAAAACGTTTCTCATCCTCCAGGTACACGTCGGCGAAAATCCTTCCACCTGCGCATGCGACCCAACAGACAAGTACATTTCTCATCGACGAATACTTTGTACACTTTCATCACTCAAACGCCCGAAGCTACGCCCCTTCTTACTGCCAAACGCCCTCTGGTAAACGACTCCCCTAAAGTCACCAAGGCACCTCGAGAAAAGTCTCGAGTTTATGCGGCAAAAGAAAACCACGATTTCCAACGACATTCACGACGCCTATCATTAGACTCCCAACTCGACCAACACCGATCTACCTTTCTCCACTTCTTGTTAGCGCCCTCTTCGGACCCACACATCATCTATGATGTATCTCTTCCTCCGGAAACCCTTGCATGCCGCTATCCGTCGTCATTGCTTGCTGAACCGGCCACTTCTCCCGCAGTTCCAGTCCTCGTGATCGAGAGCCCGAACTGCCCATGGCCCATTACTGTCATCCCTTCTTCGTCGCCGAGCCCTTTGTTGCTGGCTTACGGCGCCGTCGTCACGGTTTGGGATGTTCTGAGCGCGATTCATGACGCGCTCCGTCCTCCGGTCACCCTCGAAGAATATCACGCACTACCCTCTCTTGAGGCGACCCAGAGAGTCAACCTCGCTTACTCAAAAAGATGCAAGCGAATCCAAGGCCTCGAAGCTCGCATGGAAGAGGGCTTAAGAGGCGTTAGAAGGGTAGACTTTCTGGGAGATGCCACGCGCTTTATGGGATTGGCTACCCACACTTCCGCCGGGCATGTGTGGAAACTGGTCGTCTCGGCTTAGAGTCATCCTCATACACTTCGTTCTCGCTTTCGAATGCTTTCGCGCTGACCTATCATTATTTGTATAAACTATCAAAAACGCTAGACTTGATGAACAACTTACAATACACTGTACAGTACTACTTAACGATGCTCCTATCCTCCTTTCGACCCCTGTGATGCTTCTTCGGCGATCGAGCCCGGATGGTTGTTTCTTTCTCTCGTCCATCTCATCTCGGATCAGGCCATGGCGAGCTCAATTTCTCTTTGAAAGAGTAACCTGGTACCGGACTCAAATGTATGGACCCATATGCACCAAGAACGCGTCCAGGGTGCCACCAATGGACATGGCGACTAGTGATGTCTTGACTCCTCCTTGTTTTCTGTCAGAATGCCGTTGGCGCTATCGAATGGACAGTGCCTGAGGCCTGATCCTCCATGTAGGACGAGGTAGTGGCGAACGCGATTCCTCTCTGAGAGTATACGTTATTCCGGTGAACGTCGAGGTACCAATTTTCTCACTGGTCGGGAACCTCCAAAGCAACACCAATGGATTTTGGACGATAAGGTCGTACACGACACACTGCGGTACGTACCTTACAGCTTGCCTCGAGTCCTTCAGAGATGCTTCGTGGTGCCTTAGAATTCCAATGTGGAGGTATGTAGGTCCCAAGCGCAGCAGAATTATACTTTCTCGCAGTGAAGGTTGAGTTAATCATATCCTGTATCCAACACTATTAGGTGTATTTATATTCTGAGGAAAGTGCTTGTATTTTCTGTCGTTCTGCACTCGACTTCCCCCCAATGTCGCATCCTCTCCACTGGCCTGGCCACAATATCTACTACTATCCATTAGGCAACACACCGCCAACATGCCTTACAGAATATACTTCGTGCGATGCCTCGCAAGTAAACATATTGCTGATGGGGTGCGGAGACCCAAGAAACATCTTGTTCACGCTACTCCACGATTTCGCCGGTGAGCTCTCCGTGCTGGAGACAAAGAGATGGCTGGCTTATGAAGTATACAACACAGCACGCCAGCGTTCACTTGATTTCACTTGCTGCGATGTGGAACCTGCGGTTTTGGGTGCGTCTCTGATTGCGGCCCCCCTTCTACGCCTCACTGAATGGTCTTCAAGCGCGCAATGTTATCCTCTTGACTCTTCTCGTGCAGCACCCGAACGAATGCGAGACGACGTGGGACATATTTTACCACATTTTCATTAGCAAGGACACGCAGAAGCTCTTGCACAAACATTGTCGAGAGCTCTTAGATTTATCAGAGGATCTCGCTTCGTGGGGCGCAAGTCGATATGGATTCATCCGCTTCTGTGATTCTCAAACCATCCAAGAGCTTCGCCGCCACTGGCTCCTCTATGTCACTGGCTGCAGCGATTCTCGCACCAATCAGACTCTCGCGCGCACTTTGCGTAAGGGCATGGCTGATGAATATTTCAAGACCCGAAGCGCGGTCCATCTGAACATCTTGCGCTCGACGGGAATCGCTCTGCCAGAAGCTCTGTCTATGGGAGAGGGCCAATTCGATCGATTCTGGACAAACGGGACGACTTACACCGCTGATACTGCTATATCCAATGCCCAGCTCCCAAACCCGACCTTCTGTTACTCGCTCGCAGGCTCCAGCTTCGCCGTTCACTATGGAACCCACCCCCTCGCAGGCTTCCATCTGGCACCCGCTTATGTCCCCCTTGAAGGGAACCGCCGCCCGAAGAAGGACACTAAACCCACTTTCGAAGGGCTTGTAAAGTTTGCTCGTGGGGAATTCGGTCGGTGGGGTGGCGCTCTGCGTCGGTTCGTATCTTCGAACTGCATCTCTATCAGTTTATTTTGCGGAGACGTCGGCGTCTTCTCTGCGTCCTTACAAGCATACATAGAGAATGGCGACGTGGGGGCATCCATTCAGGGAGGAATAGGGGGGTCGACCGTGTTGAACGAGCAACTCTATTCGCCCTATGCAAAGCAGCGGTCGTCGAAATTGTTCGACATCATCGATACATCTAACCTCGTTGATCACATTGGGCTGCTGAACGTACTGTCCTCTGCTATCCCCCTGCTTCGACACACTCCGAATGCCGTCTTGGTAACGGAAGCCCTACATCCGAAAGGGGAGGACCCGTCCATGGCGTTCCTCTCGCAGCCCGAGCTTGGTGGTAACGCGACCACGATGTCCTTGCTCCTCGGAATATCCCCTCTTGGCACGGTGTCGGGGCTGACAACGTACTCCAACCGCCACGAGATGATGTTTCTAACAGCGAGCTCGGGTGATCCTTCTCAGTTTCACGAACGCGCCGCCTGGCGCCGCACGGCGATATCCAGCGACACACAGTCATACACCCTCGGCATCTCAGTCCCTCACTTGGCGACGCTGCTTTTCCATGTCTACCAAAACATGTTCGTTGGGGAGAACCACGCCACCATCTTCGCGAGGATGTCGCTCTCCCCAATGCGATCTGACCGCGTCCGTTACGTCCGCGGTTCCTTCGCCGCTCTTCTGCGAGTGATCCAAGCACGTTTCGCCATTTCCACTTGGAACTCGGCCGTGACTCTACTTCTAGACAAGATAGTGAGAGACAGGGACATACTTATGGGTATGAACTTTTTTCAGGATCTCTATTGCAACCTCCATTTCCATGGCGTGTATATACCCCCAGAGGCCTCGCCAAACTACCTCGCCACGCAAGTAGACGGCCTCGAGCTCTTTCGTGGGTGGTCGGCTCGTCCGTCAATCATGTCCATTGTCATCCAAGTTCCACGCCATAAGCTGAAGCCTCTGGAAGAAAGCGAATACCAAACGCCTGTCCTCTATTGCGACACGTACGGGGGACACAATAACACATCCAATGCCGTATTCTCCTCGGTCAAGGCCGCCTTTGGGAAGCTTGATATCGAGGGTAGCGGCGAGAATAAGGTGCTCCTAGTGCACAAAGACCCTTTAGGTCTACAAGGCACATCCGATTTCATTGTGTGGTTCCGCGTCCCCACTGCATTGGTGTTGGGTGTGTTGCCCCTCCTTCGGAAGGTTTGCTTGACCGTTAGGTCGGAGCCTGCTACAATTTCCCTTGTCCCTCAGCTAGGCTTAGCCCTGCATCTGTTCAGCACCGCCATCGATGACGGAGACCATGTTCACATCGCGAAGGGCGCTGTATTATATCCAGGAAAGCCACAGGACATTCCGAAGCCTATTTTCCACCTTCAGATTGAAGAGCGAAACAAAGTCCCCGTTATCAAGTCTATCTCAACGAGGGTGGACATCATTCAGGACGCCGCCAGATCTAGCTTGCTCGCCGGCGCGCAAGTTTCTACTACCCAAGTGGATCCGACAACCACCTCCTTGCAATTCACCTCGTTCAGCTCAAGGATCTACTGGCCCCTGGTCATCGACAATACTGCGTCCAAAGTCCGCATTGCCAGAAAGTCGGCATGGATAGAAGTGAGCCATTTCTCTACCTATTAATCTAGTCCTAAGCGTGACCTGGGACGTTTAGGTTGAGCTGCCTACTGCCTCATTAGACATCAAACACAAAAACCTGGCTCTTTCCAACGTCTCGCCGTTGTCCAGGGATAGGGGCCAAGTCGCTCCATGGATTTTTCACCGTGTGAGCCTCGCGATTTCTCCGAAGATCGATCTGTCGCGTTCCCATGCTGCTGGGTACATCGCTATGAATTCCACCCTCCAGATGTCCCAACGAGAAATAGCTATTCGTCGAGGAACGTCCGGTACAACTGAGGACTCGGATGCCTTGGTCGAGATGAAACATGGCATCCATTGCATGATCACCGCAGCTTGCGGAATAGATGCGCCGAGGCAAAGCTGTGCATTCACCTTGCGCGCACAGGATGTCGGGATATATTGCATCATCTTTATCGCTGGTGTCTGCCTCGACCTATCGGCCCACACCGTCGTAGCAGACGCGTATGTACTGTCTCTGACGGAATCCCTCGTCGCCGACAATGACCGAATGCCCTATATCCTTGCCCGGTTTACAACCTTCCATAAACAACTTCGAATCAATACGTTCCTCCCCACCGAAGTCTCGGGGTGGAAATGTCTATTGCCTGCCTTTGCCGAGCGCTGCAGAGACTGGGAGCACACAGACCAATGCGACTACATTGTACGCGGTCGCGCACCGTTGAGCGTGGCTGTAAACGATGATCCACTCTGCAGCTGTGGTCGCGGTAAATCTGTTGATACTTTCCTCTCTAGATTCCCGGAATGGAGAGATCTTGCTCCACTGGTCACTAAGATTGCTATCTCGCCTCTCTTCGCTGTATCTTACCTGGACCAAATCCTCCCTTCAAGCGACCGTGACCCTGGAACTACCAGTAACTCCCAATCTCCCGGAGACAGCATTGGTATTCGATGTGGGAAGTGTGGAGGGCCTGGGAAGCCCAGTCTTCTACGTTGCAGCAAGTGTAAAAATATACATTACTGCTCCTCTTCTTGTCAGAAATCCGACTGGAAGGTTCATAAAATAGTTTGTAAATAGCCCTGTCTAGTAGTTGTCGAAATCGCCTGCCCATGCTCCCTTTGACCCCTATGAGGATGATCGTGTGATCGACTTGGAGTGCTTCCGGTTATTGATCCCCAGAAGCCGGACTTGTACAAATACCCCTTCGTCGTGAACAAAATGACAATCCACCATCAACCGCTCTCTACGACATTAAGAACTACAACATGCCTTTATCTCCTCCCCGGCTGTCCGACCAGATATTGCTTTCGTTTCCGGCTGACCATGTGCTTCTAGTGACGTTCAACCGCCCGAAGAGCTTGAACGCCATGAGTGCTCAAATGAGCCAAGATCTCAAGGTCGCCTTGGAATGGTTCGACGAGGAGCCTTCCTTGTGGTGAGTGGCTAGGAGGCTTGTGTGAGTAGCATCACATACTGTGTAGGGTTGTAATTGTTACTGGGACCGGAAGAGCCTTTTGCGCCGGGGCCGACCTTAAGAGGTGAGTCTTGTCACAAGTAATGCAAAGGGTCTGGGGTCAACATAGATATCGTATAGCTGGAACGACAACCAACAATCGGGTAGAACCAATGAGCAGGAGAATGTCGCTAGCGACCTGTATGGCTTTGGTGCAATCTCTCGACGCGCTACATCGAGCAAGCCCATAATCGCCGCCGTCAATGGCCTCGCCTTTGGCGGAGGGATGGAAATGGTGATCAACTGCGATATCGTTGTAGCTAGTGAGGATGCCAAATTTGGACTTCCAGAAGTGAAGCGGGGTGTCGTTGCCATTCAAGGAGGTATAGCTGCCGTATGGCTGTCCTATTCACCGACTCACACACATATTAGGTATCCCAAGGGTGACCGTAGTTTCTGGACGGCAGGTATGAGTCACCTACTTCCAAATTTCTGTCGCCCTCAACGTCCTTCGCAGCTTGCTTCAGAGCTTCTCCTCACAGGTAATCCAGTTAGCGCGCAAGATGCAAGGGATAGATTCCGCTTGTAAGCCCACCAATTGCTCTCATGTTACCTCCGTTGTTGACTTGAAACCTTTTGTGCAGCGTCAACAAGGTCGTGCCCGCGTCCCAGGTCCTTCCTGCTGCCCTTGATTTTGCTAGGCAAATCGTGGAAAACTCCCCAGATGCTGTCCAATCAACCAAGAAGGGGATCACCCTTACGTTGCATTACCCTGTAGACGAGGCGTTCAATGTAAACGTCTGGAGTAACGAAAGCGCTCGTGTTTACAAGGGCGAAAATATCAAGGTAAACTGCTCACGGCTAGAGATGATTTATGTGGCTAATCAACGATAATATTGGTAGGAGGGACTCAAGGCATTCGTTGAGGTTTGTACGCTGCCATCCTTCTTCGATCCTCCTCTCACTCCGGATGTTAGAAACGCCCGCCAAATTGGAAGAACCCTGCGAAGCTATAAACGTTGTTTAGTTATCTACATGTCACGGAAATATTCCTCCGTCACCATGTCGACATGTCCCTGCTCGGGATGGGGATCCCAACCGTTGCTCTATACAGGTCCATGGAATGTGTAACAAACCGCAGGGCAAAATTTTGATGGTATCTTGTAGCGGACCGAGGTGTGTGTATATTACCGGGCACGACGGACAACCTCGAACAACAGCTACCGAGGGATACGATGGGAGAGCAACATGTCCTGCGTTTGACTAGGTTCTCCAGCTAGTGCACAAAGAAAAGGAACAGGAAGCCACGAACACAGATAAAGGCGAAAAGAGTGACTGACTTCTTCACCTATATCATTCGAGGCCATGAGCTCTCAGTCCAGCAACCGCAACAAAGTCACAAACGGTGTCCATGAATTTACAGACGGAGCGTAAGGGCGTAGACATTTACACGGGAGACGACAATAGGAGCATGTTATTTGACAGCCAGCGGATCGAACAACATGTTATGCTCCGCTTGCTCGCGTAGATGGAGGATCACTCTGGAGGTGAGAGTGGAGTGGATAGCTCTTTGAAGTCTGCGGAGAATGAGTATTGAGTCTTTGAGTCGTAATATGTACACGAGTCACAAGGACAGTTTGAGAAGCTCACACTGTAAAAAGGTTGACAAGATCTCCCTACAAATGATGAGAACGGCGATGTCATGATCGCATCGCTGTTGACATACAGGGAGTACCACGATAGTGGCGATATTCATGACAGATAAAACTACGAAGTTCATCAAATTTTAATAGGATCACACTGAGCGATACGAGGATACATACCAAACAATGCGAAATAATATGTTATGCCTTACGGGAGAGCTCAGATGCGGCATTCGAAAGCGGCATCTGCATTAGGCACTCACCATCTCTGTATAGAGTACGCAGTAGCGTAGAAGAGCGCCCAGATTTCGGGAGCATTGGTGTATACGGCTTCGTAACGGCTAAGACCATTAATATCATTATGCCTGAGGCAAGCATTGAGGAATCCCAATGGGAAGCACTGAAAACGGGGATACCCACCGGTATCGTACACCAGAACCAAGATCCAGCATAGATAAAGGTTGATATTTTCAGGGATGATCATGCAACCTCCATATGGTTGGAGCTGAAAGCTGCGTACTGTGATGGATGTTAACTTCGGGCAGTGGTTCGATAGCTAGATTTTAAGTACTATTAGCCTTCATTAAGAATGTTCCAAAAATCACGACAATTGGGGTCCAGCAGCTCAAGTAGAACACGACTAGCGCGGTGCCAGACCAGCGACTGGTCTTCCAAAGCGACCAAGTTCGCATTGTGAGGATGACTATGCGCGTCATCAGCGCTCGGCTCTCACGATGTAAAGTATGTGGGGTCAAACGTACCTTCGGACAGAGCAATGCTGAAGCAGAAGGACCCTAAGAATAGCCCCCCGTTATCATAGCCCGTGTCTCAGGTACAGAGCTACTTACAGCCCGCAAGCCGATCTATGAGAGTGCAATCTTGGGCGGTCATCGAGGGCACAAACTCCGCTGAAAACGGTTGTAAACTACGTTTGGCTCGGTCGTAGGAGAACTCACCCCATAGTGCCCAGGTAATGTCGATGAATGGGAGGTACCGATTGACGAAGAACATCATGCGGATCAGATTCCAGCCCTGCTTTGGCCACAGGTGATGGATCTCCAGTCCCACTGTCAGAAGATAGTCGTAGACCTTAGAGAAGTCAGACGAGGATGATACACCTGTTGTTAAACGCACTACAATAGTTGCGCTTGCGACTATGGGGCATTCAGTGTTTCGCATCACGGATTGTGTTGGATCACATTACAGTCAAGATACTGAAAGTCAGGACGTTAGCGAAGGCGCAAGCGCAAGCGATTTACTTACCAAAACCAGCCGGAAGTGCTCAACACTGGTGGACACATCGGGTCCCTGCATCGTTTGCTGCAAAACTGCAAAGGACTTCCAGGACCGCTGCAAAGTTAATGGGGCACGGTGGATCCGAGGGCAGGAGTTACCTGGCTCACCCACCCGAGTATTTAGAGGTTGCCTTGTCAAGTCTGATCTTGTAATTCCACTCTCAAGTTGGTGACCGTGATGATGAATTTATCTTACCTATGAGATGATTGCTATGCCCACATGTACATATGGAAGCTGCCATTATATTTCATTCAACAGCTATAGGCTGTTTCTTAACGTCGCGATGAGTAATGCAAGACCGGGGTGATCGCTCTGGTGACATGGGGAACCACCTTGTGCCAAACATTGAGATCTTGAGAACTCGAGAAAGAAAAGAGGTGCTCCCACGCCACTCAAGCTGAGTGGTCTCGATGATATCAAGATATTCATATGGTTCTGCTGTCTCCTTCTACGGTTACGGATAGACGATCAAGGTAGTACTTGAATTAAGTATGGGTACCTCTACGACACCCCAGCCTCATGCGAGTCCGTACAACTCTGCGAAGGGGTCCCAGGTTGCATTCGTGTGTCTCTCGTACTCCATGCTGTTAGCAACGTCTGTCGCAAGTTCTTCTCCATAGATCTCTTCTACAAACGCCAACGTCGCGTCTATCCCTGCACTTATTCCAGAACTAGTCCAAATGTTGTCGTCGACTACCCAGCGTGCATGGGTGATCCAATTGACCGTGTTGTTAACCGGTCTCCCTGCCCACGCTTTCTTATTCGTCGTGGCATTGCGACCATCCAACACCCCCGCGTTCGCAGCCAACCACGCGCCGGTACACACGGTAATGAGGTACTTCAGTTGGGGGTAGGTATCCCGAATGAAGCCAACTTCGGCTTGCAAGTCCGGAGCGCGGGTCCCCAATCCACCCGGGACGAGCAGGACTTCGAGGTCTGGCGGCGGGTTGGAGAACGTGTGTGTAGGGAGGATGGACTCGGAGAAGTTGGAGGGGGTGGTCATCGCACGCGGTTTGGTGGAAACGGGGTCAAGTGTTCTCGATATGAGAGAGAGGTTGAGGGGGACTGTCAAGGAGAGTAGGTTAAGGGCTTCGAGGGGCCCGAAGACGTCTAGTGCTTCGAATGTGGGGAAGAGAAGAACACCCCAGTTTACTGGAGGATCTTCATGTTCGTCGTCGCACTGAGCGAAGGTGAACGTAGTTGCCAAGGTGGCCACAAGCACGGCAAGCGATTTCCTGAGACGCATCTCTTTTACGAAGAATCTGTATACTGCGGGGAACGCTCAGTTCTTATATCCAGCATGTAACTCCATCCGACATTTATCCACGGAGGTTCGTCGCCGTAATCCCCAGTTGCTTGGATGATCATGCGCTCGTGAGACAGACGTTGTATTAATCATCGGTGACTTTCTCGCAGTCCCATCCATATGTAACCCGGGTTCATCCCCAAGTAGATTTCAAGTAGCTTCGGCTAACGCTTGGAGCGGTGAACAAGACCGTTTTCTTCGGTGTCTAGGCGGTGAGTTTCCAGAGCATTATCGAGCACATTTACTGATTCAACAGGGTGAACATGGATGGAGTGGCCTACATCTCCCTAAACTACACATGATCAGTCGGCGTCGGTAAACTGCCAACAGAGTTAAGGAAGGGTATAGGGGCGCTCCTGTGTTGGCCGAAATTCAAAGTCCGTACAAGTCTGCGAACGGATCCCTGGTCGGGTCTGTGTTTCTCTCGTACTCCATGGCGTTCGCGATGTCGGTCGCAAGTCCCTCGCCATAAATCTCCCCCACGAACGCCAATGCTGCATCGATCCCTGCACTGATCCCAGAGCTGGTCCAAATATTCCCGTCAACCACCCAGCGTGCGTGGGCGATCCAATTGACAGTGTTGTTCACTGGTCTCTCCGCCCAAGCTGCTTTGTTGGTGGTGGCATTGTGGCCATCCAACACCCCCGAGTCCGCAGCCAACCATGCTCCAGTGCACACGGCGATGAGGTACTTCAATCGCGGATACGTGTCGCGAATGAAAGCGATTTCGTCTCGCAAGTCCTGGCCCCGGAATGAGGAGGACTTCGATGTCCGATGGCGCGTTGGCCAGCGTATGCGTGGGCACGACGGACTGGGTGAAGTTGGACACTTCGCCTAGTACGTGCGGTTGAGTGGGTACGGGGTCGAGCGTTTTGGCGATGAGGGAGAGGTTGAGGGGGACTGTTTCGGAGAGCAGGTTGAGGGCTTCTATGGGCCCGAAGACGTCTAATGCCGCGAAATTGGGGAAGAGGAGGACACCCCAGTTTCCGGGCGGATTGGCAGTCCGAGCAACGGTGAGCGAAGTTGCCAGAGTGGCTACGAGGAAGGCGAGTGATTTACTGAACTGCATTTCTTCTGCTGTGAGTAGTGATTGTTTATACTATCCAGGCGAGGATCCCCCATCTTTATATGGAACGTCGCACCATCTACCACGGAGGTTCGTCGTCGTCTTACAACAGTTGCTTAATGATCGTCCACTAATACTGAATATACAGAGAACAAGGGATGATGTTAATCACTCAACACCCCTCGCAGTGGAATCCATCTGTAAGCCAGCCTCGCACACCCACACGGGTTTTCCGCGCGATGTCGGGCAGTCGTACCCGCGTCAGTGCTTGAGTTGGTGAATGTACACGATATGGCACCATCATGAGCGCAACTGGCCGTCGGATCACTCAAACCAGCCAGCGGTCTCGTCGACGATAGCGCTGGTTCGACACCGGGACATCATGGGACTAAGCTTCAGGCTTGTTGCTACTTGTGGCACGCGGTTCAGTGTTGCGCTGTGAGTTTGCGCTGTTGTCGACGATGTCGTTGGGGCCGGCTGTGCGAGGTCATTATTGCCTCACGTCGCGCCGCATGGTTTGAGAGGTCCCGTGCTTGGCTGCTGCTTAGTCCAAATGTACATGAATATTGATGATGTAGTCCATCGACAGATAAACTACATAGTAAACTAAGCATACTAACGGATCAACATACGTATTTTTACATCGGGTCGAGATCAATAGTCTAATGTCCTTTTTCTCTCGACGATCAAAGCCGATATCAGTATGTGGTCAAAGCAATCGTGGCCCTCTGGGAATACCGTCAGCGTGGCGGCTGGTAGAGGAGGCGATGCGTTGATTGGGGGAGGTACGAAGGAGGCTAGTTGTGTTGAGACGCTGTCGTGCGCGTAGCACTGTTTGAGGTTCAGATTAGTTCGTGCTTGAATGGGGGTAACGGAATTGACTCACAATGCACATTGGTGAGCCGTCGTCAAGGACGTTCCGACAATCCCATCTGAGGTGTACATTTCCGCAGTCCCACGTCCAATGTCGCTGTATTCATGGTAAGCAAGACTGCAGAAGCGGAAGCCCATCAAGACGCACCAAGGAGCCGTTCACGCTAGACAGTATCCGTGATAGACGTGTCGTTATATCCCCGATGGTGACTATCGCCCTCATTTGGGACAAGGACATCCTGATGACAGAACAATAAGCCCCACGAACCACAGAAGTGATTTATATCACTCTCACATACTCGAATGAGCCGACAAAAGGGCCTTGGGCGTCTCCCCCGTGTCGGATCGTGGTAGTGTATGAGATGGGGAGGAACGGGTTGAGGTTGAGCGATACGGAGATGTGGTAGACTGGTTGGGGAATCGTTAACCGTGAAGACGAGGGCGAAGTTGGCCGCGGTGGCATGAGAAGCAGGGAATCGGATGCCCAATCCGTGAATGTGTATACGAGGGCATGCGATGGGCGGGTGTGCAGCGAATACCTAAACGTTGATTTCAGGACGCGGCCACGGGCAATAAAATATGGAAGTTTACTGAGGGGGTCTTGAGTGGGATGCATTCGATACGGCGTAGCTGCATGGAAGGTTCACTTCGATGAGGGGATTCAAGACGATAGAAGGATAGTGCAGACCTACTCAGGCAAGCCCTCCACTTCGGGATCCAGCTCATTCGGGGAAGTTGTTCGCGGGATAGGTTCTTTTCTGTCGTTCATTGGCGTCTATAGCAGATGAATGTGGAAGCTCACCGATTATCATCACTGAAATCTGGATGAATAGTAAATATTGTGTTAACTGTAAGTAAGGAAAGGAAGCGCTCGAGTGGTCATGCCGAAAGCGCCTAAATTCGGGACGGCATGGCGGCCCGGTCAACTTGAACTCGCCGGATATTGGCTCAGAAACTTCAATTGCCTACCAGCATTGCGTCTGGCCAATGCGCGCGACTGGCGCTTATGTTGATTGTAGCCCATACAGCTCGCATTAGTCCATTTATCAATTATTCAAAACTATGAAGTTTTCGGGCACGATTAATAAGGATTTTCCATGGTTCTCAAATTTCATGAAAAGGACGAGCGAAATTGTCAACCTCATTTCTTCATTTTGTCACCCTATGTAACGCTTCCCACGGGAAGGTTTGATGCGTATGGATGCAGCATATCTTACCAGCAGGTAGACGCATTTTCCATTGTCTACAGGCTCTTGAAACTTGAAACCCCGCGACAATCTAGTGTCTCTGGCATAACATTCTACTTATTCTAAGAGAAGATCACTAAGTCGATCTCCTCAATCTTTCCCAACCGCCTTCATTCGATGGACCGCATGCGAAGTTCATGTTTCATCTGGGCCCGCCTTCGTCAGTACACCCCAAAGCTTGTATTTGAAATTGACCGCTGAGAAAGAACGAGCATCTTTGGTACGTTACTCGTTGTCTAACTTGATCTGGCCTCCGCTGAATGTCACGCATATTTAGGAATATACATTCATTAAGCACAAGGGCGAGACCTTTCATCTTGAATCTTGAATATCCTCTCAAATAAAGGCTGTTCATGCCTCTGCGATGCCGTGAACCTTTAATAGCGTGTCCTCGATACAACCACGGCGTCTGGAAACCAGATGTCCACGGGGCCCAGAGAAGACGAGGGAAGATAACGGAGGTCGTCGTCGCGAGCTCGAGGAGGGCGCGTGCAACTCAGCCAGCGGGTGATGCACTCGCGAAGATTGATTGTACGTGAATATTTCGAAATCTATTCTCTCGGCGAGGTGCTTTAGAAGTCAGAACTCTTATCACTTACGGCTTGTTGAAGAATATCGTTCGGCTAGGATGGAAGAAGCATGGACTCGCATGATCGTGTAGCGACATGGTGATAACCAAGGCGATGGTATTCCCCTTCCGAATCCTATAGCTGTGGAGGCCCAACCCGATCTCGCAGCAACATCATCAGAATATGCTTTGGGTTCCAAAGACAGAAACGACGACGCATTCAAGAATTCTAGCCTAAGGGCGTCCGTCGTTGCGCCCTTGGCGAAAAGTGGTCTCGCTGTGCTTGGTGCCATTCTCAGTGACCTGGGAATTCCAGGCGCGGCAGCATGCAAACTAGTGATTTCCGCCGTTGAAAAGTACGAGGTGCGTATTCTCCCGAGGATGGTGATTGAATTAATAGCGACACGATCTTAGGAGATGCAGTTAAATGTCGAAGCACTGAACTCCCTCAGGAAGCACTACGACCATATCGCTAGCGTGATTGACGACGCGTTGAAGGATAGGTCATGTACAGAAATATCGAAGCAGATGACAGCGGCGTTTCGGCGCTTCGCCAGGTACTGACCCGACTTTTATTTCCTCCCACTGCAACCTCACATCTACTAGTCGACTTGATGCTGCCGTCGTTCCCCGCGAGGAAGAGCAGAAGAAGCATATTTTCTTCCAATTTTTGCACAGCAGTGAATTCGCGACGAAGCCACGGGGAACTTTTGATGGGGTGGGGCGACTGGTTGCATTCATCGTGAGTTCTAATGTATATATTCCGTTTGTGTTTGCACTTATGATCCAAAAGGTCGGAATCACACTTGCTGGTCATTTTACGCTCAACGAGGTTCTGCAGTCGGTCGAAAATAAAGCGCTGGTATGTTCTTGCCAGCACTCGCCTTTGGCAAACTCAGCAACTAGTTCAGGCTGACAATGTCCAGTCGCTTCGCCCTGTCGGGGCTGCTTACAACGACAACCATGCACTCAATAAAAAGAGGACTGTTTGTCTGGCCGGGACCCGGACAACTCTCCTTGAAGAAATCGGGCACTGAGTGGTCGCTCGAGACAAGGAGCCCATGTTGACCGACCTCCGTCCCGCATCAGTGAACCGGTCGCGGTGCACGACGCAGTGCGAGGAATGATACATTGAACGTCATTTAGAGCAACTCGGCAAGTGTAGAATCGAACCTTTAGTTGTCCAAGGCCGTGCCGGGCCGTCGAGAAACGAATCGTCAAAGACGAAGACGCAGGAGTGGGCAGCGCCATAGGATTCAGGATTTTGGCTGTGCGCGGCCTTTCTCTGCCTCACCACCCTTTTGACCATAACCTCCCAGCCATCTTGGTCGCCCGAACATTGCCATGACATGAAGACCGGCGCAAAATGGACGGTGAAATGTTCGCGTCATCCAGCGGATCGTGCAGTACAGGGTTCTCGTCCTAGACGCCAGACGTCAGTGTGCGCCCGCGCACCCCCATGCTATTTGTGTATACAGACATTCCAGGAGGAGAGAACCTTAGGATTCCAGCTGGCAACGGAGCGTGTATTGCGACCCTGAAGATGTTTCAAGGGCTTGCATCCTCCTTTCACCATCACGAAGGCGTCTGAAGGTGTGGTCTACGTCATACCAATATCTGCTTCGCAGCGGCACGAATTACAGCATGCGTTCACTAAGCCGACGAGGTTGTATCCCATCGAGCGAAAGCACCAAATAGTCTTTACGACTCGCGCTCCCCGTGTTCTCCGACCAGACGCCTTCTTTGCTATCGCCAGACCCACAACAGCAAGAGAGCTCGCATCCCCGCTCCAATGTCTTGTTTCTTTCCTAGGCCTAAGGTGCAAAGACTTCCCAACCTCTGAGTGACGATGTCAGGTCCTGATTGGGCATCATCCCCGTATCAGTTCGCCCAGGTCCAGCACGCTAGCTGGCAGAAGAACATATCTCTAAGCTCGAGAGGGCGTGGGGAAGCGCGTCATGGGTTGCTTGCGATCCAAAACTCCTAAATCCTCCTATCAGCGCCGACGACACTCGGTGTCTCTTCCCTCGTCGCCTCAAGTTTTATTGCGATTGATTGATTGGTTGGTCGGTTGGCTGAAGAAGGAAGAATCCTTAGGACCCGCAGGTTCAGGTGCGTGTAAGAATACTCTTAAGACGACTCAGTGGTTGACATTGAGTTTTATTGTGGACAGCTTAGTTTGAAGTCCTGCTCTTGCCGGATACGAGGTATCACCATGATCAAGACCGGTTACCTATGCTTTCTGTCGCTGTGTATCTAGCAGGTCCTCCACAAATGGACGCGGACACGCCGAAGGAGCGAGGCTTCGGCATGAATTCGGTTGCAGGCTCTTCGTTGTGATGCTGCTTTCCTGACGCCTTTGTATTCGACCCCATGGCCCCTTCGTTTGAGCTCAGTTCGATAGTGGTACTCATAAGCGTACTCGAGGAGGATGGATCGCAAAGAGTTTCGGCCCACAGACTACGACTCCCAGCGGGTCCAGAATCCATTGAACCGCGCGCACGAAGCGCCGATATCGACTCATTTCAACTGAAATCACGCCCAAAATGAGGAAGAAAATCATCTACGTTATGCATCAAGTTCCTTGTGCACGGGTAGGAGTTACGACCGATGGAGCGTATGTCTGCTTTCGTGTTCATGTAGGTGACGTTCGTTGACCCATGAATTCTTTATCTAGAATGAGCCTTTCGCTCGATGTTGTCTTTTCCCGCCATCGCTGCTACCGCCATTGATAACACCTTTATTGGATCTTCGCTCGGACCGGCGCGTCACTTTGCTTCTCAGAATGCTATTTGCAAGTCATGCTCTCGATTACATAACCAACTCGCCGCCCTTCCTTCCGGATTTCTGGGCATTGCCAACCTCTTTCCCTGCCGACCCTCAGCTCAAAGTATGGAACTCAGCGCCACCCGCCCACATGCCTATTTAGGCAACACCGACAAATAATACTTCCCCGGTGGTCATTGTTCGTCTGCACGCGGTCAGGTGATCGCCATACAGATAGAGCGAAACACCACCTCAATCGCCACAATCGCTCTTTCCAGTTCCCCTCATTCTGCCCACCTTGTCACGGGTCTCTCCTCTTTTACGACCACATCCACGGCTATCCACGGTCAATAATTCAACTACACCCACTCTCCATCCACTTTCAGCCTCTGTTGTGTCAATCCCTTGCCACAACAACCGTCCACTTTCCACGTTCCACCATCGCCACTCTCCCGTGATGTCTGGATTCTCCATTGACCGTGATTTCCTGGAGTCCGCTTTACGGGCACCCAAAGAGGCGCAAGACCAAGCAATTGGCGCATCCGACCTCACATCCACCGAGCCTCAGCTCAACGAAGAGGGGCCAACAGTCCTATGTGTGGATCCCCACCATCTCCAGACCCCCGCCCCTTCGGTGCCCGCAGACTCTTTTGGCGTGCTGGATCCAGTCTATTGGGAACAAGCGAACGCCAGCGCCGTGACTACTCCTGGCTTTGATGAATCGTTGCCTACGCTCACTGTCGCGGAATGGGAGCTGATGTACTTGCTCTATGGTGACGCTGGGTGGGAATCCTTAGCTCCGCCCTCCGAGTCCAGTCTTGGGCTGAACCCACTGCAACCTCTTCCACAGCGTTGCGACGGCGCGCTCGAAGGAAATACCGCTGCCTTTGTTGCGCCTCAGCCTCCACTCGGGACCGGCTCTACCAGCTACTTTGTCCCGCACGTTCCCCAGCAATATGACAACTATGTTCCCGATGGGGCCCACGCGCAATTTGCGGCGCCAGTCATCCCCGCCGCACCTCCGTCTGTGCAACCCAGCGCGAAGCCATTGTCCGCGATTGGGAGACCCAACGAGCCTGTCGGTACTCCTCAAGCTGTGACGCTGAAGAGGAAGAGAGGCGCTGCTCCGAAGGACAGAAAGGGTAAAGCAAGGGAAGAGCAGGAGAATGTCGCCGACGATTCCTCCACAGTCAACGACGGGCACGCCGAACAAAGTCAAGATGACCAACCCCGCCGGAGTCGTCCTCATAAGAGCGCACCGGGCGAACAGCCAGTCACACACAAAAGGCGGAGATATACCAAGAAAGGTCTCAATGTAAGTCCCACCTTCGGATATCACATCGTCTTACATGCCACTGACTGCCGCCATTACGCCAGTACATTTGCTCCTTATGCAAGGCCACAATGTTGTTTACGGATGGCCACAGCAGGGTATGCCCCGTGCAGCCCCCTCCCGCCGTCTGCCCCGCCTGTAGGCAAGAGTGAGTGTCGGAGCCCTTGTCTTGGTTGATGCTATTGGTTCTGAATGTGCCGTAGGTTCTCAAGGAATGACGCCGTCACCCGCCACCGTAGAGATGGGAGCTGCAAAGGGCCCCCATCGGCCCAGGCTAGCACCGTAGGCATCGTGGCGTGGCAGGGGACCGATTTCACCTGCACCTACCCCTTGAATGGCGAATACGCCTCGAACGATGTAAATGACGGAGGCGTCGTGGGAGGTTACGACGACTCGAACAATGGGAGCGTAGCGTACGAAAATGTGGCTGGGCCATCGTCCGTGACTCTGGACCTCCCGAAGCCTGCCAATGAGGGGAAGAAGGCGAAGACCGCTCGATCAAAGGCGAAGAACTAGAAATTGGCCTACGCTCGACCCATCCGCAATTTCCTTATTCCCTCCGCCTCGTTCTTCTTACGTCCCTCCAAACTCGTTTTCGATGTACATATTCGTTTCGTCGTTCATCCCCCGCCAGGCGAAGAGATCTACGCCACACGTCCCATATTGACAATCATGCGGGCGAAACCCTACCATCTTCCAGCTCCCCTTTAGCGTTATTCATGACTCACCTTCTCGCGCCACCCGTCTGCCTCTACTTTTCCCCGCAGAACTCTATGTTGTTGGCGCAGCGACTCGTTTGACCGACCCGACTATGGTTAGACTCTGCTTCTGACCTGCTTCACAGCCCACCTCGCGCTACCTAATTTCCCATCTCAGCCCTCCTCAAACCCCTTTCACGGACTTTATTTTCCTTCTCCATCGGGCCTATCCTCTCCTTCGCTGTAGTACTGACTTATTACCTTTCATGACATTCACGACGAGCTCTAGTTGGCTATTCTGAATTCTTGTACTATTACTTCTCTAGTAGTGTATCTTTTGTCACACCCATCCCTGAAGTTGACAGGCAATCCGTACTGTCTTGATTTTCGGAATGTATCGCTTTCCTCGCTGCTGCCATGGCGCACTCATAGATTAACCGAAGAGTATCGCGAGGGAAGACGCCCAACAAGGCCATCTGCACCCCGTCACTAGCATTACTTTACGAGCGCTACTTGCACTTCGGCAGCTGGCTTCTTGCAAGCCAGCTGCACGTTGCGACACTGACATGCATGGCCATTCATTTCTACGACGAAAGCTCCAGCCCTCCAGGCGAAGAACTTGCTAGACTGAAGACCAGCTCCTTACTGGTACGTTCTGAAATCCCTTTTGTCGTTTGGGGACAGGACGCCTTGGCCATCGTTCATCGTGTACCGACCGATTTCTTCGACCAGCACCTTCTCGTGCAGGATGAACGCGTTGCGGATGCTGTTGAAATAATCTGCAGGGAACCTCGATACTCTCCCATCGACGCTGCTAGTGATGGCAGATGGGGGGACTACGCAATGTATAATTTTATCCAACCGTTTGCATTCGACGGCACCCCGACTACTCTCCTACAACAATGATCTGGAATTCGCATGCAAGACGCAGGAACCTGACCGTATTCTCGTTCATGCGGCGTCTACCTTCAACTTCCCCCTCCATGACTTGTCCCGCAGCTGCCTGAACCCGACTCCGCCGTCCCCCGAGTCGGCAGAGGCTCGATTTCCTACAGTCCCCGCCTTTGATGATACGTTGTTTTGAGCCCCCGATGGGGTACATTCACTTCAAATTGCACCAACGCCTGAAGACTTATCTCGCGTACTTGACCACGTACAACGTGGCAGACGAGGGCATTACCAAGGCGGGCGCACCTCCTGGAGAATTCGAACTTATTCCGTCTTGTCTGCAAGTTTTGAAACAAGGTCAAAGATGAGAACAAGCCATACCTCGCGCGTCACTTCCTGGGGATACCGGTCGACAGAGAGGTTCTCGGTTTGGAGAGGCTATTAATCCGACAGGCGCGATTGTCAGTATCTTCGGGATTGATGGCCACGTTATACTCAGATGTCTAGTAGAATGGACGAAGGAGTGCGCTACACGCTTCCGCCACTGCCCTACAACTTTTACATGCGCTCTCGGGGAGAAGTATCGCCCCCTCCCGTTCCAATATTGCTAGAGTATGTGCATCCTTTTCAGCGTCAACTCGAGTGCATTTAATAAATAATCCCCAGGCAACTACGGGAATCTCGTGTCCATGACAAATATATGAAGAGTATTTGGGAGGCCTACGAACCGATCGCTTTCCTGCCAGTATCTGCGCCTACATGAACATCTTCGGATACCCCCTAGACCACAGCCCCTCCATGTACAATACAGGTCTATTTCTATTCTGTTCTCGTTGGAGCTTGGAGGACTCCAAAGTTACAAATAGGGTTGTATGCCATTCTCAGCGCGCCAGCCTCGACTTGGGCATGCCGACGAACTAATGGGTGTGTGAGTACATAAGGAGGATATGGAATCATACAATCCTCGCGTTCGAAGGACGACGCGGGCCTCATCACTCGCTCCAATGCTTAAACCTTTGGCGACGTCGCCTTCCCAGTAAACCCTTTTGCAAATCCGCTTGTCTGAGCCCTGCAAGGAAAAATACCCAGGAGCTCATTGCGATGGGATAGCAAAATCTTGCCCTTAATCGAAACCCCGGTGTTTCTTATCATTGAGGTAGTTATAAGTAGCGATACAATATGTCCATACAGCCGGGAATAGAGTGAGCCTGATCATAATTTCAAAGAGTCGGTAATACGCCAAATTGTCGCCGATCCCATCTTCATAAACGTATTCCACGAAGAAGTCGCGGCCATCGCTTCCAAATACAGTCGTAGAAAGGCTTATCATGGACACGAGATTCTCGTAGTTGTCTATGCATTCATTATTATTATAACAAATCCACCCTAAGAATTCGCGTACGTACTGGAGAAGCTTGGGAGTGGGCGTAGGTGATATTTCGCCCTTCAAACGTTTGTAAGGATCGTACGGCAAGGGTGGTGTTGTATAGACCACTCCGGTGTCCTTTCTATATAAAGCGTGAGCGAAAGGAATGTGTCGGAATCGAACGTGCTGACAATCGCGCTTGTCGAATCAACAACCTCTCCAAACTAACAAGCTCTCTGTCAGCTGGCATCTCCAGGAAGAGTCGAGCAAGGTGTGGTTTGTTCTCGTCCTTGACTTCGTCCAAAACTTCCAGACAAGGTGCAATGAGTCCAAATTCTCCCGGTGGCGCATCCGTCTTGGTGATGCCCTCGTCCGATACATTGTAGGTGGTTAAGTATGCGACAAAGGTCCTCAGGAGCTGGTACGATCTGAAGTGAACGTACGTTAACGGGGGCTCGAGCAACATGTCCAGCAATGAATCATAAAACGCCGCGACCGTAGGGAATCGAACCCCCGCAGCCTCGGAAGACGGGGGGGACGGGTTCAAGCAACTTCGGGACAAGTCCTGGAGGGGGAAGTGAAAGGTCGACGCCGCGTGAATGAGGATACGATCCGGTTCCAGTGTCTTGTAAGTGACGTTCAAATCATTGTGTTGCAGGAGGGTAGTCGGAGTGCCTTCGAATGCGAATGGGCGAGCAGGATTATATATCTTGTAGTCTCCCCATGTATCGTCGTTGGCAGTGTCAATGGGGGAGTAATTGAGCTCGTTGCAGACGATGGCCACCGCATCTGCAACGCGGTCATCCTGCACAAGAAGGTGCTGGTCGAAAAGCTCCGTGGGTACCCGGTGGACGAAAGACAAAGCGTCCTCTCCCCAAACGACAAAGGGGATTTTAGCGCGAACCAGTAGAGAGCTGGCTTTAAGTCTTGCAAGTTGCTCGCCAAGAGGGCTGGGACTTTCGTCGTAGAAATGAATCGCCATGCTGAGCGCAGTGAAAGTGATGGCGCCGGTCTTTATCGAGTGGCGTAGTCCTTATGTAATATGCTGGATCTGTGAGGCGCTTGTGGCAACTTCGTGACAGGCCCCCGTTTATTGTACTGAGTGTCCCAAAAGTGAATCATCACCATGACACGAAGCCATTGAGACGCCTCAATTGGGGCGCATATGGGGCGTAGCTTGCAGTACGCCACTTCAGCGAGAAAAGATATATAAATCACACCTTTAGCGACAAATATTATAGCATCCAATAAACCCCAGAACACAGCCGAAGATGTCACTAGCAAACCGAGCTCGCATTCTAGATGCTGCACAAAGGATTGCGGCGGTCTTAAACAAGAACAACAAGAAATACATCCTGATGGGAGGCGGAGCGTCTATTATTCAAGGCAATAAGAGGAGAACGAAGGTCAGTTAACAGTCTTCCAAAGTACACTCGGGGACTCACAATTCTGGGAAGGATCTCGATATCAACCTGCTGGAGATAAATGACCGCTTAATTGCGGACATGGCTGCCGCTGGCATCAGCATCAGACCAAACAGGAAGATTCCTCAACGATGGAGCGCCACGATCCCCGAATCAAGTCCTGGTGCCATGAATGCGACCAGCGTTGACATCGCCTTGAAACCTGACATCAGAGACGTCTTCGAGCATGCCGAACTTGTCGATGGTGTGATGGTTGCAGGCCTTCACTTACTTTTGGTCGACAAAATCAAGACCGCGTCCACAAGGTCAGATGGGAAAGGCGGAAAGATTGTAAACGACATGAACGACATATTTTTCTGCCTCAGTGAGATGGAACACAGGAACGCAGCCTACGTACCGGACAAGCTGAAGGCAACCTTGACACCCGACATTTGGGAGAATTTCTGGGCCCGAGCCAAAGTAGAAGGGGACATAGCAACATATGAGGATTGGCTCCGAAACTATGCCGGTTTGAGCTGGTAGTTCTAGCCTTAGTCTCGCGGATTCTTAATAAGATAAATTAGCACTAGCAACGAGCATACCATAAATGTTGCAATTCCTCGCATAATCACGTCCACACGCGAAGTCCGATTTCGTCGACATCGCCAGCAGTGGCGTACGCAAGTCGCTGTTGTTGTGCATGCCTCCATCGTTTCATCTCGACTGCCAGCATGGTCGGTTATGCTGCACCCTAAGTCGTGCGACCACGCCGCCAGAGTCGAGGCCGGCGTCCTCAAGACCGCACGTTGATGATGCAGAGCGACAGTTGACTCGATAACACGACGGTTCCACTCTTCACCTCCTCCGTGTCCCTGCCCACGACCGTGCATGCTCCATCAACCCGTTGGGACTACCAGTGAGGTGATGCGGAATACTTTCTGGGTGTATGTTGTGTTGGGGATAAATATGTTCAATGGTGCGCTCTATACAGCACCAGACCGTGGACAGAGAGAGCCCCACAAGTGAGGGTGGAGGGTTTACTGAACTGCTCAGAGTATGAACGCTGGCGCGAGGTAGTTCACGTCGACGATCGAGGGGGTTGATAGTAGGCACGACGGATCCCTCGGTATATATGCAACTGGAGGAGAGGTGACGAGTTCGGGGCGCAAGATATGTCCAGCGCATGTGTTCTGTTAGATGGACCGAGTTAATACTATCTGGGAGTAATATATTTTAGGAGGTGATACGTACGAGAGGCGAATATATTTGCTAGGGCAACTGCATCTGCGCAGCCCCAGAGGTGGCTCTAGCGCTTTAGCCTGGAGTCATGCAAACTTGAAGCGGGTGTCGTTACCAGATGGTCGATGGGGCACCATCGTGGCCAATAGATATCATGGTCTACGACTAGCCACCCCATTCGCCTGAACCAGGATATTTTCAACGTCACGAAATCACGCACCTAATGGGGCAGCACCCTTGGCGTCAACCCGAGCATGGCCAGGCTTGCAGTTGCGAAGGCGACATGACCAGCATGTAGCATCACGTCCACGATGTCAATGCACGCCTGCACTTTCCATGATCATCTACAAACACCTCAACGTTATCGTCAGGCATTTCGCAGTGATTAGGCCAACTCAGGATGAAGACATCCATTCAATCCCGGCTTGTGTCGCAGTGGCGAGCGTTCCACGTCGCCTATGGCCGGCCATTCGAAGGCTAGGTACACGTGTCACGTACATTTCATGGATGGCGCAGGGGTAGAACTGGGTATTGGGATGAGCGGCAGGGGTTTCCGCGGCAGGAGAACCATCTATTGAGACGCTTGGCGGCGCGCCAAGACCCTCATCTTTGTTACCGTCTTCCTTTGATGAAGCAAAACAAGCATAATTTTGAGTACTTGAACCATTCATTACGCCCCGCATATCTGTTCGAGACGATATAAGTCATGCGCCTTCCTAATAAACTCGTCTGGTCCCACTCCTTCCGCCCAGTCGTAGTCCGACCCCATCGCAACATCTGTGGGGTACCGCACACCCAAACCCTTACCATCAACGTCCTCGCACGGCCCACACCACTCGAAGTCAATGAGACAGACAGCATTCGGTTTGAAGATGACATTGGGCTCTCGAAGGTCACCGAACACCAAACCCTTAGCATGAAGCAGTTCGACCGCATGCCGGAGTGACTTCCCTTGCTCGGCACTCAGTTTGTTCCCTTTGTGAGCGGTGCGGCCCTCGACAACGTCCATGACTACCACCCACATCCCCACGGACTCGACATACGCGCAGTGATGGAGCGTCGGTGCGAGATCGTTGTCGGCAAGGTGTCTGTGGCCACGTTCGCTGTAACGGTGCGTGAATTTGACGACAACGTCGCGGTCAGGTGGCATGATGGACTCCGATGTCATCTTGGCCAGAAAGACAGTCCTTTCATAGTCTGTCTCACCTGGAAAGCGTCGTTGGTACGCGAGAGTGAACTCGCTTTCACCGATCCTGAAAGACGTCCAATGCGGAAATCGAGCAGCATCTGAGGAAGGAAAACGAGACGTGGCAGTACTGTTTGCGTGCTTGCCGGAGCTGCTCTTTTTGCCGTACGACGAGACACGAACAGGGGGTGGAATGGGAAGGGTTTTGTAGTACACGCTCAGTTCGTCAAGGGCGTCGTCAAGCAATCGGAGAACCTTTGCGACTTCACGAACGCCCGTTTCTGAGGGACTACGGCTGGCGCAAACTAGCGCCGGAGGCTGAAGTGCCGACATATACCCATCTAGTGGAGCTTCCCGTTAGGAGACGAATTGGACAATTCCACTGCCACACCGGCTGCTGGACGCGCTGGACCATTCTGGTCATGATCAATCGCCACTATACCCCTTATGATCTGCACTGATTGCATCATTTGTAGTACAGTGGATAATGGCCGCTACGCGTCGAAGCCACTATTTTATGTTGCCGCCCACGAAGCTGTTACAGCGCTGAAGCGCCAATTTGCCTCAGGGAAGCATCGTGTTCGATTGGAACGGGTTTTTATCCTTGCGCAGTGCCACCACTATGCCTGCTCTGCCTTCGCTTCGGGACCGCTTGCGCCCCCTCCAGACTCGTTTTCGAGGTATTCTTACCAGCAAGGTGGGGAGTCGCACTGATCTCGAGTCTCACCGAGGCGATCAAATACAGACGCGTGCGAGTACAGAGGCTGAATCCCTCCCTCCAACACCAGCAGCGCCTTCTCTTTCACCAAGCAGCGATGCAACCCATCCTACAAAACCTATCACACCCACCAAATTGACGCAGGTTGTAGACAGTGATGCTAGATCTATCACCCCGACGTCGGACTTTCCTCAAGGGAAATCCCTCAAACCCCCCGGGGCCGAACTTCCGGCACTTCCTGATACTTTGTCCCTCCCCACGCCTTTTGACTGGAACATTGAACTTGACCGACCCAACTCGGACGTACCAAACGATGGCATCATCGATACGACTGCCGCGACCAGCACTCCCCTCCGGCCGCCAGAGGAAGAGGGCGTCTCTACCAACAGGCCTGCACTATCTACACTCACATTGATACCCGTGCGAAGCCGCGATGTAGCCAAAGTTCCGCAACCAATTGTTGTGAGGCGGTCGAAGACATCTGTCGTTATTCCCTTGGTGAAGACTTGCCTCGTAACACTTGGTGAAATCCTGAATGACCTGAATTTGCCGGGAGCATCGGCCTGCAAATTGATAGTTAAAGCCGTCGACAACTACGAGGTACGGTTCTGCGAGAGACAGTCGTTGAATTAATAACGACTCTATCGCAGGAGATGCAGTCCAATATTAATGCTTTGAATTCCTTAAGAATGCACTGCGATCACATCACTAGTGTGATCACGAAGGCACTGAATGATAAGAAAGGTTCAGCGTTGTCACACCAGCTGAAAGCTGCGCTCAAGCGCTTCGACAAGTAATCGTTTCTTTTCTCGCATCCCTGGTTCGTTGAACTTTGGGCTTTTTTAGTCGTCTGGAAGAACTTGTTGCGCCGTGCGAGGGAGAGCAGACAAAGGATATTTTCATTCGAATTCTCATGAGCGGCAAGGATGCCGCCCGGATCACAGAAATATTTGACGACGTGGGGCGACTAATGGCCGCGTTTGTGGTGGGTTTGTTACGTGTCCGCTTGTTTCGTATCTTCTAACAGTGGTCCACGTAATCTCAGCTAGAGATCACGCTCACTGGCCATATTACGCTTGACAAAGCAATGCGGTCGCTTGAAAATAGAGTTCTGGTGTGTAGGATTCCTTCGCCTCCTGAATGGGCTCTGACCTACCAACAAAGGCTGCCAGTATCATGTCGCTCCCTCGAGTTGGGGCTGCTTATGACGACTATCGTACACTCAATCAAAAGCGGACCGTATGTCTTACTGGCACCAGGACAGCTCTACTCGAAGCAATCGGACACTGGGCAGTCGCCCGAGACGAGAAGCCCATTTACTTACTTACTGGACACGCTGGATACGGGAAATCGACAATTGTACGAACGGTCTCGGAACGTTTAGATAATCTTCATATCCTGGGCGCTTCATTTTTCTTCTCGAGGGATGACAATCAATCGAAGAGTACCAGCCACTTCTTCTCCACTCTCGCGTACCAACTATGCGTCTTCAGTGAAGCCTTCGCCCAGGCAATTGGAAATGCCCTGAAGTCCCTAAAGACACTCGATGCTGTCGAAAAATCCCCCGCTTCTCAGCTCATGCACCTCATCGTCGGACCTCTCAAACGTTTCAGTATGATATCACCCAATATTGTGATCGTCGTCGACGCATTGGACGAATGTGAGGATTTCGAATCCTCGGAAGGGGAGAGTTGGGGTCGGGACATCTGGGATGGGCTGGCAACTCTTGTTGAAGAGCTGCCGTTTGTTAGGGTTTTCCTTACGTCCCGACCACATCAACATTTGTCTACGCTCGTCGCGAACAACCCTCGGCTTTATATCAACAATACATCTGTTGAAGCATCAGACCCCGACATCAAGCGCTACCTAAAGTGCAAGTTGATCAAAGAGGCCCCCCACCCACTCGGCAGGTATCACGTGAGCGAGTCACAGATATCCCACCTTGCGCGCATGGCGGCTGGGCTCTTTATAATCGCCGCCACAGCAGTTCGTTTCATTATGGATCCACGGGCTATATCCCCGTCAGAACGCATCAAGGCGTTGATAGAAGGATCTATGTCCGGGCCCACGAGCCCAAACAAACTTGTAGACAGGATGTATGAGACGGTCCTCAAACAGTCCCTTGCTCTCGAAAATTCCTCCGAGCGGGAGCAGTTTCAGTTTCAGGCTATCATTGGAACCATTATTCACTTCAACACTCAACTTCGCCTGGTTGAACTTGCCGAATTCCTTGGTTTGGAACTTATTGTTCTGCGCGACGTTATCGACAAGCTGCAGGCCATAATTACACTCACGAACGACAAACCACAGTTTCACAAATCCTTTGTGGACTATATAACTGATCGCGCACGGAGTGGGGACCAACATATTCCTCGATCTGTAGTGGAGGCCGTCATAGCCTTCAACTGCTTCCGTACATTGGGTGCTCTTTCCCGTCCCAACAATTCACCTCAAAGTTTACAGCAGCAGTGGATTATATATGCGACCCGACACCTCCCTTCCCATTGCTCGGCGGCTGACAGCGCTGTCTTGAGAAGACTGAGTCGAGATGCTTGCCTCCAGCACCCGGGCTTCTGGACAGATGTGGCAACGTGTCTCATACTAAGATCACTGCCGTATTTTTCTGAGGATCATCTGTGGAACATTCAGAAATCTATGGTATTGCTCTGCCTTGGAATATAAGGATCGAAACTGATAAACGCGCTGCAGGAGGCCAACTCGGAGTATACTGAGGAAGCGAAAGCTATCATGAACATTCGTAACCACCAACGACATGAAATACTCTCTGAGGCGACATTACGTCGACTTATGAGTTCGCAAGCGCTAGATCTCGACTACCACTACGACATATATTCATATTACACCTTGCAATACATGAAGACTCTGCTTCACTACCTATCAAACGGTCAAACGTGGCAAACGCATTGGATTCTCCCCTATCCGCACTTTTGGAAGCGATTCAAAGGTCTTCCAAAGGCCCAAATAATTCACTCGTTTTTCGGGGAAGATGCCGATGACGAGTGGAATTCCGTCTCCCGCATGATCAACGGCACGTTTGAACCGACCAAAGAGGCGTGGTCCACTCTGAGGGAGAAATTGATGCAGAGCATGCCAGAGACTGAGAAAGTTAGTACGGTAGAGGCATTGGAATGGACAAGCATCAACTCAAAAAACGAATACTCGGAGTTCGGAGGAACAGTGAAGTTGAAGTTGAAAGGTCGGGAGCAATCGAGCGCGTAAGAGGGAGTCTATAATGGAGTCTATCCACAGATGGCCCTAAAGAGGTTTGAGCGAACCAGAACAGAGCGGAGAGGCACCTCTTAAGCTTCGCAATACTCCTGGATGTTTAAGATATATGTAAAATAGAACCTGACCATCTCAAGAAAAACCCGAACATGAAGACCTATGCTCCGTTGTACATCAGCAACTGAGGGTGAAGAAAAGGAATTCTGTACTTACGTTCGTTTACAGAGTGAACGCCACCTCCAAGGGGATGCTCGGGAGACCCAAAGTTATCATGATTATAACGGTATATATTCGATGAAAGGTTCCAGTAGAAGCGTGTATCTAACAACGTTGTTCAGCGTCGTTCGATGGCACGAATATGGGTCACAAACCGGTATTTCCGGATGGTAGTGCCGGCGTCTATGAATCGTGGTGAAAACATTCAACGCCGTTGATAGGGGAGGTAGTTCGAACATACCACAAATATCGTGTTGTCTTTCTTGCTGCGGCCGGAATTGGTCCAATTGTAAGCGTTGTAAGCTGCTATGATAGATCCGCTGAGAACGTGATAAGCCCCCGCCCCTACCCCTTCTGTAGGGGAAATAGGCGATGGTTCAAGAAGCGTAGTCGCTACCAAGCTAAAGTTCCCGGTGAACGCAGCACTGTGATAATTGGCGATACCGAATGGGTTATAATTCAAGTTGAACCTTCGCGCAACCTCCTCGAGTATGGATGTGTCGCGGGCCTTTACAGCTGCAGATGAACTAAAAACAGAGGTAGAGTACGCTTCAGGGAGTTGTAACGGCTTATGTGCCTACAAGTGGACGAACCTCAAAGAGTCAATGCGGTGGTTGACAATGGCAAACACTTGTTCGGGTAGTCCATTTGGGGCGAACCTAATCAAGGCATTCAGAACTTCCCAAGGCATTCCACGCGTACGTCTGCACACTTACCCGCCTTGGATAACGTTAACAGATTGAGTTGTACTGACAAGGGTTTTGACAATCGGAGCGGCATTGAACAAAATCCTCTCCAACTCCAGCAGGCTCTGGTCTGAAGTCATAGAGTCCTTGATGTTCTGACGAAGCATAGGGTCCATATCTGCCCCATATTTGGCGAGACATAAGAGCCGTCGATAAATGACAGACTCCCGAAGCTGAGTGCGGGGATGGTCAGCAGAGTCACTGATAGGAACGGGGACTTGGAACGAACCAAATGCGCTTCAAACGGGTTGTTTTCGAGTTTCACGATAGCAGCAGCAAGTTTGCCAATGCTCTATGGAGGCGTCAGCGGTGTCAAACCATGCATGGATGAGAAGACTGACGGTATGGGCTGGAGGGACAGACGAGTGCCCTCCTGCGCCAGTAATTTCCATCCGGACGTTCATAGATCCCTTCTCTGCAACGCCGGGACTATGTAACGCTTTGAGTTTCGTATTAGGCGTGTCGAGGGAAGATAGATTACCTAGCGAAAATTGAACCATATTCTTCCCCGAAGCTGCCTATGATTCATGGAGTAAACATGTTGCAGAACGATAAGAAACCCGAAGCAATTACCTCCTTCGTCTAGGATCGCTGCGAAGGAATTGGGGCCGTAGCGTTGTTGGAGTACGGGAGATATGTGGCCCGCCCCTTGAGCTCCCCCGATTTCTTCGTCAAAGCCGAAGGCGAGGACAATAGTGCGGGTGGGAAAGAACCTTCGTTCCAGTAACATTTCAATGGCGAGCCTGCTCGTGAAGGGGTTGAGCCAGAAGCAAACTGAAAACGTGGGAGATAAGCCCGTACATGGTCCCAATTGTGCCACTCTTGTCATCGGCAGAGCCACGACCCCAGATGTAGGTGCCTAGTGCAAGTCAAGTAAGCCGCGAGATCTCTCAGGGTTGCTTCTCGTTTACCATCGAAGGCTCCGGACCACGGTGGATGAGTCCACGCCCCGAGGGTACTGTCGTCAACGGGAACGGTGTCTGATAAATTTGGGTTAGATACCCATGGCGAAAGCCTGGGCTGTGGCGCCCTTGGACTTGGTACTAACCTATGTGGGCGAGCATGAGGAGGGGCTTGAGAGACGGGTCGCTTCCGTTCCAAGTGTACAATAAGCCGTACGTATTGACAACTTCCCGTGTGAGGAACTTGTTGCTAGACATGAAGCGCGTCAGGCGGATTCCTTGCGACTCAGATTTGATTGTTGCTTACATGAGTGGAAATGCGCGGGTAAGATATGTGTGCATAGCTGCGTGCACTTCCCACCTCGAATCGTTTCCTACGGGCCCCATGTCGATGAAGGATTCACCTCTGGACCCAGATATTTAGTCGTCTTGGTGTGGGGGCATATGGGGAGAATAAACAAACTTAATTTGAACGGCGCCGGACACTAGACGTACGGCGCGGGCTTGAAACAATGGGGTGGATAACGCGTCGCCGAGAGTCAACCAGAGGTCGTGATTGACTCCGGGAACGAGGGCATCTGCCTGAGGACATACGGGGTCGTCGGCTCGCAGATCCTGGCCCTGTGCGGTATGGCCTGAGGGCAATGAGCGCGGTAGGAGATGGCTAGGGAAGAAGTAGACGGCGATACTGGGGGCGATCAAGACGAATAGCAGGCAGCTGATATAGCGAGAATATTTGCGAAAGCGGGACGGGTTGCCGGTGAATGCGTAGGAAGGTCGTAGTGAAGTCGCTTTATCTCTCGAAATGAATCCCATGGTGAGATGATGCTGTTTGTGGCCTGAGATGGGGGCTTTTATACGGGCCTCTCGAGGCGTATCCTCCAGCAGTCATACTGTGCGCGCCGCTAGAAGTAATGAAGAAGTCTGCACCAGCGAGGCAGATGCTCGAAAATTTGACGATCAAGGCCTAGTAATTGACTAAATGAGCGACATTTACGAATGGAAGAGGAGGGTGTCCTACAAGGACGAACGAGAAGTAAAGGTCGTTGGACACTTCGACTCGTAGTTCGCCGTGGCGCATAAGCTTGAGCAAATCGGTCTCTATTTCGGAGGCTTTCGACGCTATGGAACCATTCAATCCCTCATACGGTGGAAATCTGGCAAAAGTCTCACTGGAAATAGACGGCTTGCGTAGCGAACGAGTAGATCTGTTCGTGGATGATAAATTACCGCAATTACGGCATCTATCGTCTACGGGAATCCCTGACATGCACCATAGGAGCCAGAGTCCCGGGTTCCGAGCGGTAACCCTCGAGCTCGAACACCGACTTGGAAGGGACGTGTTAGGAGGATCAGCGCCGCTGATTACGATACCAAGTTAGGTACCATAGGCCCACGGGTATTTAGTCCTCTCTATTGGCATCTTCGGGCTATGCGAGGGACGCCATGAGCTGCGTAAACCTTACAGAGGTTCATGAAAGCCCATACCCACTCCGTTGAGGGACTATGGTAGGTAAATCAACAGAATGGCTCTAAACAGCGACTCAAAAGGTCCAACGCACGCGAGGGACTGGATTTCGAGTAGTTCAATCTTCGGCGACCAACGCTGCAGACACTGGGCCAAATCAGAGAAGAGTAACTGGTTTAGTTTTGAATCCGGGTCCAAGTTGGAGAGTCTGACGGTGACAAGCGGCCCGACGCGAGCCTCTACCCAATTGACCGTGGGAAGTCCAAGACAATCCCAGCGACTGCTTCAAGTTCAAGTTCAAGGACTATCTTGTCCTCCAATGACTTGCCTACTTGCCCGGTTTTGAGGATCACGACGACGCACACGAGTGAAACTTTTGCTGGCGCAATGAATCGCCATCCTCTCGTCAATATCCCTCACAACAATAACTCCCGGTCTTGCTTGGTTTTCGCCCACTTTTCACCGCCAACTGATTCTATTCCACATGATGATTCCTCGCGGTCCTGGTTACTTTTAGCACCTGCCCTTGGCTTGTTCTGTGGAATCCCGACCTGAATTCACTTCATATGCTTCACGCTCGATGCCCAGTGGCTGAGCTTACTTTGCGGTGGTCCATGGGCCATCCTGCTCAGCCTCCTTCTCTTCATCACCTCGGGACTCGAGGTTCGGCGGACTATCTCGCATTTGGGATGATTCCATCGGTGGCTTGGCAGGCCCGAATCGAATTGTCGTACCTTGTGGACTCTGGTATCGTGCTGCAAACTTGTCCAAGAGGCACTATGTACCGCGCGGTAGCTATCGTACATCCCGTCCAGCTGCGCGTGGTCTTGAGAACGATTGTCACGATGTTCTGAGTAAGAACATGTTTTCATTCTTGTACTCAATGGGCTTCTGCATGTCTTCCAGATAACGCTGGTATATAAGGGGAGTAGAGGACGGGTGGAGGAAGTCGTAAGCATTCCCCCGTTGTGCGTCGCTTCAAGTCATGGTCCAAATCACTTCCTTGGCCGTTGCTGCCTCCCTCGCATCCTACGCCTGTGCCAGCCCAATTGACGATCTCATCAACCGGTTCAAGATCCCTCTCGCGTCCGAGAAGCTCCAAAACGTGAGTACTCTAACCAATGATGCCTGTTTTATGTTCCCTAATAGAATCTGGATATCATAGGATATCAAATTATCGGCGCTGCAGTCCCACGCGAGGTCGCTCCAAAGATTCGCAGATAGGTCGAACGGAACCCGTGTCTTCGGCTCGCAAGGTCATAATGAATCTGTTGGTATGTACGCTCGCGCTTGGTCTAGACCAATGTTACTTATCGCTCTGGCGCTACAGACTATGTAGCCAAACTCGCAAGACTCGCTGGATACGAAGTCCAGAGGCAAACCTTCCCCTTCCCTTACTCCGAGGTCTTATCTCAGAGGTTCGAAGCTGGCTCGCCCATCAACATCAGTGCCATGACCGTGCGTACAATCCACTCTCGTGTAGGTCTTGCACTCACGACCTATCATATGTAGTTCTCTCCATCTACTCCGTTGGGCGGCCTTACCGCGCCACTTGTCCACATTCCAGATGCGGATACTCCCCCGTCAGCAGGGTGCACTCCAGCTGATTTTGAAGGAATCGACGCCACCGGGAAAATCGCTCTGATCCAGCGCGGTGAATGCAGTTTTGCTATCAAGAACCAGAACGCGAAAGCTGCCGGCGCTGTGGGTGTTGTTGGTGTGTCCTGCTTTTCTTACGCCTTTAACGATCAGCTGACGTCGTTTGTGCTCCTTCAGTGTACAACAACGCTGACGGCAGCCTCTCCGGCACTCTTGGCGACCCAAATGCTGCTGCATTCGTTCCCATCGGTGGTATTAGTCGCGCTGCCGGAGAAGACCTCGTGACAAGGCTAGCATCTGGTCAAACCATCGACGCCACGCTCGACATCAACATCTTCAACGAGGACAGGTACAGCAGCAACGTTATTGCTACCTCCAAGGCCGGAGATAAGAGCAACATCGTATTCATCGGCTCCCACCTTGACTCTGTCCGCGCTGGTGCTGGTATCAATGACAATGGGTCAGGTGAGTAGCGCTCAAGACCGTCCATATCCGAACTTGGGTTGTAGCTAACACCTTCCACAGGCTCGATAGCGATCCTTGAGCTCGCCGTACAGTTGTCGAAGTATAGGTTGAAGAACGCTGTCCGGTTTGCTTGGTGGACCGCTGAGGAGTTCGGGTTGGTTGGCTCCGAACACTACGTCGCAAACCTTTCAGAGGAAGAGCGAAAGAAGATTGCGCTCTACATCAATCTGGATATGGTCGCGAGTCCCAACTATGTCCACGCAGTGTATGATCAATCGTTTCTCGTATCTTCGCACTATTGACCGTGTCGTATATTAACAGTCTCGACGGTGATGGTTCCTCTGGACTCAACCCAGGGCCAACGTATGTTGTTTCACCACTCAAGCGACGCCAGCGCTGACCCATTTACCTAGCCCACCTGGCTCAGGTGCAATCGAAAAAGTCTTCACCGACTATTACGCATCGAAAAAGATTCCCAGCGTCCCATCAGCGTTCAACGGCCGCTCCGACTATGGCCCTTTCATCGCTGAGGGTATCAACATCCCCTCTGGAGGCATCTTCACCGGCGCTGAAGGTATCAAGACCGAAGAACAAGCCAAGCTCTTCGGTGGTTCCGCTGGCGTTGCGTACGACGTGAACTATCACGGAGCCGGTGATAGCTATGATAACCTTAACTTTAAAGCATTCGAAGCAAACGCCAAGGTACATATATGTGATCTCCCCCGCTCTATTCCGTGATGGCTGATTGATGTGTTTAGGCCGCGGCGCATGCTGTTGCTACCTTTGTTGCTTCAACGGCTGTCGTGGAGAAGGAAAAGACCTCGACCGTTAACCCCGGTCTGAGACTTGCGTCCGTACCGAACACTCTGCCGAATGACGCGCTGGGAGTGCAAGGGAAGGACTTCTGCACTGGTGAACTAGCTTGATAGGCCAAGACTCGGAAGGCATTGTTGTATCAAAAGTACCGCTACCCACACATCGCCAATAGGCAGTCATATACCCGGTTCATGTAAACTATGTACATGTTGGAATCTAGGAATCTTTCTTAGGCGCTCCAAATACCACTGCGTGTGAATCCAACGCCACAAGAAAAAGTGCTGTATTGCAGTTTCTTCATATCACCATCTACGGTATGCAGTGAGAAACAGCAAATCTTGGCATCTTCACCATCGATTCGATGATTTTGGCTTCGAATATTCAGATTGACGAAGTGCGACATATATGGCTTCCTCTGGTACGGACTTGACGCGTGCCTATTCGATTCTCCCCGAAGTGACAAGTCCTGCAGTGGAGCACCGAAGTAAGGCCGTTTCAAGGCCGTCTATGTACTTCCACTGAGGCCGGGGGCCGCACAATTCCCCTCGCGACGCCCATGTCTTATTATTAACTTCTAATCATTACTAAGCTGTACTGATTCTGTTGGACGCTCACTCGAATACCAAGAGAGGCCTAACTTAGAACTTCTGTGGAAGATTTGAGGAAGGGGCAACTACCTTAGAAACTCCCACAGTCGGCCGTCCCTCATCTTTCTCTCCTTCCTACCATCGCCACGTCCTCTCATCGTACCCAGCGTCGACGCGACTCACGTTCCCTCACTCGAAGATGTCTGCAACCATCCCTCCGTCGCTGGGAATGACGCTGGGTGCCGCATATTTGGGCGTAGTCGTATCAGCCATGTGAGTCTTCCCTCGGTATATCACGTTCATTTATCCCTTATTGCTGATAATTGATCGTTCGCTACGGTGGTATACAGCTTGTTTGGGATCACTAATTTGCAATCCTATATCTATTTTACTCAGTATCAAAATGACTGGCTGCTGCAGAAGCTCTCCGTAAGTGTGCCACGCTCATAACGGCACGCATATATTCACTAATTTCGAAGGTCGGAATCCTATGGCGCGTAAATTCACTCTAGATGGAACGTGCGACCCTGATATTATATATTTAGGTTCCTTGACGCGTTCCATCTTGCGCTGACTATTCAAGTCGTGTATCATTATCTCGTTGAGTCGTTTGGGAATTTTCAGGCTCAGGAAGTTATCATTTGGTGCGTTTGTTCAGACCATTTGGTTACCGTCTTGATGGCGAGCGTACTACAGGAGCTTCAAGCTTCAAATTGTTATCAACGTATGTTCCGTTGCGAATTGCGCTCACGCAGTAGGCTTGATCCCCCTTGATAGGTTGTTATCATAATCCTGGTCCAATCGTACGTTAGGCTTGTCCTTCCGAGAGTGGGCCGCTAATATTTCACTAGGCTATATGCTGCTCGTGTGTGGAAGCGTACGTCTTACTTGAACGTTCCGCAGACGATGCTAATGCGCTGGTTTCTATATGCGCGCATATATCCGTTAGTCGGCCGGCATTATCATGTATTACTGCCATGGGTTGTTATCGTAGTTGTTGCAGCTGGGTACGGTACGTCTGTATTGATTGACTATGTGTTCACCACCTCACCCTCTCTTCCGTTCTTCCCTAACCCCTACCGGACTTCCGGGCTTTGGATTGCACTTCGCTGGGATGGGGTGTCTCGTAAGTAGGCGTCGGCGTCCTTTTAGCTCTACAAACGTAAGTCAACCAGCCGCTTACTACCTAGCCCGACCACGGACATTTGATCACAGATATCGCATCGACTCGTTCCCTGAACTCGTTAATATAGCCGTAAGTGTTACTTGCCCTCGCTGCTTGCGTGATTTACTGACTTATTTACGGGGATGGACAGTGGACGATTTATCTTTCCTTTGCGACTTCTACATTCATCGATCTAGTCATCGCTACATCTATGTGTTTTTACTTGCAAAGGAGTCGGTCAGGATTCTCTGAGTATGTCCTGCGAGGCTTGCAAAGGCGATTTCTAACGCGCATTTATATATGGATAGGCTAAACTCTAGAATCGTTACGTTGATGCAGTATGTCCTTGCGTCTGGAATGGCAACAAGGTGCACATCCTCCTCTTCTGAAGTCGTCGAAGTTACTTATATGCGGTCGGAATTGTCCGTGACTTCAGTGCGTGCTCGATGGCAGCGCTCATCGCGGTACGTTCTCCCCTCGCATTCCAATCTGTCACGTTGAACGATACTTTGGGGATAGTGCTGATTGATGTCCTATTTAGTATGCCTTGCTTCCGAACACACTCGTTTTCCTTGGCATAGAATTCCTCCTTACGAAGCGTCAGTATCCCATATATCTCGTTGCGTCTTCAGCCCCTTACTCTGGCTCTTAGTATACATCAATTCATTCATCTCAATGTAAGTGAATTGCTGATTAGGTGTATCATCCAGCGCCAGGTGCTAAGAATAGGGACTGATGAACGACTAGGCTGAATACCCGAAAAGTGACTCCCAAAGAAATCTCAGAGGGAGTCAGTGGTGGTGGGCTTACCACGGACAACTTCAGAACCTATACAGCCCCGCTTTCCTCTAGCGGTAACGGAACACAAGTATTAGTTAGCCTAGCAATTCGAGGACGAGGCAAGGCCGTAGTATGCCCAGAGGCGCCTCAAGCCAGGCGTATGGAGAAAGTGGAGTTCACGGCAGTACGGGAGGACTGGGACGCGGTGCCAAAATATTGAGCAGTAGTGGGCATGAGCACCATCTAAGCTTTGATGGCCTACGGCGTGCTGCTGGTATGGGGGTCCACCGAGCTTCTGACGCGGGTGCCTCTCCTCGCAGCGATGGCGTAGACGGCGGAGAGCCCAGCCAAGATAACCTCAATTGGGCTGGCGAAGATTCAATGTCTAGCGTCATCGCATACGGAGACGGCCACGTAGATGATCAGAAGGTAAGTCAACCTTCGAGTGTCTACATACCAAGCGATGACGCAGCAATGGACCACAGGATGCCATACCGTTGTCTCCGATGTCATCGAAGGCCGCCCAAAAACTCGAGCCGGTTGCTCTTTGATGCAGATCGGGCTGTATGCTGCTGCTATGCGAGCCATATCTCTCGCTTTCGACTTTCGAGCGTGCTTGCTTGGTTTATTTATTTGATACTCCCGACTTCGACTTGCTACCGTGCCGCAGTGTATTGAGCACTGAGCGCCGCACGCTCAGGGATATGTCGCGGAGGCTGGGTGGGACTTGCTTATCGGGAACGGATGATTTGGGAATGCTACTTTGTAGAATTGGATACGGGTACTCGTACCATATTGCTGTCTGTCTCCTTTAGATGGGACGAATGTGTTGCCACGTCGGTGTGAGGCCGGGACAACAAGACATCGTCAACGAATTAAGGGACCTTGTACCCTGCGTTGATACTTTGACAAAAATTCATTGCAGAACTATAAAGACCGTTCTAGGCACCGTGGAGAAAGTCCAAGAGGGGGGTCGCAGGACGTCTCGTACTCCCACCTATAACACCCTCGCCTCTTTCCTGGCACCCAGACGACGCGGTAAAACTGTTGGTAATTCGTGATACTGGACTGAGATACCTCTTATGAAGCTAACAGGCCATCTGGTTCTTCGATGTGCCCGATCATCATATACGCTACGCCGATCAGAATTGAAAGGAGATGGTTGCGGAGCCTGACTCTGATGATGAGGGGAGTTGGTTGGGAGTGAACTTAGCGCTCACCGCCTGCAGCATGAGAGAACTCACACGGTCTCCACAGCATGAACAACCTTGAACCGCCTCCTACTTCTAGGTTGCCTCCAATCAAAGCCCTCAGAATCTCCACAGCTGAATCTCTTGACTCGGCTCTCACCTATCTGAGGCTTCGCTATAGCCCGGAGGTGCGGGGAACCAAGCGCACATCACGAAAAGTCGTTTTTTCGTCGTACGCCGTGGCAAAATGTGTTGACAGCAACCAGGAAGGTAACGAAGCGGACTTGCGTTCATTTCACTTATTAATCCTGGAGGTAAGTTCTCAATCCGCTGACCTGAGAACCATTTGTGGCAGGTCTTGACGGCCACGAACCTTCTGACGATTTCGATGATCTACGCGGCTCGGATGACTTCGAGCGATCGTATGCGCTCAGATGGCTCACTTGCCTTATCGCCCAACTAGACGACACCGGTGATGATCAAGAAGCCGCCAACGAAGCCGCCATCCCTCTCGATCGGAGAGAGATCCTGATTCAAGAAGCGGCCTCCTTGCTCGCCCTATGCTCCGGTACGGCAGGTGCTGGAAGCTTCATTCGCGAGTTCAGTTTCGCGACATCATCACACTCATCGCCGCCATCGCCTACTACGGAAGCCGTTGGTACAATTCAAATCCAGCTACGCGATGTCCCGTTAGACAACCACGACTACGGCAGCGTCGGTGCCCAGACGTGGGGAGGAGCGTGTGTTCTCTCCGCAGAAATTGCTGAAAATCCCTCGAAGTTCGGTCTATTATCCTCCTGCGACCAGCTGCGCGTCCTCGAGTTAGGAGCCGGTACGGGATTGGTTAGTCTCACGATCGCAAAGTTGCTGGAACAGCGCGTCAAGAAAGCCTTTATCCTAGCCTCCGACTTCTTCCCCTCCGTATTGTCCAACCTCAAGTCGAACATCCACCTCAATTTCCCGCACCTCCGACCTTCGGACCCAACACAAATCGAAGGCAGCTTCTTGGATTGGTCACAATATGAATCTTTATTACCTCAAAATCAACATTCGACGTTCGACCAGCCGTTCGACCTCATAGTAGGAGCCGACATCATTTACGAAGACAAGCACGCTGAATGGATCAAACACTGCCTCGAGATTTTGCTCAAGAAGCCGTCGGCGGGCGGCCATGCGCCAGCTCCGAAGTTTCACTTGGTAATCCCGCTTCGTCATACGCACGAGAACGAATCGCATTCGGTGGAGGTCGTGTTTCCGTGGGCAGATGATCGAGTAGAAGGCGAGAAAAGGCTGTGTATCCTTCACAAAGAGATCATCTCATGCGATGGTCGAAGCGGGAACGAGCGGCCGGGGAATGCTAAGGAGGAAGTTGAATACGCATATTATCATATTGGCTGGTATTAGATTCTCATAGAGACGGCAAACTTAGAGACTAGACACATGTAGCCTAGAGTATAGACATGTTGATATCAGAGACGTAGATCCCCAATCTCATAAACTGGCTCCCGCGCTAGATAGTAGCGCTTGAGGATTCTGCTTATTGTCGGCTGGACGCCCTACATGCAAATCCTTAGCGTACGCAGAGACACACAGGAGGGTAACCTCTGACTTATGCATCCTTCGTCGAGACTCCCCTTGGTTACATCAATGAAGAGAAAAAGTTGTCCAAACTTAACAGGCACACGCGTCAAGCTCGGCGGACGGACGGACGGTTCAATAACTCGCTCGTCAAAAGGTTAGATACATCCGTAACGAACACTTGTTCCAAAGATTCCGACAGCGAAGTATAGTGATGCACAGAACCGGCTAGCCCTAGTAAAAGGCGAGGGCTAGGTCGATTGTTTCCATACATCTTCGCCGACAGCAGGTATTACGGATCATGTTAACAGGTGAGTGGAGTTTCGTATTTTCTTCAGCTCATGGGGTTGCCTGAGCGCCAAACACTGTTGTTCGCTTTCTACGTTCTACGGGCTCATCTGAACGGGACCGTTCGGCTTTTCCATACTCATACACTCATCGCAGGATATTTGGGAGCACGTTTCCGGGAGAATCGCACCCAGAAATGTCACAACGTCGAGGGCGGAAGACTTCAGAGGCGACATCACTACATTCAGAACTTACAGGTACCGGAAGCGTGCAGTTGGAAGGGTAGATGTCGGAAGCCCTGCAGTATCTACACAAAAGGTCAAGGCATGGATGGTCTATTTCGCGGACGTGCCCTGAGTATCTCTTGATGGCGACCCAGTTGTCAGCCCGAATATGTCGGTCATATCTCTAGAAAGATCATGAGGGAGATAATGATTAACTGTTATGTTAGCACGTACGAAATTGCGCATTCCATCGTCGTCTTGTAAAGTCATGGTACCCAACAGCCTCTCACTCGTTGGCAAACGTACTGTTGCTTCGCAGTCTACGGAATGACGTACGTACTAGTCGATGATTAACAGGATACAACAAAAACTTGTTGCTGTAGCCATTCACCAGGGGGCCATTCCCTCTCCTCTTCGTCGGCTCAAGGATACAAGCTGAGCCCCAACAAACAACAGTCGAATCGCTGCTTGCATCCTCTATTGGGCTGAACATCAGTCCCTGGATCGTTGTTCAGGGGCCCGCCGTCTGCAAGCAAGCTTTAAGGAACAACCGCGACAGTGCTAAATCTGCTACCGGCCATCTCTGGATCGTGGTTCTTAACACGTAGCAGGTCGGGTAACCACGACCTATGGAACGCCCACACCGTTCGACTACTCACCATGAAGACAGATGTCAACCGAACCCGTTTCACCTAATCGACTTATCATAATCTCGAATAAAGCACTGCTTTACGAGCCTACCTTTCACCGGGTGCAGCTCCTGTACCAGTTGCGCTAATATCAACCGACCTACTGAGAGTGCGTATTGTGTTGAGTACGGCCAACAGCGCTCATCGTCACTTAATAATCCCTTTGGCAAGGGACCACACTACCCAACTCCTTCGACAAATCCCCGCCGTCAGTCGTATTTCGGGGATTAGTGCCGAAAGAGCGCTGACCCCCGGAAGCTAAGAGGAACAGGTCGAAGCACGGCAAAGTCAAACCTTGAACCATGACTTCGATCTATTTTAGCATCTGTAAGTCGGAGAACTTGGAAGAGCGACGTTACGACAGTACGTCACCTGGAAGGCGCCGATAACGAGGGCTAGGTCAAAGGCTTTGACCCAACCAAAAATGATAAGAATCGGAGGGACTTTTGGGAGGGGGAAGATTCTTGAGCAGAATCCAGCTGCGAAGTTGGAAATTGAGCGCTTGAGCGCCCAGGTTGAATTGTTGTGGGATCATCAATACCGCATCCACTGCATTGGTTGACTGCTTACAGTTGCGCTGTAGACGCCAATAGCGCCTATGATTCAATCTCCTTCCAAGTTTCGAAGGCACTGACTAGCTAATCAAGTAATTATATATCATCAGAATTTTAGGAACTTGTAGGGGCTGGTGCAGGTACTGCTGCAGTAATAACTGCATTCTGGGTGTTAGCTCGCCATTCGGAATGGACCTGCACCATGTATCATAGACACATCGCACCGTCATTGGAGGATGCAACACAGTCCCACCCTTCTCCTACCTAGCGTAAAGACCTTAGGTACTACTCATCCGATGCCAACAAGACATTGCCTCCCGCTTGCGACACTGTTTTGAGGCCGAGCTTTCTGAACCCTAATGATTGATTGACGCGCTGCCGCGAGCCGCCCAAGTCGGTAATGAAATGAATCCCATCTGCAGTAATCTCTAGAACTTCTGTCGTGGCGCCTAAAGAGAGCTAAGATGCAAACACCAAGAGAGTTAGGCGCACGATCATATTGACAGCATAAGAGGCAGGTTCCCCTACTTTCGCTTCCACCATAGCTCCGGCACCGACACCCCCACGACGTAACCTCATAGACCAACCAAACCGCCAGACCCTGCCTCCATCGCCACGCGAAAGACGCTTGCAGCAAGGCAAATATAATAAATATCGAAATCGGGGGGATTCTTCGAGGACACTATACTCGCCACATCCAAGGATGCCAGTCGATACTTCGAGCACTACGGCGTCAGCTTCGTCCGTATCATATCTGGCATCCCCACCAGTTAGGCCGAGGAAGCCCAAACCTCCATGCATCCCCCTTCCTTCCCAACTCCACCAGAACGTCGAGCCACTTAAGCTTCACCACGTGTTGGATCACCAAGAAAAAATCACATTCGACCTCTTCGACCCTCATGAGTGCTTGAGGTGGCGAATGAAATGGGAAGGTACATTGAACCAGCCCGCCACGAAACCAACGTTATCGTCAATCACCCTCCTCATACCCTCATTCCCCTGGCCGATAGTCGCACACGCATCGTCGGCGTGGGGAGGGAGTCTGGTGGTGACGGTGTCAGATATATTTTTTGCGCTGTATCGAGACCTACAGCTCCCAGCTGCTGAGGATGTCATTTGGGAAGGGTTGATGGGGACGGGGACTAAACCAGCGCGGGGGATAAACCGTCGCCGCTCGACGGCATGCACGAGGATTCAACGCCTAGACTATTTGGGCGGTAGGAGAAAGTTTGTAGGCCTATCACATAGCGCCATGGGGGAGGATACGATGAACGTCCACATCGAATAACAAAAAGAGAACAACCTTTGTCACTGTCGGATAATGCGTTGTGTACGACCTATCGGAACACAGGTATCTGTATCTCTGTAGATGAGCAGCTTTGACTTCGAAGGAGCTTTCCGAACGTAGAATTGAAGGTGATGATTCGGACGAAGGTAAGGCGGATTGACCGTGACGTCGGGCACGTGCAATCATTTGCCAGGGAGTGGCCACGGCAGAAGACACGTCCAAAGTGCGTGGACATTTAACGCGTGACCCGGAGAAATCGGTTGCATCCAAGTGACTTCAAGTAAGCATGACTACAAGTGAGCGTGACTTCAAGTGAGCAGCCCGGGCAAGCCGCGCACAGCCTGACAGTGACAGAAGATCAAGCACTTCGTTAGCATGGTCCGTGGCAGGAAGGGAGGAAAAACTGACCTCTTTGTCTTATCAAGGAAACATCAGCTAGCACATCACGCAGCCTAAGTATAGCTCAACGAACGGGGCCGACATATAAACAGAGCCGCGCCTCAGTCACAGCCATCCCCTCTTTCGTTCCTACCACTAACTGTGACTGCTCCCCGGCCTGAGTGCACTGCGGTAGTTATTGGCCCTACATTGACTGATACAAAGTTGCCGACACCCATCTGGTCCTAAAGAAAGTCGGTAAGCGCTTGCTACCGTACTCGGCTGCGGCTGCTTACGTCACATTCGGAACAGCTGTACGGATAGTAGCTTTGGTTGTCGTGTCCTCCGACTGTACAAGCTCGTACCACCTATACACCAGCATTCAATACCAACATTACATCAACGGTCTCAAACTCGGATGTACTCACCAACTTATACACGCGTGATGTCTATCACAACATCGTTGTCTTCAACAAACCTACCATCAGCGCCACCACCGCACCGTAGGTCTCTGTACGCATGTATCCCTCTTCCGTCCCAAATCAACCACCATGATGGGCACGTCACCCTACACCCATTGTTGCAGTACAATCATGCACGTAAACTTGATTTTGACCTGCTCAATCCCCGCCAGTGTCATGCTCAGTTGAAGCGATGGGGGGACGCTCGCCACGAGCCAGCAACGGATCCACCATTACCGTCGCTCGCCCTCCTTATCGAAGAGTTCCCTTGGCCTATAATCGCCCATGCATCTTCCGTACGGCGGGGAGCGCCAGCAGTGACAATACTAGACGTCATCACTGAGCTATGTCGAGTGCTTCAGCTTCCTGCTGCCGAATACACCGTTCTGGAGGGGTTGATGGGGTCAACGCGTGGGGTGGATCGCCGATGTTCGAAGGATGGGCCAGTGTTTCAGCGCATGGAGTACCTGCGTGGTAGGAGGAAATTGGTGGGGCTGTCACATAGCAGCCAAGGCAACAATACAGTGGAAGTACACGTCGAGTGAGGCAGGCCGAAAGAACCAGGAGCATGCCACCAAACCAACATATACTGCGCCATTACCATCGCGCGCGTAGCTGGACGCTACAAGATACTGCGTTGGGAAGGGATCGCAGCAGTCCCCAATATCAAGATGTCGTTCGCGCTCAGCGCTATGGCAACGGATGAAGCGGGGCGGTCGGGATATTGGTACCATGCGAAGAAACGTTGATCTGATTCAAGTCAGAAAACCGACAGTAGAAAAGAGAATAAACAGGAATTCACGGACATTGAACACAATCTCTAGGCGATGCCACTGTACAATGTAATATGCCCTCCCTTTGCTGCTAATATGTATTCCATCTATGCTCGTTCGTCGCGCAAAATGCTGTCTTGATTCTTCGCATCGATGCAGGGAATCGAAACTTTGCTTTCCTACGAATATTCGGCAGGGCCGAGTCCAAAGTTAACGTTTCATCGTTGATTTCGACTGTGTCCATGATGGAGTGACGAGCGACGCTGTTGAGGTTAAGATGAGAGGAATGTCTGTGGACGTCCTTGCAGTATGAACATATGCTTACGTGTTCGACGACACCCTGTTGTATCACGTGTCGCCCTTAACTCCTTCGTTGAACCATAACAGCGTCTCGTCCGTATCACGCAGGGGATCAGAAACGCGGGCTTACAGTCGGTAAGGGAGTCCGTCCAGATTCGATTTGATTCCAAAAGAAATCCGGCATTTCCTCCGTGTACTCAGCAAGGGAGTTGCCAGTGAGTGACAAAGATATTCTCACGTTTCGTGACCTCGCATTAGATACCCGAGCGGGCGCTTGTCCATTCTTGACTTGCATCTTACTCAAACTCAACTTTGTCGTTCAATTTCTTTTGCACACGGACACCTCTCGACGCAGGCCACATACGAAACGCCACACCATCCAAGACCACGATATATTCTTTTGCCCTGTGTCCGAATCACGAACGGAACCATGACAACTCCCCGGCCAACTAGGTACCATCTTGGGAGATCGAGTAGCTGTGGACCGAATCGCACTACATGAAGTTACTACCACTCCCTACTATTGCCCTCGTCCGCGACTCGCTGCCATGCACCTGGGTAACTCATGCTTCCAGCCAAGTCCCGTTCAGCCCCGGGTGTGTGCTGCCACTACTCGGAATGTACTTTACGAAACCACGGGTTCACGAGGTGGGTATAGAGCAAAGGCAGCCGGGCGGGGTGAAGCAGAGAAGGCGCCGCTGTATGTAAAAGACCTCTATGGGAGCCTGGCTTGAAGGATTTGAACGACGGTGAGTACGGCCTTAATCCTTTCTTCTGCATTCGGGCTCATTATCGAATGAATTTCAGGAGGGAACTCTGAATTGGACCGCCTGCAATCCCGAATTGTCATCAGCTGCTCGCTGGGTGTAGTGGATATGGGCTCTGCGTGAGTGAAATATGCTTAGATCCATATGTACATACCCTTAATTCATTTCTCGGGCGCCCAGGCTCCTTCCTTCGCGGAGCTCTAACTCGCGTTCTTGCAAGATGGAACCTTAACCCCAGGGTTAGGACCTTGGGACACAGGCAACATATAAGAACCCACCCTTGCTGCCCTCCCCCGCATTCCTTTCCCCATCAAACCACCACCATCCCTCTTACCCTCTCGATCAGACCACCCATTCCCCATCCTCTGCATACGAAACGGCCATTCGGGCCCATTCCAAGACACGGTAAGGTCTTACTGCGCCTTCTAGTGGAAACCAGGCCAACGTACCACTTAGCACCACAGCAGACGGTTGATAATTAGCCTCGGCCGTCGTCTGCTGGTACTGATCCTCGTGCCCGTCGATTGAGACGAATACGCCGCAGACACCGCCGAGGTCGTTGCCAATATCAAATCCAACGTCTTAGAACCCGTTCACCTCCATCCACCCGCCATGGAGGTCCAAAATGCGTCGGCATCACGCCATTCGACGTTTACGTCGGCTCCGCTGACGACTTCGCCGCCAGTGGCGCACCGCAAGTCGCCATACTCATGTATCCCTCTTCCGTCACAAGTCGACCGTCAGCACCGCCCAATAATAATTCATCCGGCGTTGCATTATAGCCACACCGACAGGCTTGAGCTCGACCTCCTTAATCCTAGCGAGTTTCCGACGCGGTTAATGAGGCGGGGGTGCGCCCTCGAGCCCGCCACAAATCCGCCGCTACCTTCATTATCCCTGCTCATCCCGTCGTTTCCCTGGCCGATTACGGTCCACGCATCGTCAACATGGCGAGGGCGACCAGCAGTGACGGCTTTGGATATTTTTTCGGCACTGGACCGGGCGCTGCACCTGCCCGCTTCTGAGGACGTCGTCCCGGGCGGGCTGATGGGTTCGGACCGTAGACAAAATTGGCCAACATCGCAATTAGACGCCAGAAATGAGCCACGAGTGTTCCAGCGCTTGGAGTACTTGCGTGGCAGGAGAAAGTTTGTTGGACTGTCCAACAGCACCATGGACAGTGATACGATGGTCGTTCATATTGAGTAGGTGATTACTAGGCTCAATGGACCTTCATCCTTTTGTATATGTACTGTGTAGCACACTTGTATGATATTCGAAGACAACGGTATTCTCGGGCCACGCTTAGGGAGATTAAACCGGTTGACTTTGTCCATTGATTGTATGACGTGGCCTTACGAGGCATCCATGCTCTACATCTGTCTTCAAGACGGGGGGGATGGGTGTGCCAGCAATGTCAATATTCTGCGCGACGATTTGAACTTGGAGGTAAAAATCATCGCGGTCACGACGGCCCGGCTGACCGTGGTGCGCGAATTTCATTCTGACTTTAAGCGCCTTCACATTTTTGCTTCCAACCGCCACTAGTCACTCTCACTATGAAATACTTATTCCGGGCGGGACTACGGATCCTCTTTCAACGAGTCACGACGCGCTCGCGTTCAGAATAAAGCTTCTCTCCCCGGGCTTTCAACCACCAGTTGATATTCTACATCGGTCCATCTGTCGCCGTCGCTCGCAGCAAAGAGAATTTCGGCGTTCGCGTTTCCTCGACTCCTGCATGGATGATGACGAAGGGGCTTGAGGCTCCTCATTCGGTTCTGCTGGAGTATGGCGCGTAAGTTGCGTCCAAGTTATCATCGGAGCGGTTTCGAACTGCTCACATCAACAGATTTGCATCCACGCTTCAAATTGGAAGTCGCGCGTAGTAGAAGTGAAGATGCGGGTCGAAGATGCGGGGACGTCGATTAGAAGGACTTTGTTGACAGTAGAGAGGCGTTCTGCTGGGGTTCTACGAGGAGAGGAGACGTTGCCTTTACCAAGACTTCGGACTTCCTTCCTCACGTATTTCGGGGCGTCTCGAAATCCACGGAAGCACCCCATGGTGGTCTTCCCGACTGATGGTGCTTCTCTGGACTAGTACTCAAAGTACGCGATGTCACTTGATTTATTCACCGTTCAGTTCACCTCATGCGTCTCCCCAGTATCGTTATGGCCGGACTGGCGTGGCACCTGCTGGAGACGGTCATTCAAGCAGTCGCAAAGCCGTCCCTGGCGAATTACACCAACGCAGCAACACCTAACAGTCGTTATATTGGGCAGCACCCGTCGTGGGGCCAGGGTTATTTTACCTCCGCGGACAGCAGCATGGGACCAGCCATCTACTTTGCCTCGAGCGACTCTCCCCAACATGACGATAGGAGTCGCCTCGATGAAACAAGGGTCTCTTCTCCGCGAACAAACCGCGAGCTCAATTCCTCGCAGTCATCTGATCATACGATCACCTGCATCCTCAGCGGCCCAACCCAGCCCAACCCGGAGTAGAATTAATACCAGGCGGTACTTGGCGGTAAACATCGTGTTCTACATCGAGCGTAGTAGCACTGTCCTCGAAATTGGCTACGGAAATGTGCAGTGAAGCTCGCTTAGATCCAGACTCTAGTCTCTGCGATGGCCCAAACAAGGCAATCCATCTCTGTAGGTGGTTTCAGTTACGGACCCATAGGTAATACTGACGCAAACGTTACGATGTTATCCAGTCGATGTTCCATTCACCGTGGCGATGGATGCGAAATTAAGAACGCCTACTCCAGCGTGATAGTGCCAAATGTCCGTCTGACCAACCGTCTTCGCTCTGCTCTCCTATCTCTTCGAACCACCAACCATCAAATGAACCCTCGAAACTTGTCATGGCGATGGCCGTAATCTTCGACGCCCCGCCCAAATAACCCCTTTCTGGCGATCGACGCCAGCTAGCCCCCTCGATTTCTCGCGAACATTTCGCCAGGATAATCGTGCTCTCGCGCTGCGTTCGGGGTAGATGATGGGTAGAGGGGTCATTTCGGTCGAGTCTTGCTCGGAGATCTCGCTGGCGCCGCGATGATACTCTCCGGCTGGGTGAATCACGGCGCAGCTCCAGCGAGGCCAGTCAATCAACCATCGAGCACCAGTTCTGTAATTGTGCCACATCGCCACATCTACTTCATCAAGTCGTCCTTCTTCAGTTGATCCACATACATGTTGTGCCAACAGCGTTCAAATGCGCTTCTTAGCAGTAAGGGGCTCGGAGAAGCGGCCCAGGCCGTCTCATGTCGACTTCGGATGGTTCTTTGACCGCCTAGGAAGAGGAATGTTCTTGCTTTAGGGGGAATTGTGTCGTTGTGTTGGGGGAAGCTTGGGTGTTTCTTGAGAGATGAACATCATATACGGGCACGGTGATTGGTCTAGTCGTATGATCTCCCATGGGTGCCTCCCCGATTTAATTCATCTTTTGTGCCCTACTTCTGTCGCCAAAACGTTCTTTCGATACGTGTGCTCAAGGGGCGCGTAGAAGTTCCTGACCTGAGCCCGCAATCTAGATAATTGTCACTGTTTTCTGATTTACAGACATATCCACTTTTATTATTCACGTTTACATATTTTCCTCCGCCTCGTGTCGTTGCTATTTTGAATATGTTGCGCGTATTGTTGGCTTCTATTCGTCTGTATTTTGGATGGATAATGCTGTTATTATTGTGGATTTAACTAGCTACCAGCTTATTTACAGCTTGCACAGCGTTTAACATTCACTGACTTAGGCTATGCATAGGGTCTACTCAAGGGCTGGATCACCGGGGCGCATCAGGGCACATGGGGACGCGCTTTGGCCTGCCCTAAAGAATAGAAGATCGAACACGCGCAAACCACGCTCTCATCACCTCAAGGCAATTGTCCCCAAGTCAGTCATGCGCCTATGCTGTTATTGCATCAAGTGCGTTTTTACTAGCCTTGTCTGATGGCTGGCTCCAGCGTTTACCTCATTGTATCACAGCTGCCTTCTCCCAATATGGCCAACCAGATTCCGCCGGTTGAGGCGGGGTGCACACGAGGCGAACTTGGACATTCTGGAGTGATCGCAGCTTATCCTCACCTGGCGCACGCAGATATCGGTACCAGCATTACCTATCGTATCGCGACTCGCTTCTATCACACGCCGGCAATCGAATCCTCCCAATGGTCCTAATGGCATGGATACTCCGAAAATAGGCAGCCTGGCAGCGAAATCCGCCTTCCTCGCTTGCTACTTACTTCATCCGATCGCCGACCCTCTGCGAAATGAACCCTTCACGCGCAAGGTTCCATGATATGCTTCCTGTACGTCCGTCCGGTCTTTCCCTAGCGGCTAATTTCGGTGAGTCAATGATTATTATAAAAGACCTTGAGCTTTTCTCATCATAGCTCCATCGTCTCCCCCATTGTTCGATAGGCCGTACTCGCGCGCCACTGTCAGGATCTCCCTCGGTCAGCGATCACTCATACAGCAAGCATGCCTTCGTACTGGCGCAACTTTTTCGGTGGCCAGCAGACCACACCATCCAACTCCAGTGGTTCTCAAACTAAGCATCAGCGTTCGAGTTCTGTTCCACAGCCAGCGCCGCACTGCAATGGGAGCTACATCTACGCTACCCCCGGTACAGCATCGTCTTCGGCGTCCTCTGCAGACGGCCGGGCGCGTTCAAGTAGTTTTGTAGGCTCCCGATCCACAGCTCCTTCTCCTCTTCGCTACGAGTCCAACTCTGTTCGTTCAAGAAGTCAGGCAGCCTCGCAGTCAGCCTCGCAGCAGCAGTCGGCGCGTGTTCCATTGTACCGGACTTCCAGTCACAATAAAGCCAGCGAGCGTCGTACGTACTCCGTTCATCCTGATCATATCATGTACTGACGCACCATCCTCCCCTATCTTTGCCCTACAGCTTCCCCGTATCCCCTTTACACCCCCACAGTATCTTTCAGTAGCTCACGCACTGCCTCCAGCTCGTCGATCCATCCTGGCTCAACATCAGGGCATGCTTACGCGCCTCCACGAACGTCCAGCTCTGGTAGCGTGGGTCGGAGTAGCTCCGATATTCGTCCCATTCTCAAGCAGAATCATACTTGGCATGGACACAACAGCGCACCTCGTGAGTCCTTCATTTTACCTACATTCTCCGCTGTATTGAAACAACTGGTATATTAGATGCCCACGTCTCCTTCAAGAACGATCCTCGAGGGTCTTCGGCTAGCAACAGCTTGCACGTACATCCCCTGCTTGCTTGCAGTCGCCTGCACAACGCGCCGATCTCCTACGATATCACCTATACGCCTTCCTCACGCTCGGTTATCGATAAGACTACTAATATCGCTGTAGCAGCGACTACCCTTGCCCAACCAGCCACAAACCCTCCGACCAACTCTCGGCTCGTACTCAAGGCGGACAAATTACCCTGGCCCATCGTTGTCAGCCCCTCGCACGTCTCTTCATCTTCCTCATCCAAGCCGAAGTCGGCACCTCGCTTCTATATTCATGGATCGCATTCAGGTCATGGGTCGTCCTCGTCCTCGGGGTCACCTCATGTCAGCAACCTGGACGTCCTATATGCGGTGCACTCGACCCTGTTCATGAGGATTACGCAGGAGGAGTGGGAACAATTGGGACATGGCAGTCGCGCTCAACGTAAGATTACGCGAGCATATGAAAAGCGATGCATCAAGATGGGTGGCGGCTGGGAAGGTGGCGTGCGTAGGCTCGATTGGCTCGGGGGGAAGACACGCCTCGTTGGAATCGAGCTAGACAAGAGCGGCAACGGAACAGGAAAACTCCTGTTCAGCAAAGCTTGATCTAGCCGCCACGGCCGTTCTGCTCGCCAATCGTTCGATCCACTATGGCTGGAAGCCAAAGCCATTACAAATCTGAAAATCACAATAACCCGATTCGCAGTCCGGATCGCTATTCTTTCCTTTATTATTCACTGGCTCTCGCAATGCTGTCATTTCGCTTTCTATCAATAGGGTTTCTGTGGACGAGCACCTACCATCGCGCTCTCAAAATGTACACATCTTTCTCCTCTTTCCTCTTTCGATTCCAATATTTGGAAGGCTATAACTGGATGAACACGCAAGTTGTACTTTCTTCCTCATTTCTGTTTATATCTACCATGCCCCGCTCTTTGCGATGTGTACATTATCGGCTTCCATATGTACATTGGGCCACTATAACGGATTGGATTGTCATATTAGTACTAACACTTCGGTGCATTTGTTATCACGACTTTTACGCAGAATATACGATGCTGGTTGCCGGCTATATGTTACTCCTGGTGATACCGAGAGCGTCCAGACAAGCATCATGCGGGCATACGGGATTACTGTTCCGTCAATGGTCGTGATGCAAATGAGCGTCTTTGCCACTGGAGAGTTGGGAACGGCGACCATACCATTCCATCATAGTAATACGGTACGCTACTTATACGTTAAGCCACGGATTTCAGGCCGTGAAAGATACATTCCAACTATATAAGCTTCCTTATATGCAACCTGTAAACATCGTGAACACGGAGAAAAACCCAGCTGGATGCTGGTTTATATATGCGACGCGCTTGAATTCGAAGTGCCCTTAACCCACTTCAGCTCCTCGTTACGTTGGGCCATAGCAGTGGCATTGAACATGGGGTGGTCGATTTGCGAGGTAGTGTTGAAGCTGACCGTACTATTGCCTGGAACGAAGCTTCCAGTAGCTGGTGCGTACCACCTGTTCCAGGCCAGTCAGGTAAGCGGGGCGAGGCGTTGATTCCGCATCACGTACCATAACGTGGTTACGCCTACGGGGAACGTATATCTCGCCTAGACGACCATGTGTTCAAGTCGTAGAAGAACATGCGGCATAAATGGGATTTACCTGCATGCCTCGGAATTGGATGGTTGTCGTCACCGGTTGGGGGTTCCAACTTGCGCTGGCATTATCGTTCCCTGTGGATGTTTCATTAAACTGACGACGGCATCTCGAGAAACGGGACACTCACAGTTGAGAACGACAAGGGAATATCGAAGCCAGTCGCTTGGGTTCGTTCTCCCCGTGACGTAGGCCCCGACACGGAGAGCCCAACCTTGCGAACCTCCCAAAGAAACACCTATCCTTTTACCGAACGGCCCGCCGACATCCCGTGGAATGATTGCCTTCGATGCCTGAGCCATAGAATAAACTGCATTTCACGTATTAGAGAACGTCAGCATTTCTGGGCTTCAGGTCGAGTAACCGACATTCTTGGTTAACGCTCCAACTGCCGTCGGCGTTTACGGTGACGAGAGCTCGACATCCGGGTCCTCCACAACTGTCGGTGCCTGGTGTCTTAGGGTTACCATTACCATCCAAAGCGATGTTCCACATCAGAGCCTAACACGAGTACGATAAGCTCCGCAGTTATGTTATCGGGAGAAATGGTACCCACCGCGACGGCATTGTGTTCTAAGCTTCCTATCCATCTGGGGCGTGTTATGAACGTGGTGAGAATAGGAGCGGCCAAGAACTTGACGAAATACACGTACAGATTGTCCATGTACCACTGATGTCATTGTACGTTAGCTCAAATCCAAACGGGATATCATATCGTAAGACCGAGGGAGTTCCAAGATCCCCGGCAACGCGGAAAACGAGGGGACAAATATTTCCACGAAGTATGGCTGATTTTGCTTACCTTGATGTCGCTCCACCAATCGGATCCGAACGTCCCGGAGCATTCGCTGAAGTAGATTTCCTGGACATGAACTCGGTGTCAGTAAGTGTTCTGACCTCATGCGCACGAGACCTATTGCTCTAGGCAAGCCGCACCTTGGATGGGAAAGCATTGTGGAAAGTATCCTGATTGGCTACCGAACCACCATAGCAATGAAACGCCACGCCCGCGAAGGCACCCCCGGCTTGCTGCATCTATTTTAGGACAAAGCCCTGATTTTGAGTCACAGCTTAACAGGATAGCTGTGGTGAGAAGCTTACCAGCTGCACTGGATAGCTAACTATATCCCAATTATGCTGTAGACCGTTATAAGCCGACTGAGACGGCGATCGGGGCCAAGATTCCTACCTCGAAGCCGATTACTTTGACGCCGGACAGCCCATTGCTGTTCAACAGAGACCGAAGCCCGGTCCCGATCTGTCCTTCCACAGCAGGCGTCATGAAGCAAGTAGGGTATGTTGGATTGCTATTTTGGGGTTCATTCTAGAACGTCCCAAGTTATCTACGAAGTCCAAACCCTCACGGGAGATAATCTTGAGAGCTGACCTGGATCGAAATAGCACTGACGCGAATACCCTGAGCCTGAAATCCCTGGGCGGCTTTAAGGAGGTACCGAGGATCTAACGATCGCCGTAATTAGTATACGACAGTTCTCAGTACGCCGAGATGAATTCCGGGATACGCACATGCGCTCACGAATTGCGATTGTAGCGAACCGCCATTCATAGTCCCACTATCTTTCATCCAAGCGGGCTGCATCAGCGCCGTCAGCTTATGACATAGATTGCAGAAGTGAAGTTCCTACGGGAGACCATGGGACGAGGTGGACTTTGACTAAGTTGTTGACAGCGATGATATCCTTCAGCACGGAGAATAAGTACGACGGAGACCTGTTGATATTGAAGTTGTTGAACGATGTATCGCCTGACGTATCGTCAAGACTGTAGACTAGCCGCAGTTACTTCCCGGCGATCATCAGCGTTCGGTACAAGTAGACTCACGGCTCGCGGAGAAATCAGATGCGCCGCTGAAGGAAGGATCAGTTGAAGTCGACGTCGAAGTCGAGAGAACCCACATTGGTACCCGGATGTATGATAGTCCAGCTGCGTTGGCGCCGTCCGCAGGATTGAATAGGTAGTTAATAAGGTCCCGGTAATTCGTCGGATTCCGGTTCTAGATAAACCATAAGCAAGGCGACACCGTTTGATATGAAGTCTAAAGGGTTCACCTTGAGATTGTTCAAGGTCAGTGCCGATGAATCGGCTAATTATGAATCACATCACTATAACGTGTCGATCAAATTAAATGAGACGTACTCAAGGAACCCCCAAACCCAAGGATGTTCTGAAATTGAGCGCCGTCGTTGATAGAAATGTCGGCGCTTCCTATGGTTCCGGGAGACACAAAGTTGATAGGCGACCCGAGGTTGGTGTAAGTCAAAAGCTTAGACCGATCCCACGTTGTTTCCCACTATGGGACATGAAAGAGAATTAGTGATAGGCGGTAAAGACAGAAGGGCGGGGCTTACTATATCCCATATCTGCTGTCCGACGACAGAGGGTATAACTGTAGAGACGAGTGCGACAACTGTGAGTCGTAAATGCATCGGAGGCACTGAAAAGGGGAAGGATGAGGGCGCAGGGAGCTAGGAAGCCGGAAACTGAGTCGCAAAGATACAGGGCCTTTGATGAGCGAGCAGCAGGATTAAATAGCGATTGAGCCCCGAAGGAAGGGGCGCAAAGTGTAACCATATGCGTCCTTACTGGTAGGCGCGGAAATTGACGAAGGTGTAAGTGAAACAGCTGAGCAAAAAATATGTCGAAGATGGTAGTCTTGCCAAATGTATATGTCCATTAGCAAGGTCATCAGATTCATGGCGAGTGCATGACCCCGAATAGACGAGACAGCAGAGGAATTCGAGTGGTATTCCAGGATAACCGGTGGGTGCCGAGCTCCTTATTGGCCTGCGATGGTCTCATCTGTCGAGGTGCATGTGTATGAGCGGTCCGACATAACGGGTGCCAGCAAGGCAGATTCGTAATGACAGTGAATGGAAACCCAGCTACGGAGTACTGGGCAAGCGAAAACGCCATTGGCAAGCTCCTCCCGCGAGCGTTAGTACAAAGACTTCACATTGCAAAGAGAAGCTTTGATACCTAATTGAGCATTGAAGTTACTTTAGCTTGGGCACGAGAGGAACTCACCTGAACGCAAGCCTTTAGGCTCGATGTGGACCACGTCATATGACAGTAACACGGAACCGATGCAAGTGCCAGCGCATGCTATCCAAACGAGGGAACATCAATGATATCGAAAAGACATGAAGTAAGTCTCCACATGCTCAACACGTTGCCGAATCGCAAGAAGACCAACAATGACAAGAGTCCATTTGTATGTTATCAGGTTTCGAGGTGACCATGTGGAACAACGAAAGCATGGCATTTTTACGAAGCAGTTCGGCGCTGTTATATGTATCAAAGACCCATGTGACAAAAAAAAAGACGGGACGCGCTAGAATGAGTTCGCGTAGGTACGCGATCACATACTACCCAAGTGATCCAATGAGCGCTTGTATTAGTAAGGGCGGCCAGTATTTGACTTGTATGCCAGTGTCCAATTCGTAACTCATATATGCGTGTAGTTTCTTCGCCTCTAAAAGGGACCCTTAGAACAGCATGTTCGCAAGCGTGGCGTCGACATGTTACGTTTGCCGATGTCCTCCGATGGAAAAGACGGGAAAACGGGGAACAACGCTGCGTGAGATGGATCCTTGAGTCGACGGTCGTAACTCATCGCGTAAGACTTACAGCTTACATGCTTCAACGGTATCCTCGACGGTTTCTCGGTTTCGATATGTATAGCTGCCGGATAGCCAAAGTGCGCATCGCAGGCATCGGGTATGGTGGCGTGGGTAGTTCCAGGTTGTTCTCGAGAGCGAAGATCGGCGCAGCCACTGCCACTACCATCGCACCCAGAATGAAGCCGAGTTAATATTGCTAGTGGGGAGCATTCTATATTCATCAGTCTTGGCAGAAATCGAGAAAGAGGGGACGTACTCTTATATTTCACCAACAGTATTTTACCAACAGTCCCCGGGCCACTAGGGTTGATTTTTCCTCCTACCTCGTTACGAGTACTCCCAGATATCTCGAATGTAACACTGATGTTTGTCCGAAGCTGATGATAAGGAACGTCTTCTGGAGCCGCAGGTGCACACAGACCGAGAGGCGTGTAAGTGCCTGAGAAATTGGCCGACGTCGTTCAGAAGCCCCGTCACTGTTGATGAATTGCATTTGGTGATGGTTAAAGTTAGTGGGTAAGTGCTCGCCAGCGTCTAATTTTGAGGCACTTCGGCCTTCGGGGTTACAACTTACAGCTTGATTATTTCCACAGTGGAAAACAGCTTTGGAGACTGGAAGCCAGTTTCTTTTTGTACGCCTTTACGCAATGTGTTTACAACGGAATACCTCGCAAAAGACAACGAGCACGAGTGTAGGAGGGCCGCGAGATTGCACTCGTACTAACCCCCACGCGCAGCGCCACACCAAGATGGAGACGTCCAGACTCCACCAACGATTGTGGTTGTGACATTAGACGGGACTTAGATAGTACGGATACAGGGGACTTTATACCACCGGTCTGTCACTAGTGTTGCTAACTTGCCGTCTTATTCAGATTCTATGGACTACAGAGTTCGTCGTCTTCTCGCTACATCAATTCATTGCTTCTCGCTCCCAAGAAATTCGTATATTGAGAGTTTCTGGAAGGTATGCCTTGAGCTCTCATACGACTAGGCTGATAGTATGGGCATCTGATGTCTAGGCTAGATGTCATGTATGCCATCAGCCGCCAGTAAATCTTATGGAAGTCGAATTCGGTTCCCAGACGGCTACGAGGGCTCAACGATCAAGCTACCAATTCGAATAGTCGATCTTAGGTTACAACTCTGGCGTGTCACTTGGCAGCATGTCTCGTTCAGGTGCAAATCTCTGGGAAGGGATCGTGTATGAGGAGGGATAAAAGGTCAACACTACAAGGTCAACTCTTCAAAGCTTCATCCCTTCTGCCCACCGCACTTACCGTAAGCTGCCCGATCTGGCCCATCTCATGCCCCTGATTGACTTGTCCGCTAGGAAATGAGGTCGACTCTGAGTATTCCTCTACTTGCGGCTACCCTTGTCGCTGGTCTTGGTCACAACGACTGGGACAGACCTTGCTGGAATGGTGAATGCGCCTACGACCTTCCTGCACACAAGGGGCAATCCGGAACCATCAAGCTAGTTAGTATCCTCTTCCCGATGGGGCCGCTATCACGCGTTGACATCGTTTCAGTTTGCCGCCAATCCCTATGCGATCGCAGACATTACCCCTGCCGCTGGGTGGGTCGTCTTGGATTGCGACCCCCAGGCCGTGGTCCAGGAGATCCGCCTTGTATGTATGGGCGGTGACACTGAAGGCGCTGGTTGTGACCATCTTACAAGTGGAGCCGGTCCATTGGACAAATATGTACGACTTCCAGAGAACGTGAGTTATTGTATCATTGCTTAAGTTTGCCTCTAAATAGGCCTTCCGTTCCTAGTGCTCGCAGTCTCCTTTTGGCCGGATCACCAAATATTGGGTACATGCAGATCAGTCAGTCCCCGAGCACCATGGGGTGATTCGCCGCGACAACGGCTCTCCCCATGTCTATGCCATTAGCATTGATGACAAGGTGAGCTTTAGAAGCTCAACACGGTGCTTTACTGACATGCATACTAGTTTGATCAAATCGACTACAATAAGTACGTCAATTCCCTTGCAAGCGCTCCTCAGAAACTAAGATTATTAGGCATGGTGATGTTCGCTACGTCGCGGTATGTATTTTACGCCTACTCGGCGATTCCGTCATGTCTTTATGTCTTCTGTGAAGTACGGCGTGAGCGTTCCGGGACTTGCTACCAACTTTGCCATCCCCAGCGACATCTCCGACCCCGACATTGCGAAACGATTCATCTCCCAGGCCGTAGCTGGTGACGCTTTCCCTTCCACTCTTTACACTCCGTTTTCACCAACCTAGTATGCAGATCTCCGGAACGGCTTAAGAGCCATGCACGCTCACAGCGTCTACGCACGATTTGCAGCTACACCCGCTGCCGCCGCCACGATTCCACTCCCAAGTGCAAGCGACTTGCGAGAGGACGAGTCCACATCCGTGACTATTGGTAGCTCCTCGACGCCTCTGATACCGCTCAAGCTCAAATCGGAGCCGAAGACTTGCGAGTCGAGTGGCCATAATGCTTCTGGAGATGCGTCATTTTCCGTTGGTTTGGATATTGATACTTATATCTGGGGAAGGGGGAAGTGGGGCGGGGGTGTCACGGGTACGAACGGAGCTATCGACGCAATCCTTGGGTTTTTGGAAGGTAAGCTTCTCTGTCTGTGTGAGTGTTTGTGCTCGGTCGGCTCATCAGCGTTGTATCATAGACTTCGACGTCAACTTGAAGCATTCGTTCAAGATTTATGCAGAGCTTAACGTGTGTCCAAGCCCTATTCATCAACCGTTCCTTGCTTGACCTAGCGTGGTTTTGTGATGAATTCAGGGGGAATTCAGTTGGGACTTTGATACGCCCCCAGTTAGTATACCGGAAGTGACGGCTCTTCATCTAGGGTACGTCCCTCATAAAAACCTGCTGCAGGGCGGCTTTGATGATTGATATTTTCGAAGAGTGGTCCAGCTTGGTCTCATGGGAGGGGCCAAAATCGCGACAAAATTCAATGTTACTGCCGAGGCATCACTCACCAGCACGGTCCAATATGGCCTTCAGCACAGTACCACCACTACCCTCCTGCTACATACCCCTCCTGCTGACCTTTTGATTCCCTAGTATCCCTCACAATCCCATCCAAGAAGGACGTTCATCTGACTCCTTACTTCAATTCCACCCGTACGTAGCTCGTTTCCTGGGCCAGATCTTTCGTTAGTCGTCCATTGTAGCGGTCGATGGTCTGTTCGGTGGCGAAGTGTCCGCCGTATTCGGTGTCTTAGGCGGGATCACTCCGAAAATCATGGTCGGGGCGTCGACCAGCGGTGGCTCAGCCCGTGTTGATGCATGGCTCGGCGTCGAGGTTGGGTTGGCATTGGCGGTCAAAGCTTCGCAGAGCTTCCTTGGAGGCTCTTCCGGTGTGGCTCTATCCAGAGTTGCGAAGTCAGCCCAACACTCGCCCAGCCGGGTGAAACCCTCAAAATCCTCCAAGGCAATCAAATCTGTGTCCTCCAAACCAACCTCTAAACCGCAACGTGCGCGCCCCGCAAAGGCGCTGAAACCTCGCTCGCTCGATACAGAAATGGCGAGTCCCGAGTTAGCGCATTGCCTTAAGCTGATTGTCCGAGTGAAAGTGGGAGCCGAAGCTAGGGTTAAGTGGGATTGGTTGTACAACTGGATCGGCTGGCAGCCCGGAGTATCTGGTGACCTCGACCTCTTCAAACACGATTGGACCCTTTCCGAGGTAGGTGAACTCTGCTATACGAGGTGTGTCTTGAACATCCGCTTCCCCCCTTAGAATGGTGGACTTTGCGGCCCGAAGCGGCGCTCTGTTAAAGAAACCTGGCCAAATATGCAAGTACTTTCAAAGCGTGCAGCTAAATCTTCGCCGACACATACGTTTCCTCCTACCGATGTCAAGCGCGCACCGTCTTGTTTACCTAAAGACATTGTCGGTAAAGCGAAGTCTTTTCTGAACCAGAAATTCCCTCTACCGGTGTAGTGGAGTACCACATATTGCGTACTAGTCTTGTTATTAAAATGATTAATAACATTATCTCAAGGTCGTAGCTAGGCCCTCTGATCTATGATGTGAATACAAGAATTAGGACGTATACAGAGTCTTGAGTCGACGGTGTTGATTTATCACGTAGGACCAACGTACGGCGGTGCGTGCTCTAGATTCCGAGATGAATAAATGTCGACTTAAAGTAGGACATCCGTCCTCGATTGTTTTCCTCTGTGCTGATATATATGAGTGCGGGATATCTAGATGGTTAAAGCGCGTGTTCGACCCCTGCGGCCTGAGAGTTAGACCAGCACAACTGTTGGAGCGTAACACGCGTCCAAGATGTTCTCAAGAGTATAAGGCGGCGCAGTTGCTGACGTTCCCATGTTGTATTGCTCGCGGGAAGTATGGGTATTGTGATTGTGGACTGCTCGCCAGCGTCTAATTTGTATCTCTCTGTTCGTTGCCACACAACAAACGAAAAGAATAACTTTGAAGCTCCACATTGAAGATCGGGATCCCACTTCTTCTGTACGGTCTCGAATGTGACATGGGACAGTGATTACTTCCTCAGTGGAATGCCTACTCTTGTGTTCGCCTCCCACTACTTGGCTCATTATTGCCCGGGCCCTTTCATTGTCAACGAGTCCTGCGGTCCGCGCGGTCCTCACCATCCCGATTCTCTGCCTCCGACTTCTATCCTCACATCCCTCTAACACCTTGTCCATGCCAAGGCCTCAACGCTACTAACTACTCTCGGACACCACTTCGACCAAATGGACACCGTACAAGGGAATCCCGCCGCTACCTCTGGTCTACTTCGGAAAATGATTTTTCCTTGGCGGGGCCCGCCGTCATCACGACGCATCCCTTTCCTATTCTGATGCGGACATAGTCTTGTCTTCCCTTATCTTTACCCTTCCCCGTTGCTCTCATGTGTCCGATGTCTCTCATGTGGCCGCGTTTTCTGTCTCGCTGTTGTCGTGGCTGCCGCGCAGGTGGAAACAGGCGGCCCGCGACCACCAACACCCGAGAGCGAATATATAACCTCAGCACAACGGCCTACAATCTCTCAACATCATTCTCTCAGGGAATTACTTGCCATGAAGTTCGTCGCCACCAATTTTGTCTTGTTGTCCATGTCCCTCGCAGCGTTTGCGGCGGTGCCACTATATGGGTGAGTCTGAAACCCTGACTATATCCCTCTTTCTTTGCGGCTTGCACTAACATGACCTTCCGTCATGAAGGCAATGCGGCGGTAACGGTTTCACGGGCGAGGTACGGCGATAAAGGCAATTTTAACGACGTATGTGTGACTAATGGGTCTATTTACAGACTACCTGCGTCGCCGGCGCGACCTGCAGCTTCCAAAACGAATGGTTCGTCCCTTCTCCCCTGCCCATCTATCCCAGTTTGCCCACCCAACCTCTGCAGGTACTCCCAATGCGTCCCCGGGGGAGCCGTCACGTCCAGTGTCCCCGTCACGTCTATCTCCTCCTCCAGCACCACGCGCAGCACCACACCAACCGTCTCAACCAGCGCTGGCCCAGCCCCTACGGGAACCGTCCCCCTGAACGGGCTCATCGGCTATGGCGCCGGTACGACGGGCGGCGGCAACGCCACGCCCCAGACCGTCACGAGTTGCTCGGCCCTCGCTGCTGCCGTCGCGCTCGAAGTGCCCGCTGTGATTTATATCAGCGGTTCTCTGAGTGGATGCGATATCATCGATATTGAGGCTGATAAGACTATCATTGGCGTTGGGGCGAACAGGTATGGCGTCTCCGTACGGCTGGTTTCTCGTTTCTTTGCTGACATGGACGCGGTTTTAGTGGCTTGACGAACGGCAGCGGCTTCCGTATCCGCAGAACCGGGAACGTTATCATCAGGTCAGTCTGTTCGTACGACGCGTTCGTCGGGCGGTTCAATGAATGCATGACCGCAGAAACCTCAAATTCCACGTCTCACCAGAGAAGAAGGATCTGCTGTCGTTGGACAATGCTACACGCGTTTGGGTCGACCAGTAGGCCCACTCCCGTTTCCTCAGTTTCGCCCTCACTGAACCTTCTTTCCTTTTTTTTCATAATAGCTGTGAGTTCAGCTCGATCGGCATGGTTGGTGACAAGGACACGTACGATGGCCTCCTTGACATCAGCCATGCCAGCGACTTCGTCACCGTGTCGTGGTGCAAGGCGCGTATATCCGTCCTCGGGGTGCCTCCACTCAAACTAACATGTATGCATCAAATAACAGTTCAGCGACCACTGGAAGGGCAGCTTGATTGGCCATTCCGATAACAACGCGTCCGAGGATACGGGCAAGCTCCATGTACGTGCGCCGTTAGTATTCTTGCCCGTCTCTGGGATGGAAGTTGACTCGGTTGCTTCCGTATCAAGGTCACGTACCACCATAACTCATGGGTTAACGTACGTCTGCATGTTTGCATCATTCAGAGCCACTTGGCGAGGAAGTACAACGGACTTACTCTATGGACGATACTAGGTGAACTCGCGCCTGCCCTCCGTCCGCTTTGGAACTGGTGAGCCGTTTCGTGATGGAGGGTTGTACTTTCAAATGCTGATGCAATATTTGACACGACAGTTCACGTCTTCAACAGCGTCTACAACGACATCCCCACCAGCGGTACGTCCCTCCTCTCTCCAACCACACCCATAGCAACAACGCTGACATGATTTGGTGATCGTAGCCATCAACTCCCGCATGGGCGCTCAGCTCCTCGTCGAAAACAACGTCTTCAATAGTGCGTTTATTTCGCTTTGCAAGTCTTGTTAATCCCAACCTAATTATCGTCGCGCCGCTCGCAGACGTCAACCTCGCTGTCGTGACTGACCTCGATTCCGATCTCGAAGGTACGTGTCGTATCACCCATATACACGCCCCTCGAGAGCCAATGGACTTGCGAGAGCCGTCCCCGTATCCGAACCCGTGTTAAGTCGTGTTTATCCGCTAGGCTACGCTATCGAGCGCGGCAACGTCTTCTCGGGCACCACGACGACGCGCATCACACAGGTCGGCTCGCTGAACCCGCCGTACTCCTACTCGTGAGTTGCTCTTCCTGGCTCTGCCGTCGGCCTTCATGAAGTGGAGTGGCATTGATGATCGTGTTCGCGGATAGACTCGACTCGACGGCGAATCTCGCGTCCATCGTTGCGAACGGCGCTGGTGTTGGGAAGATCAGTGTCTAGGGCGTTTGGATACTGGTATATCGGCGTAGATACCCCAAAATAAAGCGCTTCGGAGATAATCGAATAAGAGAAGAGTCGACTTGTTATAATGCTGGAGACATCCAGGTAATCCGGACGGGAAAGGAGATGCACGACTGCTAGTAAAACACAAGATAACTCAGTCCTCATCTACAGCACGACGTGCTTGGAACATCAAGGAAAGAGATTACATCCGTGAATTTTCTGAAAAGGCATGATCTATCACGCAAGTAGTACGTTTATTGAATGAGTGTCATGAGGAGACCGTTCTTGAGAAATCAATGTGAATCTGATTGTCAAATTAGAGAGTTACAACTCGAGTGAGGATTGGTGCCTCTCGCGTACAAAAAGAGGAAATTGTGTCTATTTCTCTGAGGGAGCGATGGGGTTAAATGCCTGTTTCGCCGCGCGCAGCTCGAATATCAACGGCAAGAAATCAACCACTGGCCTCCACTTCAGCCGCTCTGGTCCGTCGATGTAATGGGAGTGTTGAACTACACACGTCAGCGGGAGGACAGAGCCAAGAAATGTCGCGACGTCTCGTGCAGATGACTCGAGAGGAGACGACTGTACATTGAGAACCTCCAAGCACGGAAATATTGCGTTTGGCGGGGCAGAGGCGGAAACGTGTTTCGTGTCCAGATACAAGGCCAAAAACCTCATGACCGGGCAAAGTGGGGCTAGCTCGGAGAGGGCGGAGAGGGGAAGAGTGGGAGGCCCAATCTTCTCGAGGAGTTTCAGCGTATGGAGAGAAGGGAGAGCCGTGAGGAGCGCCTTCATACACCCCACATCGAGCTTCAGAGGCGGAGGAGAGTTCAATTTTAATGAAGTAAGGGCAGTAAGGTGATATGATATAGTTGATAGGAGAGGATCCGCAATGGGCTCGATGTCGGCCACCAGTTTACTTAGCAGATGAAGATCCTTTATGTCGGGACAAGCGGAGGCTATAGCTGCAACAAGGGATTGGTATGTTGCACGTGATTCCGTGCTAGCGGAATACACGTAAAGGGTGTGTAGCTTGCGGGGCTCATATGCTTCAAGGAAGGACGCGATGGAGCGAAACCCAGCCGCGTCACTAGCAAAGGTTCCGAGCGATGGGAATGCGTCGGACAACGGCATTGCTGGGAGGGTGGACTCTTCACCATCCATGTCCGAGATCGTGAAAGTTTCGAGATACGGAAGGTGTGCAAGGGTGTTTATCGTCGAAAGAGAGAGTAGAGGAGACGAAAGATCAAGTTCTTTCAGCGATAGGAGGGATGACAAGGCCGCATCAAATTGTGGTGCGTCATCAAGTTCAAATTCCGTCGAAAGCGACAGGTTTTGCAGTTTCGGGCATAGATGATGGAGATGCGACAGGGTTCGCGTGAGCAGGTGCATATCCACCGGTCCTGATACTCGTAGATCCAGCGCGCTGAGGGATTTGTTGATGAATAAGGGTATCCATTTCTGTATAAAGAGAGTGTCCTCAGACGATAAGCTTTGTAAATTGGGAAGAAGCTCGACGCCGGATAGTGTGCGGCTGGCGATGATGATATCCATGAAAACGGAGTCACTGAAGTTGGGAGGCCGCATGTAGCCAATCTCTATTCTGCGGACACGCCATGCGTAACGCTGGAACACCACCCAATCCTCTGAATTAATCAGTCGGTCGTATTTCTGTAAGTAGTCATGAGAACAGAAAATAGTCAGAGTGAACCAGTACACACATAATAAGGCCTGCCCTCTCCTGAAGCCAAGGTCATAGGACCCAAGAGGCGAAGTAACGGTAGAAGCGAGTCGAGCGTTCGCCACAGGATACTCAAGGCCTGGTTGGACCATACCTTCGAGACAAGCACGTTGTCATAGTTTTGCGAGGAATCAGAATGTTTGAAAATCCTCCGAAGGATATCAACATTCCTCAAAATGCGGTTTGAGGACATAGTCGCGCAGACGCCTACCAGGCTGTAGTATGCTATTTGTCTTTGTCTACCAACACCGCGCGCTGATCAGTGTACCTTGCGCTGGAACTGATGAAAGTATGGTAAATGTATTCCAGACTATGCGCGCGAGAGACATGTAGAAGTATATAGAGCGCGAGCAAGGTCGGTTTCGTATTTCAAGAATGTGATATCGTTGCCTCTCAACTAATCCTCGGTTTCTGATTCCCTAGAACCCGCCAGTATGAACCCATCCCAATTTTTAAGTCATTATGCATTGACGGCCGTATTGACGGCAACGTTGAACCGCGTCGACGGCTTTGCGTTGTGCTCAAAGTCGGGGAGCTGCAGGTCCGGGAATACCTTCTTGACCTTCTTCGCGTGGTACTGTGCCCACACGCCCGCTTTGATGGCGAAAAACGTGAGGCTTCACGATAGAAAGATAGAAAGACACGCACACACGCCAGTAAACGTCGTCTGCTCCCACCTTGCTTTGGCGATGGCCTGCTCTTCTGGCGTGAGGGCGGGGAGGTGGTCGAGCGGGAGGTACTCCATCTTGGCGTCCCAGCTGAAGTCGAAGAAGAAAGGGACGGAGATGCGAGAGGCCCCGTGGGGTGGCGGGACGACACGGTGGGGTGTGCTTTTAAAGCGCCCGCCGGTCATTTGGTCGAGCATATCGCCAACTGTAACGAAAGGATCAGAATGAGAGGAATGAGAGATTGATTGAGGCCGAGCCAAAACAGCGTTGACTCATTTTATCCCGCCCATGCCGTGCTCTGCACAAACGAGTGCCCAAAGCAACTCTTGGAACTGGCAGCTGGTGGCCCAGGGCTAGCAGTGGCAAAGGACGCGACGTCCCCGCCCACCGTGTTCATGCCGTATTTTGAGATGAATTAAGAATCAACCCCCTTGTAACTGGCATACTCTGGTACTCTGGGAACAGACTGATATCGGTCAAGAGTAGAGGCTCGAGGCACTCAATGATAATCCTTCTTAGATGGGACTGCGTGCGTCCAGGACACTACTTAGCTATTAAGCTCGGCGAGACTCACGCAACCGGTGGTGTTCGCCAATGCCCCAGGCTTGTTGACTAGCGGGAGGGAGTTTTAGGTGCAGTGTATTTGAAGCAGCGGACAATCGCGACGGGTTCAGGTGCCAGGTATTTCTCGCGCAAGCACTGACGCTCGAGCGAGAGGGATATAGCATCCGACAGCGCTTTGCCTAGGTCCGTGGATCTGCTCGATCCACGTTAGAACTGCAGGACGCATCGCGGGTAGGGCTATCGTCCTGGGAAACGATTCTTGCCATGCTACAACATTATTGATAATACAAGTAGAGAAGGTGAGGGTGGTAGAAGGTCGGACGAACCGTGGCAGCCCTAGCATGGGGATGATCGTCAGGGTGTTTCGGAGGTCCATGCATAGCCCTGGGAAACGATTCTTGCCATGCTACAACATTATTGATAAATACAAGTAGAGAAGGTGAGGGTGTAGAAGGTCGGACGAACCGGTGGCAGCCCTACATGGGGATGATCGTCAGGGTGTTCGGAGGTCCATGCATAGCCTCCCCTCCGTGAGGCATGTATCCACGCCAGGCCACGCCACCTGTACGAACATGTAGTTCGAGCTTTTTCTCCTCTGGGAGCGCGAAGAACTCGGCGGCGGTACGGAAGAGATCTTGACGCTGGGAGGCAGGAATGCCAGTGCCCTTCAGCAAACAGAAACCCCACGTCGAAAAAGCATCTGTGGAGTTTTTCGTAGAATTCTTACTGTGGGAATAAATATCTGACTGTGCGAGTATCTGCGGTCCTTCGGTTCATCGGCACAGTGTCTGTTCCTCAACCTTCTTCCTCTCCAAGACCTGGAATTTGCCATAACGGCCTGTAACTCAATTCCCATACGAATACTGACTAGAACCCGTTTTGCCCGCTCAACTGCACTACAAAGTCACAACGGCCATGTCGTCGCCAGTCAAACTTTTTACAGCAACAGACCGCGTATTGACCACCGTAGAGCTTCTTGGGCGCATTTTCAAACACTCCGCTAATGAATTCAGGCGAATGTGCGCGTCTCCAAGACGTGGTCGAATGGGGCTTTGAGTATCCTGTGGTTTGTGGCTTGAACTCAACTCGTTCGTAGTGCTGGGCCCGAGCTTAGTTGATGAAGAGGGGGATGGGGAATGATGATTCGTACGTGCGATCCTGATTTTCATTTTCATCCCTTGGGCCTCATGAGTGATATAGAGATACGAATGACACCTTCGCCCCGATGGTTGGGATATTTTTCGACGGTATCTGTGGCGCGTCTGCAGAATATGTCATCTGGAGTGTGCCCCCGAGGTCGACGATTCTGTCGTCTTCGATCTCATGGCAACTCCTTCATTCCCCGCTGGTCCGCTGGTCCTGAACCTGAGACGAATCATCTACGAGGGCGAAGGCCTCAGGGCCCTTGCTCAAGTTCGAACCTCTGTTCACCAACGAATCCCTCGAATTTCTAGCTCTCTACGACATAGGCGTGGATGCAGAGATGATGACGAGGCGCACCTTGTCATATATCCCCTATCATGCACCAAGTCTACGACGCCTCTGGCTCACTTTTGAGGTTCAGACGCATATATACATACCCCGAACTTGATGTGGTTCTAGCGGCCCTCCCGCAATTGCAATTGGCGCCTGGGGAAGCCGCTGAGTGCAAGCTGAGTTAGATCTGGAGCTTGGGTTCGGGGTTCGGGCTACATTGACCAAGTTACTACTTAGTACTGACTGCACATTAGTGACTCTGAGTGAGCTCCAGTCATAGGGCGCCGCTTCCCTTGCTGGAACTGACAGTGCTCTCTTGCAAAAGTGTGGTCAAGTCCCGATTAATGCCATTCTCCAGTGCCAGCTTACACTAAATAATGGTATGTTACCATCTTTGTTCTCTTTCGATGCTTGGAATTTGAACGCAGAAAAACTATACATGCCATTCAACAATCAACTCGCCGACATCGTTCTTCGAACCTATACCCAACTCCTTCCCTTCAATGAAACACCTCCTTCCAATCCAGCACTAAGATTCCATCGATGAGACTAACGCAAACAAACTAGGGGGACACTCACCATTGAGACAATTTAGGCGCAAATCTCTTACAAAGGGGTCCAAGTCCCTTTCCACGGCACCCCTCCTCTGTTCGATAACCCTTTCTGCAGCCCCCTGCCCTTGAGTGTGTCAACCAACGCGCCGCCCGAGTACAACTTGACCTCCACAGAGGTCCTGGTGAACGTGAGCTCAAAGGTTCCGCCCTGCATGTGCTTCTTGGATTCATTGACATAAAATGCGCCGGTTCCGGTTTTCTCGCAGGCACCGTGTCCCCCGACGCGGGGGACTGAGAACCTAAGGGTCCCTCCGCTGGCGATGGGGGTGAAGTTGGGGGCCTTTCCTGCAAGCTCGGGATCGGCAGCAAGGATGCGGTGTATCTCCTGCACGGTGTCGACGAAATCGGGGTCTTCGGCATCGAGCTTGGTGAGCTCCTTGATGTATTCGTCGAGAGCTTGAGGGTCAAGTGCATCAGTAAAGCATGTCAGTAAGCAACAGATAGGGCCTACTTTCAGCGTTGGAGAGGGTGTCTGCGAAGATCAATCAATCAATCAGCGGGATGTAGACGGGGCGGGTACAAGGAGGGCGTACCCATTGTTCAAGTATGTATGAGTACTCTGGGAGTGTTCTGAGGAGCAAGGGGCGACGTCAGTAGAGGGTAGATGGTAGATGGTAGAGGGTAGAGGAGGGCACCTACAGCTCACTAGCGTTGGAGATGCGGTGAACTGACGATTCACGGTTGGGACAATTAGTATTTATACCGAAATACGGACACTTGGGGACTGGTGTTGTCTTTCTGCGAAGCTGAGGGTGGTGTGTCAGATGGATAGTGTGGCATCCGGACTTGCACGACCACCGGAAGCAAAGTCAGCTATTTGGGGTTTCCTGCACTGACATGGGGTCTAGAAGGATCTTGAACACTCCTACACTTCAAGTCAACGTACGAAACTGCGCCTCTCAGGCTAACCGCCTGTACAAACATTATTTCAGGCATGTACGTTCACCGGAGGTGACACGAAGTGATGTATTGACGTTATCTCTGCAGTACATAGTCACCGCGCTATATTATACACGACTCTGTTCAACTTCAAGAGCGGACTACGAACAGCGCAATGGATCTGCGCACCTTCTTCAGGTCGGTGTAGCGTGTTCCCACTGAGATGGAGCCTCCTATGAGCACTCCCCAACTTCGTCGTAACCTGCGGTAAGACTCGGATGGTCTAGCCAGTTTCAAGTTGTCATCAAGCCATCATGATAGCGACGCCAAATTATACAGCTTGCCGTGAGTTTGAAGGACACTGCGCGAGAAACTTACCCGAGGTGGTCCGGAATGTCCACACGTGTAGGTGGGGATATCCTGGCCCCGAGAAAGAACGCAAACGTTGACAGAGAATATCGGGGACAGGTCGATGCGACACGGAGTCAGATGGGGAGTCCGGACTTCTGGGACACAGCGGGTGTCAGCGGCAAGGTTGTTTGTGTGGGTATGAATGTGTATGAGAGGAGAGGGTCGTACGTGTAGTAGCCTAGAGGGACACGCCACCGGTGATTCTACATGCCTGAAATAACACTCGGTTAGAGCCTACGATCTTCGATACGATGGTCAGCGCCTAGTATTTCCGTGAGGTAACCGCAAAGAACTCACTTTGCTTCCGGCGGTATCACACCCCCGGCGGTAACAAATACAATACTCGTCCAGGAGTCACTTTCGGTGCGGGTTGCCCTCTAACTCTGGAGGCGTCCCACTCGTACAGCCTCTACTGATATCTCTAACCCCCTCTGTTCTCATCGTTCGACATGAGGATTAATGTGCCATAGCGGTGCCGTACCGGTTGCGAGCAACTGGCCGGAAAGGCAGTTTGTCCCGGACATGGCATGGAGCCTCAGGTATCCGCCTAATTGTTGGCAAAGCCCTTCATTGTCAATGTCGTCGAGTAAACTGCCGCTGCTCACGGGTATGCCTAAACGTCGATGGAAGTAAGTCAGGCCTATTGAATCATGGGTCGATAGGAGCCCCCTCGTTCGTACTTATTGAACGGTCCACAATGGACAGAGTTGGGAGTGACCTCTGGGCTTGGGGTATGGATAGCGGTCTTGCAGGGCGTTCCTCCTAGCACCACAGGAATTGGATTTTCGCCTGAATCTCAGCGACTAGGGAAGACACAGAGCGCGCCGGGTCCTCGAGTGCTGACCCATGATGTCGGAGCTGCGACCAGCCAGACAGGGAGGTTGCTGCTGCTGGCGTCGTAAAATAGGTGTTTCTTGTAGGAGGGAATAATGGAATCAGTGTTCTACGAGTGGTCCAGTATCACGACACCTTCGCCACATTGAAGACGTCGGAGCCCTATAGTGTCCTCGCAAATTTGATATGTCCCCGTCGTGGTCCGTTCGTCTCCACAACTACATGCTTCTGACGAGTGCTGAGCACACGGAGCAAGGATAGGGCGCCAAAAGAGACAAGAAGGTGCTGAGCCCGCTGGGGTTGGACGGACCTATGGTAGGAGTTCGTGAGTTCGCGTCAATAGGTTGCAGAAGCAATGACGGCGTATTTACAGCCGAATGCTCGCGCTGGTATCGAAGGGATAGTTGACGCCAACCTCCAAACACGGTCAAGTTGGGCGTGAGGGGACGATCGCGAAACTAGCCGTGTTGAGTTTTGATGGTGAATTTGGCGACAAAGCTACAGCAGTGAGCGTGAGCACTAGGAATCAGAGGCGCACTGTCTGCATGTACGCTAGGACAGGCTATCGGAGTTCATGCTTGTGGGCAGCGTAAATGTGGAGATGAAGTCCCATGCCCCGCGTCGTTATACCCGTGGGCCGTGATTGAAGGCACCCGCGGAAGCCAGTAGAAGTACATATGGCGCCCCCGTGGCCCATTCGACTTAACTGACGAGCTGTTCCAAACGAGCACCGTCTTCAGAGGCCGCCATAGCACCAGCACGAAGAAATGAATGACATCATTGAAAGAGTTGGACGAGATCAGCAAGCGCCCTAACGCCCATCACAAAGAAGCCGTCACATGTCAAGTCACGTTCCAACTTCCACACCGCGCCGTCATACGGAAAGATCTTTTATGTGGACTGGATGGCAACAACTGAAAGCGGTGTTAATCCGATAGGTGTCTTTTTGGTAAGCAGCGCCACTCCATTGTGGGATGTCCTCGTCCACGACCGACGGCTTCACCCCGTGGTTCAGCATCCGTAATCTAACAGAGAGGCAGTCCCGTTTCTGCAACATTTGCCCATGCCACATGGCTCCCTGACCAACATTCCATCAATCACGTAGGTGACATTTCTGTGAGAATGCCCACCTATTCGCTAAGGAAGCCTTTTTGACTGTCGTTCCCATGATTCGCTTGTCACATCATGCAGCCTCAAGAAGAAGTTCACGCTTCATGTGCTCCACCACTCGAGTTTGATAATCGCTGGCTTGGAGGCACCCCTTCTTGACAAGCGACTGCCCGAAAGAAGGCAAACTGCGTTGCTGTCTATAGCCAAGGGTCCAACGGAATGTCCGCCCATCGGTACATGATGCGAACGAAGATGCTTCCTCGGCTCGAGTGGGGGGCTTTTATATGTGGTGTGACAACCGTCTTGATGTTCCTCGCATTCCCATCACCACGATGATCCTTGCTACGCTCCTGCTCTCGTTCCAGCTGCTGGGACGTGCAGAGGCCTTTGTCCAACGTGTGTACAACTCGTGCCGGGGATGTAACGAGCACAAAATCACTGACCAGGGATTTTTCCATAGGATCATGGGATGAGTCGTATGCACTTGCAAACGCGAAGATCGCACAGATGACGGTAGACGAGAAAGTGGGCATTCTAACGGGTGTTGGGCAATTCAACAGTGCGTACGCGTTCTCGCTTTCTACGGCGCGTTCTTTCATCGACCATCTTGCTGGACGTAGGTCGGTGTGTTGGGGATACACATCCCGTCGATCGGCTCGGAATTCCCTCTATTTGCTTCCAAGACGGCCCCGCCGGGCTGCGACTCGTCAAGGGCGTGACGGGCTTCCCGAGTGGCATCAACACGGCGTCGACGTTCAGCAGGCGCCTGATGCGCGCGAGAGGCGTTGCGCTGGGCGAGGAGTCGCGAGGGAAGGGCGTCAACGTCTTCCTCGGGCCAGCTATGGATATCGTGCGTCCATCCTCCTTTCTTTTCACCCCTCTTAGTGGTTGAGTGCTATCGGGGGGTGTAGATGCGCAATCCGAAGGCTGGCCGCGGCTGGGAGAGCTTTGGCCCCGACCCCTTCCTCACTGGCGAGGGCTCGTACGAGACCATCATTGGCGTCCAGAGCACAGGAGTGCAAGCCTGCGCGAAGCATTTCGTGGCGAACAACCAGGAGCATTGGCGCTATGGCGTCACGTCGAACCTCGACGAGAGGACGATGTGGGAGGTGTATGGGTGGCCTTTCTTGCGCAGCATAGACGTGAGTAATATATGTGACGACCGGATGTTCGTGAACGCTGAAGCCGAATATCATTGTGCACGTTTTATAGGCGGACGTAACCTCCGTGATGTGCGCCTACAACCGCGTCAACGGGACGTCTTCGTGCGGAAACTCAGACTTACTTGGTCCGAAAGGGTTCTTGCGAGAGAATGGATTCAAAGGTGCGTATGGCGCTTCCCCCCCGCTCCTTCATAATACTATCTGCTAACTAACTGGTGACCGCGGTGATCATTATAGGTTTCGTCGTGAGCGACTGGGGCGCTACACACGATGCCGCGAAAGACGTGGCAAACGCGGGGCTGGAGATGGAGCAGCCGGGGGACTGGATCGTCATCGGCGGTGGCGACTTCAACAACCTCATTACGGGCCTCAAGCCCGCTGTCAAGAGTGGTGCTGTGACCACCGACGTACGTTGCTTTTTCCTTTGCCTCCCTGCGTGTGGCGGCATTAGCTGACGCCGGCTGTTTGCAGCGGCTGAATGAGATGGTGGGACGTGTATTGGCAGCGTTCTACCACCTCGGGCAAGATTCCGTGAGTACCTACTTCGAGTCCACGTCCTCTTCAGATCCCTCCTCGTCTCCCTCTGACACGAGCCTTGCATCCCTCGCAGGGGTTTCCAGCCGTGAACTTCGATGCGCAGCACTCCGACGGCTCTGGGTCGAAGAACCTCCACGTCTCGGTCCGCTCAGACGCGCATACGGCCCTGGTCCGCGAGATCGCCTCGGCGTCGGCCGTGCTCCTCAAGAACAACCGCACCACCTTTCTCCCCGCCGCTGGTGCCAAGGAGACCATCCGCGGCCTCCCCATCACCAAGTCCCGCATCCGCACCATGGCCATTATCGGGCAGGACGCGAAGATGCCGAACTTGAGCTGCAACGACCTCAATGAGTGCAACGATGGGACTATGTCCGTCGGGTGGGGCTCGGGCTCGAACTCGCTGGAGTTTGTTGTACCGCCGGTTGATGCGCTGATGTCGGAGAATGCGGGCGCTGCGACGCTGGCGACGTCGCTGTCGAATGACCTCAACGCGGGGGCGAACGCTGCGAGGGATAAGGACGTTGCGTTTGTCTTCGCTAACGCGTGAGTTCCTTGTGTTTGCGTTGACTTTGATACAGAAGTTGAGAGCGCTGTTCGTCTCCAGAATGAGCGGCGAGCTGGGGTTCTATAGTGTCGTCGTCGGCAACATGGGGGATAGGAACGACCTCGATCTCTGGTTCAAAGGAGGAAGTTTGGTGGGTGCCTCCTTTCTCTCTATCGTGTTCTGTGTTCTGAGAGAAGAATTAATGATGATTTGTTCCTCGACGCAGATCGAGCGCGTGGCGGCGGTGTGCAACAATACCATCGTCGTCATCCACTCTGTTGGTCCTGTGGTCATGCCCTGGAGCTCCCACCCCAACATCACCGCCATCGTGTACGCAGGTGCGCCCGGGGAGATGACGGGCCCGTCTCTAGTCGACGTGCTCTACGGCAGGTATAACCCCCGAGGGAGGCTCCCGTTCAGTATCGCGGATGTAAGTGTGCTCGCTGGGTTGCGATCGCAGCGGAACCTGGAGGTGCTGACTTCGTGTGCTATCTGACAGAAGGAAGCAGACTTTGGAACTTCGATCGTGTATAACAGCTTGTCGGGCTTCCCTGAGGTGCGTCCATCTATGTGCACCCCTGCCCAACCGCCCAACCGCCCACTATCACTATCTCAACATGGACAACGTAGATCAACTACACCGAGAAGCTCCTCCTCGACTACAGGTACATGGACGCCAACGGCATCACGCCGCGCTTCGAATTCGGCTTCGGGCTCTCCTACACGACTTTCGCGTACTCCGGCCCATTGTCGATCGCGTCCGGTGCGTCTGGGACCAGGGCCATCACGTTCACCGTGACGAACAGCGGGGAGGTGCCCGGGACGGAGATCGCGCAGCTGTACCTGGCGTTCCCTGCGGGCGCTGGCGAGCCGCAGCGCGTTCTGAGGGGCTTCGAGGAGGTGCCGCTGGGCGTTGGCGAGAGCAGGAGCGTGACGATTGCGCTGGGGCAGAGGGATATGAGGTGAGCTCGTGTGATGTGATGTGATGTGATGTGGGGATGTTGATTGATGATTGGGGTTTTGTAGTATATGGGATGTTGTGCGGCATGCGTGGGTCGTGCCTCCTGGGACGTTCACGGTGACGGTTGGCGCGTCTATCAATGACGTCCGCCTGACGGGTACTTTCTAGTGTTTGAGCTTTTACTTGTGTGCGTTCGTCCTACTTTTAGAGTCGAGTGTTATCCGCACTGACTGACTTGTTTGACAGCCGTGCATGCTAGTCGAGGAAGATGAGGGGAAGGAGATATTCTGATATCAAGTAATTCCATAGCTGAGATATCGATACACAGTGAGGTTTGCCCCAAGTAACAGAGGACGGAGCTATAACGAAGATGGGTGCCAACGGGAGAGGGTGCTAGGAACCAGGACGCCGAGGACGAACTCGGAATTCGCAGTGCTTTGTCGGTCTGTAAGGCGATGGTTCGCCTTTTGACGCCTCTGGGAGATGGCGCGACGGTGCCTCGATCCTATTCGTTCCCTAAAACCATGTGTGATACTCGCGCATCTCTCTGCGCCCGCTTCATTTCCTCATTTCCTCGGCATCCCAAAGGCCCAGGTTAGTACTCTGATCTCCAAACGTCCGTCACTGGGGCGTCGGCAGTAGAAGGGAAGTCGGAAAGCTGCGCTGAGATCAAAACGCCTGCCCTCTGGCAGTGTCCTAAATGGAAAGGCTTCAGTGTCATGCATACGTTCGGTTGTCTGCATCGAGCACCAGCGTCCTGCCGTGTGAGAATCGCGTTCAGAGGGGAATCTGGATCGCCAGCTTGATGCCCTGACATCTTCCAGTGTCAGGCGATGTCCACAGGTGATATCACAGCCGTGAGACACATCGTACATAGCAACCAACAGTTTTCAGAAGTTAGCGCTTCAGCGCCCAACACCAACACAATCTCTGTCTGCACGACCATGTCGTCAAACCGCGTATTGACCAATATTGACATTCTTTGGAGGATTTTCGAATACTCCGGCTCTTCACACAAAACTACCACAACGCGCTTGTCTCGAAGATATGGTCCAACGAGGCTTTGAGCGTCCTTTGGCGAACACTCGACTCGCTGCTACCGTTACTTCGCCTCTTGGGCCCTATGACTTTGGTTTCGAAACAAGATGAGCTGCCTTATTATGTTGCACTGGTTTACTTCGACGATGCTCTGTCCTAATGATGTTCATAGAAATATGGCCGACTGCTTCGTTCAGAGAGTTGGGTCGTGTTCCGGCGATACGCATGGCGCGTTCGTATAATAGAAGGTGACGACATGTCGCCACATCGCCGACTCCCATGATACCGAGCAGGCACTATGTACGCGACTGGCAGGGTATGAAACCACTTGGAGAGCCCACATAGCCACAGATACACGATAGGGATGACCTTCCCGAGCTTCATCGACGTTTGGTCGATTTCCGTTGCTCGATACCTGATCTTCTGGAACACTTACTGGCACAGTCGGCTCGACTTCGAGAAGGCAGCAAGGTAGAAATGGAGTTCCTCTAGCTCGTAAGTGCTTTTACAGCCATTGGCATGACGATCGAGCAACTTTCGCGCTCCCATAGTTCAGGATTTCAAACATCAAATCTTTGACCGTCCTCCGCTGTTGCCGAAGCATCTGGGGTCCGGGAGACATTGAGAAGGGTATGCTGTACATCATCATTCGCTCTTTTTTGCTCTCACATGTCCTCTTATACACAAAGAGCGCCACGCACCACTGCTGACCATCTCCCGAGGCCGAATTCAATGTAACGAGAGTAGCAGCATCACGGGTGACAAAGGAAGGGCGACCAAACGTGGGCAAAAGCTCCCAGCTCGGCTGCCTCAACAACGCCTATGGTACTAGTATTCCACACCGTTGCTGCAAAAGACTGACATCGGCGCACCGCCCAACATTGAAAAGCAGGAGATGGAAAGGGAACTCATTTGTTATACTTACCCGTAAGTCTTCCTTTTGAACTGCTTTGACGTATGATCAACATTCTTCGTGAGATTCGCTCTGCTTCTCCTTATGCTCAATCCTCCTGACAACCCTACACAGTCGTCAAAACACCCCAACGGATTCACGCTCAGCACCGCGACACGAGGAACCTGGCCAACCGATATCGGCGCTCCCATTCGCCCAGACACCCCATTCGACCATTCGATCTTTGACTCCCGCAGCTATACGTGCCCGCGAGGGGCCAACGATGCGTCAGTGGCGTCATAGGGCAAAGAACTACGAAGTGGCAGGGGACATTGCGCTTAATTGTATGCGTTTTGCCCATCTTCAGCGAACGACACCGAGTTCCTTCCGTCACCACCACATATTTTGTGTTCAAACGCCCAAACCGCCCGTCGCGCCCAAATTGCCCATCCCAATCGCACAACTGCACAACTGCTTGTAGCGCGGCGGTGATATGGCGGTTGCGGAGACCGAATTGAGCAGGGGGAGCAATGCCGCCACGTCCGTCTTTGGGGTCCCCGCCTTAACATGTCGTCGACGTGCCCTCCGAGCGACGTAGATGCACGTTGGCAAAGACCACCTGCGCACCTGGCATACATTGAAGCACAATTCCATTGGTCTGGTGCCGTGGATGCCGTTTCATGAACATCGTGGACGCTGAAGCATGCGCTCTGATATCTCAAACCTGCCACCTCCACCAAGAGTTTACGCGTTGGGGCATTGAGACGTTTGCGCTCTTGGGACTTTGAGAGTTTGCGTGGTTCGCTGTTTGGGTGGAGGCAGTGGTGGGGCAGACCCAGATGTCCAGACGTCCAGCTACGAAGGACAGCAGGCTCGACTCAAGCTGCCGAGACATCGGATGAGAGGATATGAGGCGTAGAAAACGATAGACAATAGGGGAGACCTGCTAGCACGTACTCCGGTCAGCTACACTCCCTCTGCCGATATGGCCGCTGTGTCGAGCTGCCCGCCACTCATCGTCAGCCGCACTCCCACTCAACCAAAATGTCCTAAATGTCTGGTGGAGGCGATATTCGTTGAGTGCGATCGTGGGATCGCGCAATCATCGTGCATCGAGTTTCCATGCTTGACACGCCGCCAGAGGCTTCGTCCACAAGGCATGGCCCAGGGCGAGATATCGACACGCCCGAGCGATTGAGTATTGGCTGCTCGCTGTTGGTGTTCAGCGACGGTCTGTCTACGCAAGATGGAGGTATCATCCCGCAACACAACGAAGCGTATCAGAGTAAACAATGCTCATGGGGCCTCCTCCATTCGTACTACCGGTGGGTTGGCGCAGGGAATCGGTGCGTCGATGTCACCGAATCGACCTAGTCTGCCCCACTAAGCCTGCCCCGCCGAGCAGGCTCGTTGAGATGCCTTGCACGCGCCAGAGAGATCTCAGAGAGGACATCCATCCAGCGGTCTTGGAACTCGCCGTGATTCATCGACACCATCCCCGCTTGCGTACGCACACCCCCAGCGACACTAGGGCTAAGCCCCTGCCTTATCACTACAACCGCCCTGATCCGCCGCGTCGGTCAGTCAGTCAGTCGGTCAATCGCATTGTTTGCCGTCGTCAGGACGCCACGTTTTATTTTGAGTCTTCTGCTGCCGTTGGAATGAATTGTCAGTGCCCTGCAGCCTCCGAAGTCAGCCCCCTTCAGCTACCGTCAGCCAACGTAGCGGTTCCCGGAGGTTTAGTGGATGTTGTTACCATCGATCTTACGGTGGCTCGCGGCTGCACCAAAGCCGGTCATGCATCATCCACTGACTGACCACCGACTATCTGTTCTTCTCGCGCGAGCCACCAAAGCCGGTCATGCATCATCCACTGACTGACCACCGACTATCTGTTCTTCTCGCTCTGCGAATTGAGGTGGAGCACAAGCTCTTGATACCGGATACCGACCTAATTATGGAGAGGTACGGTCATAGCTTTAGGCGAGCGAGACCAACGAAAGCAGGCCATTGAACTACCCTCGACCGCCGATGCTTGTTGCTTATCAGCCAAAATCTAGCACGACTTACAATTTCAATGAGGTGCGAGATGCTCCTATACTACTCGAATGATTGGGAAGGCCAGGCCCAATAGGCAACGGTGATGGGGGAGGCGGCCTCAGGATTCCATGGCGCTTTGACGGCTTGACGGAAGGCCCGTTCGTGTTAGGGGGCTCTTCGTGTAGGGTACGGAACTATAGTTATAAAATGGTTCCACGGAAGGATTGGAAGAGTCTCAAGGCGCTTTCGGGTGGCGGCTGGGTGGGGCGGAAACGAAACGTGATGGTCCGCCGTCGTCGTTTATGCACAAATAGTGCTTTCAATGCGAACCCTTTTGTCGAGTTCAAGTTGATGGCGATAGCTGGATTGGCCTCGGCGGTGCAGGACATGTTTTCTCCACTTTCGCATATGTCAGTGGGAAAGGTAAACTCACCTGCCCAGAGATGATAGAGGGAAACCGGCGACAGACAACTTGTGACGTCGAGCTAAAGGCGTGGATACAACTCGCCTCAGCTTGCTCTTGTTCACCATTGTCTGGCGAGCGAACGTTGAGATAGCGACTCAGGAATCGGCCAACGGGGTGCAGAAGAATGGGCCAAACTGGCGGGCTTGAACGATTTACGAGCAATTTAGACTCCCTTTCTTGGTAAATTTATATTCCGAGTCAGCCAGTAGGCGGGTGGGCGGTCGAGGGGGGAAGCTGGGGGAAGGGTATGATGGTGGGGAATCGATGAAGCCGTATTTCCGCAATGACGCCTTATATACGCCGACCGTGCGTCTGAATTCGGAATCACGATCCGTTGACTGACACTGGCGAGGGTTGTCAGCCATGCCCCCTGTGTCAGCCTGCCCCCGTTCTGGGCGCCACCAACAGCGCGGTTTCGGTGCTTGGGAGTTCTAGATGGAGGTTGTTCGCCATTGAGGAGTCAGCCTGCCGATGTTGCCGCGTTTCTGAGGATGGTGCTGCCAGGAACATGCGTCCTGAAAACGAAGTTCGTCGCCGGCGAGTGGGGATCTGTCGTGACGCGGGGGTGGCGAAGCATGTGCATTGAAGCGACCCCCGATAGCTGACCTCTGAAAGCAATCCCCTGGCTACGTTCTACGCCGGGACGCAGCGGTGGTACAGGGCGCAATATCCGTTCTGTCTCGTAACCTTGTGTAGGCTTAGTTAGAGTTATCAGGCGAAGGATGCTTTCCCATCTCTGGGGACGTTTACCACTAACGCGTTCCGCATTGCTTTCCTCTTCGAAGCGAACGAGTTCAGTTATCTGCGAACCCTCGATGTCCGTGCCTACTGCAAGGAATCACACACAGCATGTCGCGGACTGATGAGCCATCACGTCTGTTTGCTCAAACATTCAGAGTATTAGTGTGCAGAGCCGTACCCTTCAAGACAGGCACCAATGGATCGATGACGACTCTGAACCCTTGTTGTCTTTCTTCCTCTCTACAAGGCACCGTTGCTAGAGTCTGACTTCGCTCCAGCTCAACTACGCTCCCCGCCTAGGCCTCAATGTCGAACTTATGAAAGTGCTTCTAGCAAGTCTCCCTTCCCTCGAGATCCTCAACCTGAACGAAAATCTTGGGCCCGCTACCCTACCCATCTCAGCTCTCTCAGAGCTGGCCCCGCTTTGCCCGCGCATGAAGCTCTTGACTCTCTACACGAATACTGAACGATTCTCGATATTGTCGGTAGCTACCCCGCCAGATACGCCCCACAAGTTTAGCTGCTTGAAAGTTTTGGACGTAGGAGTCTCCCCCTTGAAGTCTCCTGCTCTGGACGTGGGGTCATTTTTGGGTATGATCCTTCCGAAAGAGTGCATCCTTAGGGTGACGAACCCTGAGGAGGAGGAACAAGCCAAGTGGATGGCTGTTATCGACTTTGTACCGATGACAATACAGTTATATACCGCCGGAGGGGGCCGCTGCATCGATCGTGGCAGGACGGGTATCTTTTGAGTATATATCTGAATATACCGTTATCGCCATATATTGGCATCGAGCGTCGATGTATCACTATGCAGACTCCAGAGAAGACGGACAGGGATGCGCTCTCCAAGTCACCTTTCGTTTCCTCTTTTCACAGTCAGACGCCCTCCCACGAACGCGCCTCGTATCCCCGTTTAGAATAACGCCCACCCAGTCTCACTTCCATGATCCCAACTCGACCTTTACCGTGACGACGCCGTAGAACATGTCGAAGACCAATGTCTTTCATCACCTTCCATTCTTGCGCCGTGCCCGTTCACAAGGCATCGCCTTAGGCAATCGCCGTCTATATTCGAACGCCAGTGGCACTTCAGCACTCACACGCAGTCATATCACCGCCTGGGTTCTCACGGCATCTCTTGCTGCAGGAATTGCTGGATACAAACTTGGCCACATTGGGGCCAGCTCAACATTCACCTCATATACCATTCCCGGCGAGAAGCCGCGCTTTGGTACTCCTAGAGACTTCCAACTCGCTGTCGTCGAACTGAAGAGGGCGTTCGCCAGCGACTCCGAAGACGAAGCGCAGGTGTCAACTGATCCAGAGGAATTGGAAAGACATGGCTTCTCGATGTACGATTATCACCCCAGTGCGTCGTTCGTTCATTATATATGTGCTCTCTTCATTCATTTGGTGGTTATCATGTAGGTGCATTCCATAATGTGGTGGTGTACCCTCGTTCGACGGAGGATGTAGTCAAGATCGTGAACATTGCCCGCAAGTATCTTATGCCCGTCATTCCGTATTCCGGGGGAACCAGCGTCGAAGGGCACACACGTGGGGTATGTGCGCTTCGGACTTGCTCCGACTTTGTCTTCGTGTTCACCGCACATACTTATCCCGATGATACAGCATTCCACGGGAGGGATCTGCGTCGACATGTCCCAAATGGACGCGATCATCGAGATCCACGGTACGTCTCCACCTTCCCACATTTCTCATTCTCTCTTTTGCTCCTCGTTACCGTTCGACGCGCAGCGCTGAGCACGAAACTAATCTTCTTGTTCTGCTTTGCAAGAGCAGGATTCTGACTTAGTATGTCAACCCGGGTGCCAGTGGATGGCCATCAATGAGGCATTGCAGAAGAAGGGTGTGTTACTCCCTCGTGATCCAACTCTGTCGCTCATTGATATATTTGAGCTAGGAATCCCGCTGTTCTTCCCCGTACGCTCCTGCTTCGTTTGGCACGACGCATATACGCGAACTGACCGCGTACACGGCCGCTAGCTCGACCCTGGACCTGGCGCGACAATTGGAGGGATGCTCAGCACCGGTTGCTCGGGAAGTACGTTGAGATTTCCTCTTCCTCCGCCGCACTTTGTTCACACTTTGTTCACAACTAGCCAATGCCGTCCGTTATGGAACGGCAAGAGGCGAATGGTTCCTCAACGCTGTAAGTACGCTCCTCCTCACCTCTCGCCCACTCTCACCGATGCACGTTTGTACTACCCGCCTATGTCACTTTCTGCTCTGGTATTTGCCTTAGACCGTAGTTCTTCCATCTGGTGAAGTCATCAAGACGCGCAGCCGCGCGCGCAAGTCGTCTGCCGGGTTTGACTTGACCAAGCTTTTCATCGGTGCAGAAGGGACGCTGGGGATCGTCACTGAGGGTACGTATTCAGTTTCGGTGTCTTCTCTTCCGTTCAATATATGATATATGCTGAATTCATGAGCATCGCAGTGACGATTCGCCTGGCCCCCGTTCTGCCTACAACGGTCGCGATCGTGCATTTCCCCGATGTGAAGCAGGCCACCGAAGCTGTTACTGACGCCCTCAACCAAGGCGTCGGCATCCGTGAGCCCCCTCTCCCTTTTGTCACCTCTCTTACGTGGATACGAACCTCTGTCCCCTCCCGTCCACAGAATGCGCGGAGCTCGTAGACGACCGCTTCATGCACGCCACCAACCTCAACGGCATGTCAATGCGCAAGTGGCCGGAAAGGGACAGTGTATTCTTCAAGTTTCAAGGCCCCTCCCCGGCTGCGCTTCGGGATACCGCCCAAGTCGTAAAGCGCGTGGTTGAGAGGCACGGCGGCTTCGGATTCACGCTAGCGAAGGACGAGAAGGAGGCGGGGACTCTGTGGGCTGATAGAAAGAACGCGCTGTTTTCGACGCTCGCGCTGGTGGATGACCCTAATGTACGGATTTTGGGGACTGATGTGTGGTATGTCAGCCGTCTCCTTTGTCTTTCAGGTTAGCTATACATACGATACCCATGCATCACTCAGCGTCCCCGTCTCGAACCTCCCCCAGCTCGTCCTCGAGACGAAGGAGGACCTCGCGAGGAACAACATCCTCTTCACGATCGTCGGGCACGTTGGCGACGGCAACTTCCACGCCGCGATCCTCTTGCACAACACCCACCGAGCGTGTCGCCGTCGTAGAGGCCGTCCACCGCTTGGTGGAGCGCGCAATTGCGCTGGACGGCACGTGTACGGGCGAGCACGGGGTGGGGATTGGGAAGAAGCAATACTTGAGGAGGGAGTTGGGGGAGGGCACGGTGCAGTTGATGAAGAGGATCAAGGGGAGTGTGGATCCGCTGGGGCTGTTCAATCCCGGCAAGGTAAGTGGGCTTTCGCCTGTCTTTGTTTAGGTACGAGCTAACCTGTGCGATGCAGTTGTATCCTGATGATGAAGATAATGAGCATAATGCTTGAACGGAATATGCATGCGAGTGCTAAACTGGAGTGGATGGATAGGGGGACTCCCGGGAGTCGTTTCCCGCTTTTTGACTAGTTGAATTGCAGAGATATCGAAGACAATCAAAACCCCGATACTTACTTGATGCATGCTAAGTTAGACGCCCCGACAGCCAGTCGTTTGCATCGAAGCCTGAAGTCGATACTCTAAAGGGGGGCATCTACCAAGCCATCTGCACGCCCGGCGCTGAAACACCAAAATGACATCATATCTACGAAGGCAGGGCTATCAGATATAGGCAGCGTGCAAGGCGCAACTTGAGAGACTGGCCGCCACCTGCTGACTCACGTTCTCTGATGTCAACCTTTAGTAAGTAATCCCACTTTCCCTCAGCTTTCGGTCAAGGTTACTGTTGAATTAAGTGCGGCAACGTCGAGGGTTGTATGTACAGCGAAGTGGGGTCTTCCTCAGTCGCCCACACTCATGCCACAATATGCAACGTTCGCTGAGCACCTCAGACTTCGAACTCCAGTGGCGATGGATTACATCTTACAAGCTCCCGGCGTTCCATCGAGCCAGAATACGCAGACACGGTGAGCCGGAATGTCTTTAAGGTGGATGTCGCGCTCACGAGGGTAATGTGAACAGCTAGCCAGGCGCATCAGTGTTTAGGCGTAAATGATTCCCTCTGCGTGGCAACTTCGCGACAGACATAGTGAGAAATTAGCATGGCCTCGGCATATGGATGCTTCAGTGCTGATGTGCCAATACATTGAGTATGGATGCTCGAACATATGCATAGCCTGTGTTCATCCGCAAGCGGATCCATACGCCCATGTGTTCGTTCAAATCTACAGCCACATGCGGTTCATCACATCTACTGGAGTACAAGGAGCGTCCGGGTATCCTCTCCAGCCTATTCATTCGTTTGTTTGTTTCGAACAGGATTGGTGAGATGCAAAAGGAGCCTCACCACCGATATTTGGGGGCGCCCGCGAGATTGGGGTCGAACAAGAGAGGGACTGGTTCCGGAATTCAAATATTCAAGATCCAAGAATTTGATTCGCGAGCGTGGGTTGGTCATAATGTAGCCGCTGTGCTGTTCTCTGCTATCGCCCGACGGGTATTCCAAGATATCTCCAAGATCTTTCAAAGACACGTTATTTGGGACTTCGCTCATGGTCGTTGGGGGGGAGTCGACGGACCCGTCTCTGCCTGATTCTGAATATCACAGAGGGCCAGCCGCATAGTGATGTGAGTGCGGGTGTGTCTCTGGGAACGGGGCCGGAAGACGCACGATGGCGGAGAAACGCAGGGCTATCGTTCCTTGGATTTCGGTTTGCCCGAGTTCTACCGCGAACTGGACACCGACGCCTGCATCCGAGTCTTGTGGTTGCAGTCCCTGATCCTAGAGATATTCAAAGTGGAGATGGTCAGCCATGCATACTCCCCGGTCGTAGGCTTGAAAATAAACAATAGAGAGGGGTGGTACTCACAGTCGCGACGTGTACCGGCCCTCGAACTTGCTGTTGTCGTTGTTGATGCTGTGCACATCCGTTCCCTGCGCCAACCCCAACCTGTGTCTCGAGATCAGAACCATAATGCCAACTGTACCACAACTGAAAGGATGGGATGCACTCACTGGGACAGCCAAGCTGTGAAGAGCCGCGGTGCCGGCCGTTCGCGACGGTTGACGGTGAGCTCTCGCTGGGCACGGACGGTAGGGGTGAAAGCGTCGTTGCGAGCGACGAGTATTGAGAGATCGATCGGTAGGCACGTTCACTGATTTTCCTGGTCTCTCATGTGGCTTTATGTCGCAAAGGATTAGGAAGAAAAGAGAGGTTATTGGTGGGTGCGTGTAGAAGGAAAAGGAGGCCGGTTTTATTGGGGAAGTATGGTGGCATAACGTTATCCTTGATTTTGATTGCAACTCTTTGGAAGTTTCCGAGAGAGAACGTTCGATATTCGGTGTGAGTGTGTCTGGCTCTTGAGAGCCGCAGTATCGGTAACAAGGCATGTAAATTGGTTCTTGGACTTACATCACGCACAATTTTCCTTGTTTCTATAGGTACCTGAGGGTGCTAAGTCGCAATCGCAGCTAACTGACGCTAATCTAGTGGAAGCAGCAGGTAGATATAGTGCCTGAGCCCCGAGGCTTCGTGGTACGTGGAAATAAAGGAAGCTACATGGCCGGAAAGAGTGGGTTGAGTCACATCACTCTGATGAAGGACTATCCCTCGACGACAAGGAAGATTTGAGACATCAGTTCGATACCGTAAACCCAAAGTCTCCCATGACACCGTAGCGCAAAATGTAACCTTGAGTTCGTCAGATCAGTGAATCCTTCGAAGGGTCCAGCTCTTTCAGTACCCTGCTTGCCTTGCATTGAAGCATGGCCGTTTTGGAGGTCCGGGCGGCTATGGCGCCCAAGTAGGACATGCGGGCGAGAGATTGCGTCGCGACCAAAGAAGGCAGTCTAGAGGTTATCAAATCAGTACTTCGGTGGCAATGGAGGCAAGAAGTAGAGTTGGCTACACCTCCAAGGCCAGCCCTTTTCCGACCAGGCACGCACTCTGAGTGGTCAAGAGGACACAGGAACAAAGCCTCCCGTCATCCTCACGAAACGCCCTTCACGCACGATCATGTCTCCAGACCCCGTTTTACCAATCCTCTCCTCCTTGCGAGGATCTTCGAACAATCCAATTCCTTACAAAATTACCATTACCACAACGCATTGGTCTCAAAGCTGTAGTCCAACGGGCCTTACGTGTCCTTTGGCGAAGCTCGAACACTTGCGTCGCTCCTACCACTGCTCCACCTCCTGGGCCTATGACTTCGACCCGGGGGCAGGTGGTAGGTATATCTTCCTACGTGCGTGCTGTATATATCTCTTTTCGTGCTCTTCAACCATGATACACGTAGAATATGACCGGCTCACCCGTCCGGAGGATTGGGCCGTGTATGAGTGTATGAGCGACACTCATGGCGCGTCCACGAGCTAATCCATGTGGGCTTTGAATCGGAGATCGAGTCATCAGCGACACCGTTTTCACAGACATCAGCATGGCACCCGCACATCCCCCAGCGGCGGCGACCTCCTCCCCCAACCAGCGGACACTTCGAATCCGACGCCAATCCCCCCCTAGAGTACAAAAGTTCATCCACGGAACTATCGATATCGATATCGATTCGCTGACTTTGGGTGCGCCAGAACGTGCGGACACGGACATATTCATGCGAACCATGTTTCACGCGACCCGCGTCGTTCCTCCCCCCCATCTCTGCCATTCAAAGAGAGAACTCGTTGTGATCATGAAGTACATGTGTCGAGACTCCGCCTAAGACGACACGTCAGGCCAGGAAAAGAAAGCAGGGGAAGCGATAGAGAATGCGGTCAACATCAAGAACGCACAGTCTTAACGAACCCCACAAAGTACTGGACTGGTAGGCAACGCAAAGCCCTGCCGCGTTACTCATACTCGCGAGCGTACCCGTTCTTACATTGGCTCTAGTGCCCAATTATGTAAATCTTGGTGCGCATGAGAATGATCATGATCAGGTGGAGAGGAAGACCTGAGGATATCGATAAGGGGGTACCGTGTCCAGAAAAACTAGCGCCACAAGACAGTGTGTCTTTCGCCCGGCTGACCGTCCCCTATGCTATGCGCTCCCGCCACCTATCCGGAATTGCTCGTGTCGTGACCATCTCACCGAATAAGACATCAGCATCGCCGCCGCCGTGGAAGGGCACCACATCCGTCGCATCACACGTAGTAACGTCGACGACACACAACGGATGAGTACTATTGATATTGACGTGGGGGATTCAAAGTACGCCTTCGTAACGCTTATTGCCTTTACCTGCCTCCGCCCTGAAGAGGAACAAAGCTCCGTCGCGTATTGAAAATTTGAACCATCAATGTATCGCACCTGTGGTGTCGCGTTTCCGATCGTAGTCGCACGCGTTGCGCCCCCGATTCTGCGAAAGCTGGGTATTCTGAGATCCTTTCGGTGAGGAGGGGGGGGGCGTACATGAATCATGATCAGTGAAGCGCCTGTGATATGCAAGCGTACGTACGAGGAGGGCACCCAATGTAGGGTTGGGTTGAGTGGAAGGAGTTCGGAGTTCGGACTTTGAAGATGCTTTGTCTGCTCGCCAAACTCAAGCGAGGGCTAAACGCACCTTCACACCACGTGCGTCCTACTTCGACAATCAATATTAATCAATATTCAATATTCCATACCCAATGGCGGCGACGACAGTGCCTCAACGAACGAATCATCAACGTTTCAACGTTTCAAGATTTCAACGCCAACCGACGCTGTTTGCCAGGCATAATGCATAATGCATAATATCCGCACGGGCTCATTAACATTGGCAGGCGCTGCAAGAGAGAACGCAAGTAATCATAATAGAATTATAATAGATGGAGGTGTGTACGGATAGTTCGATGCGGCGAAGAGCACTCCATGAACTCCTCCTATAGCCTACGTCATATGGATTTGGTCAGGGGGACGGAGATCGTTCGTGTCGTCCGGCTAAGCCAGCTTGGATGAGTAGTTGGAGTTGCACGTCATGCGGATTCTTAAGCTCAAGGCGCGGTAAGTCAGCGCTTCAGCCGTCACGCGTCCATCGCCATACCGTGTAGTCGTGGGGAAAGACAGTCATATCCGAAGAAAGTCCCCACCATACACACTGTACCCACTCGTCCCAACTCGTCCCAACTCGTCCCAACTCTGACGCATCCGACCTTCCATCCATTCCGTAGCCTGAGTCTCCCATCGACCCGGAGGCGCGGGCCAACCGCGGAGTCGGATCTACATAGTAAATGCGTAGCACAGAACTGTATAACTGTATAACTGTGTCGCGACGACGGGCGCGCTTGACTAGGTGCGTCGTCGCTGTACTCTCCTCTCATCAGCCGCGTTCGGACATTCGTCTCTCTGCAGATCCCCTTCACGCCGTATTCCCAGCCGCACCCCATGCGAATCTGCGTGGCACTTGGCCGAGTGTTCAGTGTAGGCTCGGATGCAGATGCCCCGTCCCATGTCGCAGTACCGCGCCGCGCCGCGCCGAGAGGTGGGAGTGCAGGATGGCATCAGCCCGAGAGACAGTGCCGGATGTCCACTGGCGGGGGTGCACCACCACGCAGACGAACGGGGAACGGCGACGAACGTATGGAGACATAGGTGGCCATTCAAATTTCACGTATGTGGCCACCTGTCCCGCTGCCATTCCGGTTGACACCACCCCGCTGCCTGCTGCCCGCAGAAGCTCACCCCGCCGTCGCCTGCACTGCTGGCCCCATGTCGGTAGCGCGATTCCCCATCGTTGCACCCTCACGCCGTAGGAGAGGAGTGCCTCAGGGCCTCAGGGCCACGTTCAGCCGCACGGACCTCCTCCACTCGTCCGTTCCTATTCCTATAAACCCGGGCTTGTTTGGCGGACTGACTTCTATCCCCCCTCCCCTTCACCTCCGATCCCTACAATCTCTCCAATCCCGCGATCCCATAAAGCCGTATTATTTGCTATTTTGCTGCTGGCAGTTGGTTGGCGGTTGGGAAGGCGGCTCGTGGCTGACGTTGTCTGACGGGCTGACGGTTGGCGGTTGGTTGGTTGACAGTCGGTTGGTTGGTGGTTGGTTGGCTGACGCTGACTGCTTGTCGGCGGTCGGCTGGCGATTGGCGGTTGCTGACGGTTATCCAATAAGTCGACCCTCGCCGCACAGACCCGGGCGATTTCTCTGCCCTACGCTCTACGCTCTACGCTCTACGACGCCTGCCTGTCGGGTGGCCGCATCCTGCTCTCCTGCTCTCCTGCTCTCCTGCTCTTCGCGAGTGCGAGTGTTTGTGGGATTGTGGGAGTGTTTGTGGGACCGTGCTGGTGCTGGTGCTCGTGCTCGAGTATTTATGGGTCCGTGCTGGTGCTGGTGCTCGTCCCCCGCGCGACGGCGAGAGCGCATCGCATCGCGTTGGCCACTGCTCGTATGCGTACGCAAACGCGAATACGAACGCGAACGTGCGGTAATGCGTAATGCATAATGCATAATACATGCTCATGCTACATGCTACATGCTAAATCCTCGAAATCCTCGAAATCCCAATATCGCAATATAGATCCACTGACGGGCGAACGGTGACGCCCAGCGAACATGCGAATATGCGAATATGGGAGCACGGCGGAGGCGGAGGCGGAGGGTAGTCGATAGTCGATAGTTGGTGATTGATAATTGGTGATTGATGATTGACAGCTGGCTGGTACGCGAGGGAGGGGGGTGAAGGGTGAGGCCGGTGAGGGGATCGTGGGGTGACGGGGTGCGCAAAAGGGGTGGGGTGCGCAAAGGGGAAGGGGTATAAGAAAGAAGGGGCGTGAAGGAAAGGCGTGTGTGTGGTGCGTCCGGTATGCTCCAACTCTGGCTGGCATCACGAGACGAAGGACTCGAAGACGGGGAGGTAGGAACTCGAGATTGAAGACGGGAGGGGCAGGAACATGGGGGAGGGGTAGCAAGGGCCAGCATTTCCCATATGCGACGCCGTCGAATGGACGTGGATGGACGTAGACGTGGACGTAGATGCAGACGCGGATACTGGCTATATGTGTATATGCGATACCGATACCGCTGAGCTGGGTGTCCGTTAACGTTTCGTCGTATGTGCGCCTTTGCTTGTATATGCTCGGATATGTATATATGCGAAGTGTCTATATGCGATGACGTAGGCGGCGTAGTGGGTAGGGAGGAGGGAGAGTGGGGGGAGTAGGGAATAGGGGGGAGAGTAGGGAGGAGGGAGTAGACCGTGGAGGAGACTCGGCGGGGTACCGGTAAGCAGGTAAGCAGTAGAACGCGGAGGGATTTGGGAGGGAGGTGGTGGTGAAATGGGGAAAAGTGAAAGAACAGTGTATGCGCGACGAAGAGATGGGAGGGAGGGGTTGGGATGGGATGGAATGAGGTGGGATGAGGTGGGTCGTGCAGAATAGATCGCGTTGGGCGTTGGGCGTAGATGTGTGCGGAGGGATGATCGATGACTATTGACTGTGCAAACGATGGGACGATGCAGCTTCTCTTTAGCGCAAGGCGAACGCGTTTAACGCGCTGATGTTGGACATTGGACATTAGATACACGCGAGCCGCCGATATCGATAGAGGCGGGACGCGAGCATGGAGTATGCTAGTACAGTACACGGAGCGTTGGGGGACGGTCGACGAGTACTTGCGTGGTCTACGAAGGGTTCCGGTTTCCGATCATAAAATCTCTCACCTCTCAATAGCCAATATTCAATGTGGACGGAATGCACACCTTGCCCCATCGTCTCGGGTACTCGCTCAAACGTTCACACTTCATCGACTTCATCGACATGATACATGAAACAACGATTCCGCAATCCCGCACTCGCGACTCGGTGAAGCTGCGCGGAAGGGGTGCTCGATGTCGAGGAAACAGCCGCAGTTGGGTAACCCTATCCAAGAAGCGAAAGGCGAAAAGGGAAAGGCGAAAGACAAAAAGCGAAGGGTGGCGGTGAATATTTGAATGGCGAAAGGTGAAAGGGTTCGTTCTGATACGGGGATACGGGGACACGAAAACGGGCAATGGGAGCGCCTTGTGACCGAGTAGCACGCTTCTCAACGTCACACCTCCGCGCGTCACTTTTTCTCCCCATTCCTTCAGTGACGCCGTACAAAGAACATCGCCCTTCATTAGATCCAGTTGCTAATCATACATCCAAGCTCTTCGTATTCAAGCTCACCATCTACAGTACTGAAAATCTCCAAGATATAAGACGTGTGGTACTCCACTACCGTACTTAGGCATTCAAACGCGTTCAAACGTTCAAGAAGCTTCACGTTCACGCTCGAGATGCGGTACGTACTCATATACTCATGTACTAACATAAACGTCAGCGTAGGTGTCGCTGACGGAGCTGTGGGAGGTTCGCTGGCCGGTGACATCACCTATCACCTATCCCGCATCGCGTATCCCGCATCACCTATCACGTACCTCCTGCACTATTCCGTTATTCCGAAATTCCACCCGTCTACGCATTGGTCGACGGCGAAATTGACATGGTGTGTACGTCGTTGTCGGCTACGGCGACGCGGGAGGCGAATGCGGCGCGGTGAGACATTATGCATTATGCATCAGGCATTGATGTTGTCATTCACATCACCATCAACAGGAATATCGACAGGATGGGGGCGAGCTCGCAGCTGCTGTAGCCGGAGCCGCAAGCCACACAGCGCAGGGAACGGTGGTTGGCTCTACGTCCCAGGTGCCATGTGCCATGTGTGAGGTGTGACGTGCGTTGTATGCCGCATAACAGTGTAACCGTATAACAGTGCTCGAGCGTCGTACCTCCATACCCCCGTAACCTTCATACAGCACATACATGCATACACGCATACATACCGGGAGGAGTTCAGGAGTTCAAGATGACGGGAAGACAGGTCACCTTCATCTTCGGGATTAAAATATTAACGTTTAACCCTACGGTGCCCGGGTGCTCGGTAGAGTTCAAGGACATCGCGCCTCCCTTCCGTATCCTCCCGTGTCCTCCCGTGTCCTCCCGTTTCACCCCGCCCCCCGCCCCACTGCGTAGCTCGCAGATCTGCATTCTTCAAAAAAGACACGCACCGCAGGGCGTTGGGTTGTGTCCGTGCTGGATGGTGGATGCTTGGATATTGGGTGTTGGATGGTGGATGGTGGATGGTGGATATTGCGTGCAGAGTGGGAGCTTGCTCCGTCCTTGGATGATCGTGAATCGTGAATCGTGCTTGATCTTGCGCACCGTTCGGCCGATTCGATACGTACGATATGTACGATGCATCCGTGGACGGGCGTGTGCTGGCGTGTGCTGGCGATGAGATACGCATACGCATATGCATATGTATATGTATATGTAGTCGTTCCATTCGTCCAAGTCATTCAACTCGTTTTCGTTTCGTAATGCCGTGGCGGAGATCGGAGATGGGCGTACGATTCTATTCTATTCTATTCTATTCTATTCTATTCTAATATAATCTATTCTATGGACTGACAACAACGACAACGACAACGACAACGACAGCGATGTAGGTACTAGGAGGACTCGCGAACTCGCTGGAACCCTGCTCGTGCGTGTACACGTACACCTTTATCTTCATCTTCATCCCTATCTTTATCTTCATCTTCATCTTCATCTTCATCGTCATCTTCGTCGTTGTCGTTATCTTTACGAGCCACCGCATCCAAATCAAACAATCAATCAATCAATCAACCCAGTCGCACGGATATACATCATGTCGTATATTCGTGCGCGTACAACTCGTGGACTTGCGAACAGAATTTATCGTGGGCATGGGCATGGAATGTGTATATATATGTATATGTATGTATGTATGTATGTAGGTAGGTAGGTACGAGGTCGACTGTCGACTGTCGACTGCATCCACGAGTGGACGTGGATATGCGGCATAGCACAGCACCACAACAATGAGCAATGATATCAAGGAAGAGAAAGAGAAAGAAATACACCAACACAAAAGGGGTTTGGCCGAATGAAAAATAAATAGTGTGGATGAAGCGAAGGGGGAAGGGGGGGAGGCGGGGGGCGAGGAGTGCGGGAGGGAGCAGGCGATGTGGGGCGTAGATATATAGATATATAGATAGCACAAGGCAGTGGATCGTGAGCGCGGTATCGCAGACGGACATGGGAAGAGCCATGCGGTATAGCACAGCAATGATATCAAAAAATCAAGAAATAAATACAACACAAAAGGGTTTGTCCGAATGAAAAATAAATAGTGGGCATGAAGCGTAGGTAGGGTGAGGCGGGAGGCGGGAGGCGGGGAGGCGGGGAGTGCGGGGAGGGAGCAGGTGATGTGGGGTGAGGCGTAGATATGTTGATAGGAGAAGGTGGTGGATCGTGAGTGAGGTATCGCAGAAGGAGATCGTAAGAAGAAAATAAAATTAAATAATTCAACCGTCGCCTATATAGAGGATCGAAAATCCAGAACAGCGGATCGAAAATATGAAGAACAGCAGTGTTTCTTTGAGATACACCGCGTAGCGACAGCCCGGAAAATGGGTGGGCGTGTATCGCCCGTTGGCAGCTGTGGGTTGGATTCAGAGGCGAGAGATAGTGGATTGGGTGAGGGATGAGGAGACAGGTGTTCAGGTATCGCAGAGAGGAGGCAGGAGGGGGGAGGGATGTGTCAGTCGTTGTCTGAGTTCCGAAGGGATGGATGATATGGGGTCAAGAGAAGAGGGAGGGTTTTTTGGGTGTCGATTTCGATTATTGGTCAAGGAGGAGGATCTCCTTCGCGTTCTAGTTCTTCTTAGGCGCTTTCCCCTTCGCCGCTTCCTTCGTGGCCTTCGGTATGTCTTCGAAAGTAGGAGTAGCCGACGACGGACCAGCCACATCCGCATACACACCGTGCTCGGGGCTCCCGTCGTTCGCATTCCCAGCAAGACCACCAGACCCCGCCTCGGCGCGAGTGCCACGGGCAGCAGCATCGTAGTCGTACGCAAAGGTAAACTGCGTGCCCACCATCGAGGGAATGCCTACAGGACCGGGTTGGTGCGCAGTGGGCTGTTGGGCGTACGACGCCCTCATGCGCTGGCACAGAGGCGTCTCCATGTGGCGTTCCAGGGAAGAATTCCTGCCGCTCTTTATTCTACGATGACAGACAGCACCAAGCCAACGACCGTCAGTTGAAAAATGCAGCAAGAGGATGGAGGGACACTCACACGGTGCCACAGAGGGTGCAGGTGCGGCTCCGCACAGCCCTCCCGCACATCTCGGCATGCTTTTTCGTCGCCGCCTTCGTGAGATCGTCGCGTCCACAATGGGAGCAGTGGAACCTCTACACGTATGGCGTCGGTGTTAGGGAGGCGGGGTCTGCATTATGTATATATATAGGGAGCATGTATGGGGAGCACTCACGTTGTCCCCGACCTGGGTGTATGTCCGGTTCTTGCGCGCGGGCTGGGTGTGGATGTTGCCCGCGGGATCTTGCGGAGCGCTGGCGGGGCGCCGAGCCTTCTTGGGAAGCGGCGCCGCGTCCGCGATGAAGGTGACGGAAGTGTATTGCGCGACGTTTTCTTCGCGCTTTTGGCTTTGCCCTTGCCCTTCCTCCCAGCGGCGGCGCTCTCCCTCTTCGCGGACGCCGAGGCCGCTTCAGCGTCGGCGAGCTGAGCAGGCTCGTTTGGCCGCCCGGATGCCGAGAGTGGCTTCGCACTCGCATTGGGCTGCTGGAATGGAGGATACATGGGGAGGCCTGGCATGTAAAACTGCGGCACAGCTGCTGCGAGACCCGGTCCCTCTGATCCATTGGGGAGGTAGTAGTTGTAGTTGTAGTAGTTGTTGGGATAGTACCCGTATTGATAGGGCGGCTGGGGCACTGGGGGACCGTAGTAGTTGGAAGGCGGCACGCCCATGGGGGGGTAGGGCGCCGGAGGAACGGCGGGATATCCTTGTGCGGTACCATAGTGGACTGGAGGCTGCACGAGAAACGCGTTGAGCCCAAGCGCAGGGGCGAGCGAGGGGTCGAGGATTTGACCGTCCTGTTGCGTGTAGGCGGACTGCCCGTAATCGTACGCCGGCGCGCTGACGTCGGGTGGGGGCAGACTCGGACTTGGAAGCGGTTTCGGGGCTTCCGGGAGACGGCTCCGTTTGTGTTTGTGTAGGGATCGTCGTTGGGGAGGTGGACTGCGTCGTTGGGAGTGGGTTCGTGGAAGTTGACGTCTTTCTCCCAGCGCGCGAGGCGCGCTTCCGCGGCGGGGCTGAGCCGCGGCGTAGGCGGGCGGAAGTCAGTGAACGTTTGCTCGACATGATGAGCGGATTCTTGGAGCAGAGCGCGCAGGGCCAGCCCGTTGATGAGGTTGCTGCTCGGGTAGATAGATAGCGCGTGCTCGAAGTCGGCGGCGGGCGTGGCACTAGAGGGGACGTCGAGAGCAGCCGGATATTGCGCGATGCTCTCAAGGAACGCGAGATCTTCGTTGACGGCCGGTGGAATAGGCGCGTAGCTAGGCCCAGGTGAGGAGATCTCGGAGCCAGGAGTAGTCGCCACCGCAGAGTACGTGGGCGTAGAGGCTGAGGTGTTGTCGATGTAGCCAAAATCCAGGTACTCGTCTTGTAGAGCTTGCAAGTTGATCCCTTCATCGCCACCTTGTTGGTTGGACGCGGGGGTGGGCGTGGTTGTGGCGCTAGATGAGGCAGTTACAGCGTTCTGCGCCGCGCCCTGTTTCTGTACGTGTGCGTCCAGCCAGGAGAAGGAGAAACCAGATCCAGCGAGGGAAGACCAAGACGCCATGGCGGGTAGTAGAGATTGGACGGGTGGCGGATAGTGGCTGTGGACGGAATAAACGGTAGGAAATGTGATGTGGTTGTGGAAGAGGTGTTGTGGGTTAGATGTGGTTATAAGACGTGGTTGTATAGGTGGATGTGGACGTGAATGTGGTCGTGGAGAGCAAGAAACCCGCGAAAGAGCGAGTATAATAATGCAATAACTGAACGGATAGGTGTGGTTGTAATGCAAGTCCTGCCACCCACCGAACGCGTCCATCTCCCCTCTAGCTTCAATCACCTGACTACTGGAAATAGCTGCAAATGCAGATGCGAGAGCCCGTTCGCCTCCCCTGAGGACGAATAATGGGCGAGGGGGAAGTAATTTGTCGGTATTGCCATAACGGGCCTGATCGTTCCAAATGAGATTCGGAAACAGGGTGGTGGCTCCGAACGGGTGATAATAGCAAGGGTGGCTGGTGGCGTAGGCTCCAAGCCTTTGTTTGTTTTGGAGGTCCATTGTTTCTGGTACGATGTTTCTGGGTTCATGGAACGGCCGGAGCCGAAGATTATGTAGGACAAACGAAGGCGACGGAACATCATGGTTATGGCTGCTGTTGCTGATCTGTCGTTTCTTGTTATCGCTGGCTCGCGAACTTCGAAGCCTATGAAGGGAGAATGAAGGAAGATGAGCGGAAGACATCATTGTCTATATCATGGACATACTTACAGATTCGAGGGCATTCGGTGTTGTCATCTCCTCTGTAGCTCGGGTAACTCGGGAAACGTGAACACCCCCGGGCCGCACTCGTACATTGGTATCATCATGCTCTTCGAAACCGGCGGGGCCGACGCGTCGAGTAAAGATCCCACTTCGTAGTCCCACCATCGGACAGTGATACCAACGATAAATCGATAATCAGTCTCTGCACGAGCACATTGATACCGTTGAAGGCTTTCCCCTTGAAAGGCCTTCCTCTTGCATCCTTTCGGATTTGGGATATATTGCGTGTGCTGTTTCCATCGGGCATGGATGTATTGGGATTAGGCGAATCGGAGTACGAGTAGCGAATGCGGGAGTATGCCGCTCTCAGGTCCTCAGAGGCCCATGCATATTCAGCAACGATTAGCCTATTGTAAGGCTCTTAGTACACGCTGGATGACGAGGCCATGAACACACACACAAAGCTCCGCTCCTTCGACATTTCATCCTCCCAGCCTACGTGGTACCGGGAAAATGTCTGGATTGATGCGCCACGATATAGACAAGAGAGCATATGTGTTCGACATTGCTCTGACTTCTTGTCAACCAACGAGTATACGTCGAGGATACTTCGGCACTCACTCACTACCTGCATTCACCAAATCACGCAACATCCTTCCCACCAGAAACAGGAGTCCCCGATAATGCAATTATTCCATGGCGCGCTACGACCTGCGCTGGTCTGGAAGCCAAAACTCCAGGTTCCGTAGCACCCGCGTTCCGTAACGTCTAGCATTGATATTTTCACGGCTGTGCCAAGGGTGGGACGGTCGCTGGCCTCCACCTTGGCAAAATATGCGCGTACACTTTTCAGTGTTGTGATGTCCACCCCAGCGGAAATGCCCTTTGTCAACATACGACGTCTCTTCCATATGAAGGTCGTTGAGGGCGGCGGAAATGAAAAGTTGAGTTTGTGACGCGCCTGTGTGACTGTGATCGAAACGCGTCCTTGATCACAAGCCTACGTCTTTTTGGCTTCATCCTCCCAATGGGCCATAACTGATCTGTTCCACAGCTCCTCGTTCTCTTCGCCCGTCCACACCCCCTCCTTCTGCGACCCATTACTGAGACCTTTGCGTAGTGTCCATTTCGGACCTCCCCTCCTCAAGCAGGTTTTCGAAAAGCCTGGATGGCATGGTGTCGATGTTGATAAGCTAAAAAACCAAAGACGATTTGATGGGGTGCGTGTTCCATCCACAACCACAGATGGTGCAATAATAAATGTCGAACTCAAATCCAAGCTTCAAGACTGGGCGCTGAGCGCTGAGCGCTGAGTATGACCAGTTACCCACCGTAGGATTCTGGTGTATTCAAGGTTGTGCCGGAGAGTGGCCGAGTCGCTGCTCCCTTTGTCCCTCTCCATTCAGCGTAATTCATCTAACGCGGCTGACATACCCAGTCCCTTCCCGTCTGGTATCGTCCCCGCCGCCATTGGTGTATGCCACCCTCTCTTCAACCTTCGCGCCATACACGAGAACCCTGCCTACATTTGACTACCCTCATTATTTCAAGTGTAGACGAACTCTCACGCCTTTGCATCCACCGATGGCATAATTCGGGACTCGATGCTCTATCTACTAAGGAAGGATACGCACCGACGTTTTCCCCTTCCTTCGGCCCAATATTGGTGCCGCACTTCCGTAAGACTCATCCACCCGCGCCACTGAGACTTCGTCGCTCACCATACTTTGGGTTCAACAGGATATCGTTCTTGTCATGATATCGTGTCTCAAGTCGCTTTAATTGTCGTAGGACGCTTGGTCTTGACACGTCTAAAATGCCTGGCTTCGAGCTTCGTAACTACCTCGAGCAGCGAACGGCCCCTTATTCACCTTTACCTGTACCGCATATTGGGTAATTAGGAAGCCTTTGCACTCACCTGATACCCTTGCCGCTCACCTTGATCCTCAATTGAATACGGCCCGGGCTCATCAAACCTTCTCACCGAATCAATGGTGCGCAGTTGAACATCAAGCGGGCTGAAGCGTTCAATGTTTGACATTGAGCGTGCATACGTTCGTCATCGCTACTTGAACCCGTATCAACTGTAACGTGTCCATGACAAACGCTCGTAGGGTGAATGGCCGGCGTAGTCTGGGGCTGGCATTCATATCGATGGTAGGCAGGAAAGGGGAAATGTGGGTAGAAGAGGAGGAAGAGTGCGGCGATGGACGTGAAATGATGGACGTACCACGTATAGCTCCTCAAGTCGGTAACGACGACGAAGACGAGGAGGCAGAAGGGGTCAACAGTGAAGCCGTCGATATAAGGAAGGAAGCGAGTGGCGGAGACTTGGAATACGGACGGGCAAGGAGGCGGCTGACTCGAGCTGATGGGACGGAGGAAGGGAGCAAGTAGCTGTCGAAGGAGCAAGCGGACATGGGGGTGATACTTTCTTTTCATCATGACGGCTGACGATCTGTCAGCCAGCCTCTCCGTGGCATGCACCATAAGCATCAGCTACGGCGCACTTGTCGAGGGTGATGGAGGGTATCGAAAATGTTGGGGGGAAGGGGGAGTTCCGTAATTTGTTGGGGATATGAAGAGGCGAGGTGGATCTATTTTACCGACCGTAGCGGGAAATACTCAAGAAGCTACGCAACCCGCCTTAGCTAGTGAGCTTGCCAGAGTCGCAAGCTTCGCGGCAGTGAGAATGAAACGACGGGACCGCAGGGACGTCAGGAAATGAGAGAGAGCGGGCGGGCGTAAGGAAAGGGCCTTCCATTGTGTCCCTCGCTTTTATAGGCATATGGAAGGGGTCCGTGCGTCCGAGTCATTGGAACGTGTCAGCCATGCCCCTGTGGCAACTCCTCCTATCCGATTGCGTTCTGACACGGTTCAGCCCGCAGTAACTGTACTGGCTATGTGACGACAGCGCTATGGAGGGTTTGAATTCCCAAGCCTCATTTACCAGCGTCACCTTCCGTCGTTTATGGACCCTTGTTGCTGGTGTGACGTCCGTTCATGCTAGCATTAGACTACATGTTTGGTTCTTAGGGTTATCAACTTATGGGAGGTGTTGGTTGGGCTGGGTAAGTAATGCGCGTACGCGTTATATTCTCTACAGTACATGGAGTACACGAGTAAGTAGCGCAACAACAACAACGAGAGCATAAACACTCGTGAACAACAGTAGTCCGTTATATACAATCAACACATCAATACTACAACAACAAAGCGAGGCTGTCCGATCGAAAAGGAATAGTGTACATGTCCACGGAGGGTAATCGTGAAGGGATGTGGCAGGCGGGAGGCGAATCGTATTGGGTAGCGCAGGGAAGTGAATGATGACATATGAATGAGATCGAAAGAGGAATATATCGCAGGGGAGTACGGCTGATGGAGGGTTTTACCAGCCGTTGTCCGTAGGAGGTAGCGAACATCAGGAATGATATTTGTTTCGAATATATCGTGTATCGTGTACCGACGCCCGAAAGCATCGGTTAGTCTGTCTGTATTTATATTGTCCGTCGACCACCAGAGGTAGGATATGGCAGTCCAGGCGAGGATTTTGGGTAGCACGAGGAGATTGCAGCTTATGTATCGCGAAGGAGGGGTTGAGAGTAGGGAGGGATATCGCATGTGTAGGTGGGACTAGCAGGCGCCAAGCATGAAGGACGTGATCATAGGTCGCGTAGAGAGTTCTTCGACAAAGTCAATAAATAAGAAGGTAAGTTCGTTGGAGTTCTTAAAGGGATAGAGAGCGATGAAGAGAAGGAGGTGGTGGTGGGGGAAGGTGGAAGATTTTGGGATGGCGAGGGCAGAAGAAAAGGCGCGGAGCGTCGGATATTGAGGAATTTGTTTCGAGTTCTAGTTCTTCTTAGCGGCTTTCTTCTTCGTCGCTTTCTTCTTGGGCTTCGGGATGTCTTCAAGCGTAACTGACGACGGACCTGCCACATTCTGGTACTCATCGTGCTCGTCGTTTCCATCATCCTCTTCAGCCCCCGCGTCATTTTCGCCGTCGTGGTAGGTGGAGGTGAGCTCTGTTCCTGCACTCGCGGCAGCTGCTGAAGCAGCTGCCACAGCGCTAGGACTGTTCTTGCAGTCATTGGACTTGAGATGGCGCTTGAGAGAGTCGTTTCGGCGGCTCACTAACCTATACATCGTCGACATCAGCCATCAACCCCATCGTAAGCCAAGAGGCTGAAGGAGAATGCAACTCACTCCAAGCCGCAGAGGGGGCAGAGCAGCGGTCCCTCCAATCCACACATCTGGCGGTGCTTGTTCTTGTTCTTGATCGTATCGTCGCCGCAATGCGAGCACTTGTACATCTAGATGCACACTGACTGTTAGTACGATGCAGCAGACACACATACATGCAGAGCACTCACCCCGTTGGGGAGAAGCGTGTACGAGCGGTTCTTGCGCGTGGTCTGTGGCTGCCCCGTAGCGTCCTTTGATCCTCGGGCGGCACGTCTCGGTTTCTTGGCAGGCGGGGCTCCATCGTCGTCGGCACGTTCACCATCGACGGCGGAAGTCGCGTCTGCGTCGACATTTTCCTCGACCGTCTTCGCTTTGCCCTTCCCCTTCCAGTCCGGTACGGGCCTCTTCCTCTTCGACGACGTAGCTTCGGCCGCTTGGCCTTGAGGAGGCCCAGCGGGTTCGTTCGGCCTTCCCGTCGCCGACAGTGGTTTTGCGCTCAGGTGCGGAACTGGAACTGGACCCTCGGATTGATACTGCATCGGGAAGCCTTGCACGGCGTATGGGGGCGGGGTTCCAGCGAAGACCAGTCCCAGTCCATTAGGAGCGTAGGGGTTGTAATATCCATGTTGATATTGTTGCGGAACCTGAGGACCATAATAGCTTGGAAGCGGCACCCCAGGTTGAGGGTAAGGAGCGAAAGGGGGCGCGGGATACCCTTGGAGTGTCCCAAGGTGATATTGAGACTGATCGAGAAGAGGGAACCCGTGTGCAGGGGGAAAGGAGGCGTCGGGGAAGTAGGCGTCCTGTTGTGTGGGGACGGGGTAGCCGTAGTTGTGGGTGGGAACAGCCTGCTCTGCGGCATTAGCAGATGCTTGCAGAAGCGCGCGAAGCGCCTGCGCGTTGATCACGTCGCTCGGCGGGGCAGATAGCGCGTGCTCCGCGTCAGGCGTGGTCGCGGTCGTGGCTCCGGAGTCGACGTCGAGAGCAGGCTGGTATTGCGCGACTGCCTCTGGGACTGCTGGCACCAGTTCCGCGCTGACAGCCCGCGGAATGGGCGCTGGGCTGCGGGGCGGACTCGCAGAGCCGGGAGTGGTTGTGGCCGTGGGGTACCCGAGGTTGAAAGCCCCGGTAGTGTCCGCGGCGCTGCTGCCCATTAGTTGCAAAAGCGCGTGGAGAACCTGCGCGTTGATTGCGGTGGTGCGTGGGGAGGCAGGTAGTGCTTGCCCGGCTCCGGGTGCGGCCGTTGCGCTAGACTCGACGTCCACAGCAGACGGGAACTGCGCGACTGGCTCCAGGACCGCTGGTGCGAGGTCGTCGTTGAGAGCCAGCGGACTGAGCGCGAAGCTACATTCAGGGGGCGAGGTGTGACTGTCGGGGGTCGTTGCCGCCGTGGTAGATGGGGGCCCACTCTGCTCCCCAAGGGAATCTGCAGATGTAGACGGGGAGGGGTCGGAATCGTCATGTAAATCAACGAGAAACCCGGCTTCCAGTGCTCTGCACTCTTGCTCGGACTCGGGGGTGGACACGGTGGTGCTGGGGCTAGACGAGGCAGCTCTGGCGTGCTGCTCCTCCAGTGTGGGGCTGAGCGCGGCTCTTCCCTCGTAGGTAAAGCGACCAGTTTCCGCGTGCGAAGCCGAGGTCGACATAGGTGGAAGAAGTGGTGGTGGTGTGGGTGGTGGTAGTTGTGGCTAAGGAATAACGCGAAGAGCGGCGAGGAATGTGGAGGTGGTTGTGGCAAAGGATTTGTGGGATAGATGTGGTTATGGGACGTGGATGTGGGTGTGAATGTGGTCGTGGAAGTGGTCGTGGAAGTAGCCGTGGAGAGTAAGAGACCCGCGAAGGAGCGAGCAAAATAACGGAATAACTGAACGGGTGGGTGTAGTGGTAGTGCAAGCCGTGCACCCACAGAACGCGTCCTGCCCACCTCTAGCTTCAATCACCTGACCGCCGCACGTACCGCAAATGCGGATACTCGACAAACAAAGGCGGACCAGGGAACTGGTTTGTCGGTATTGCCTAAACGGGGGGCTCATTCACAATAGCCTTCCTAAACAGGCGTGTTTCCTCGGAACGGGTGATAATTGCAAGGGGAGCTAGCGGGTGGCGTGGGATGCGATCCTTTGTTTGAATAGCCCTTAGCTTCGATACGAAGTTTCTAGATCCATGGAACGGTCTGAGCAGGCGTCTAAGTATGCACCATAACCGTGATTTATCACAGCTTGCTCCGCATAGCAGCGTTAGATCACCAAGGCTAGAAATCTGAAGAGACAGACGGTCAGTGACAACCCACTAGTCGAGGGAGCCGTTAACGTACTCGCATGCTCAGCAGTACTGTTCGAGTACGCATCCTGTTGCATCGTGTCTCCCCGACCGTTCGGAGCCAACGCTTTGGACATACCGGGGCGCGAAAGTGGCAGAGCTAAAAAATGGATGTGACGGTCAGCGAACCTCGCTAACAGGAGCAATAGAGCGAACACACATACCCGACCTTACGGAACGACGTAGCGCAGGATGGGTAGTGGGTAGTGTGTACTCCAGTGTACGCCCGACGCCCCGAAAGTCGTGTCGCCGGGGCTGTACTGTCCTGGACAGTTGGTACGACGTTGGGACGTCTTTGAAGAATGAAAATCTATGCACGAGGATCCACCCTTGCGAGTCGAGGCGGCGGTGCAGCGACGTTGCTCTGTCGACTACGCGACCAGACCTAACAGAGAACATCCTCTGCAGATCGCCCCCTGACCCGTAAGTATCTAGCCATACTGTGCGGTGGAAGCGTCGTAGCGGAGCTCTTCGCAATTTACGACCCCCCTGTATGCTGCCTTCATCGACGTACTTGAATTTAGGGCCTTTCAATATACAAATCCACGCAGAGGAGACTCGTATTTCGTATTCATCAAGACGCCCCCTCGGACTGACGGATCGGCGCATCCTGTTCCATGCTCGAGACCCCAGGCTTTTCCTAAGCGGGCCCGCATTCCCTTCAAGTCTGAGGTAAAGAAGCGGCGGAGGCCGACACTTCCTCATCAGCGCCACAGGATGGCATGCTCGATATTAATCCGCTTCTCTATCTTCGGAATACGCCTCGTATAGACCAGCCGAAAAGGCACCAGCACACCAACCATAGGCAATGGGGGGTTATGCAAGAAGGTCGAGAAAGCAAACCAAAGACGATATTTTTCTTGGCACTAGACCGTTCGGTCGTTCAAAGGATACGGCGGTCGATGAGGGCGACGCCGATGGTTGAAGTTGTGACGCGCCTGTGTGACTCTGATCACTTAGTGACAGACAGCCGGGCCGCCAAAGCGTCGCTACCCTGTTGTTTGGCCCGAAGATCGGAGCCAAATATTGTCGGGATCACGATTCCCCAAGACGTCGAATTGACGATAAAGCCGAATACCCCCTCGATAGTGCGGCGATATTACCTAGGACCATCCGCAACTTTGCGGCCCGTGGCTGGAGTGATGTAAGGATAGCCTCATCGTCCTGGACTGCGACAGAAAGCAACAATGCAGGTGTACGAAGAGGAAGGCGGATCCGTCGATATCGTGGATATTCTCTCGCTCGCATCCAGCCGACCCATCTATTCCAGCTTTCAACGTATCTATAGCCACTTCCTCGAGTGCTTTCTACATCCACAGCATGCACCTTCTCCTTCGTCGTGACAAGTAGCGACAGCTCACGCATCATCGACTTGCCAACAACGTCGACGCCAGTCCAGTTGCCAAATGCAGCATCAAATTACTGGTGCATATCCCAAAGGGTCGGTAGGAGGGCTGCAAAATGAGAAGGACGGGGTATATGCGCGGCGATTCCTCCGTGAGTTCAAAACGCTCTCTATTGTGTCTCTCATTCCATGATTCGTATGACTTACCCATTCGTATAGCAATCGACCGCGCGCCTCACCTGCGCTCATTTGAGGTCCTGGATCGTAGCACATGAGCAAACGAGCACGGCGACATGGTCGTGAATGATTAACGAGGAGGGCACTGACATATGCATTGACGATGACTCAAGCTTTGTAATCGCTACTACCGCTTACTGTGTGCCTCAAGTGCCTCACACCACTCCAAAACACCGCCGACTGCAGGCCGGACACGCTGGAGGGTCGGGAAGATACACCAATGAACGATTTCCTCCCAAACTAGATACATGGGATGCCAACGCATCACCGCGTCCTACGCACGTCGTTCCATGGTTCTTCACGCCACTTGGTGAACAGCCTTCATGCGCCTCATCCCTCGCGCCCTGTATTTAACTCGCAGCCTTCTCATCGACCCTCCACTCGCACCCAAACCCACCTCCTAAATCCACGAATCCACGAACCCATGAACACCACCACCAATCCCTTCGCCCGCTCCGACTCCTCCCAAATTATCTCCTTCGCATTCTCCTCCAGCATACTAAACTCCCACCTCCTGGGCCCCGATCGCCAGCCGTACTACCGCGTCTTCACCGACAGCTTTGGCGACGCCACGCATATACTTTCTCAAGGCCGCGAAATCGCATGTATCAGATGGGAGACGAGGAGCATCAAGTTGTCGAGCATAGCAGGAGGGGTGGACAGCACGCCGATCTCGGAGTGGATAGCCAAAAGTCCCAATCCTGGGGCGATAGGGTGAGCCTGCTGATCGCGATCTCTGAGAACACGCATTACTCATATCCTATGTCGCACGCTATAGCCTGAGATATATGAGCTTTGACGGGGTGAAGTACGCGTGGATCAGAAAGGATAACCGCTACTCCGTAGGTCCCTTTCCTTCGTGTGCCACAGCCTGCTGAATCGGTCACGATTCTTCTTCAGCTCTACACTTCCCTGAAAATGGGCGCGACACCCGTCTGGATGGCAAGAATCACCAACGGAGAAGGTGGTGAAGTAAGAGTTGAACTGTTCGCAGATAGTATATGGAGAGGGCTGCTGGACCCGTGTGTTATTGCGGCCGTCCTTTTGTTTAGTGGTCGAGATATTGACTAGGGGGCGTGAGGCTAGCTACTAGCGATATGATTGGTTTATTATTGTCATAAAGTTGTCTTAATTATATTACACCGTATCAACGCGTCCGATCTTGCCTACCTTTGCCTCACCTCTCATCGACTACTCCAGTCTGCATCAAGGAGGGAACCGACAAGTGCCATCTATGCCTTGTGCGTGATATGTGTTTTCCTCGCACGACACAAAGAACTGTTAGCCATGTTTAAGGCTTCGACGGTCCGCAGGCTTGAACGCGGAACTGAGGCTAACGAAGGACTTGAGGAACTTGGGAGGGACTCCTGTTAGTAGAATCATTTCTATCGCTCTCAAAGACGCCCAACATCTGAGTCGTGTTGGCCATTGCAGTTTGATCAGCTATCGGCCTGCGTTCTGGAATCACTATGAAGCTAGTACGGCGGGGCGGCGCTGCTATTTTTTACGAGGTTTCGACGGCTAGTTCCCCTGCGCCTCGTAAATAGTGCATGCTCACCACTCGGTGCCACTTGTGGTACCAGGGGACTCTCCTATGTCTTTATAGACAATTGTGGGCGTCTGCGCCCACAAAAGCCGCATCTTATTGTCCATCTCTTTGTGGGCGAACGCCTTTGTTGTTCCGTTTCCGTTGCTGTGGCCATCCGATCATAGCCATCATATATAAGACACGCCCTTCCTCCCGAAATCGACACATAACACCCCTCCTCTCGCCAGAACCTCCTTTCAAACACCCGCATTATGGCCTCCACTAACAGAAGCGCGTTCACCACGGCCGCCCAGCGAGGCGTCCAGCTCTTCGAATTCTCGTCCTCCCATGTCCTGGATTCCGTGGTGTTCAGCGGGAGGACGCGGCGCTTCGAAGTCTCCTCGAGCCATCGCCAGCATACGACTACTATCCGCTGCTTCAGCCCCGAACGGACGGTGTGCACCATTGACTGGGGCACGAGGATCGTTGAGATACCGGATGGCAGTGCCCCGAAACAGCGCATCTCGGAGTATCTAGCTCTGGATCGTAGACGGAAGACGTGAGCCTCGCAATTTTATCATTTCTATGTTGTATGCTCATGAAGGCACGCACCCCTACAGCCGAAAACTCACCTTCGGCGACGTTGAATACACTTGGATCCCAAAGAAGGATGGCTTTTCCGTAAGTTCTGGCACTATTTTTCTATGCATCAATCGTTCGTTGCTGATGAGCGGGCGTGAAGCTTTATAACAAGAAAACGAACCAGGACATGGCGAATATCTGGACGCTCCCCGGCCACCCCCCTCGCGTCGAAATATATTGCCATAGTGTGCATGCTGGCTTACTCGATTCGTGCGTGATCGCTGCGGTCCTTTTCCTCAGCAAGAGGAATCTCGACATCGACAATGACCGTCCCAATGTCTGACTGGATACTCACTTGCTACTACCATATACCCATTAATGAGTATTCTATGTTGCTATAAGAACGAGCTTATTGTGTATGAAGAGTGATGACCTTAATATTCAATGATGGGAGTCGGAAGAAGAAGCGCAAATGAGCGCTCATTATGCTCGCGTGTCGGTGATAGTAACATCGACAAACAACGCGTCCTTCGGATTCGGACCTTCCATCTAAGGCCAAAACTCTGCCAGCAATCTGCCAGTTTCTTCTGAAGAGCGAGAACAGTCAAGGTCGAATGCGAGATGATGCTGATCAGTTTATCCCGGTGAATCGGTAATGCCTTCGAATGTGTCCGGAGCGACGCCGCTGAAACCAGGACCCGGAGTCATCGACTCCCTCGACTAGGCCCTCTATCGGGCTTCTTATAACGTCACGGTGAGATCTACAAGTAATCTAATCACGCTTTGCGGGGATTCTACGACGCGTGGAACTATAGTGGGATGGAAGAGCCGATGGGAGATATTATTAGTCGCGATTGGCCGCTACCTGGAGACAGCTGTCTGTGTTTGGCGAGACGGCAGTTGCTGTGTTGGCTTCGCGTGCAGTCGCCCTGCGCGCCTCTGAGTTGACGCTGGACTCAGTCAAGCATCGGTATCACTGCATCGTGTGGTATCTCTTCGAGATGAAATGCGGAAAGCAGAAGAGCACGAGCAGCCTCGTCGAAGCGGTTTGACTACATACGAGCTGCACACGACTGCAGTTTGCGGAGATTTCGATCTGGGACAATATTGGCGATCTAGGGATTGAATTCAACGTAAGTTTCCCAGCACCATATGAGGTGTTCGCTGATATCTTTGATAACGGACCGATATTGTTTCACTCGTCTGCCATTCGAGGTGCTCAATAGCTTAATAGACACAGATGGAACGAGCGAGTATATCTATCTGTTCGTCGGACAAGCCAACCCGCGTTCATGTTGCGATAACCGTCGAAACTACCACATATGTTTGATCACATCACCACGAGATGATGCAGCTCCATTTGCTGGTATGTTTATTCCCATTTGTGCTCCTGACCGCGACTTATCTTAGCCACCACGAATAGAAGCCTCAGGAATCCTCATGGCCGTAATTCCCGGTGGGGTTAATGAAGAATTCCCCAATACATATAACCGAGTTGATTATGGATTCTGAGACGCCTCGGGGCACCACGCCGACTCCAACAACTCCCACCAACGAAGACCATCATGTCTGACATTGCAGAGAAGGCTTACGAGGGCAGCGATAGCGATGTCGTTTCGCACCCGGAAACCATCTACGAGCGTCCGAAAGGGTTGAGGGGGTTATATTACCATCCCGTCACTCAAGTGAGTCGTCAATGTTCCGCTTTGTCCTTGGCATCTTGCTGACGACCGTTCAGATATCTATGCTGGGATTCGTGTGCTTTATGTGCCCTGGTACGTAATAAAATTTGAGGCTTGTTTGACACAGCTTACGAGCTGCTCCCATAGGTCTCTTCAACGCGTTGAATGGACTAGGTGCTGGCGGACAAGTTGATTCGGCCACCAGCGCAAACGCCAATTCAGCGTTATATTCAACCTTCGCGTTCTTTGCATTCTTCGCAGGGTATTTCATCCGCAATTCCTCTTCCTTTCTCGTCTGTTCAACCACGCCCATAGGTCCATCAACAACAAGCTCGGATCTCGCCTCACCTTGCTTATTGGCAGTACGGGATATGGACTGTACATCGGTTCCTATCTGTGAGTATATCTTCGTTCTGAGAACTCGCTGGCACTCATGTATTTCGCCCGCTTAGCGCTATGAACATTCATTCAAATGCAGGAGGGTTCGTCATCGCTGCGGGCGCTATTCTCGGAATCTGCGCAGGTACGTCGACATGCCACCCTCCCTTACTCTCTATCGCCGACACCTATATTCAGGTCTCCTTTGGGCCGCGCAGGGCTCCTTGATGTTGGCATACCCAACTGAAAGCGAGAAAGGAAAGTATATCAGTATTTTCTGGGGGATATTCAACTTGGGCGGTGTTGTTGGAGCTGCCGTCTCCCTGGGTATGTAGCACCAGTTGACGATTCCTGTCTCATTTGTTGACTGTCATACGCTGATAGGCCAGAACTTCCACTCCGAGGTAAACGCGATCCGTTCCTTATGACTAGAACTCCGTTGCTGAAACTAGAGCCCGTTATAGGCTAACGCTGGTGAGCTTTAAGCACTTTCCCTGGTACCTTCATCCTTCTCAACGAGTATAAATCATTAGTTGGAAATGGGACATATGTTCGTCCGATCTATGTATTTGCGCTTTCAGCGACTCATCGTCTACGCTCTTGTAGATTGGCTTTCTTGTCCTTACTCTCATTGGCGTCACCATCCCGCTTCTCATGGCCGACCCTCACAAGATGATCCGAACGGACGGTACCAAAGTTACCACGCACCGCCATCCATCATGGAAAGTCGAACTATACGGCCTATGGGTGACGCTCCGAACGGATCCGATGGTGCTCCTCCTCTTCCCCATGTTCTTCGCCAGTAATTGGTTCACTACCTGGCGTGAGTCTTCCTGCCCCTCGGTCGATTCTACTTGCCTCCGGTGCTAATATTTCTCCGTGGTCATGTAGAATTCAACGGGTACAACGCTGCACTATTCAATATCCGTGCTAGGTCTATGAACAACTTCGTCTATTGGACCGCTCAGATTATCGGCTCCATCGCAATGGGCTACATTCTTGACCAACAACGAATTAGGCGGCGAGCAAGAGCTTACATCGGCTGGGCTATTTTCTCTTTTCCGTGTTCGCCACCCATATCTGGGCATATTTCTACCAGAGGTATGCATTTTCCGACCTTTCCGTCGGATAATCTCGTCTGACATGTTGTACCATTAGGGATTATACTCGAGAATCGATCCCTCCTGATTCATCCAAGATGGATATCCATGATCCAGCGTACCCTGCTCGTATCTGGTTGTATATCTTCTTTGGTGCTCTCGATGCTGCATGGCAAACATACGCGTACTGTGAGTAGGAATGCTCTCAATCTTACTCCCAACCTTCTGACTCCTTGTTGCCTCCCACTACGCCCTTGTGAAATGTGTATCGTGTTCTGTCGTTCAAACGATTAGGGATGATGGGCGCAATGTCTAACGACCCTGCCAAGTTAGCGCACTTTGCTGGATTCTGTGAGTACCATACTCCGGGCTACTGAATGAGTATTCAATACTCGTAACAATAGACAAGTCCATTCAATCCGCTGGAGCAGCTGGCGTATGGCGCGCTGACGGGGTCAAACGCCCGTAAGCATCGTTTCGTATCTAGGTTGGCCCCGATATTCACGAAGCGGTCGTTTCCCAGATATATGGACCTCTTCCTTTCCACGTGGGTCTTACTCGTCGCAGGCCTGCTGTTTGCTCTGCCCATGATCTACATGCGTGTCAGAGATCATACCAGTATCGAAGACGAGGCTTTGTACGCCACCTTACTCCTACTACCCCTCGAGTGCTGATATATACTCTTTCTAGGGCTCGCATGGACGATTCAGGCGCGGTGCAAGCCACACCCGTCGCGCGGCACGAAAAGGATACGACGGCTGCACAATAATGGGACGTTTGGTGATCTTGTATCTTTTCTCCTTGGTTCCACCGAGCTGCTACTTATATGACTGCCATGACACTGCTTTACTTATTGTTCGAGGATTTGATGGCTCGTGTGCGTCGCATGCTATGAGTGGCGGTGAAGTAAGACCTGGATAGAATTCGGGTGCTCTCTCAGACAGCCCGCCTTTCGCGAGCGTCGGCGTCGGCGCATGCAGCTGCTCATTGGGCCGCAGAATGCACTAGCGACTTGCCGCTAGGTTCATAAACTAATGCACTGCATGCAGGTGCATGCAGGGTCGCGTCGGGTTAAAAAGTCGGGCGCTACAGCCTACATCCAGTGCTAACAAACCTACCTTGGCTCCTTTGCACTTACACAACGGCAAGGTCAGCGAATGACAGTTGCCGTAAGGACAGATGCATATTGCGAAACTATAGCTCACTGTAGGAACATGAGCCTCATGATCCGTCGCAGTCTCAGGTGGTAAGCGCCATTGCACAAGATTGATAGTAATGCCTTAGTAATCACGGACTACAGCTAGGAAGGCACTCTGACAAAGCTTCAATGAGAAATCTTATGAACGAATAGCCACAGGCCAAACGGGGTCGTAAAGACTCGAACGAAATTTGGCATCTAGGTTGAATCGTAGAAATAACATCGATACTCCTACAAGTTAGTCAAGAGGTTGACCACAAAGCAAGAGCATCGTCGCAGCTACGCATGCATCAAGCAGACCAGCATGGATACTATTGGTCGAGATTTCGAGTTGAACGGCGGTGTGCTTCGTAATCCTGGCCAACAGCGTCGACGCGTTGGTTACCGAGTAAAGCTGGGAAGTAGTATATGGCAGTTCAGAACTTGTACTAGACGAAGGATAAAACACATCTACTGACTGAAATGATGTCCGCGCCTGGGACCCAGACATATGTCTCGCCCTTGATGACCATGAATCGACGGCTGTAATATTTGGGATGCTTCAGTTAAAAATTCGTGACATTGGTTCGGATAAATACTCTTTCTGTGGGGACAAAGCGATCCATTGAGAAATGGGTTGCCTTGCGACTAATCCATGAATCTCGATCATCGGCACGGTTCTCCACTCGATCAAAGCGACACTTTGACTGGTAACACCTTGGATGGTGGTGAATCCACCGGCTGGATTGTCGGTGGAGATGCGATAATATGGCTTGCCATCAGGTCCTGTGACGATACAGTTCATGATGTTGGGAGTGAAGTTGACGAATGTAAAGGCGAGAACCGCAGCTCGAGAGCTGGGACCAGAGAATGGTAATGCACCGAAGACAGACGGAGGTGCATTCCCGGAGATGTTTACTGCATTCTGGTTGGCGTTGGGCCAGCCAGCGTGAGCGTATGGGTTGTTGGTATACATGGCTTGGAGACTGAGGTAAAGGTTGAATTCGATGGGGACATTGGTTCGAAAACAACGGCGTAATAAATACGAGGGAGGTCCCAGCGGAGACTACTTGATGGTGTTATTGATTATACAGGATCGACGAGATCGAAGACTTTCGTTGTTGGAGGACTAATGGCTCCATGCCGAGTGTGGCCATTTGGACAAAGTGCATCAACCGCTCGATGACCATGCGAATTTGTCAGCTCGTAACGGCAAAGAGCCTAGCGTGAACGATAGTTAGTGTGCTTGGCCGAGCTGTAAAATTAATAAGTTTTAGATACGTACCTGACGTGCTTTGGAAAAGCCTCGGGGGGGGGGGGGGGCGCGCCATTGAAAGCTAGGCTATAGAAGTGTTGCACCAATCGTGAGCTGGCAAAGATAGGGGAACGCAACGGCAACGGTCGTTGGTTTCTATGAAGCACCCTGTTAGACGCACAGCGCTGGGCTAGTATGTTTTACTGCTCAGAAGTGGTGTAGATGAACATAATAAGACAAAACTCAGGACTTTGGTGGGTTTAGCTCGCGATAGCCTGTGAGAAATCTTGGGTATACAAGATACGGTACCCGACTGTGCCGCCCCACGAAGCACCGATGAAGCTGTCGTCGTTGTGTAAAAGGTTCGATTTGGACCTGGAATCTGTGTATACGTACGAAGCGAGGGCCCAACTCACCACAGAGATCGTCGACAAAGTGTGAATTAGGCAAAACACACGCTCGCTTTCTTGACAAGTCTTCGGATAGAAGCAGTAGCGTCTGTTGTAGATTCTATAGCGAAATCGACGCCGCCCGTACTGAGACGCGCCGGTGTACAGCCAATTGAAGTTTTCGTCTTTATCCAATGGCCAAGAGGCCATTGGGGGGATGTTGGGCGGACGATGTGGACGAGCGAAGCGAACCAGTGTAATCCTGTTTGTGCGCCCTTGCAGGGTTCGGGATACCATTTTGGGCCGACGTCACCGAGCGCTTACCGCCATGCCCGCCAGTTACGGGTTTCATCGGCGCACATATACAGACCGTCCGTCGAGCGATACACGACGACTCTCCGCTGCGCTCTACCCATTCTTCTCATCCCATTTTTGCAGCAGATGAATAATCAAAGTGCTGGGCCACACTAAACGAAGAAGGTAGCTGAAATCCAAAGCTCGTTCCCCCTGTATTCCTCACGACGTAGTCAACAGCATCGCGGACTTGCTGAGATATCCCGAGAATACTGATGCCTCCGATATAGCTTCATATTCCGGGCCTGGTCCTGAAAGTGCCTTCATTTTCCGAAAGCCTTAGTACGCAGCAAAAGGAGGAAAGCCAAACATACCTCCTACTCTTGAACCTACACTATGATCCATCATGATAGTGCCACGTTGTCCAAGATCGACGACATACATAATTGGCGGACTTGGCACAGAACGCCTCCATGGGAGATCAATGCGGCTCCGGGATGAGATGAGACCACAGTTCAACCCTCGAGCGGAGTGGCAGGAACCGACAAGATGGAGACCCTAAGACCCTACGTAACTATGTTGCGATGGACTAGTGAGTAGTTGGATTGGCGTAGCCGTTGCTCCGAGTGGATGTTCTTGATGTATCGGTGCGGATGAAATGAAGGGCAGCGCACCGGTCGTTGGCGCTGCTGAGAAGGCTAGGGCGAACCAGAGTCACGGATGTGATGCAGGAGGTGAGGGCGCATATGGGTACCGTTCTGCTGGGCAGATCTAGGCCACCAACTCCTGCAGAAGGAACGGGCGACATGGGAGAGTACAGCCCCCATCCTTTCCGTCAACGAGGCGAAAGGACTTGACGGTTCTGTGAGTTGTCAGTGGTCTTTGCAGGGGAAAAGAATATCAAGGGCGCAAACGACGGAGTTCAGACGAGGGATCACGAAAGAGTGTATAATAACAGCTTACCAGCGGCTTTATAGACGCTTCGACGATATCTTTCCTCAAGGATGACCTGATGACTGAGATTCCTAAACGTGACCGTCAAGGCATTACGAGAGGGGTTAGTAACTCGCCTTCCAAGCCCGAGAGACTTGGTAAGCATCAGACGTGTTACGAGCATGAAGGCGCTTCTGCAGACAGATTAGCGCGGCGTCCATATACTCAGCGGAGATACTGAACGTACCAGTCGGTGGCAGCGATCTCAATGTCCATTTCATATATCCGCTTACTACGAGAGATCTTGATCGTACGGCTCCGAAATGACCTGCAGGGCCTGAGAAGGCGAGGGCACAATAGGTCAAGGGGTACAGGGCGAAGAAGCGACAGAAATCGATCGCATCAAAGTCTTGCTCTAAAGGCAGCAAAACGGACCGAGACACTTGGAGGATTGCGCAGAATATGGGCGACACAGGTATGCAAGAAACGAATATATACGGTGGCATGCGACGACAAGAGAAAGGATCTACCCACGTAAAAGAGTCACCCGACAAACTGTACATATAATGATGAATGGCGCTTCGCGAATATGAAAGGCTAATTCTCATGGACACGTCAAAGAGATGGGAAGCGAGAAGGAGAATTGAATGACCATGAAGTGAGTCCAAGCCGAAGGTAGATGTAAGAGACTCGTGGAATCGACGAAGGATCTATCGCCGTGATGTGGGACAAGATAAAAACCCCCAAGCGGAATTATAGACGGCAAATACGAAAAGTAGGTACAAGTGGTGGTGACGCGGGGCGAGAGAACAGTATGATACAGTATGATGACAGGCGCAATTGGGAGGGATGGGCGTATCGTACAAATTTCGCTTTTGAAACGTTCGGCCCTATCGAAAAGGCGAGCATCGACGGTCCCGTTGGCGGTGGAGGCGCGAAACTCATACTCGCTTCGTATCTACACCAAACTCCGTCTTACCGCCGTACCCATCATCTTCCCTTGAGCCCAAGCCCAAGCACAGGGAGAATGCAGTCGGCAGCGGTGAAACCGTCATTGTAGCGTATTGCTGCCTGTTTCTGCACCGGCACGGCTCCGGGAGGTGTGTCTCTTTGTTCTCGCCTCTTCCGTATCTAGTGGCTCCGCGCTCGATAACGTTTTCGCCCTCACGACATGCTGGTGCGCAAGGGCAGAATCCTGAGGTTCGCTATTACAGTAACTTCATTTGAAGGCGTATCACGAACGGCTTGTTGCGTAGGCATATCACTGATATGCTGATAACGGATAAGAACCCAACGTCAGCCAGTGATCCATCCTGGAGACACTCTTGCACGTACCTCAAGCTCCTGAGACGCGTTCACCAACCTTCCCTTCATTCACTATTTATCGCGCCAAACAAACATAAGGCTTACACAACGAGCTTGCCCGAAGTTGAGCAGGATCGTAAGCTAAACCGGAGCACACCTATAAGTTAGCAAATGCGATATTTGAACGGGTGGAAATCCTACGGCAATAAATCAAAGTTGTGGCGCGTTTGTGTGACTCTGATCCTCGGTCACGCATGTGGCCAATCCCGTTGTTTGGCCAGAAGCTCTGTACCAAGCAATGTCGGGTTCCTCGTTCCATTCAACTCCCATAGCATAGCGCCTCCACGCGGAATCCTTCTCCCTCCTTGGATGGTTTAGCGACGCTTATCTCAGGTCCTTCCCGCCTGATATTGTCAGTGGCCGCCTAACTTGACGTCGAACATTCGGACACATCCTGTACGGGCCTCAGCGTACTCCGGAGCCAATCTGACACCGCGGACACCAGAGTCTTGTGCTACATAGATTGACCGATGCCACTACCGTTAGCCATTTTCAAGTAAACAGTCGAAATCAGCCCCCCACTTCACGCTCGAATTCCATGCGCCAGGATAAGATGGATTGGCTTCGACGGGGCGAAATGTTGGATCAAGATAGACAACGGCTAGTACGTCACCTTTTCACCCGCGGACGAAAACTATTGATTGCCCATTCATTTAGCCCTATACTTCAAGTTCCCTGACGGTGAGCACGACTTCAGCACGGATAGATCGTCAACGAACAAGATCGCCACGACGTCGCCAACGCCAACGCCAAGTTGAGCTTATTTTGCGGATGGTGTATGGTAACGGTTGCTGGAGGTTGTGTGATCACAGCGGTCCTTTATTTGTCTGTCGAGGCACGGAGTAGGCGATGTCTCGGTTCTGTCGCTCCCAGGGACACCGTATGAGTACTTATATCGTATTGCCAGAGTGAAGACTTGCTTGGTCGAAATGCGAGATGTATACGAAACACCACTCATACTACCTAGCAAGGCGGCCGTAGCTCGGGATAGGATGTGGATTTGGGGTTGGCGACCAGGGATCAGCTCTTTCGTCCTGCCCAGTAGATGATTGAAGTATCATCAATGATGGTTAGCGCCACGGTGTCCGGGCTTGGAGGGAGCCGGAACGTTCAAGGAACGTTGCTGATTCGTCGAGGCATCTCAGCAAAATGTTAGTTTGCGCAAATGCACAAATGATGCGTTGATGGTGGCGCCGTACCTACAACCCTGCAAGTCGTTCTTAAATATTAGCATATGATAAGTAGACGTCCCTTTCAACTTGCTCCCATCTCCCCATTCTCTATTCCCCCGAGTTGAGGTCGCGCCTTGTCGTCGCAGAGATGTTGTTCACTCCGGGGCAGACGTTGGATAACACGTTAGGATCGTTGTATGTCGGCTCGTTACTCGCTGCAGTGTGAGTCTATCCCCCATCTTCCCTTGTTATCGATTAACGCAGGCACAGACTATACGGCATAACGAGCATCCAAACCTACTCGTACTTCAGCTGGTTCTACAACAGGGATTCTTTTGTCCATCGTGTTGCTGTCGGATTGCTATGGTCCCTGGACACCATCCATTTTGTCCTCGTCGTCCACGGCGTATACTACTACTGTGTGGAAAGCTTTGAGAACCCGCTAAAGCTCCTTACGCTTGTTTGGTGAGTACCTCAGCGACTATGCCCATAGAACTTCGTCCCCTCATGATGATATAGGTCGATGAAGGTACTGCTTTGCCCTCAATCACATTGCTGCCGTTGCCAAAGTATGACCCTTTGTGTCCGCAGCTCCAAATCGTGATCAACGTCATCATAATTCTTCTCGTGCAAGGGTGCGCTATCCTTGACTTCGGGATCAGATTCGATATTAACGACTCTACAATAGATTATATGCTTACCGCGTGTGGCTGCGTAAGTTCCCTACCCTCCGTCGCCTATGGTATCACTAAAGTAGCGTGGATAGTCGGCGGGTACCACAACAGAATCCTCGCATACATTGTCGTACGTCCCATAGTTCAAGCGATGACATTCTACACACTGACGGCGTTGAATTCGATGGGATCAGATATTCATCACGGCAGGTGGCTTTGGTGCGTGCTCTCCCGTCTTTCCCTTCACCTGCAATCTCACGGTGCATTCCTGTAGCTGTCGGCATGGCCCTCGCACACGCCGTGTATACACTCACTTTCGTGGCCGATCATGAGAAGATCGGGGTGCGTCCTCTCCTTTTACTTCCCTCACCCACCGTTAACTTCTTCCTTCCCCTTTATGTCCCCTGTTTTCCTCATGAATTCTATGACTCTTAGTGGGCAATAATCTCCTCCCTCGCTACGGCGACCTTCGTCGATTTCTTCATCGCGGGCGCGATGGTGTACTACCTTCGTCGCAGTCGGGGGTTGCAGCAGCAGTGCGTTCTCCTCCTTTACCCCTCAGAGGACCTGGATAGCTAATGTGATGTCGGTCGTCGTGTAGCGTAAACTCGAAGATCTCGACATTGATGCAGATGTCGCTCACCTCGGGGATACTCACTAGGTTCGCTTCTTCCCATTTGCCTCGTGGTGTTGCTGATGGCGAGGCTACGATTTTCTCTGTTTCTAGCGCATGCTCAACGGCTGCTCTCATTACTGTAAGTCTATCTCATGTAGCATTCCAACGGAGATACTCACGAAGTGACGTAGTACGTCGCCCTCCCGAAAACACTCATTTTCATGGGCGTCGAGTCGTTCCTTACTAAATGTACGTCTCGGACTGTTGTCCCCTGTGATTGAAGCTAACGGGTGGTCTTATTAAATGCCTACTCATAGTATACATCAACTCGTTCCTCGCGATGTTAAACGCGCGCGAGCGGCACCACGACCTCCCCCCTTACCAAACCGACTCGCACTCGCATTCCTCCCGCAACGGGGTAGCTGTTCATATCCAAACTTTGAGCAAACCTGGGATTATTAGCACGAGCGGATCCAAGTCTGATGGATCAGTGAGTTTATCCCGTTTCCTCCGTTCTCATTTTAATTTCGAAACGGTCACTGATGCATAATCGCTCATAGAACCCCCGAACGTCCCTCTCGCTCTACAAATCATCCATAGCTCCTGTTTCTACGTTAGCTTCGCCGTTGGAGTCACAGACGGGCCTCAACGATTTGAGTGATAAGGACGGAGGTGTAGGCGAGGATCGCCGTCGAGATGACGGGGAGAAAGACGAGGATAAAGTATACCCGTGGTAATTGCTGATTATCGACAATTCGCTTGTCGTCCCTGCTGTCGGTTATATAGGCTAATCGCGAACTACGCTGACTCCTTCTCGTTTTCCGCCGTTTCTGGATTCTGGGGTTATTTATGGATGGAACGTATGTCGTATATGTAGTTTATCGTTTATTTCATAACAGTGTTGTTTGTGGGATATGTATCTAGACTTTTTAGAACATTTGGAGCTTGGTCTGAACTGAAGAACGCCACGGCGAGTACCCCTCAGCCATTGAGGAGGGTGTTGTCGGAAAGCTGCCGTACGTGGAACATGGAATACGGATCAGGTCCTTTGGAAACGGAAAGCGGTCGAATTATAGTTTACCAACAGGCGAACCTCAAACTAAGACCTTAAGACAACCTTTGGAAGGTGTCTTGCGCGGCGATGGAAGCTCTGCATCGAGAAAGCATCCGTAGGATCGAGCATACCTGGCCTTTGTGAGCTTTGGGTGCTTTGATAATTCCGGAATTCAAATCGAAGTTGTTGGGTTGGGCCACATTTCGGCGAGTTTCGACCCAGATTGTGGCAGTAGTGTGAAACGAAGTAGAATGTGGTGTATGATTCTCCAAGTTGCGATTAGTAAACTATTGCAGTCAGGAAAAGTTGTAAGCTCATTCCGATTGAACATGTTTGATAATAGTATTACAATAAGTAGTTGTTAAGCCAAAGATTCGATGCCACTTGGTAACACAGTAATATGAACACAGTAAAAATGCCAGGTTCTAAAGGGACGTGGAATGCAAGGAGTACTACAAGTGCAAAGGAGAAAACAAGCTAAACATACACGGCGAGTCATGATGGACTAGCAAGGGGATAAAATGTAAAGAATATAACGAGTGTGCCCACTCGTAATGCAGTAATAGAATCAATTATAATGAAGAACAACGAGAGCAAGATATGGCGGGGTAAGATGATATACAAAAGATCCAAGAGGATGATTGCTTTTACGATCTAGGGGACCTACGAGGTCCCCGACCTCTTGCGACCTGGGGGCCCCCCAGAGGTGACGACGAGCCAGGTCCGGGTGCGTGGTTACGGAGAGGTTCTTGATGAGGGCGGTTGTCGGAGCTGCGGGAATCGAAGGGACCAATGTTTGTCGGCTGGATTTGATTTTGCCAGTCTGAAGCCATCCAGACGCTGTTACCACCATCGGGTTTGCGCTCGGCGGAAGACGAGGATGAGGTAGCTGCTCGGTGGCTATGGGATCCCATATCCATACCCCCCGCCCACCCAGTGAGCGTAGAGAACGACGAAATCGGAGGAGAAATCGGGCTGGTGGGACCGCTGGATTCAGAATCAACACCAGTATTGAATGGAAGGAAAGGATCGGGGATGGACGCTATCATCCCAGCACGGTTGGGGGTTGTTCCCCAATCGACTAAGCCACTACCGTCAGCGCTCGTCGTCACGATGTATGGCTACGAATCAAATGAGTGTCCATACATGGAAGAAAGCAACGGAGTCGGACGTACGTTTGTAAGATATTCAACTGTTGGGGTTGGCCGCACCTCAGTAGGCATATCATATCCCATGCTATCCGTATTCGTGACAGTATATGTTTCACGACGCCAAGCAGGATCCTCTTCGTTTCTTTCTGCGATCGTATGAGTCGTGCTGGGAGGGAACCAGTAGCCGTGGCGATGGCGTTCGGCCTCGAAGCGGTTCCGATCCTCTTCGCCTTGCCAATGCACCCTCAACGGTTGCGCAGCAGCCCCAAGAGGCTGAGGAAGCAGAGGAGAGAGACGGTCAGGAGGACGGGTGTGCGAGTGGCTGAGAGATGGGGATGCTTCAGACGTTGACGGGGAACTGTAGCCAACCGAGTTCACGGGTAGGCAAACTGTGTCTCTTCGGGCATGCATGGAGAGGTTACTCGGCAGCGGCGGGGCTAGGTGTGGTGACTGGGATGTGACGTTCATAGTCTCCTCGCCGCGGTTGTATGAACTAGTCTGGTCGCTTTGCGAGCGCGTAGGGTTGTAGGGTGACCTCCGCTCCGGCGCTGGTGCCGACAACGAACGCTTGTACATGGACGTCAACGGAACGGCTTTGAATTCCGAGGAGGGCGAGTCCGCGTCAGTCGCACCCGAAGCTGAGAGTTCAGGAGAGGCTCGATTGTCGTTCGTTGGGGGAGACGTAGGAGAAGAGGAATTGGCGATCGAGCGGTCGAAGGACAGCGTAGACGAGTTAGTGGGAGGAAAGATAAAGTAGTCACCGCGAAGCTGCTGTGGTGCTTGCGCTGTAGAAGAGGCTGAGACCGGAGATGCTGTTGGAGCATGCGGCTTGGGAGAGTCGGTGAGGGGGGCGAAGGGGATGGATGTATAGGCCTCTTCATCTGCCGATGCGTATTCCTCTCCATCGGCGTCAGCTGTCCCGCCAGAATTGCGTTCGGTGTCGCTGGAGCTGTCAGGATCTCCTTGGTCGTCAACCTCCGGCGCGGGGATGGAGATCTCGACATGGCGAGAACGTAGAGCGTACCGGCCTTGCCCAACTGGCTTGGCGGTGACGGCTTCAACCTCCCCTGCCTTCGCCTTGCCTTTTCCTTTCACCGACTCCGACTCGCGTTCCTTAGCGTTAGACTTGGTTGCTTTGCTCTTCCGCTTCGCTCGTCTGCCGTCCTCCCATTCCTCCATGGCCAACTCGAGTTCGGCCCCCGTTTTCCCCTCGATCAGCTCACTGACAATTTTCTCGACGCGCTTCTCCTTCGACTTGTTCTTCTCGCTCCTGGGGGCAAGCTCCCTCGCCTTCTCCTTTCCCTTTCCCTTGATGTCAGCCGTGGCGCTGCCAGTACTGCTCGTCGCTTCGACTTCACGTGCCTTCCCTTTTCCCTTGCCACTCGAGCCTTCACCGGTGGCCGACGTTGCGGGAGGGAGGAAATCGAGGCTAAATTTCCCAGCCTTGCTACCACCACCACCGGGGTTACGCCGACGGCTCCCACCGCCTCCCCCGTCCTTGATTTTGAGCTTCGCCATGGCGTTCGCGCCGGGTCTGAATCGCCAGTCGGGGTAACGTTTCCGGTGCTCAACTTGAGCGTCGACGGCCTTCTGCTCCCATTGTTCCCGTTCTTCCTTGGGGAGCGTTTTCCAATACATGCCTTGGAACGCGTGTTAGCGGGCTGAGAAACACGAGGCAAAGCTGTACGTACCAATTATCTTAGAAAGCGTGCTGTGATTCCCCTCGACCTTGCCTGGAACCTGTTGGCTGCGTATGAAGGATGATCGGAAGAGAATGAACGCGTTTGGCGGTCGGGGGATGTATGAGGCGTCCCGTTTCTTCCCGTGAGAGGTTGGACGTGGCATCCAGCTGCTTGATGCTACCTGCGATTCGTCCTCGATGGTAGGCGATCCTGAGTTCCAACCCGCGGCCGATGGCGCGGCGTCTGGATGCATCGGCGGCATTGGGGTGACGCTCATAGATGTCGAAGGTACGAAAGAGGTGGATCCTGAAGATTGATGGGGATCATTGGAATCAGCTGAGCGTGTAGAAGCGACAGTAGAGAAAGAGATGGGGGTCATGTCCGCGAAGAAAGTATAGGTCATTGGTTGGTTCGGGTTGTCAAGTAGCGGAGGCATCGGATCTGAGGCAATTCTGTCAACTCTCAGCAGAAGACGCGCTGACCAGTGGGGTGCGGGGTGTCGAGAACGAACGGAAACTCACCTTCCTCCTCTCCATCCCGATTTCTAGGTTCCCCGTGCCCGCGAATGGGGGGCATTTGAGGCGCGAGTGCCGCAGGTGTGCGTGAGAGTCAGTGTAGCTGGCGAATATGAGTTGAGAACGTGCTTGAGGACGACTAGCAAAACGAAGGAACGATGAGGAGGGGAACGGGGATGGAAAGAATGACGGCGAAGCGCATGGTGGTCGCAGACAAGGCTTTATGCTCGAACGAGGCAAGCAAGCAGCACGCCCCCAACTTCATCAACGTCTCGGTCTCCGCGCCTTCGAATTCCCACCATTCCAGGGATGCCATAACCAAAGACAATAAGCCGTTGACAGCTTCCTGCTCGGGGCCCTGCCATCTCACGAAATCCCAATTCCCTTACAAACGAACGCGAAAACTTGGAAACTCACTTTGGTTCTTGGGCAAACATTCCCTTTTCAAAACTTCGAGTCTCGACGAAGCCATGTTCCATCTTGGGCATATTGAAGCCGAGGAAGAGGCTCGCTGCCGTAATGCACCGGAGATTTGGCGTCTCGGGCGCTTACTCGATGTCGTTTCCCATCATGCTCTCATTATCTAGCTCACTGTACCGGACGACGAGGAGAAGTGGTAGCGTCGGGATGAGGGCCTCAGAAGGCGGGACGGTGGTAGTTGGAGAGAAAAAGGTGAAGGCAAGTGATCGTCCCCTTATTTTTGACGCTCTATCTGGAACAACGTTCCCAGGCCCCTTGCTCAGCCTCGGTGCCCCCTCCGCCATCGTCGAGACCATCTGTGGTGGCGAACGGTGTACATCCTCGCCCATACAGTCCTTGAGGACAGGTAAGTGATCGACATCCATACCGATCTTGATCGGCGTCGATCGGTGATCAGACACTCCAACAGCTCCGTCCACGACCAACTCCCGACATCCCCTCGTCAGCCTGCTCTATCGTTTTACATGTTCGAGTAGATCTTGATCGGTGTTGATCTAGATAAGGACCTGACCTTGGATGCTCTAGTGCATATTGTGCGTATAGACCCTGCTACTGAGACACTCAGCACTAACCATCACTACAGGCGTGGCTTCGCTTACCTTCTCATCCCCTTGGCGAGACTATCTCAGAATGCCAGACTCACGAAGGAAAAGCGGGAATTATCCACGAGCTCCCCTTCTGTGGGTGTATATGTCCAGATGGGCCCGATGAAGAATGGAGAGATGGTCACCATGAAGAAGTTATTATCGAGGAAGAAAGAGGATATATTTGGCCACATACAACGGTCTTGACACCAGACCCGGTCACTCGCACAATAACCACCCGGGCAGATGTCAGTAGATACGGACCTCCTTGCAGGATACCGCCCCACCCTATACCCGTGATATCAGCGTCAGCGCAGCTGAATCGACTTAAATGGCCGGTCACACTGACGAGGTGAGAGGGCCTCTAGCCTTCCGACCCCTTAGTCACCGACTAATCCATGTCGTTAGGTCGCTCAACGGTTCATTCATAAGATACGGTGCTCGACGCCAAAATTCAACATAGGATTATTACCAGCATACGGAGATGAGTATGGGAGACGAGCAACAGCTCAACAAAATGAACAAGAGTACTGTAACGAATGGCAATATATGAAAGCGAAACACCTGTCCGATACGACCATCACGGTCTCCAAAATCACCTCCTCTTCCTATCCTCCCCGCTCTTCGCGTCAAGCACCTCACTCCGGAACTCAAATCTCCCGGTCCTCTCCAGTCTCTCAACAAGCACATCGCCAAACGCCGTAACAGGCGTCAACACGCCTCCGCGCTGCGCCAGAGCTGGGAGTCGGTCGCGCATAAGGAGGATGGAGAGCGCCGACTCGGATATCATTACTATTTAATACGAACGATCAAGACACTGGCCAGTTATCCGGAGAAAGATTAGGAACGTACTCGAAGTAAGAAGGTACCCTGGGCAGCCTTGGCCGATGAACTGTGATTTTACAACCGTCGGTTCGATATTACCATTAGTTGTTGGCGTTGACGCTGACGCCGTTGGGGGGCTGGCGAAAGCAGGAACAGCGGTGGTGACGTTGGTAACGCGAATGTACCCATTCTGCATCGTCTCCTCCGAGGGTCCCTCGCCCGGTTGAGTGACCAGGCGTTTGAATAGCCAGCGTACCTACAAATGTCATGCGTTTAGATCGGAAATACAGAGGAATCGAGTAAGACGGGAAGAATGCTCACGGGCTTGAGAGCGACCAAACACGCGGCAACAGCCATCATGCCCACGGACAGCGTGAAGGCGGATATCTTGGATGGCATCTGGAGGAACTCATCGTACGTGAAGTTGGGACCGTATCTCACGACTTTACCCGTCGTGATGCCGTTTATACTTGGCGTGCTAGACGGTGAACTGGATGGGGAAGGGGATGATTGGAGGGAGACCATCTCCAACAAGCCCCAGGTCCTCTGGACTAGCGCGCGGTTTGCGGGGGCCATGAAGAAGAAGGCGCCGACGAGACGTGGGATGTGGGGCATGGTGTACACGAGGCGGCGAGGTGCGATACGGGGGCCTTTGACTTTTAGCGAACCCCATTCAGTGCGCGAGCTCGTATTAATAGCACATAACAACGCACCAGGACTAAGACCATACGGCTTAAATGACTCCTTCATCTTCTCTTGTGGGACATTCTCGAGCATGGTCAACCCCGTGCTTATAGTCCCGCCAGAGACTCCACCGCGGAGGTTGTAAGCCGTCGTCGAGTCCAGCATCTCCCATCCGTGAATTTGGTCCAAAGACCCAAGATGTTTGTAGGAGAGGTATACGGAGTAATCGGACGGAATAGAGTCCATTCCGCAGCTTGGGACGATGATGGCGCCGGTACGGGTTGCAGCATAGTCAAATTCGTAGATGATATCGCGAACCCAAGGAGGCTCTCCAGTTAAATCAACGTAGTGCACTCCATGTCGAACACAGGCCCTGTGACGTCCACTCAGCAGGGTAAAAAGACTATAATGAATACGCCGAAAACTCACCGAACAACAGGCGTCCCCCAGGTCCAATACGGGCCCACCGTATTGATGACTACTTTGGCACTCTTCACCACCCTTTCGACATCTTCTGCATTTGTAACGTCGACCAGCACAGAGGGTACGAGCGAGGTGTCCAAATCAATAGACTTTGCGAGGGCTGTCAATTTTGAAAGCGAGCGGCCTGCGATAGCAAAAGTGAACTCGCGGTTCTTGTGTTGGGGGTGGGCATAGAGATATCGAGTGATTAGTTTTCCGGTGAAGCCTGTTGCACCGAGAACGAGGAGGTCGTATCCAGCCATGGTATGTGGACTGCTGGAAATCGAGCACAGCAAGTAACGTAAGGTTGTTTGTCCATGCTATAATTCGAAGTCGTTGGTGGTTGGCTCTACTCCTTGTCGCGGATCGGATTCATGACTCCCGACACCATGAACGCTGAGCGATGAGTAGCGGAAGACGTTGACTAGTCCAAACTTTCCATTATTCTCATAACTACAACGTTCAAATGGTCTCGATTCAGGAGCTAGAATACAGCTCTGTGAGTTGAACAAGACCCTGGGAGGAGGGATCGTGCAGAATCACCAATTCACGAACTAATTAGTTACATCGGGGTTAATAACATGTTAAATATTGTTAATAACCTATTATTTACATGTTAAAAAATTTTGGCGGTGAAAAACGCGAAAAAAAACGATGCTAGGCATGTCAAAACTTCCACGCCTCCTCTACAGTAATACTAGCACAGGTCTTTGCAGCGGGAGGTTGTGACGCTGACTGTGCAGCAGGGGTTGCTTCACCTCTAAGCAATGCCCGAAGAACGGGGGCGTTAAGGTTAATCTCGCTATCGAGTTCGAAGTCGTCGTCCTCGGGGTCTCAGAGGGCAACTTGGCAAGGCACTACTAAACTTCGTTTGGAAAAGAGCCTCATGGGCTGCTGGTCACGTGTATTTCTCACAATTTTTAACACCCGCCAGGAGCTCTACCGATGTTATTAACCTGTTATTAACCTGTTATTAACACTGTTAATAATCCGTTGTTAAAAAACACCCTATTTTTCACGGTACCCTAATTCACGAACATAAGTTAGTTGTCGCTTAGTACTTGCGGAGGAGACGAGGAACACGGAGACGAGGTGCGTTTCACGGAGCTATATCCCGGGAGGAAGAGACATTTAATCTTCGCTCAATGCTAGATGTCGCCTTATCAAACGTCAATGACGGCTCTTTATGAACAATCTTGGGGACCGTGTCAGGTATTGGACCGATACCAAAGCCACGGGCTCGTCAGAATGATCGATAACCTCGCCGTCTTACCCAGAAGACGCATGGGATCTCGGTGCTTCCCCGTTTACCAGCCCACTCGTGATACTCAAATAGCCAGCGGCGGATTAGCGAGCTGTTCCACTGCGTATGCGTGTGGTATAATGGCACTGAGAGGCCTCATATATGGCTGGCACAGTGTTCCTGCGGCCAGTATCACGATAGATCGCTGTGATAGAGCGATGTTTGATGTGAGGTCAATATGCGATCCCCGAAGTATGCCCTTAGCATAATAGAAAACCCTCATGTTGGCTTGCCTCAAGCTTCAAATCGTATGGACGCCGCTCACCATTCGCCTTTGTCATCAGCAAGCATGGTTCCAGTCTAGCATATCTTCGAATATTGAATGCAAGTTACTCGCTCTGGACTGTGCCCATGACTTCCGTTCCTTGCTCAAGGTCAGCCAAGCCACAGGCGCTACACATGCAGTAGCATTGATGCGAGCACATATCTTCTCAATCGAACACCCCAGCACGCGGTGTGACTCAAAGTAATTCAATTGTGATTGGTATATAAACCGCGGTGAGCTCTCGACATTTCCTCAGGCTCAGCTTCTAACTTGCATTAGCTACCTACTTGCAGTTCACCATTGCATTCGACCATGAAGTTCTCGCTCGCCGTCGTCGCCTCTCTCTTCCTCGCCGCCCAAGCCGCTGCTCTCCCCGCTGAGGCTGAGGCTGCCCAAGTATGCTTGCTTAACCGTACCTCTAGTCGTCCTAACTGACGGGCTCTTTCCTTCTAGCAAAACCCCTGCCCTCGCCCTCGCAGCGCAGTACCATTCTACCGTGCCTACCACCCCGGTTACATCAACCACTTCTACACCACCAGCAACCCAGAGTGGCAGAGCACCATCGGCCTTGGGTATATCCACGAAACCCCCGCAGCCAACGTCTTCGCCACCCAGGAGCCCTCCACTGTGCCCCTCATCCGCCTCTTCAACCCCTCCCGCACCAACCACTTCTACACCACCAGCGAGCGCGAGGCGAACCGCGCTACTCGGGAGGGGTATACCCGCGAGGGTATCGCGGCGTACATCTTCGACAAACAGGTGTGCGGCAGCCAGCCATTATTCAGGCTGCTCAACGCCGGGACCGTCGATCACTTATACACCACCAGCTGGGAAGAGAGGAAGAAGGCGCTTAAGGAAGGTTACACTAGTGAGGACGTTGCTGGGTATGTCTTTGCTGCTTAAATGGTTCTCTTCGTCCTTTGGTATGTCCGGTCAATGTATTTCTGAAATTGCGGAAAGCTCACTTTGAAGGCTTCTTAGATTTCTATGGGGTTGGTGGTTATCGTTATGGGGTTTGACTGTGAAGCCGTAGCGAGACTATTACAGCGGTGTAGCATATCTATAGCTATGGTTATTCATGAATTATTGTTGTACGCCCTTTCCATCTTGTTACCGCTCAACCTGTGAGTTGGAATCGAATCGTGAGGTCACTGATAGTCCTTACTCCTCGCAAGACTTCCATTATTGTGGCTACCCGTTATTGGTACAAACCGCTGCGAGTTCGTCGAGCGCAGCGGTGAGGACGATATTTACCGCTCATGAACATGACCGATTGTGAACGGGCCGTCACAATCATGTACTTGTTCAACTGACCTGTGCGTCTCATCGTTTCGCTGGCGAATTGAGTTACGGAGACCCGCTTTGGACGAGGCTGTTACTGAGTAGATCACTCGACAAGCCCTTCATCAGTCATGACCTACGCCGCATGCCTCGTCTTGGAAATTTTATGGACACTTCTAACGACGGTCGGCGGGTAGGAATGCCCGCGCTACCGTCAATAAATCACTATGTGATGCTAGGAGAAGCTGATACAGGTGAGATCAACGAGGGGGACATGCACTACACAACTCACGTCCGATAACTAGCAGTTGGTAGGAGCCTCGCTCTTTGCCTTCATAGAAGCATCTACGAAATGTACGTGTTGCATGATCGACGGCAATAAATACAACGCCTACAACAGACGCTCCATTCTGGCACAATGTGCTCAACAGTACTGTGTTATTGTGGGGTCGCACCGTTTCTAGCCCAGCGCATCTAACATCACGATCGCCAGTCTCCATTCGTCGGTTGAATCAATTGGCAACATCTAGAGGATCATTAATCTGATTGATGAACGGAGCAGATATGAACATACACCTTATTCGTTGTTGCGGATTCGTTGCGGACGCGCCTGTCTTTGGCTTCGTAGCAGCGTGCTATCTGGTTTGAGGCCACGCTTTCCCGGCGTCCATGAAACGCCCTGTCCGAGACAAGTTGACCGAAACCACGCGCTGAGCACAGCCTTTGCTCGGAGGATCAAGCCAGGGTCCTCCGAAAGCGGGGTCGAGACGTCAAAAGGGTTGCCGTCAGTTTCAAGCCGCCTTGATAACTACACGACGCAACTTTGACCATCGTCTCCATATCGCACTCGAGCAGGTCCTCGCCCCACGAACTTGCCAACGAATCGCCTTCGCTGGTGGTCGTCGACCGAGATTGGAAGTGCTTCTTTTTTATCATTAGGTAAGCCAGCTGTGATTGTTTCATTCGACAATTTCTCACAATCCCATCTCTTCTTCACTCTCTCCCCGCACCCTCCCTTTTTTGCTGCGACGTCCACAGCAAGTCGCTTTTCGCGGAGGATTCACACTCATTTTGACATAAAGTGAGAGAGATATCATGGCCAGTGAGTGCTACATCGAATTCCGGCTGTAATAGCGCTTATAGCAGCACTACAGCTAGTCCACCACTTACGCCGCCTACCTTGTAAGTCCCAGTATCATGTTCGATCGATCCAGTACAAACTTTCTGGTACAGATCGCCACCGACGTCGGTGAGCTCAACTGCGCCGCCAACTACGACGGATCCTCCGACTACATCGCCGCCCCCCACGACGACGCCTCCGCCGCCTCCAACATCATCGTCTCCCCCGTCAAGCCCTCCTACAACACCTTCTACGTCTTCCTCTTCTTCCATTTCAAGTCCACCTCCGGAGACGACAAGCACGCCGAGCTCGTCATCTTCTTCATCAGTAGTTTCAGAAACCCCGACCATCACCTCGACCTCCGCACCCCCGCCAAGCACGACGTTGGTTATTACAAGCACCTCAGGAACTCAAATTGTCACTGTTACTCAGACGACTCTTGCGCCGACGATCAGCCGGAATGTTGCACCTACAACGGCTGTGAACGACCAGTCAAACAGCAGCGGGTGAGTCACCAATACCCGCGTCTTCGGAGATAGCTTACTAACTCTCATCAGCTTCTTTTCCAACACTGGAGCTGTAGCTGGCGTATTCACAGTCGTTGGCGTGGTCGTCTTGGCCGTTGTATTCGCCCTCATCACCAACGCTATCAGAAAACGTCGAGCTCGCAAGTTCGACCGAGAGATCGCGGACGCTGCTGCTGAAGCGGCGGCGGCGCAAGCTCCAGCGTTCCTCGACGACGACGACGACGATATCGAGCGTAGGGCAGCTGGATACGGAAGAGGCGGTACCAGCGGCGGATACGGCGCAAGCGGAAGCAAGGAGTCGTACACTGGCTACGATTCGGGCTATGGTCAACCGAACTTGGGGTACGAGACCTACGGAATGAGCGAGATACCGTCGAATGCATCGGCCACGGGGCTCGTTGCAGGAGCAGGAGCAGCTGGAATTGGGGCGAGTGCCCTGGCACGTGCACGGAGCCAGCGTGCATTAGAAGCACAAGGTCTAGCACCTGGTGCAGGCGAGGCTCAGACGCCGTATCCTGCATTTGTTGCTCCTGGAGCCATGCAGGCGCAGGACCAATGGTATCACAACCGCGCCCCCCAGCAACCTCAGCAGTATCAACCGTACCCGCAACCCCAGTATCCTTCTCCCCCTCCATCACAGCAATACCCTTCGTACACGCAATCTCCGCCTGGCTCGCAACACAACCATTCACAATCACCCTCGCCTCCCCCACCTGCCGCTCTTCAACCTGGTTACGCTGGGAACCCCGGGAGTAATGAATATGCACTTTTAGAAGCTGCTGGCTTCGGTGCGGGTGCAGCTGGTGGAGCCTCAGTCACGCGCGGGCCATCGCAATACACCAACGCTCCTACCTCGGCCTCAGCGTCGGTATATTCATCAGATCTCTCCCGCGGACGTTCCCTCGGCTCGGCGAACACAGGCGACCTATTCTATTCTGGGAATGGGTATCCACAGCCAATGCCATCGTCGGGCCCTACGCCAACGACTGCCTCAACAGGATTGGGCAGCGGCGGGGCATCGCCTCAGGAGTCGTATGCGGCGCATTACCAGACTGGAGGAGGGCTAGTACCTCCGGGAGTCGCACCAGTTGGGTCGGACGGGCAGTATGCTACGAGGACGGTTTCACCCTTGCCAAATCCGTTTTCGCCGGGCTTGGGTTCAGGATCCAGGGAGGATGACGGGTACGGTGGGATGGCGGAGAGTGAGGATGAGGACGACCAGGATGATGGTGGGAGACGGGTGCTGAAGGTACGTGTTTGATCGGTTGGGTAATTGATAGGATGTGATACTCACTTGTTGCGGGTGCGTCGCAGGTACGAAACGAGTAAGAATTTCGCCCTCCCGCCACCATCGGGTTCGTTTGTTCCCCCATCGTGATGTCGCCGAACCTCGAAACTTCAAAAGCGAAACCTGTACATTGTCGTCAATACGTTCATCTTGTCTCTTGTTTCTGTCGCCATATTGTATATTCGCCCCGCATCACGCCCCTTGCACTTACCCTTCGCGTTCACCGTCTATAATTGTTCGCTCCGTCTATCTGGACGCCCTCACTCTCCTTAACGCCCTTCCTTCTTCTTAGTATATATTACCACTTACGACGATACATTCGTATTTGTTCACAAGAGTCTCGTGTCCTCTTTCGCCTTCGAACACTCTGCCTTTCTTGTCACTTGAACTTTGGGTTGTTCGGCGCCGTATGAACACTCCTTATTTCGTTTCGCTTACTTTTGACGTGCTCATGCATTAACCTGCTTCGCTGTGAACCTGTCCTCATTATTGACTATTTATCCAAGCATACCCTTCATAATGTTCACTTCGCTTCACCCCATGTCTCTTGCTGCCGGCACATCTCGCGCCTCGCAGACTGTTGACTACTGAGTACTGTACTCTACTATCGGGTATATAAGATGTCTGGTCGCGTATGAGTGGGACAATGGGATTAGACATGAGAAAATAACCCATATCCACGTCTGGGTACAAGAGAAAAAGGATGTCAAATTCGATACGGAGAGAACGCGCGACACAACAGACGATCAAAATGAAACAACGTCAAGCGACGACTATTACTCCACAGCCAACAGCCAATGAGAAAAGTACTGATTGGGATACCAGTGTGCTTGGAAAGCGCTTGCTGCGCGACGACGCAAAGCAGGAAGAGGAGTCCAAAGCGAAGCGTTCGGTATTCCATCTTGGTTCACTGCGACCGCTTACCGTTCTTCTGATTATAGGGCAACAAACGACCAAGGATGAGTCTGAGGGCCTCTAATTGGTCGTGGTATTCTCGACATAGAGAAGGCGAGTCATCCGGCTGGATCTGTCTGTACTTGGTTTTTCGCTTACGATTCCTTGCATAGTACTAAGTATTTTCACATTTCTACAGTGCTGATTACGATTATTATTATACGCGCCATGTCACATGATGTTATTGGCGCCTGTAAGTGGAACTTCTCGTTTCTTAAAGCTAAAACACCACCATGTCGACACCGGAGATCGACCATACGTTATCGCTCCTTTCGTCCCACCGCACTGTCTTGGGATATGTCGTCTTGTCCAGGGGTCATCCTCACGGCATCGTACGACAATCCGGGGTCATATTTGACGGGGAGCATGGCAGAAAGTACGCTATCGCTATTGGGAAGATCATGGAGAGCGTGCAGAGCTCGTTAGAGGATCTGTCTGACGATCCGAATGGTGGTGTGAGTCCCTCAGTATGCCATGAATGTCGCAAAAACCCTGATCAGGCCACAGGATGAAGTCCGGTTCCTCCGAATACGAACGAATAGACATGAGATTATGATATCTCCCGGTGCGCTTTGTAAATATTTCTAGTGAAATTCAACGCTGACATGATAACGGTCTTAGACGATAAATACCTACTGGCCATTCTGCACGATCCGGCTTCATGACACGGATACCAAACTTTCCCACTACGCCATAATAATATACCACAACCAGGCTGCGCAATGTATTCGTATCACCCACCACTTAATCGTTAACCAAGAAATCTGACCACAATATTATCTTGGGCTCATCCCCAGTCTCCGAACACTTTCGAATGAGATTCTTATCGCCATTGTCAATGAGTTTCTATATGAAGAGTCGAGTACTTCTTGCGCTCCTCGTTGCCTCTCGCCAATTCCACAACATCAATCAATACATCTTGCCTACCACGAGATGCCGATTTCTCTTCACGAAGTCCGACAGATCCCACCCACATACTCATCACGTAACATCGTAACCAACCAAGACGCTGAAACGTTCACTCCTTTTTCTATATTCGAGTGGAAGAACAGGGACTAGTAGCTGAACCCGTTGGCTCGTAGCATGCGAAAGCACAAACACGCCAATGGTAAAGTGGGAGGCTTGGACGCTGTCTTCCTTGGCGAGGGCGAGGAGCAAGAATGCCTCCCTGCACCAGAAAGCCGACTCGACATCGTGTCGGGGGCGATACTCGAACTCTTTCACCTTCAGGTCAGGATTTTCTGCATACTTCTTTTTCATTTTATCGGAGTCATAGCGCCTCCGTGACGGATAGTGCCGTCCTCAGGGAACTTGCGCAAGCCAGAACGATCGTTGGCGTATACCTGGGCGTAATGACTTGGGAGGTTTGGCATGGCGTAGAAATTGTTGTCCTTGACAAGCAGACGGCCAACAGCAGGTGAGCGAGCGATAAACTTCGGCGTCCCCTGCTTGAACGATAGATCAGCGCATTCCCGACGAATTTTTAGGTGAAATCACGGTACGACGACGCAAGAGCTTATCATTCATAAGAATGGCGTCTCTCCTTGCGACGAATGAACGTTACCGCCGCCGAGATTAAGGCGACCTTGTCTACCATTTGCCACTCCAAGCGCGAAGCCGTCCCATCTGTTTCAGCAAGGTGGATCCCTCCCTGAGAATACCGAATGGGACAGAGTTATTGCGAGGGTAAGCGTGATTGCCTCCCTCAAACGCTTTCAAGGGCTGGGTGAGCTACACAGTGAAGACGTTGAAGGAACCTGGGGAGGTCTGAGGCTCGAGGGTTTACGCACTGCGCAGCCGCTCTACCATCGGCCGTTAAGAAACACTGAGCCGGCGCATTTTTGTTCCAACAACAACTCAAAACATGGGCGTATAGGTGTATTGGAGGCGAGGAGGCGAGTATGCGCCAGCGACCCTTGTACACGACATCCGACTGAATCAAAAACTTGTACCTAGTCCTCGTCCATCCTGTCCGCGATATCTCAAGACGGATCTGCTATGCTCCGCGGCGGAGATGCGGCAGGCGACGACGCCGCAGACGAAGGCGCGCGTCCAGCTGTATTCCGCACTGGCGAAGGCGTTCTCGGCGCAGACATAGATCCATTCACCAAGGCAGCGCTAGGCGACACGGATCGTCTAGCCTCGCGTTTCGAGCGCACGGACGCGTTCAGATGATCGCACTTGATGCACCGGAACTCTACATCGTGTTCATTAGCATTTGTCGCCGGTGAAGGAAAAGGACGAAGACCAGCGGACTCACGGGCGTCTTCCCACATCGCCTCGGGCAGGAGTCCGTTGTGCTTGAAGCACTTCTCGCAGATGAGGGCGTCGCGAGGGCGGCGCCTGGTCGTCTTCGCCAAGCAGGGCGTCCGCGAGTTTGTCGTACCACTGCTTGCGCGTGGGTGTGGCGAGGAACGGCGACGCTGGAGATGAGTTGTCAGTGGCAAGAAACGATGATGATGCGAGTACACACGAGAGAGAGCATTCAAGGCAGGGTGGATCAGCGCCGGAGGGCCAGGATTTCTCCCATTCGGTCCTGAGGTTGAGGCGAGAGCCTGAGGCCCGCCGTTATTGGGTGTTCTGGGCGTCTGGCCCGGCGCAGGGATGAGTCTCTGGCGAAGGCCCTGGGGAGGCGGCGGCGTGTTCAGAGGCATCGATTCATCGTACTTCGAGAGGAGATCACGCGTGGAATAGTAATTTGTCTTCTTCTTGATTTCTTCCACCTTCGTCCGTTGCTGCTTGAGGAGATGTTGCAGCGTCTTTTCTGTATCATGGTAAGCTAAGAGCGGGAATGGCATAGACGTCGTGGATGCGCACCTTCGTGGGCCTCTTTTCGCGAATACCAAAGCTGAACTATCCGCCGGATAAACAGCACTCTAGGTAACGATCAAAGCATGCAGGGATTTCAACGAAACGACGCACATCAATGGTCCAACAATGGCTGGTGCCAGAGCTACTCCGCGCGGGAGCATAAGGGCCTGGAAATACCACAGGCAAACGTAGACGACATACGCTGCGGCGGTATAAAGAGTCGACCAAAGGGTCAAGCGGCGTTCTCGTAAACGGATATCGGCAAGCTTTTGCTGGCGAGATTGAACGTCGCGTGAAAGAGTGGAAAGGATGGTTTCGTAGTCCTCCTCTTTGGACTGGTGATCAAGCGTTGAGCAATATGGAATGACGAGCGCCCTAGATGATATACCTGTTTGAATAGGCGGAGCAAAAAGGACATCGTTGGGTGGGACTAGGCAGAAGTGGTTTGGATACGCCCGAGGGCCGAGAAAGGGGACTGAAATGGAGATGTACACCAGACGCGAGGAGCACCATGTGAGCAGCAGAAATGCGGCTGGTCAGTGAGTGAGATTGAGTACCCAGGAGCTACCGGATAACGACGTGCCTTTGGAATGGAGGAGAGACTTCGACTTGGCTGTTGGATGTTGGATGGTAGGACGGTAGGCTCGAAAACCAGCATTAGGAAACTTCAACCATGATGGAAACGGACAGTCCGCGACGGACGTATCAGCCCAAAGCCAATCTGGTATCGTAAACTGGACGTGGGAACAAATCGCTGACCATGAGATTTGCCACCCGCACCTTGACAATTAGCACATCTCCTCCGTTATATCATGAAACCCGAGCTGGGTTGTAAAATCGCAGAAAAGCTGGGGATGAATCCTGACGAGAATGATATCTTCAACGCCCAGGTTTATATCAATCGACATACGCGCGCCATAAACCCAAACTTCCCGATGATCCGCGCCATAGAGTACGCACCTTGGAAACCCAAGGACACCTTCGCATTCATTCTTGTCACCAAGCACGCCGACGACCACAAGCGCCGTAAGTTTCGTGAAAGGCGGCAGGATGTTTTGATCAAGCGTTTCTTCATGAAACTTAGAGAGTTAAAGCCTGGTGATCTTTCATGGGACACCGTCCTCCGCAATTGGTGATCGTACGTGGTTGTATTATTCAGAAGAGCATCAGATTGACATGCTCTTTCACGGTCCAGTTTGAATGGATCGACGGGTGTGGAACCTTTATTCGACCGGGCTTATCGACGCCAGATTTTTTCTCATCTTATCCTTAGTAGAATCATCCCTTTGTGCGGACGGCCGACCGCTACTCACGCCGCAATATCATCCAGACCAAAAGAGTGGATACGCAGATGCGTTTCACGTTTGTACAATTGCCGTGTACCACACTTGATATAAATTGTTCACTTTGAATACGAGGGTAGCAGATGACTGGTCATCGGTTTAACAGTAGAACGTCTTACAGTCATTGACAAGGTTGCTAATGGAAACATATCATCGAACATTTCATGAGCAGTGCATGAGATGAAAACAGGCCTCCGTAAGCGATACGGTAAAGTGGGTGACGTCCTCAACGTCTGTAGGCAGGAGCACGATCTACATACCAAGTCAATGGTTTGAAGAATTGAAGAGTGAACACACGCACCATTTAACAACAGCATACCACGCAGGCTTTTGGTCCTCCAGGCCAAGAAATTCAACAAGCTCCTGCTCGACTTCAGGTGTATTCCTCATCTTCATATTCTCTTGCGAGTTATCGTCAGCCAGCACGAGGAGGCGCCTAATCCCCAGCGGGCCAAATGGTCGAACGAGGACTGGTCGCCACCGCGTCAGTGTCAGCCCGGGGACGACGATCTGCACAAGGAGGGGCAGTTCGCTGGCAGCAAGGTTCTTGGCATCTCTGGCCTCGGCTTCTGAGTCGGTGCTGGGAGGATAGCCCTGTGACTCGCGCATCATGTAGCCAAAACGGAGCAGACACTCGTTGGTGAGGTAAACACCATAAGCGTTGTCCGGAGGATTGGTGTGGAGAGGGCGTCGAGACCTGAGGAGTGTGCGCGCGCGGAGTTCGTAGTCTGGAGCAGAAGTGGACGTCTCAGAAGTGGACGTCTCAGACGACATTGGGTGGTTCGGAAGAGTATAGCGTTCTGGAAGTTCAACCACACTCAGCTCTCGTAAGTACTGAAATGCCGTGTCACGTGTCACACCTCCCGTGGGTCCCCTGAGCATTTCTCCGCACAACTTGAACAAGAGATCGCCTCACCGTTGCGACTGTTGCCAGGAAGAACAATAGTTGCATCGCACGCGACTATCGATCTTTTTTTTAGGCACGAACCATTGTTATGAACCTAGGCAATGTTATTGTTCGCGCCTCCAGGGTCTATATAATATCGTCCACCAGCCATTGCAACTATCGCCCCCCCACCGTGTTCACTATCATGCCCAAAGTCAAGGCCCTTCGCCCGCACAAGACTTCTCTCCGGACGCAACTTGCTATTTCCGCTGGCTTATCTCATGACTACAACCCTCGTAATCTGGAAGAAGGTTACTATTTAGCCTACCACACCGTGCTCACGGAACTATTCGACGCTCAACTTCGTGATCAAATATTTACTCGTTCCCGCACCACGATTTCTGTCTCATCTGCAGAGCTTGAACGATTAAGGCTGGCTCACCTTTATGCCTCTCATGTGCCGGCTCCTGAGCAGGAAGAGCCTGCTCAACCCGATGGCAAGTCCACCCAAGGACCTCAGTTGAATTCATCGTGATAATTTTCACTGTTGCCAGATCCTGAAAGACAGTTAACCCGCACCGAGCAGTTAATGAAGAACCGAGAGAAAACCTTGAAGGCAAGCGAGCAGAAAGCCAAGCAAGAACTCACGATTTTGCTGGCGAAGGGTCAGGAAGCTTATGACAAGCTTGTAAAAGTGCGACATGATGCGGAAGATCCGAAAGGTGAATCCCATGCGATCAGATTCTGACCTATACTGAAACTGTTTTTGAAGATGCGCTGGAGAATACTTCGTTCACCTCTCAAGGCACAGTTGCCGATGGAGGCAGCTTGAACATAGTTCCAGACTTTACTGGATACCACCTAGTCGCGCTGAAGGAGCTGAAGCCCACCAACAAGGATCGCTTGTATGCGTGGAGAGTGCGTAACAAGTTAAGAATTATTCACGAGTGCTCTCCGTTCTTCCTCGAGAACAAGACCTCGCCCACGCGGCATAAACCCAACTACATTGTCCAGCGGAACATTTGGGATCAGGATCTCGAGGACTTATTAACTGAAGCCGCGGAGGATCTCATGTTCTATTGTTGCGTCTACTTGGCAAAGGACTTATCTGCCAAGTCAGTCGTGGTAATGGTGGCCAGTGGATTTCACTGGAGATGGGTTCAATTCTCCCGGGACGAAGTTCCGGAAATGGAGTTTGATGTTTCGGTGGAGGAACTTCGCAAGAGAAACCCCGCTTGGAAGGTGAAAGCCGTGTTCGATGCCGCCGTCAGAAAACTTGCCAATGCAAAAATCTTCGTACTGGGCACCGAGGCTTCGGATCGTGAATTGACTGCAATGCGCGATGCGACCATTTCCATTGTCAACAACCACGTAGCATATGGTCCGACCATGCTCGCCACGCAACCTAAAGCAAAAAGAAGAAAAAAGGCAGTGGTAGGCCAGGCTATTGACGAGGGGAACACGTCCGAAGTTGAGCAGTATAAACCAGGAGACGAGAACGAGACGGAGGCCGAAGAAACCTGGTGGGAGGACAGCGGTGATGAAGACGGTGATGAAGGCGGTGATGAAGGCGGTGATGAAGGCGGTGATGAAGGCGGTGATGAAGGCGCCGCGTTGTTCAAGTTGAACGTTGGGGAGTAAAACTCTCCCGCGGTGCGTACCTTCCATCCACTACCCTTATCCGGACCTGTCTGATCGTCGCCACAGTGGTGGCTAGCAGCTAGTCCCGAGCGTACGCCTCAACGCCACGCCCACGCCCGCTCACCCGGATCCACCGCGACCAAGCTGCGCAGAACTCAGGCCGACCACACCCAAGGGCGCGTGGACACGACGAACATAGACATGGCGCGAGCGCGCGTCGCGTCGTCGAGCGTGTGATGGCGAGGGCGACGAGGTCGGAGGGGATGCTTGCGGGAGGATAGGTAGACACTGCACGCATCGAAATTAACAATGCACATCTACGAGCTTAGACGAACGATACATACCTTACAAGGGACGGTGTCCCGACTGCACGAAGACGCGCGTGCGATCTTCCTCGAGATGCTGCGCAAGCTCATCTTCATCCGACCTCAAACCCGCCGCATCCGCGCGTGTAGACGCAGATGCAGGACGTGCGGCCCAGCGAACCGGCATGGCGCTTGCAGTACAAGGGCCCCGGTCAGCGATGGCGCGTCCCGCCCACCCTCGCTGCGGCCCCGTGCGTCCACCAACCATGAACACCCTGGCACGTTCGCGAGCGCAGGAACGATCAACGCGCTCCGTGTGTCGTCTTCGCGTTCGGTGACGCACGCACAGAGTGTCCCGCGACGTGTTCGAGACGAGTTTCAAAGTCGAAAGCCTTGGGAGTTAATGAATCAGCATCATCCAGAGATTGACTAACATCAACCCTACCAAGGACTTTGTTAGATGGTTAGTTATTGAATTGTCTTTCCCTGAGCGAATTAGCTTAGCAAAATGTGGACGATCGAGTTGAACTCACCATAGGGTTGAGTGGTACTCGCCGAACGCCTCAAGTTCTTGATGTCGTCGAGGGTGCAGTGCTGAGAGCGTACGAAACCTGGCAGGGTTGCGAGCAGAGATGTTGGTCGGGGTGGTGGATGGTGCGGCGAGTGGTTTGTGCGATGAACGAAGCCGTTTGTCTTCTGTTTGCGTGGCATGTTAGTGTAGTCGGCTATGGATTTTGATCGAATATTTTATAACTGTCGAGCGTGAAAGCGAAAAGTCTTGATGAAATCGATGTCGTAGGCCTATAAAATCGTTAGAAGGTCTGGTTAGTATGGATCTTATAGTAGAAAATCAAAGACGCACCGTTAAGTTGATGACGCCGTGAAACGAGCACCTTTGTGATAATGAGACCGTTTTCTAAGTATACTTCCGTAAGAAAACGAGAACGAGGACGAGCGAATGAATGAATGAAAAGAATGAAAACAAACGTACTAACGGACTCGTAGACGCGACTGGGTCCTCGTTTCAAGTATAGTATTTATCCTTTTTTCTACCTCATACAATTCACCGCGCATGCGAGGAGTGCCACAAGGAGTAAAGTAAAACGGAGGTTGTGAGTATAGGCAAGTACCCGTAGACACAAATACAGGCCAGAGTGCACGCGCGTGGTATGAAGAGAAGAAGAAAGGTGTACATGAAATGTATAACAGATGACGATGACGTTGGAAGAAAGCACACCAGAAAGGGCGAAACGACCACCTCAACGACGTTACAGCAACTACAATGCAGTAACTCATACGACCAACCCTCCTTGTCCATCCCACCATCGATGTCCTCTCAAGCGCATACGACCACCGCACCACACCACAACACCATAAACCGCGGCCTCAGTCGCGACCGGCAACCCGTTTCGCCTCAGGAATGCTGCGAGATACGCCAGCGTCCACAGCCCAGGGCAATACGCGGCGAGTAATGGAGTGACATCTGGATCGGAAGGGACGAAGATCGCGCTCGAGCGCGCATCGCGGACGGGATACCGGTTGATGGGGACGGACGTGCGCCGCGGCGAGCGCGAGCTTCTCATGCGAGGCAGGTCGAGACTAGGCCGCCATGCACATTTCATGTGAGCAGGGCAAGGTTGTCCCCATGCTCGTACGGCTCTTGATGCCGAAGCTGGTCTATGCGGGCTGCGCACGACGCGCTGGCAGCGCCGGATGTATGCGCGTCGAAGGTTGGGGATTTCGGCGCGCTCGAGTGAGGGTGTAGCTAGCAGGGCGGGCGGACGACGGACAGCAGACAGCCTGTGGCATGTTGGCTGACGCGGAGGGCGGGGTGACGCTAAGGCGCTCAATGGAGTGACATGACGCCAGGACTTCGTTGCGAGAGGTATGTTGGCCGAGGATGCATTACTGAGCGTCAAGTCTGGCTTGTGCAGGACCGAAGACTGGACGTGGGGGCCAGCTTTACGCTGAAACCGCATCCGCCACCATCTAAGTCGACTACAAGGCGGAAGCTGCGTTGCGCAGGAGAGAGAGGTGCTGTCACTCGTCCGAGGTGTGTTGGTTTCGTAGTGAACGGAGAGATGATGTGGAAGTGCTGAGTCGACGAGTGGGGCAATGGGGCGCTTCTGCAGGGAGATGATGTGTGGGGAAGAGGGGTGTAGCGGGAGTGCACTGCTCAGGGATCGTATCTTCGAACGCAACAATGTCGGGAAGGAGGGATGAAGGGAGTGTGCTGCAAACTCCAGGTGGTTGTCCTTCGAATGTGGGGCGCGGAGTAGTCGAAGCTAGTCGAAGCTTCCGCTTGCAGTGGGCGCACGAATAACCTATCCTAGAAGGTGACAAAAGACGCGTCAATGCAAGTCTAGACGATGGAAAGTGCTCTTACGGGTGGTATGGGCTGCAAAGGTCGTCCACTTCAGTGATAGCGCCAGTTGAGTCGCGGCAACACCAGAGCAATAGCCTCTACCGCCGACGCATTGCACCTCAGGATGCCCCACCCTCCGCAGCGCAGCTATAAGCGGCGCAGGGTGACTTAGCTCAGGCTGGAGTACGTCAGGCAGGCCAAGGCGCGCGAGGCCTGGGACGGAATGCGCGGCACATGTGTGATTCGACACACAGTTCGGAACGTCGTCTAATCCTATCAAAATGGTCAAAATCACCACGGTCGACATACTATGAAGATGTCCACTCACCCAAGCTTCGCTGCCAAAGTCCTCGTTCAAAATCACCATCTCGCGCCACTGCTCAGTAGCCAGAAGGGTCGCCCTGCAGCTGTCGCGCGCGTGCGCTAATGGCAATGTGAACCAAAAACCAATCTGAGGGGATTGGAGACTTACCTAGCAACTTCAACAGGGTGTGCCACATATCCACGGCACCGTCTCTTCTCACTCCCCGGATTCTAAGCCATTTTTCGCCACCTGGATAGTCGTTCGACTTGGGAGCAAACGGATGGCATACAGGCAGGTTGTCTGTCGGTCATGACACGCCATCGTTTCAGGGAGATTCAGAAGAAGGGGGGGTTAGAAGGAGAAGGACCGTGGCATGGGCTTTCAACGTTGTCGTGGACGTCCTTGTCGTTCCCGTCGTCGTCGTGGTGCGCGCTTGAGTTGAAGTCCGAAGTAGGCGCACGGATGGAGCGGAGTTCAATCCCGCACGTGGCGCTGGTTCAAGTGCCACAATGCGGGGCAGCCCCGCCGTCAATCATCCTGCCATGTTGCCGCCAACTCTCGAACTCCAGCGCCACGTCGTGCTGTCGACAGCCCATACTACACTCAACACGCACCGGAGCTACCACGACGAAGTCCCCAGACGGGGACATCTTCGACGGCGGCAAATCGAACAAGGCCTGCGGCGAGTGGCAGAAGGTGCGATGGGATGGAGGGAGACAGCGCCGTACAGGTACGCGACACGTATGCATCTCTCACCTAATGTGCTGTAACTTTGACCCGCAGCTCCTACATGCCAGTGGGCAAAGCCGATGGAGCAGCGCTCTACAAACGAGGGTGCGATCACGAGCTTGGGGCGCTGGGCGCGATGGACGGCTGGTGCAACGAACACGGCATTGAATGCGCAAACGTGCGCTGACGGTGTATACGAAGGGGATGTACAGACGACGTCGACAACGCGGGGACATGTGGGCACGGGAACAGGCTTCGTACGGACAGAGAGGGCGCCAACAGTGTCAACAGCGACGGGACGAAGAGGCTAATGGCACACGGCGGTAGCAGCGGCGAGACGAAGGCGACCACGCCAATCGCCATCCATTTGTAGGCAACGTCGACCCGATCGGCCAGGAATGCGAGAGAGCACGGGAGGGAGGTGGGCCGCAGCAAGGGCCTTTCAGTGAGCGAGTGTGTGGAGAGACAGACGACAGGGACGAGGTTAACACGCACGTCCTCTATCAAGACGGCATGGCTCACCAGCACGAAGCCTCAGACTCCATTCACTGCATCCCTTTGCCGCGGGATCACGCCGACGACGGGAATGGTGCACAATTTCCACAAGTGCGGAGCTTGTCCAGAGACAACACGGTGTCGACGACGAAGACGCGCTACTTCTAGCGATGACACCGTTCACGCCGCCCAGCATCCCGCGCCGTGAATCCAAGTCGCGCAAGTCGCTCGACCTTGATGCGTCAGAACGCGTACGCGTCAGCAAATCAGAACCAAACGAACCAACGAAGACGAGATACGTAAACGAAAGCGAACTCCAGAAATGTGGTAGGCAAAACGGGGCGTAGGCAAGAAACGGGGCGGACAGCAAACGAAAGCAACAAGGAACTAAGCATACCGAACGTGCATAACCACCGAACGAAGGGACAGAATAGACTCATCACGATGGACTGGGGCAGAGATGGAACACGAACCAGCGAATGGGTTACGAGATATGAGCACGAAGAAGAGGTATGCACTTACTTTGTTTTCGGTTTCGTGGGCCGAGCATTAACGTTGGCGCTGGCGCTGCATTCGTGTGTTGCAGAGCGGGTGCGTGGACGTGCAACTTGGGATCTGGGACCTGGCGCGGCAGGCAATGGTAGTGTGCAACGTGTAGCAGGTAGCGGGTCGTGGCGCGAACAGATGAACGAGGAGAGAGAGAGCGCAAATGAAGACATGAAGCCATCAATGACGAAGTAATTGACAAAACGAGTAGTGAAGAAACGAAGACGAAGAATGAATGAAATGAAGAATACGTGAAACGAAGAAACGAAGGAAGGAAGGAAGGAGCCCCCTGCGTGCGCGCCCTCGTCTCGACGCCTCGCCGCCCCTCCGATAATCGAATCCGAATCCGAATCCCGGGGCCAGCGCGAGCGGCTGCAGCACGATGCGCCAAACCCAAACCCAAACACCACCACCGACGCCGACGACGTGGGCTTGGTACTAACAGAAACGCCAACGCGTGCACGCCAGCATAACCACGAATACGCCAACATAGCCATGAATACTCAACGCCAGGAGGCGAACGCGACAGCCGGGCGCAAAGGGGGCGGAAACGCGTGCACGCCGACGCCAGTGCCGAGGCACGGGCAAGAACATGACTACGAGACGTAAGGGGCTGCAGCCTGCGAATGCGCACGACCACGAACACAATACGCACACAAAGACGCATATGCATACGCACGGGGAACGGGAACGAGAGCGGGATGCGAGCAGGACGGGAGACGCACGCGCGACACGACACGGTGCAAGAGGAAAAGGACGGATGGGAGGAGGGAGAGAGACGGAGACGGGAAAGAAACAGACGGGGAACGAAAGGGGCGGAGAGGACGAGTACGCACCGGCGAATCCAGAGCGCAGGCGCGCGAATCCAGAGCTGTGGGATTGCGCGCGCGTATCCTGGGAGAGGACAGCGAGGCGTCGGTGCTGTGAGGGAAGCGGAGTCAGCGATTGGCGCACAGGCGAGGAGGGGAGACGAGGAGAAGGAGAGGGAAGGGAAGGGAAGGGATCCCAGGAATGAAACGATGCAAGACGGACGACGGGCGACGAATGACGAACGACTAGAACGACGTGACGCACCCCGAGAACGCGAAGGCGCAACGATAATGCTGCGGGGTGCCAGTAGGAGGGATGCGACATGGAAGCGAAACGAGACGGGAACGAAACAAAAGAAAAGAACAGAAGAAAAAGACGAACACGAAAGGCGACGAAGATACGCACCGACGCACCGACGCATCAGTCTGCGTCTCAAGCCAGCCAGATGTCAAAACGACGTGCTGCGTCGACAAAGGCGAGTGGGTTTTGTTTGCGGCTACGGCGAGCGAGCGAGCGACACTGGGATTTCGTGAAGACGTTGATGGCTGGAGGAGAAAGCTAGAGCGACGAAGACGAAGACGTTAGAGGAGGAAGGAATGGGAATGCGACAAAGAGGAGAAGTGAGGTACGCACCTTGTCATTCGATAGCCGCTTCGCAGCGCTGACAATGTCGTCGTTGTAGATGGAATCGAAACGTCATCGTCGACGACGACGACAGGACTCGCCCGCGACCTGTAGAAATAAACGGTAGGGACCCTGTATTAACAAAACGTAGTGGTCGTTAGATCACCCTTGAATAAACTGGTTTGCCATCGACTTACCTACGCCGCCGTTGAGGGATTCGAGGACACCTCGTAAATCGAGCCCTAGATTCATGGCATGGGATTAGCTGCACGCCATGGGATTGGAGTGGAGGGATCAATGAGTAAGGTAAGCACTCGTTCATTGGTTCGTGGGCGTTGAGCAGACTGATGGCGTTGGGCGTTGATTTAGGGTTTTGTAGACGGTCCAGCTGGATTCAGACTCGATAAGTCATGTGCACTGTTTACGGCCAGGAACTCACGCACTCACGCACTCGCACTCGCACTGACACTGGTTTGGGAAGAGCAAGACCCACGGGGAGTACTGCTTCGCCGCGTCGAACGACATAGTCGGGACCGTGATGTTGGAGATACATGGGGCAGATGACCTACCCAACGTCAACAATAGTGAGTCTCCTTCGCCCGCGATACAAACTCGTACCTTATCTGCTCTCCAGTGGCGCGTACTGGATGGTACATTGAGTCACTGCCCAATGAAACAAGAACAGCGTGCTAACCTAACGATAGTGAGGGTGTGTTCGTGGTCAAGAGTCCCGAGATTGATCAAGTTCAACACGCCTAACCTATCAAGAAAGAGGCGCTGGCGCTCTTCCGCAGCGACTACCAACTCAACGTCGACGACAGGCTACACGACGACAACTCAGACGCACCTCAATCCACGCCAAGTCGTGACAAGCTCTTCCACGACCGATACCATCACCCCTATCTATATTATCCGACGGATTACAGGGTGTAATCGGTCGACCTCCTCCGTTCGCGGCGCAACAACTTCACACACCTCCGTTAGGGTGTTCTGATGAAGAATCACCTTGTCGCGCCGAGTTGCGCCGCTTCCCCACGCTCCAGCGCCCCCTTCTTCGTTGAGAATCTCGCTGAGCGCAGCGAAGCAACCGTCGCTCCCCGACCCAGGGTTAGGTGACAAAATATGTCCGGGCATGTTAGGAGAGTATACTGATAAAATTCCTACGGAGATATCTGCCCTCCTCCTCGTGCTGTAGCTCAAATACCGTTTCGGTACGAGGAGAAGAGGGTGCCAACGGCCAGGATGTTGGCGCGACTCGGCGCAACAAGTACCCATCTCTAGGTATACCCTCAAGGTATATGGGACAACTTGTTGCGCCGTGTTGCGCCGCTTCCTCATCATCCAGCAGCACGTTTACTACCTGCAAAACTACCATACTGGCCCCAGCCACTTCAAACAGTGGCGCAACTCGGCGCAACAGCTCCCCAAACCTCGCCATATATATCCCCCAGGACTGGGTCGTTGTTGCGCCGAGTTGCGCCACCATCTGAGGAAGCTGTGGAATTATCTTTGTGTTTTATTTAATGTGCCCCTGTTCCCTCTTTCCCCTGACCTGCCTATTCAGGCAGCTGAGTTTTCGCATTTTCTCACAGTTACAATACATCACAACTCCGACCTCACTACTAAATTAGTTTCTCACAGTCAGTAGCCCACATTAGGGACTTCAAATTCCGCTCTAATGACACTTTTTGTAATGAAACATGGTCAGAACCTGCTCCAATTGCTTAGGTATATAGAGGAATGTTGTTCAGAATAATAAAAAGCATAAGATGCAAAAGCTCCGAAGTAGTTAGGGCCATTTTAAGACAGTCAAAAGCTGGAAAAATGCGAACTTAAACAGCAAATACAGGGTTAGTGACTCAGGATTTCATTTTCATGACTTGCTTGAGGGTAGAAAAGTGTTCAGAATGCGAAATTACATGAGATACAATTGACAGTATATAGCTAGCATATTTGATGGACAAGCTACAGTCTCCAAAATGCGAAATTAGCAGGAAGAATGAGCTGTACTGCCTTAGGGTTATGGGATTGTTTTTCATATTTCCTAGGGAATTTTTAGGGATGGAATTTTTTCCCTAGGGTAGGGTAAGTGATGGTAGGGAAATGGTGATAGGGAGGACGATAGGGATACAGAGATAGGGAAATGATACGGAGCTGGTGGCAGGGAATATGGTAGGGAAGTAGCAGGGTTCATATGAGAGAGATGGTAGGGAATTGGTGGTAGGGAAAATAGCAGGGATGCATAACACACAGATGCTAGGGGAAAATGTAGAGGAATGGTGGTAGAAAAAACATTAGGGACACAATAGGGTACATGAGAGAACACTGCTAGAAGACTAGTGACAGGGAAAACAGTAGCAAAGGCACTAGCATGAAGCTTAGGAGCAAGGAATGGGGAAACCATTAGGGATGGAGTGAGAAATGGTGCTGAAAATGCCAAAGATGAAAATAGGGATTGATAAGATGTATAGAACAGTTGTGTGGCCGTCTTGGACGACCTGGTGTGTGGTGGGATGCATTGGTGGTGTGGGGAATGTTGTAACAGATTCCATCGATGTATATTATTACAAGACGGAGTCAATGGGTCAGTGCGTGGGAAGACGAAGTGGGTCAGTGCGTGGGATGTGGAATGGGACAGTGCGTGGGAAGGCGGAATGCACTATCCACTGACTCCGGACCTAGTGCTGGGTCAGGTCGGCCCAAAACGGCTACTTCTGGGCTACCCTACCTCTTTCTTTCAACCTTATCATATCATTTATTGGCCAGAACCCTGTAATATATCACACAAATATGTATATTTTACCATTCAACTACCAAGTTAGATAGCTATGTGGCTTGGGATTAGAGCGTTAGAGCTCGCGAACGCGAGCTCTAACGCGATTCCTTGCCTTCTCATGCATGCAATCCTATTCTATTCTCCTGAATTCGAACAACTGACTTGCATTGGAGCCTTCAGAGATAGGAACTTAAGGGACAGGAGCTTCGGATTCACGTATATTTCCAGTAGTGCTCAGTTACAAGTGATATTGACAGCTAGGTAATTGATCTTTCGGATTAAGGACTGCCTATAAACAATAAGCGTTAGAGCTCGTTTACGAGCTCTAACGCGGACTCACCATCAAATGAAAGCCCACGGATTAGGGCCTTACGGCGTTAGGACCTTAGGGGGTTGAGGTTTCGGGTTTCGGTATATTGTATCTGGAGCTCGTTTACGAGCGACTGTCTCGGCTGGTTAGGTTAGGTGAGTGCAGGAGTAGTCGGAATTAACATTGCGTACAAGTTACAAGGGTTAGAGCTCGTTTACGAGCTCTAACCCGGACCCATCACGACCCCCAAGCCAACGTATTAGGGCCGTAGGGCATTAGGATGTTAGGGGGTTGAGGTTTCGGGTTTCGGTATATTATCTGGAGCTCGTTTACGAGCGACTGTCTCGGTAGGTTAGGTTAGGTGAGTGCTGGAATCATCAGACTTACCATTGCCTTCCACAAGTTACAAGCGTTAGAGCTCGCTTACTGCGCAGAGACTTGAATGAGCAGGTGGCCGGGCGCATCAAAGGCCGGAGGCGAAAGGCGGATGCGAGACGCGAGAGACGGTGGCCCCATGGTCAAGGCACCACGGCGAATGCGCTAGGGCGGGTAGACACTGGTCCACAATGAGCGGTGATCACGGCGAACGGAGGGGGCAAAAGCACAACAGGGTAGGGCGAACAAGGAGGTGGATACGGGCATCGCGGACAAGGGAGCGAGACGACCATGTGATACAGGGGCACCCCCGACGAGGGAGTGGATACGGGCATCGCGGACAAGGGAGCAAGACGACCATGTGATACAGGGGCTCCCCCGACGAGGGAGCGGTTACGGGCATCGCGGACAAGGGAGCAAGACGACCATGTGATACAGGGGCTCACCTGACGAGGGAGTGGTTTGACAACAAAGCAAGACGCACCAATGACAAACCATGAAAAAAACGTTCGGTCAATGGAATACATGCGTGAAATACTGGACAGACCATCACCGTTCTACGCGAAAGACTTAACCACGCCTCCGCAGGGGAACTGTGAAGAAAAGCCGACGACAGCCTATGCAATAAGCCCTCGAGGCCCTCAAACATGACGGAGGGACCCCTTACCTAGTGCATCCATAAATAGTCCATGTCCCGTGCCGTACGCTCACTGCGCGTCGTGCCCGACGATCTGAGAAAAAAACTTGTAAGGGCAGAAAAGCTGACCAAACTCAACGTACCTCGCGCATTCATTTACAGCTCCTGCCAAACTTCTCTATATCCTTTTCCCCCTTCCACTCTGGCCTAGTTCTCCTGGCGGCCAACATGAATCCTCACTAACTGCCATTGCCCTCAACGATATGTAGCGTGGCCGACGCACGGGAGGCGGGTTGTTGGTTGGCAACCTTGACGACAATCGATGCAGGTGCCGCTGATCTACGATCATGAGCCACCTTCGGGTTCAACGTCGCTCTACGAGCGAGGGTGTTCCCTTATCGAATCGAAGCGGTGTGAAGGTCGGCCAGCCCACGAGCTCATTGTTGTTTGTTGATGTTGATGCCAATCGATGCAGGTGCCAATGATCTACGATCATGGGCTACCCTGGGCTTCACCGTTGCTCTACGAGCGAGGGTGTACCCTTATCGAAATGGCGCGGCGGAGGTGATGAGGGACGGAGGACAATAGAGGACGACGAATCGAAAATAGGCGCCCTACCTTATTCTGCCATTTGATCGGAGACTGATCGGAGTTCAATCGGACGACTCAACGTTAACACTTGCACCCGGCGCTTATTGTTGCTTCATCAACAACACCAAGTCCGAAACGTAAGTGCTCCCCTTCGTTGGCCCCCACCTTCCTCCCTCCCTCTTCCTTTACGCCTATGTGCCTCAGTCGTAGACTGCCGCCATAGGCTGCACTTGTCGACAATCGTAGATTGTCGGCGTGCGACATACCGTCCTTATATAACCCTTGTTGGCCCCCACTCTCCTCCCTTTATCTTCGTTTCCACCTATGCGCCACAGTCGTAGACTGTCGCGATAGGTCTCGCTTGCCCACAATCGTAGATTGACGGCGCGTCGATTACTCTTTCTATTTCGATCGTCGCCGATGTCGTTTTCCAGTTCCCAACCCATCACCCAAGAACCACTTCGTTTTACACTTTTCTCGCTTCTTCTCTCAAGTAATCGCAGCAAATGCTCAATGTTTAGCTTTTATAGATATACTCAATGTCTCTTACGGCCGAACAAGCCAACAAGAATCCGGACTTGCTCAGTCGAAATCGCGACAAGCCTTCGATATGTCGCACATATCTTGACGGCACCATGGGGGCCATCCTATTTGAAGGCAAGGCGTTCATCACCACGCCAAACGGTGACAATGTCTACGAGCCGGTACTTGGGCTCACGACCACAGTCCGACTCAGGCAGGATGGAAGATTCGGTGCCGAGGACCCATTTCAGCTCCCTCAGCAGTACGTCCGAGAACACAGTCACCTTGCATGCATCCGTAGACCACCTACGCGGCGGGAAGATACGAACGATGTTATGTTCATGAACCCCGTCTATGAAGACCACTTCCGCTCATCCCACCAATCCCGTATTGGACTGCTGGATCAACGACTCGTCTCCCGCATCCGCGAGCCCTCTGTCCTTCTTGTGAAACGATATTACGCCTTTATTGAATCGCGGCCCGACCTTTCGCAGAACCGCCGATTCCATGGACACGCCACGCAACTGAAAATTTGGATTGGACGCTTGGAGAGCACCAAGGCGTCCTGGCCTGACATTTTGTTCTCATTTACTCAAGCCCAGAGACACTTCCTCGAATTGGAAGCGTACCTGGAGTACATGCAGGTCCGACAACCACTCATGAACTCGGACGAATATGGGCGGATACTGTCGCCCACGGCCAACTTTGTGGGCGCCGTGACCAACAAAGTCGTCATAGTCGAAGAATTTGCCAAGGCTGGCATCCCTGTCTGGCTTATTCGCCCTATCCGCGAGTTCCACGAAGACACGCGCATCGACACCGTCATTACCCCTACTCCTGCCGAAGCCATGAACATCGAACTGCGACCTTGGCGCGGTCACAAAACCAACGTATGGAACCAAGATGCGGCCGACCCGCAACGTCACAACAATCTCATGCTTTTCGGCCGTGAGTTCCTCGCTTACACCGACTTTGGTCGAACATCCGTTGTACGCGACACCATCGAAAGGCCGCCTCCAGTGCCCAGTTTTGGCCACGACTATTCCGCAGGCCCTGCTCGCGCGCCAAGAGCGCACAACGAGCCACAACATGGTAAGTCGAACCTCAGTTTATCTTCTACTTCTCATCCCTTATGCCAACAAAATCAGATCCCAAGCCCCGGATCCAGCTCAGCCCTACGGACGTGTTACACTTTCGGCCCAATCTCCATCGATTCATGCCGATCATGATGGAGTCATGGGTACACGGCCTTTCCACCGTCGCGGTGACCAAGAAATACATCTCCCCGCAATACAAAGAAGGAGCAAACGGGTTCATATTCCCACCCCCCACGACGTTTGTGCCACTGAACTCGGACGCCGACCTCAAACCACGGCAACTCAAAATCCTCCACGCGTACATCACCCACCTCGACGTACTGTTACTTCGCATGTCGCCTCGACTGTCGCCAACCCTCATCTCGCGCAAACGCTGGGATCTATTACTCGGGCCTGAGAGATCGCAACCGCATGCTACTCCTGTTGCGGGCCCTTCCTCGCGAGATACCCACTCGAGCCAGCCTGCTCCGAAGAAAATGAAACTCGACAACAACTATCTTCGTCGCCAATGTATGCAAGGTCTCCTCGCCAAATGGACTGCAGAATACGACAAAGACCACCAGAACCGCAACGAAGATCTCAACTGGCGCAGCGAGGTCATCCCATCTGACAGATGGCCCCACGATCGTATCACTGAACGCATCATGTACGAAGTAATCGAGACCAACTTTCGCTGGGAGCTTCGTATGCTTGACGGCCAGATGCTCGCTGGGGAGGTCGACCACATAGCACATGACGATCTTCTCAATCAATGCTTCCCATCACAGAGTTTCGAAGGCGAAGGAGGAGGCGACCACATGAACGTCACGTACCTCACCGCCTGGAGTGGCCTTTCCAATCCAAACGACCTCGAGAGACGCAAATATGTTCTCGCAATCTCACGCGTAATGGTCGACTGGCGGGATTGCCCGGGCGGGATCGTGGACGCTCTGCGACAGGAAGAGTCTGACGTTGACTATGTGGAGCTTGAGAAGACGTGCGCATCCTACTATTGCAGGAGCTTCTTCCACCACTTTGCCCGTGCGCCGTCTGTTCCCCATCGCACCAAGATTGACCCATCCATTTACATCATGCCGTGAACGCTATTCCTATTTTCTTGTCAATCCCCTTGCTCCCCTTTTTTGGCATACTCGATTTCGATAGCTACACAAGTCGTATGTAACACAATCGCACTTTGCATCTTGCACGAAGCCATGGAGTGATAAGATAGACAGATAAGCGCCCTCGCTCACAGATAAGATAAGATAATTGATAAGATCTATTCCAAACATGGTTTGTTTGGACTGGACGCACACGGACAATAGACAAATTCAAGTCCGACCGGTTCCTACTTTTCTTCACTGTTACCCACGTCGAGCTGCCTCGTAGAGGCCCCCCGATCGTTGGATAAAACAGCGACATGGTCGTAGACCATCTCGCTGCACTCGACACACTACACTCACGCTCTGGGACCCCTCGATGGACGGCGATGGACGACGACGATGGACGCGAAGGCTCTCATGGTGGACAACGTCGAGCAGCCTCGTAGAGGCCCCTCGATTGTTGGATAACCCAGCGACATGGTCGTAGACCACCTCGCTTCTGTTTTTCGCTCTTATTCCTTCCTGGGAGGACCCCGATATGTCGGGAGGTCGGCCAAAGTGTGCCAACAATGACTGTAAGGCCCAGTCCCTCCAATGCCGCAGATCATCCGACCACTTACTGATCTCAGCGTAGATCATTTACATGACATGTCCCTTATCTTTTCAACCGCTGGGGTGCACTCGATGGTCGGCGATGGTCGGCGATGGGCAGAAGACTCGGAGATTGGCAAATGAGGTGCGCCCTTGTCCTTCCGTCTTCTCCATCTATACTAATAAAGTCGCTAGAGAATGTCCTTTCCACATTCATCACTGAACAGCCAGACCGATCTGCGCAGAAGGTCATCCCTCATGTGAGTATGTCAATCCTTGTTCACAATATCACAATAATCACACGTCGCAAAGTGACACCTTCTTTTTCGTTTCATTCAATGTCTCGTTGGGCTATGCTCATAAAGCTAGGTATGTGGCACTAGAGCTAGCCAATCTCCTGCTAACCTTTCGCCCCCTCCAGCACCCTCGTCGCCCGCCTTGCCAAATTTCTACGCCATCACTTCTTGCCCATTATCCTTGCATTTCTTTCACCTTTGCGTCGACTCAATCGTAGATTGACTCACGCACGCCCCAGAGTCGTAGACTTTCGGGCGGTTAATTCTACATACCATCAGCATTATCAGGATCAATTTTAGTGTAGCACCCTGTATTTTCAACCGTTATCGTTACGCCTTCTGCTCAATCCGTTCTCCCATCGCAATCCATTCTCCCATCGCAACCGCATTTCCTAGATATCATTCCCTTTCTCGTTTGCATTGATCTCTAGTCACCCTCGCATCGCATATACTTTATTGACCCGGACGGCCTTCCCTGGATATCATTTTGTTACTATTTTCACTATTCAATATTGCCATGCCTCCTTGTCCTCACTGCGGCGACGAGGCTAATTCAAGCCACACACCACGCGTCCACCCTGCTGAAGTCTCAATAAAACCGAATGGTAAATATAAACAAACAAATACGATCCTTATCTTATCTAATCTTCGTTTAAGAAACCACTTGTTTCGTTATCAAGCGAACGGCCAGTTACTCGTATCCATGCCCGTTCTGCCCAGAGAAGCACAATCGAGAGAACGACATACGAGATCATATCTCGAACCATCACGCAGGCAGCCACTCTACGGACCGTCCCCACTCGCCATCCCTCGTTATGCCCTCTAGTTCCCCTTCGTCCTCGAAGCGATCAATTGACTTCGTTGAAGACCAAGCTGTAACGCCGAAACGAATTCGCATCCATCCAACGTCCCCCGCATCACTACCTATCATCTCCCCCCCATCGTCTGTGCCCTATGCCATTTCTGAACCGCCGTCTGACTTTACACTTGTCCCTGAAACCCCCACTCCCGATTTGCCTATTATAAAGGTCACGCAGCTCCCCCCAAGTACCCAGCAGCTTCCCCATTCCACCCGCAAGCCCCGTCGGCGAGAAACCGCCAAAACATTTACGTTGAAAGACGCCGGGATCTATTTCCATTCGCCCACCCGGCTGTTATTGTGCCTCGAATGTAGCTCGGCGGTACCAGCCCAACATCTGGCCACACATATCAACGAGTCTTGCCCTCGACGTATCAGATTCGACATAGACCGCTTGGCCTCGGCATTGCAGGAACTCGGAACCAATCTTTCACCCCTCCTTCCCGAAGGAGGCTTCGACCGCCCCATTCCTATACTCCCCGTTCAACAAGGTTGGCGATGTGCTACCCCTGGTCCCTGCTTTGGTCACGTATTTGGATCTAAAACCACCAAAAATACGCACCAGCAAGCAATGCATCCTCAACAGACGCCAATATTTGTCGAAACTAAATGTCAACGAATATACAACCCTTGCAACTTCACTAAATATGTCGCAATCAATTCCACCGCACCTCCCGACGACTTTTTACCCCCCAAGAGTTCTTGGCGCGATCTGAAGAAGCAACTGCAAGATCAAGGCGCCCTCACGCTGGAAGATCATCGTCTAATCACCCACACCCAACTCTCACCGTTAGAAAATGTCACCAAATGGCATCTCACTCTCCCGGGAGCGCACCTTGGCTTTGCCCACACTTATTCTCGTCCACCGGCACCAGAACTTGCTCCGTCAAACTTCCATCGAATCTTTGACGCATTCAAATACTACATAGTCCACATCGTGGCACCAGTCCTTGAGAAGAGGAGCAATACTATGCTACTCCGTCTCATTAACTCTCCAGACAAGTAAGCATAAATAGTCACTTCGTTTGTACTATATTAAACGGACATCATTCAGAGGCAATTGTGAACGATATCCCTTTCGACTACCGCAGAATCAGAAGACCGTCCGCGACTATGCGCATATCTTTTCCTGCATGATGACTTTCGTCGTTCGTGCCGCCGACAAGGCCATCCCCGGCTTCCCCGTTACTACCACGGACTCGCAGCTATACCTAATAAGGCAATTCCTGAATTCGAATATCCCGGAGGACCTGGTCCACGCACCTCCTACCTTTTGGGACCTAGTACATCAAGTCTGTTGGTCCATGCTCACATCCATCCCGGTCTCGAATGAATTTAACGAACTCGACATTCCTTTGACACGTTTCTTGATCGCCTACCACTTGCGAGACGACCTGTCCGCTAGATTCAAAATGGCAACCCACATCTGCCACAACATGATCGCCATTCAATGGTGCTGGCGTGCTATGGGGCTGTACCAATGCAAAAAGCTTGCATCCTCAAAGGACAACGGCGAGATGGGGTAAGTCCTTGGCCTTCTTCTGAACCCCATACTAACGCAATGGAACAGTGTATACGAGGACATCTCCAAATATCTGACGGAGGGCAGCCACTCCCCCTTTGCTGTCCTTCGATGCCACATCCATCCCATCACCGCGATCTCGATGCAAGAGCCCAGCCTCCCTCTCTTCCTGATGGGGGCAGACATGGAGACTTTCTCCTTTAAATCTCATCCGTTCACTATGTCCTCTTTCAGAGATTTCGCAGTAGGCCTGGTCTCTTCATCCGAGTCGCTGCTGCTATCCCTTCTCGACGGACTCGATATTACGGACCTTGATGCACGCATCCACACTGCATTGTCACTCGACAACAGCGACGGATGGTTCAAAGACACACTACGAGACGAAGAACACGGATATTCCTTCCTCACCGATGAAAGAAACGGGTTCTCGCGCTATCAAGACTCGCTAATGGACCACATATGCCGCAACGACAGCACTGTCTATGCCGTCCATACTCCTGACGGCATCCAATTCAAGCCCAACGCCCTGTTGTCCTTCATCGACGACGTTGATGACCTCGTCGAACACCTGTACGCCTCGTTGAACTTCACTTGGGCAGGAGCAGCGAGGGGGACGGAAATAGAGGACATACGTTATAAAAACGGCCATGCCCCTCGCAATTTGTACTTCACCAACGGCGTTCTCACCTTTGTTACTTTCTATAACAAAACCCAGCACAATACCGGCCGTCCGTCGATGATTCCTCGCGCTGTCCCACCTCGCTTGGCACGCCTCTTTATCATCCTCCTCGCCGTCATCTACCCCTGCACCCAGTACATCGCCAACATTCAGTCCACCAAAGCCCATGCCGTCCTCTACAGCAGCTGCATCTTTGTCCATCGAGCTCGACCGCTCAACACCGAGCGGATGACTGATATTTTGCGACGATTCACTCAAGAAACCTTTATATTTCCCCTGGGCGTTCGCGACTGCCGACATCTCATGAAATTCGTGTTGAAACACGCCGTTGGTTTGGCGCTGCAAGAGGACCCGGGGGACAGTCCGTCATTGTATCGAATCCTCGATGGACTCTGGGGACATTCCTCCAAAGTCTCGCAAACATATTACGCAGTTGAGGAAGACACGTTCTCTCACATTGATGCGAAAGACGTCACCAAAGCACAGATATTCTTGCTAGCCTACCACGAATGGCTCGGGATTGGTTACGAGCACCTTCCCGCCAACCTTCGCATTGGCCACGCAGAGCCAGCCAAAGCTCTAACTCAGGCTCCCGCAGGCAAAATTGATACCGCTGCATTCGTCCAATCCCTCCATGCCACCATTCCTATGCTTGGCGATGCCCTCCAAGCCACCGTCTCCGATGCCGTTCACACTTACATGGCAATGCACGCCATTCAACCTCGTCCGCCTACACTCCGTTCTCTCCCCGTCTCCCCACCCTTTCGCGTCATCGTCCATCTGTCGCGCAAAGTGGCTTTGGACTTAGGGTTATGGGATTGTTTTTCATATTTCCTAGGGAATTTTTAGGGATGGAATTTTTTCCCTAGGGTAGGGTAAGTGATGGTAGGGAAATGGTGATAGGGAGGACGATAGGGATACAGAGATAGGGAAATGATACGGAGCTGGTGGCAGGGAATATGGTAGGGAAGTAGCAGGGTTCATATGAGAGAGATGGTAGGGAATTGGTGGTAGGGAAAATAGCAGGGATGCATAACACACAGATGCTAGGGGAAAATGTAGAGGAATGGTGGTAGAAAAAACATTAGGGACACAATAGGGTACATGAGAGAACACTGCTAGAAGACTAGTGACAGGGAAAACAGTAGCAAAGGCACTAGCATGAAGCTTAGGAGCAAGGAATGGGGAAACCATTAGGGATGGAGTGAGAAATGGTGCTGAAAATGCCAAAGATGAAAATAGGGATTGATAAGATGTATAGAACAGTTGTGTGGCCGTCTTGGACGACCTGGTGTGTGGTGGGATGCATTGGTGGTGTGGGGAATGTTGTAACAGATTCCATCGATGTATATTATTACAAGACGGAGTCAATGGGTCAGTGCGTGGGAAGACGAAGTGGGTCAGTGCGTGGGATGTGGAATGGGACAGTGCGTGGGAAGGCGGAATGCACTATCCACTGACTCCGGACCTAGTGCTGGGTCAGGTCGGCCCAAAACGGCTACTTCTGGGCTACCCTACCTCTTTCTTTCAACCTTATCATATCATTTATTGGCCAGAACCCTGTAATATATCACACAAATATGTATATTTTACCATTCAACTACCAAGTTAGATAGCTATGTGGCTTGGGATTAGAGCGTTAGAGCTCGCGAACGCGAGCTCTAACGCGATTCCTTGCCTTCTCATGCATGCAATCCTATTCTATTCTCCTGAATTCGAACAACTGACTTGCATTGGAGCCTTCAGAGATAGGAACTTAAGGGACAGGAGCTTCGGATTCACGTATATTTCCAGTAGTGCTCAGTTACAAGTGATATTGACAGCTAGGTAATTGATCTTAGGGTTATAGGACATATTTTGAAATCGTAGGATAATCCTACCCGCTAAATCCCTCCTACCCCAACTGTTGTTACCCTAAGTCTACTGTAGTTTACCCTAACTTTACTGTAGTTTACCCTAACTTATTCTAATGATGCAGGCCTGCTGGATGGCCCTCTGTGATTCTTTGAACACCCCAGAGGCTGTCTGGCCTTCCAGGAAGCCTGCCGTGTGAGAACGAACGGTCAGAAAAATATTTCAGGCGGCGTGGAAGGAGCTGACGCACCTACAGCCATGCACAGGCAGCCAGGCAGCCCACAGCGACAGTCGCGAGCTTGCTGGTGCATGTACGGGGCGCGTAGCCACCCACACGGTCGTAGGTGACACACCGTGGCCATCCAGGCAGCCCATGCTTGCTTGGGAGTGATAGAGCAGTCCCAGTACAAGCGCGGGCTTCCTGGAAGGCCACACTCACGAGAGGGAGTCAGAACGACGGCCATACACATAGACAAACATGAGGGACTTACCTCCATCAGTGTGGGCTGCTAGGAAGCCCACGCTGTCGGAGTCAAGGTCTATTAGTCAAAAGAAAGTAAGTTAGTAACTGATCACACTCACCGTGGGCTTCTAGGAATGCCACGCACACAGTGGGCCAACAGAGGACTCACGTACATCAGCGCGGGCTGCCAGGAAGCCCACGGCGACCGTGATGAGCTTGCTGGTACATGTATGGGGCGTAGCCGCCCCCGCGTGTCATAGGTGACACAGCACGGCCATCCAGGCAGCCCACGCTTGTTTGGGAGTAATGAACTAGTTACAGTACAAGCATGGGCTGCCTGGATGGCCACGCTCATGAAGGGGAGTCAGAACAACGCCAGGGGACTCACCTCCATCAGTGCGGGCGGCCAGGAAGCCCGCGCTATCAGAGTCAACACCTATTAGTCAAGAACAGGTAAGTGAGTACGTATATATGGTGCTACACTCACCATGGCCTTCCAGGAATGCCACGCGCGCAGTGGGCCCACAGAGAATACGTGTACATCAGCACGGGCTGCCAGGAAGCCCGTGCTGTCGGAGTCTACACCTGTTAGTCAAGCATGAGTAAGTCAGTACGTATTCTGTTGGTCCTACACTCACTGTGGCCTTCCAGGAAGCCCATGCATGCAAGCGCCACATATATTCAGTCCACCTACAGCATGGGCCGCGTGGAAGCCCACGACGAGCATACGTGGTTATAGGACATATTTTGAAATCGTAGGATAATCCTACCCGCTAAATCCCTCCTACCCCAACTGTTGTTACCCTAAGTCTACTGTAGTTTACCCTAACTTTACTGTAGTTTACCCTAACTTATTCTAATGATGCAGGCCTGCTGGATGGCCCTCTGTGATTCTTTGAACACCCCAGAGGCTGTCTGGCCTTCCAGGAAGCCTGCCGTGTGAGAACGAACGGTCAGAAAAATATTTCAGGCGGCGTGGAAGGAGCTGACGCACCTACAGCCATGCACAGGCAGCCAGGCAGCCCGCAGCGACAGTCGCGAGCTTGCTGGTGCATGTACGGGGCGCGTAGCCGCCCACACGGTCGTAGGTGACACACCGTGGCCATCCAGGCAGCCCATGCTTGCTTGGGAGTGATAGAGCAGTCCCAGTACAAGCGCGTGCTTCCTGGAAGGCCACACTCACGAGAGGGAGTCAGAACGACGGCCATACACATAGACAAACATGAGGGACTTACCTCCATCAGTGTGGGCTGCTAGGAAGCCCACGCTGTCGGAGTCAAGGTCTATTAGTCAAAAGAAAGTAAGTTAGTAACTGATCACACTCACCGTGGGCTTCTAGGAATGCCACGCACACAGTGGGCCAACAGAGGACTCACGTACATCAGCGCGGGCTGCCAGGAAGCCCACAGCGACCGTGATGAGCTTGCTGGTACATGTATGGGGCGTAGCCGCCCCCGCGTGTCATAGGTGACACAGCACGGCCATCCAGGCAGCCCACGCTTGTTTGGGAGTAATGAACTAGTTACAGTACAAGCATGGGCTGCCTGGATGGCCACGCTCATGAAGGGGAGTCAGAACAACGCCAGGGGACTCACCTCCATCAGTGCGGGCGGCCAGGAAGCCCGCGCTATCAGAGTCAACACCTATTAGTCAAGAACAGGTAAGTGAGTACGTACATATGGTGCTACACTCACCATGGCCTTCCAGGAATGCCACGCGCGCAGTGGGCCCACAGAGAATACGTGTACATCAGCACGGGCTGCCAGGAAGCCCGTGCTGTCGGAGTCTACACCTGTTAGTCAAGCATGAGTAAGTCAGTACGTATTCTGTTGGTCCTACACTCACTGTGGCCTTCCAGGAAGCCCATGCATGCAAGCGCCACATATATTCAGTCCACCTACAGCATGGGCCGCGTGGAAGCCCACGACGAGCATACGTACGTCCCCCATTGTATAAAGTTTGTATACCCTACTTACCATACATTCTCATTCACAACGCGGGCTGCCTGGCCGGCCACGACGTGTGTCGACAAGCCGTAGGACTTACAGCCCTCCATTCAGTGGGCTTCCTGGCCGCCCATACGGTGGCTTAGCATTGAGACTCTCACTCGAAGACATCACCTCACGCTGGCCTCATCGTCGACTGAGTTATTCCACTTGATCTACGGCTCAAAAATTCCTCTTTTCTATGTTTTGTAGTGATACATTTCTGTTCTTCATCTCACTGGGCCTCCGCGCCGCCCGTACTATGTATTGTAGTTAATATACTGTCGTTTATATGCATGATGAACGTACCTAAGTCATTCATCTGTGGGTGGGGGTGCTTGGCGCAGTCTACGTCGCATTTCCCTTCGTCCTACGCTCACGAATTGAATATTAGATCGCGTCTGGTGACTTGGTTAGGAAAACTCACGTCGTTCGATCCGGATCAAATTCCTCCACGTCGTGTACAGAGCGTACGCGATGCCAACGACGATCTGGGCGATATTGATAGCGTGCAAGATGTTCATGGTGGTGCTAAGCAGGTTCTGACGTATGTAAATGAGGCCTGCGCTTCACCACGGGCCGCCTGGAAGCCCACGCGGTGAGTACGTACTCCTCCCATCATACCGTACTCACTCGACTTCACTCACAGGGCGGGCTGCCTGGATGCCCATACGGCGCTCAAGTTCCCCTGGCAGTCTAGCGAATGTTCAGCAAATTGGATGTTCGTAGATATGTAAAGTACAACAAGGGTAGTACATGTGTTGCAATACAAGATGTGGCGTGAAACAAGAAAGTAAGTACGTGATACAGCAGCAGCGAGATGAGTACAGCAGGGGGGGGCATAACGACATGCGGGGCGGGGGGGGGGTCTACCATGGAAAAGTATCTGAAGGAGGTCCAAGTTAGCAGATGGCGCTGGAGGGGATGAAGTACTTACCGTCGACGCTAAAAATCCTGCGTTCGTCGGTGACGTCCTCCAGCAGCATCACCTTGACGAGCATGCGCAAGGCCCCGTTCTCCAGCCCGCAATGGACGCGCTAGTCAAGTTAGTGGCAGGCGAACGTTAAAGGGACGAGCTACTTACCTTGACAGAGCCACCCACGTCGGTGGTCCACTTGTACTGCGCTCGTTCGTTTTGCGCGTAGACGGCCAGTTGCTGGCCGTGGACGACAACCTCGACGTCCTCGTGCTCGATGCCCGGGAGCTCAAGTTGGAAGGCGAGGGCCTTGCTGACATCCTTCGCCCAGATAGAGCTATATTGGTGTCAGATGAGCGGCGAACGCGTAATCGCGTACTTACGAAGGAGGGAGTACGACGGGCATACGCCCGAGTGGAATGGGCGAAGGACGGGGGGTCGGCGATGCTGGTACGTCGCAGTATGAAAGGGCGGGTGATGATGGTTGGACATGGATTGCCAATGGCGAATCGACGAGGAGGGGCGACGGCGATTGAATGCGGGTGGGCGCGGGAGTTGGCGAGTGTGGTACGCCAGACGGCCCTGGCGTTGGCGAATGGCGGGATGGTGGCGATAGGACGGGGGTGGGCCATTTCGCGGGAGTTGGCGAGCGTGGTACGCCAGACGGCCCTGGCGTTGGCGAATGGCGGGATGGTGGCGATAGGACGGGGGTGGGCCATTTCGCGGGAGTTGGCGAGCGTGGTACGCCAGAGGGCCCCGGCGTTGGCGAATGGCGGGATGGTGGCGAGATGGCACGCAGGAGTAGGTCCTCCACGGCGCGGGAGGAAGCCTGCGATGACTTGAGCTGGTCGACCTCCTCCGTTTGGTGTCGAGTCGTCGCCGCAAGAGGGAGACGCGTAGCCTTCTCTGCCTTCTTGGGCTGGCGTGCACGATTGGGAAGGGCGCCCCGCCTTCTCATTTCGTCGCGGAAATATGATGCGAATCTCTGTAAATCAGTTAGTACACCCCATAAGATAGAACAGGCCACGCACCTTGTTCTGCCTGTCTGTCATGTCCCACTGGGACAGCCACTCCTCCCGAAAGTCCACCCAGAACCTCTTGCGCCCAAATTCATCGTCGATCGTGTCTTGGAAGGCGTCGGCCCTCGAGGTCATGAAGGCTAGCTGGGCTGGCGTGGCCCACGGTTCGTCTAATCGTTGTCGAGGTGGCATCGTTGTGGTGGAAGGGAGTAGAGATGGCGGAACGGAAGAGAGAGTGGCCAGTGCGCAGGCGCCAAAGCCCACAACCCTGAGTCACGTCACATTATGTGACCTGGCCCCTGCGCCCCAGTCACGGTCTCCCTTCGCCACGGGCAGCTTGGAAGCCCACAATGTGAGTACACATGCAATGTATATAACATATAACGCGGGCTGCTTGGACGGCCACGTTCACGATGAGAGGTCCTGCTGGTGAAAACAGGTCAGCGCAACGGTCCAGGACTCTCCACGACGCGCCAGGAAGGCCGTGCATGCGATACGACTCACCTCCATCGGCGCGGGCTGCCAGGATGCCCACGAGAACCTGAATCAGTAAGTCAGTACGTACTCATGCGGCCTCACTCACAGTCGCCTTCCAGGAAGCCCGTGGACGCAGAGGAGTACAAAAATACTCCCCCAACATCCACACGGGCAGCCAGGACGCCCGCGCTCACGCTGGAGAGTCCTGTGAATGAATACAGGTAAGTCCACACGTCAATCTAGTTGTCGTGCACTCACCGTGGCCGGCGAGGAAGCCCATGCGTGCAGACGAATATGATACACGACCCCCACGCCAGCATGGGCTGCCAGGAGGGCCGTGTTGTCAATGGCAGCGCGTATCTGTCAAAGTACGTAAGTCAGTACATGTTCTATACGTACCACGCTCACGGTGGGCTGCTAGGCCGCCCACGCGCAGAGGCCAGACGATACGGGCGGCCTGCGTACATGTCGACACCAACGGCGGGCTTCTTGGACGCCCACACGTGTACGCAGGCACTACGGGCGACACTGCGCTCACCACGGGCGGCCTGGAATGCCGAGACATATTCTGTGAACGTATAACGGTCGGTAAGTTCACGTTAACGCAACTAAGACTTACCATCACCAGCCAGGATGACCAGGCGTGCAGACGAAGTCGATACGGCGGACTTAGGATGCTGGGATGCCCACGCGGGTAGGGGGAGTACTGGGGCGGTCGACTGCGCGAGCATGGGCGGCCAAGAGGCCCGTGTTAATGGGACCTGTCAAGGTACGTACGTCAGTACGTGTTCAATATGTACCACACTCACGGCGGGCTGCTGGGACGCCCGCACATGCACGTAGACGATACACGGGATTCCTCGCCAACGCGGGCGGCCAGGAACCCCACGCCATACTCTGCGAACGAATGGCAGTCGCCTACGCCAGCTGCGTTGACGATGGCAGCATGTACACATGTCAGTACATACCTACATACGACACTCACGGCGGGACACCCACACGAGTATGTAGACGAAATCATAGATATGTGAAAACAGTAAAAAGTAAAGTAAAAAAATGTACGCGAGAGTATGTATATAAAAGTACGAATGTATACGATATGCGAAACGACCTACCTGCGACCACGAGCACGACCACCGCGACCACGGCCTCGAGGAGGACGATGCGCCGGGAGGTTGACTCTCGGGACCACCTCTTCGTGCTGTGCCGTGGCAGACTCTGCCATTTGGACTTGGCGCGCGGCGAGGGGGCTGTCATCAGACGACTCAGACACTTCTGAGACGTTGTCCAGAAGGGACGCAAAGTCCTCTCCCTCGTCTGTGCCTGCGGGGCCAGGGATCTCCTGGATCTCGTCGTCGTCGTCGTCGTCGTTGTACAAGGGCATCTGCGAGGGCTCGCCCTCTTGCTTGACCATGGCGATGTCCTCGATGGTGTTCGCCTCGTCGGAGGAGCTGTGGTGTCCTCGGCGCGCCGTCTTCGATCGCCTGCGCTCCGTTCGCGGGGATAACTCTGGCGACGAGTTGGGCCTGTGCTTGGAGCCAGCCCTTGGGGGCGTCGTGGGGTTCGCCTGCGTCCAGGGCGGCCCAGTGAGTCCAGGCGCTGCGCGTAACGGATCGACGGCCGCAGACTTCGCCACCTTGGACTCTGCTGGACGCTTGGCGCGTTTTGTCGGATGGGAAGCCACGTCCACATCCATGGGAACGTCCATGGGCGGCGGGGAAGCCCGCTGAAGGGCGTGGTCGATCTCCATCGCATCTGCTTGTGATGCTGGCTGCGTAGCGACCCATCCCGCGGGCAACGGCCTCTGCGATGCTGGCTGTGTGGCGACCCATCCTGCGGGCAGCTGCCTCTGCGATCCAGAGGGCCCGCTGAGCGCGCCTTCGTGAGGCGCGGGGCGCTGGGAAGGCCGTCCTACGTCTGCCGTCTCGAGACCCATCTGCGCCACAGGCTGCTGGGAAGGTGGTGGTACGTACGCGTTCACGGCTACGGGGGTCGTCTGCGCCATGGGCTTCTTGGAAGGCCGTCCCGCGCCTGGATTTGCTGGACCCGCCAGCAACATGGGCGGCCTGGAAGGTCGTGCTGCGTCTGCGTTGCGAGCTGACCCAGTCGACGCCTCGTCGATGTCCACGTCCATCGCCCCCTTCGCCACCGCGGGCTGCCCAGAAGGCCGCGCAACGCTCCCAGACGAGCGGGCTGTCGACGAATGCGAGGTGGGCCGGTTTGGAATGCCCCCTCCAACCACGGGCGGCCAGGAAGGCCCTGCTGCGTGGCTGGGCGTGTTGGGAGTGCTCCCTCCAACTGCGGGCAGCCGGGAAGGTCCAGCGGCGTCGTTGGGTTCGTTTTGCACACTCCCCTCTGCAGTGGGCGGCTCAGATGGTCCAGCGTCGTCGTCGTCGTGGACCTCTGTTGCGCTTTTCACCCTCTCTTTGGCCTTGGGTTTGGGTCGTGGCTTTGCAGCCGTCTGGCGCTTCGTCGCTGGCTTTGGCTTTGGCTTTGCCTTGCCCTTCACTCGCTGCTCAGCTCCTTCGTCCGCACCCCCCGTCGCTGTCTGCTCCGCCGCCTGTTCCTCCTCCTCCACGGTGGGCGTCTTGGAAGCCCGTGAGATCGAGGGAGTCTGCGACCTCGATATCGACTCCAACCCCGCGTTCTTCGCCGCGCCTCTCGCAGTGCGGGTCTTAGGCAACGCCTTCTTCTTCTTCTTCTTGTCGTCGTCGTCCTCCTCTTGGTCGCTGTCGGAGACCGCATTCTTCTTCGATATGCCGTAGAAGACTTCCTCAAGCTTCTCGTTCTTCTCTTTCGAGAAGAGAGTGGCCAACATCTCGCCCTTCTCCCGCGCCATGGTGGACATGAGGACGTCCGTAGTGCCTAGGGCGACGAGGTGGTAGACGTGGACGGCGTTTTCTTGCGTGAGACGAGCAGCTCGTCCGATGATCTGCTCGGTGCCCACCTGCGACCATATCATGTCCTACATAGCTTAGTTACTTGATATATCAATGGACAATGAATAGAACGACTTACGAGCATAATGACGGTGTCTGCGCACGTCAAGTTCAGCCCAACGGCGCCGATAGACGAGAAGAGGAGCACTCGATGCTCAGCGGCGTCAGAGTGCACGAAGTCGTCGATGACTCGCTCTCGATCTTGCTTGTTCATGAGGCCGTTGAGCACGAGCACGCCGATTCCTTTCATTCGAAACACCTGTCCTCATTGTGAGTCTGCATGACGTTGGGATTCGCGTAGACTTACTGTCTCGATTGTCATCGCCATCATGGAGAATTCATGATATATCAGTACCTTGCGCTTTCGAGGTGGCCGTTGTCCGAGGAAAGCTGGCGGCGGCGGTGGAGGGAATACGACTTGCCCGTCGGCTAACGTAGGGTGTTCGATTTCGTCGTGGCTGAGGAGGTGGAGCACGAGACGTGCGACGAGGTCGAGCTTCGTGCTGGATATGTCGTCGTAGTGTCCGATCTTAGAGTTGCCGTGCTTGTCGAAGACAGGCCAGTCTTCGTTCGCGCCCTTGAAGAACGTGATGCCGCAACGGTAGGGCAGGAAGAAATTCTAGGGTACTATCATCAGCATGGGCGGCCAAGACGGCCAGGTACGTACCTCGCGACTCAGATTCGCGGGGACGCCACTCTCCGACGACTCCATCTCGTCGACGATGAGCCCCAGATTCTCCATCTCGCGGTCGCTGAGCTTGAAGGTAAGTACGTGCTCCGTGATGGGAGGCATCTTCGTGTTGAGGGGCTTGCCCTCCAAGTCCACTGAGGTGAGCGTGCGACGGATCAAGTGGGGCGCCAGCTTCGCCTGGACGACCTTCGCCGCGCTATACTGTGCAAATCGTACCGCGATCCCAGCCTCTTCTTCTTCGATCTCGTCGCCGCGCAGGGCCCTGACCTGTCTGCTCTTCACGGCGTCTTTCTCCTCTTGCGACATCTCCCTCTTCGCCGCTCTAATGTCTCGGTTGAATTGACGCTCGAGTTGCTGGCCCTTCGACAGCACGAATTCGTCGTGGTTGCACATCCGGGCCATGTTGATGATGTCCTGGATCTTCGTGAAGAGCGGCGTGGCCGTTATTACGTGCGTCACGCGGGCGCACTCGTGCAATTGGCAAACCCCCGTAAGCCCTCGACCTGCGCCGCGAAACAGGTGCGCCTCGTCAATCCACGCGGTGCACCACTGGATGCCGAAGACGAGTTTGTCGATGTTGTCTGAGACAAGCGGACGTGGGCCGTCGACGTAACCTCCCCTCGCCTTCTTCACGATGTAGACCTCGCCAGCCATCATCTGGAAGGTCTACGTACGCCGTGAGTCACCGCACTACCTCTTCTATGAAATTGCTTACCGAATGTGCGCAGATGACGATGCGATTGATCATTTTCTGCTGCGATTGGAGCCACGCGTCGTCGGGATTCGTGAAGAACGTCTGTAGATCCCCCAAGGCGTTGGGGAGCTGGAAGATGTCGACGGAGCCCCTGGAGAAGAAGCGGTACAGCTCGTCCTTCCATTGCGCGACGAGGGACAGCGGGACGACGATGAGGTGGGGTTCGTTGGGCACGTACTCCGTTACGCCCATGAACCATGGCATGTTCCCTGTCGAAGTCAAGTCAATATTCTGGCCGTCGATTGCTGCGAACTCACGTATTATAGGTGGTCGATTCACCCTATCTCTCACCGCCTCGACTTGCTCGATAAGCTCGACTTGCTGGAGAAACGCGATCGTGGCCATGACTTGCGCGGTCTTGCCAACGCCCACACCGTCAGCAAGGAGGACGCCAGACATTGGCGCGCTCGTAACCCTGTCTCCGAAGAACATATTCGCGACGATGGCCGCCACGCCCACGAGCTGATGCCACAGCAAGCTTATGGGCTTGAATCCAGGTCCTCCCCTTGCGAACATGTCCAGCGTGATCTGGTTCAACGTGTTCGACGGTCCACGTCGAGTGACGGCGGGATTCGATGGGGTAAGTCCCAGGTGCCAGGCGGTGGCGCCGTCGTCGCGCACGAAACCGTTCCAGTTGCCTGGCCGCCCTTGCGCGAAGCTGAGGAGCACGCAGAGCTGGTCCACCGTCTTCTTCGACATCACCTCGACCCCCAAGTCCCCCTCGTCGGCGAAAGACGCATAGGCGTGACGCTCAGCCTCCGTCGGGCAATTCTCGAGGTCGCCCGCCAGCTCGAGGTGTGTTGCTATAGCTTGCATCGTACGAGCGACCTCCATCGCGTCGGCCATCTCCGCTGGCATGATATGGATCTTACGGGCCTTTTTGCGAGCCGCCTCCACTGCGCGCTAGTAAGTACTTTGCGCTGCGTGCGACATGATGTAGACTCACTCTTCTCGTTAGCCTTTGGCTTCTTCGAACGAACGGGCGTATCGAGTTCCCCACGAGGGAGCTCAGCGGCAATGCGGACCGCCTCCTTGAGCTTCACGATATTCTCCTCGGCCTCCAACTGGAGGTTTGGATACCATCCAGCGAGCCGTTCGACGTTCTTGCTAGCTTGTAGCGCCGCACGGATGGACGCCAAGGTCGTTCCCTGAGGACCAGGCTCCTCGACAGCTTGGATAAATAGTAAGTCAGTAACGTCGCAATGGTCGATATGAATGACGAACCTTTCACCGCATCGCGCATCAACTTGACCTTCTCGTCAGCCAGGGTTCCCGCACGTAGGTAGGCCTTCCCCATGCGGGACACATTGTGGATCAACATGGTCTTGAAGTTGGCTGCGATCGCCGCATCCATGAGGACGTCGCCGCTCATGACGACTTCGCCAAACATCTCCACCGCGACGGGGGTAAGGCAGGCGTTGACGAGCAAGTTCGCCGAGGGGAAGTCGTCCACCTCCTGCGAGGCCAAGACGGACTGAGGGTGATAACCGCACTCGCGCATTGCTGATTCGACGAGGGCGTTAACCCTTGGCGCGAGTCGCTCGCGGAACCAGTCGCCGTAGACCTTGCGTTCGGATGTACAATCGGCGTGGTTAATGACGAAGTTTACCTTCTCGTCGTTCGGCTTCTTCATCACAATCTCGATGAAGGACTTGATAAGCTGGACCTGGTGGAACGAAAGGTCGGGCGGCTTGAATTTGTCCGTCATCAGCGTCGAAAGGCCGAGACGCTTGAGGACAGTCTTGTCTTCAAGCATGCACGTCGGTTCCCCGCCCTTGACGTGGCGCTGGAACTTCGTCGTGAGGATCGCTAAAAAGGTTGCGGAGTATCGTGAGCTGGGCATGTTATCGTCGTCAGGATTTGTTCGTCACTCACCATTTCTTATAGGGCTGTCGTACCCGGGCCTCCAGGCCGCCCATGGTTGCGGAGATCTGACTACTTTGGCGAAACCAACCCGTGGAATCGATATCTCGGCAGTTCCCACGAACTGACGGGCGTCTGACAGGGCGTCTACGTCCTTTGTCTTCCGCGTTCACTCAGCGAAGTCGGATGAGCCACCAGCGTCCACACGATACAATCGCACCTGAGATCAACAGCCTCCGGTGAGTAATGACCCCGTTCGCAAAGATGTAAATGACTCACCATCAAATCGATGAAGATCGCCTTGCGTCTTCGCCTCTGGCCTGCCTCGCAGCCCACACGAGCAGGGGGACGGCTTGTGACGCATTCGCGCGATGCGCTGGACACTTGGCAAGTTTCGAGCGCCGCCAATAGCCCCCGGTGAGTCGTGACTCCACTCGCGAAGTTGTAATTGACTGATCATGAAATCGATGAAGATCAGCATGTGTCTCGTCGTATGGCCTGCCTGGCGGCCCACCTGAGGAAGAGGACGACTCGAGACGCATGTGCATGATGGGCTGGGCACTTGGCAAGCCTTGAGCTCGGTCTTTCCCATCGCTCACCCTGACTTATGACATCAATTGCACGCATCGCCTTCCTGGCCGGCCACGCTACGCGCGCAAACGATCTTCCCCCCCTTTCCACTCAACGGCCTTCCTGGCAGGCCAGCCTACGCACGACGACAGCCTCCCTGCCTCTACGCCACGGCCTTCCTGGCCGGCCACGCTACGCGCGCAAACGATCTCCCCGCCTTTCCACTCAACGACCTTCCTGGCCGGCCACGCTACGCGCGCAAACGATCTTCCCCCCCTTTCCACTCAACGGCCTTCTTGGCAGGCCAGCCTACGCACGACGACGATCTCCCCCCCCTTTCCACTCAACGGCCTTCTTGGCAGGCCAGCCTACGCACGACGACAGCCTCCCTGCCTCTACGCCACGGCCTTCCTGGCTGGCCACGCTACGCGCGCAAACGATCCCCCCCGCCTCTCTCCTCAACGGCCTTCCTGGCAGGCCAGCCTACGCACGACGACAGCCTCCCTGCCTCTACGCCACGGCCTTCCTGGCTGGCCACGCTACGCGCGCAAGCGATCTCCCCGCCTTTCCACTCAACGACCTATCTATATTATCCGACGGATTACAGGGTGTAATCGGTCGACCTTCTCCGTTCGCGGCGCAACAACTTCACACACCTCCGTTAGGGTGTTCTGATGAAGAATCACCTTGTCGCGCCGAGTTGCGCCGCTTCCCCACGCTCCAGTGCCCCCTTCTTCGTCGAGAATCTCGCTGAGCGCAGCGAAGCAACCGTCGCTCCCCGACCCAGGGTTAGGTGACGAAATATGTCCGGGCATGTTAGGAGAGTATACTGATAAAATTCCTACGGAGATAGCTGCCCTCCTCCTCGTGCTGTAGCTCAAATACCGTTTCGGTACGAGGAGAAGAGGGTGCCAACGGCCAGGATGTTGGCGCGACTCGGCGCAACAAGTACCCATCTCTAGGTATACCCTCAAGGTATATGGGACAACTTGTTGCGCCGTGTTGCGCCGCTTCCTCATCATCCAGCAGCACGTTTACTACCTGCAAAACTACCATACTGGCCCCAGCCACTTCAAACAGTGGCGCAACTCGGCGCAACAGCTCCCCAAACCTCCCCATATATATCCCCCAGGACTGGGTCGTTGTTGCGCCGAGTTGCGCCACCATCTGAGGAAGCTGTGGAATTATCTTTGTGTTTTATTTAATGTGCCCCTGTTCCCTCTTTCCCCTGACCTGCCTATTCAGGCAGCTGAGTGTTCGCATTTTCTCACAGTTACAATACATCACAACTCCGACCTCACTACTAAATTAGTTTCTCACAGTCAGTAGCCCACATTAGGGACTTCAAATTCCGCTCTAATGACACTTTTTGTAATGAAACATGGTCAGAACCTGCTCCAATTGCTTAGGTATATAGAGGAATGTTGTTCAGAATAATAAAAAGCATAAGATGCAAAAGCTCCGAAGTAGTTAGGGCCATTTTAAGACAGTCAAAAGCTGGAAAAATGCGAACTTAAACAGCAAATACAGGGTTAGTGACTCAGGATTTGATTTTCATGCCTTGCTTGAGGGTAGAAAAGTGTTCAGAATGCGAAATTACATGAGATACAATTGACAGTATATAGCTAGCATATTTGATGGACAAGCTACAGTCTCCAAAATGCGAAATTAGCAGGAAGAATGAGCTGTACTGCCTCAGGATTTGATTTACAGGTCTTGTTTGAGTGGACAAAGTTGTTCAGAATGTAAAGAAACATAAATCCGATGTGGGGGGCAATTTGTAGCAACAGGTATTGCTGTATAAATTGAGCAAAAATGCGAAGTACAGCCAGAAGGTGACTCCTAGCCCCCCTAGATCATGTGCTTACAGAAAACCTCTGAAGTATTCTGTAAGCACATGACCCAGGGGAGCTAGGGGACATTCCCACAGGCAAAGAACAACAAAATTCGCTCAGAGGGCCTTTTTTTTGTGAGTACAAGGGCAGGACTTGTCCCAATTACTTAGGTATATAGAGGAAAGTTGCTCAGAATGATAAAATACATAAGATGCAAGAACTCCGAAGTAGTTAGGGCCATTTTAAAGCAGTCAAGAAGGGCAAAAATGCGAACTTAAGTAGCAAATAGTGGGCTACTGACTTAGGGATTGACTTTCATGACTTGCTTGAGTGACCAAAAGTGTTCAGAATGCGAAATTACATAGGATACAATTGACAGTATATACCTAGCATATTTTAAGGACAAGCTACAGTCTCCAAAATGCGAAATTAGCAGGAAGAATGAGCTGTACTGCCTCAGGATTTGATTTTCATGGCTTGCTTGAGTGGACAAAGTTGTTCAGAATGTGAAGAAACATAAATCCGATGTGGGGGGCAATTTGTAGCAACAGGTATTGCTGTATAAATTGAGCAAAAATGCGAAGTACAGCCAGAAGGTGACTCCTAGCCCCCCTAGATCATGTGCTTACAGAAAACCTCTGAAGTATTCTGTAAGCACATGACCCAGGGGAGCTAGGGGACATTCCCACAGGCAAAGAACAACAAAATTCGCTCAGAGGGCCTTTTTTTTGTGAGTACAAGGGCAGGACTTGTCCCAATTACTTAGGTATATAGAGGAAAGTTGCTCAGAATGATAAAATACATAAAATGCAAGAACTCCGAAGTAGTTAGGGCCATTTTAAAGCAGTCAAGAAGGGCAAAAATGCGAACTTAAGTAGCAAATAGTGGGCTACTGACTTAGGGATTGACTTTCATGACTTGCTTGAGTGACCAAAAGTGTTCAGAATGCGAAATTACATAGGATACAATTGACAGTATATACCTAGCATATTTTAAGGACAAGCTACAGTCTCCAAAATGCGAAATTAGCAGGAAGAATGAGCTGTACTGCCTCAGGATTTGATTTTCATGGCTTGCTTGAGTGGACAAAGTTGTTCAGAATGTAAAAGAACATAAATCCGATGTGGGGCACAATTTGTAGCAGCAGATATTGCCATTTAAATTGAGCAAAAATGCGAAGTACAGCCAGAAGGTGACTCCTAGCCCCCCTAGATCATGTGCTTACAGAAAACCTCTGAAGTATTCTGTAAGCACATGACCCAGGGGAGCTAGGGGACATTCCCACAGGCAAAGAACAACAAAATTCGCTCAGAGGGCCTTTTTTTTGTGAGTACAAGGGCAGGACTTGTCCCAATTACTTAGGTATATAGAGGAAAGTTGCTCAGAATGATAAAATACATAAAATGCAAGAACTCCGAAGTAGTTAGGGCCATTTTAATGCAGTCAAGAAGGGCAAAAATGCGAACTTAAGTAGCAAATAGTGGGCTACTGACTTAGGGATTGACTTTCATGACTTGCTTGAGTGGCAAAAAGTGTTCAGAATGCGAAATTACATAGGATACAATTGATAGTATACCATTGGCATATTTTAGGGACAAGCTACAGTGTCCAAAATGCGAAATTAGCAACAAGATTGATTTATAATGCCTCTGGATTTGATTTTTATGACTTGCTTGAGTTGTTCAGAATGCGAAATTACATCGAACTGATTCAATACAATGTAAGATTAGAGGGTGAACCAGCAGCATCAGAAAGTACCAATGAGAAGGGAAGTCTCATCTTCCTTTAGTTTGTTCTTAACTCAAAGATGCAAAATCTATACTGACGTCCTGGCGTGGGAAAGTGTTATGGAAGAACTGTATAGCTAATTTACAGTTGAAGCGGAGTCCGAAATTATTATCTGACATCAATCCATCAATTTCTCTTCTTTCTTCTTTACCACTATCTGATCTTTGAGTGAATTGTTGTTCAACTGAATCCCTCAACAACTGCTTAGTTTTAGTTACTCCGTCTTGCTATACCAGTTTTCTACTACATAAATTGATACAGTATATACAAAAACAGATCAAATACATATAGTATATATAAAAAAAATGGCCTCTTTACTTCCTTTTGCTCAAGTTCTTGATAAATTTCCTTCTTTATTATCTTCTGATGCTTTACAACTTCCTCCTCCTGTAAAAATTCAAGTAGAGTCTGATGTTGTTAGTGCAGAAAGCCCTAGCGAGCTCAGTAGTTTACTGTCAGAGTTTGAACTTGGGCATTTTATTCTTGATTTGAATTATGCTCAGCCTCACCCAGGTACATTCTTTTCCCATTTTGAAGACCAAACTGATACATTTTTGCTAGATCAACGACCTCTGATTCCCGGCCATGTTCAGCAATTCGTCAACGACATTGAGAGTGGCCTGTTGGGTCCGTATCATCAGAACAGCCCTCTACTCGTCATCGCTCAGGGCCCTTGCCCAATCGTTACCGGGCCTGGCATATGGAGTCATCCTATTGTCGATGGCAAGCCTGTTGAGTTCCTGGTCATTGCTGGTCAGCATCGTCTTGCTGCGATTTGCGCCAGTAACCTCTGGCTGAAGCACTGGAAATGTTTGGTTTACCGTCGCGGTATGTTGAATCTTCTATTTTCAGTTGCAATAACTCACTCTTTACTCAGAGCTGCTTGATTTATCCAAGCCCCGGACTATGGAGCTCTACATGGCGCAGATCAACGAGAGGCAAACAGCGCTGGAGAACTCAGACGATGTTCTTCTTCCCTCGGTTATTAATGTTCTCATGGCTTGCTACAGCCATGGGAACAGGAATACTATCGCTGCAAAAACAATTCGGTCATTCCCCAACCGCGGTTATCTCAACTTCATTTTACGCATGCCTGCCGCCTTACGCCCATTACGAGATCTGCTCATCACCTGCCCCGACTTCGCACAATCTAGCAAGTTCGACATTATGATGAAAGAGTTAGGTGCAAGTCGCAATCCTGAGGTAAGGGCTCTCTTTAAGATTGCACTGTGAACTTATCTGTCTTGCGTATAGCTGGTTGCTATGATCTTGGAGACTTGCAAAGCCCATGGAGAGTTTCTATCCACTGGCGCGATACTTCGGCTGGAGCGGCTTTGCAACGCAGAGGACACAGA